CTTGCCATTCCCGCCGTTCTTGCCTCCGTTCGCCATTGTTTCGCGTATCGTGTGGTAGTCTGGGATACGGTAGTTGAGTGTGGGAACGTTGGTCTTACCTCTCTGGGGCGACTGACAGCTGTCTCTTGTTTTATACTTGCGACGTTTCCCTCCTCTTTCATTTTACTCTTTCATTTCTTTCATTTTTAGTCATAGCTATTCACCCAACGTCCGCCCGCTTTTCGCGTACGGCCGCACCATTGTACTCATTGTTTGATTTATCTTTCACTTAGATAGACTCGTGAGTTTGAGTGGGGGTGTTGGAGGTATCATCCTCCCGAGTCCCCGGTTAGGGTTCCTGTAGTTTATTTCCTCACGTGACTCCCCTCCCGCTTACGCCACGCTTCCGCGTACGGGAGTTCACTCTTTTCTTCCCTTTCGGACCTCGCGTCCTCTTTCTACTTCAGACTTCAATACATACTACACAGTACTACATCTCACACAACATAGAGTTCGCTCAGTCATCTGCTTCCTCTGCCGACTACTGCTAAGTGCCTCCGGTGCCGGGGCAGCGGCCGTTATCACGGTGGCGGGTTAAGGTGCCGAAGTCGTATATGGTGCCCAGAAGCCGTCCCGGTATGGGTGTTCCATATGTCTCATTCGGACGTAGTCGTCGCCGGCTGTCTATTGCTAGCGACACGTCCTTCTTGGTGCAGAACAACGACGTGGGCAACTTCAAGAAGGTTAGGGAACTGGTGCTTCGAGGATTTGACCAGGTTTCCGTGGAGTCATGGAAACGCAAGGTTGCAAAGGCCGTGAGATGGGAAGACTGGTATATCCAGAAGAAGCATGTTGTTTTGAACGCGCTTCTATGCCAACGTCACTGGTCATTGACTGGGAGGATGGTGACAGTGATGTGGAGGATGTCTCAGATGCTGAGATTGAGGCGTGGTTTGAGGAGGAAGGCATGATGGGGGATGAATAGGCAACATTTTGCATTGATTTTTTTCTACTGAATAGGCAGATTGTCAGAACCGGACTTGACACTCTTACTTTTTTATGATTGTCTGTGTGCTTGAGAGAAAGAATCTAGTGGAAAAAAGAAACCGGCGATTCCGGTGGAAAATGCTGTCAACCAGTTTCTTGGCTCCTATGAGGCGACGCGGGTGCACGCCCGTCAATTCGCGCTAACTATGGTGTCGTGATCTAATAGTTACATTCTTATTATCGAGCTTTGGTCGGGCGGGAGGAAGCTCGATATTCTCGACCGCATTTCCAGCAATTGATAACAGTGTCCTTACATGTAAGCCAAACAACAGTCCTTTGCCGTGGACCGATTGTACCTTCCCGGTACGCCGATTTCAGGGTGATAGACAATCAAAAAAAAAAGAACTCTTCCCAGGGTCCCCACTGGCGTCTCCAAGTTCATTTAGGTTACCGTAAAAGTATCCACATCCTAGTTCCGGAATATTGACTGGATGCCCATTCGATAGTTGGCACAGAAATTGTGCGCATTGAACCGGAATTCCTCTAACCCATGTCCAACTGCTGTTCGCACGGAACCTTTCGCCACTTCGGTGTTCAAAGCTCTCATTTGAACATTTGCTACTACCACCAAGATCTGCGAAAGACCGAGACCATCCTGACGGTTCAGGATTTCTCCCCGCGTGGAGTCCTTGGGAACAAAAACGTCTCGTGCGGCAACGCTTCCTGTGAATCCGCTGATGCCGTGTCTTGGTCCGTGGCGGCGGTAATCGCTTCCAAGTAAAGATCTCTTGTCCACGATACCCCGTCGCGAAATTGCAGGAAGCATCTCAAACTGCGCGCAAACAACGATCCAAAATTCGCATCTAGCTTGGTTGGCAGTTGTGCGCGAGCCATTTCCTTGCAGGCGTAATAGCCGCCTCCCACATACGCCACAACAACATGAACCGCTGTCCAATTCTGTAGGATCATGCCACTGACGTGCATGCGGTGGATGAGTGTGTCTCGCTCGCCGAAATCTCGCGGCATCTGATTTGCCAGCCGACAGTGGATGTCGCGAAGCAAGGTCACTAGTCCTGCCTTATCTTTCACATTTTTGGATCTCGCGTCTCGCCGCATGCCGACGTTGGCTGCAACAGACCACTCCGTACCCCACCCCTCATCGGTTCCGATATCATCGCTCTGCATTCGATATTTCATCAATATCTACACGTAAACAAAATAGGTCGAAATTATAAACCTACCGTGAAGAGGTAATCACATTTGGCCCCACAAGCCGGCTTTCCTTCCACGGATCGCCTGCGTCGACTTGACCGAGATTCGACTTCGCCACTGTGAATGAATCCGATGAGAATCGGCATCGTAGCATCCGTCATGATCTGGCTGACAAGTACTTACTAATGCGTCCTGATCCCCTCCGCCGCAGCCCCCGCGAACAGGTCAACGAAGACATGGGCGTCACCATCCCGTTCTGACAGAGGGCCCGCCGGCAAACCGCTGTCAATGACGTGGACGAATTTTCCCAGCATTTGGATGATGTACAAGGCGTCCTTATCGGATATGAACTCCTCGCTCCAGCCCACCGGCACCCCCCGGGCTGCTATCTCCCCCGAGGCGGTCTTCTGCCTTTTAGAGAAGCGAGAGTGCTTCTGGTCGCTCGTTTCCCAAAGAGTCCGCATCATTCCTTTCCGTCCCTCATCCAAAACGCCGCGTCCCACGATCGCAAGCGCATGCGTGTCGATCTGTAATGCGAGAACACAAGGTACGTGAGATAGTCAAGACCGACGCTTTCCACGACAAAGACTCACCTGGCGCACGCGGGCCAAACATGCCGCCGCTGCTGTGGACAGCTGATGCCAACGCTCTTCTGCATACCCTTTCAATGCAGACGCATATGCCTTCTCGACGTCCTCTTTGACTCCTCCGAGGGACGCCCTCTCAGTGGGGCTATCGAGGTCTACAATTTTCTTCCACAACAACCTAAATCCGAGCATTAGTAAGCGTCGAGAGGTCCTCGCTTAATGCGTCGCCACTACCTTTCCCGACATTTGGGAGCGTTCACACGCGCGGCATTGAGCGCAGCAGTCCAGGCGGGCAGTTCTGATCTCTGCTCCACTTCCTCCGGGAAACCTTCGTCCTCCACTTCGTTGGATGTTTCCTCCGTCGACGCAGGTTCCGTATCTGGCGTTCGGCCAGGTGATGCTGCCACTTCACGCTCTTCCAACCCCAACCCGCGAATCTCTTTGACAGCACTGACGCGTTCGACGTTCCCTTCGCAAGGGGTTCCCGGTCGCTCCTCGTCATCAGGCGAAATAGGAATAGGATCACGATTCAGAAGCTTCCGGATGGCTGCTTGTTGCTGCTCATGAACATAACGCGCCTCCAGGTTCGCCGTGGGCCCACCTCGTTCCAATGCTTGCAAGTGGGCAGTTTGCAGAAGAGTGAACCGCGTCTTGAGTGCGTCGGGATACCTCTTCGGAAATGGTCATTACATATCGAGGATAAGTTCATCCGCTCCTCTGCGACGCTTACCCTATGAGGAAGAAGGTCGCGTTTGCTCCGCTCCATACAGAAGTCAGACCACCAGTGCAGGAAGTGCTTGCTGTAGAGACCGGCTGTTCCAAGCGTTTTCTCAACGTGCTCGAGATATGCAGCGAACGATACAAGGTGATCCGGTTGTGGACGGCGAAGGGGGCACTCGGCGAGAAGGAACAAGGCAAAACGGCGCCAGGCGGAGATCAAGCTGGGCCTTCCAGCATCGGGAGAGGGAGAGGTGCCCAGCATTCTTCGCTATGCTCTGACTGAAAGTGTGCAACGGCCAGCAATGCGCACTCCTGCGATGGGTCATATATACAGAACGTACTGTACATAGCTGGTCGGAGTTCGGCCGTCCGTTCGTCCGGACAAGCACGCGGTAACGAAATGATCGCTTTAGCTAGATTGCCTGCGCAACCTCAGGAGCCAATCAGCAGTTGGCAGTTTCCCTTTATTCTGACGGAATAGAGGGGAATCGTTGAACTGCTGCGCCACTCGTCCTGCTGCGCCACTCACTTCTCTCCCCTTTCTGTTTTACCTCATCTTTGAACGCGTGTCTGCGTTAGCGAATTGCTGGAACGAAAGTCCTGAACTAAATACAGTACAATGAAAAATCGCAGATCGTGTTCGCTAAGCTAACAGTACAGCCAATTTGTAAACCTAGCTGAGCATTCTCTGCTCTCCTACGGTTTCGTTCATCATCTCTTTCCGGATTACCTCCGTCTCCTCCGTTTCTGAACTGATCGGGTCTCCTTACCGCGCTGCATCTACGCGCGCGCCCCTACCCTAGGCCACCCTGGGTCCGATCATTGAACGGTGACTCAGGTTAGTTGACTGCACCAGGACGGGGTGTGGATGTTTTGCGTGCTCGTTTCAATCAACGTGTTCATCCGACAGTGCTCTACAATGCAGAGTAATTGTTTTCTGCCGGTGTGGACAATTGCGGCGGGGCAACGGCGATCCCATCGTTCGGCAATGGGCTAGCCATAGGGACGGATCTTACGCCGTTGCCTATGTGTGATGGGACCTTCGGCTTCCGCCCTGCGCATAACCTGTTCGCAATTGTGATCCAGCCGAGCAACGGCATATAAAGGACAGTGGTAGCTGGGAAACGGCGATCCCATCGTTCGGCAACGGGCTAGCCATAGGGACGGATCTTACGCCGTTGCCTATGTGTGATGGGACCTTCGGCTTCCGCCCCGCGCACACCTGCTGCCATCTGAACCTAGCCGTACACTTCAGCATTCTTCAAGGACGCAACGGTGAGCTAGCGCCTGATGCAAATAAATGATATGTATTGAAAATCACTGACTACGATTTTTGGTTCTCGTGACATATGGTCCCCGTCGGAGTATCACCTTTTCCGAGCTTAAACATTGAGCGTGGGCGTCACGTTGGCGCACTTGATAGGTAGCTTTCACCTGTTTCAAGAGCTGCCATTCGGGATCAAAGCCGCCAAAAGCGTGTCCAAAGCTCATTCTCGGACAAACCTTTCCGGACCCAGCCCGATGTTCGCCGATTTGGGGGCTCTCGATGCTTACAAGGAGAAGATCTCCAAGAAAGTGCCTCGGCCTCCTCAAGTATTCCGTACATCCTACGATGCCGAAATCGCCTGCAGGTAGGTTGAAAGCGTCTTGGAGTGTCATTCTGTTCTTTGTCATTTGACCGACGGCCGCTAACATTTTGGAGCGAAATAGATTTCTTCGCCACGACGACGTTGATGCAGACAGTCGAAGGATCATGGCGATAATCTTTGAAGAAACTCTCCGGGTGGGTAGTCTCCCGGATAGCCGAGAGCTTCTTCACAGCTAATTCTTGACTCAAGCATTACCCTAAAGATGCACAAGTAATTCTAATGTACACCTACTATCTGTCCCGTTGGGGGGATGACCCGGAAGCTTGCCTGAAACAGGTTTCGTGACGATGTTTCGCCTTCTTGCTGTGCTGCCAGATCTGATAAACTTTTCTTTCATCAGCTCACCGCAGCGAAGCTTTCAAGCCCATCGCTTGATGTTCGCTTTCGCATCTACATGGAGGAACGTGACTTCGAGCAGGGTACGATGGTTCCCCCAAACCCTGAGTTGTACTTGGACCCTTATAAATACCTCTGAAATGGCTCAGCCGCCCAATCTGAGGACATGGGAGTCAGCCACCTTTATGTTTCCTCATATGGTAAGGAAAAGTGCTGCAGGTTGTTCCGCTGAATGTCCTCGTGTGTATTGACAGCCGTCTATCACCTCATCCACGTCGAATATCAGTCCCTAGAGCGTCAAGCTACGAGGTTCCATCTCACCTCGTTGATGGCTCTGAAAGGATTTACGAGCTTTCTTGTGACGGAACTTCAAACATACCGCAGACCTCCAAAAGTGGACTAGTTCACAATTCTCAACATCTTGCATCTCCAGCTCGATGTTCCGCTTCTGGAAAATATGTATCACTTGCAGCGCAAAGCGATGGAATACTACACTAAATTGACGACCAAGTTTCCGAGAAAACATGTTTTCCGCAAGTTTGCCAAATTTCTGGTGAGTGCGTCATAAAGACACCGCTCAGCAGATAATGTTTGAGGTTCTTGACTGCCTTGGAAGACATTGCTGATCAGCTGTACTCTGGTATTCAGATCACCGTAACAAATAAGTCAGCAATTACTTGTAGCCAAGCTTCGCTTGCGTCTCATCTCACCTATATTCCAGTCAGGATCTGGCCGTTCAGTACCTGAAAAGAGCCGATGACATTGAGGAAACGGAAGAGATGGATTTCAGAGAGCGAGCAAACGGTTTCTTCATGGATCAAACCGGAATGGGAGGAGACACCTTACCAGACCGGGAGCCCATTTCAAATTCGGTAAACATAGATAGCAGCAGTGACCGGATGCAGTCCCTGAGGAGACCGAGAGCGCGCATGGCGGTCGATACGATTCAAGAAAGCCTGTCGAGGGAAATCGATCAGTTCGAGCCTCCAATGCCTCTTCGTCAGCCGTCCGTTGAGGTGGTAGCGGAAGGACCAGCGGAGACTATACCTAACTCGATCTTCAGCAACGAGACGCCGCGCGTCGACCGGGCCCCAATGTTCTCTTTGGATTCGGGTCCTACAGAAACGAGCCGACGACCGTCCGTCCGTCCGCGCGCGACAATCATGGCGCAGGAAACGCCGGAATTTGTTAGTGACTTCGGTGTCGAATATCTGGGAGAGAACGGGAAAATCGCAAACGTCCCAGGACCGAGATCTCAGGCGTCGGCACACGCGCATTCGTCTACAAGAGAAGCGAGGAAGCAGAGGTCCTGACAGCTCAAATTGGAATAAAACTTGTTCGGAAAATTGAAGACTGTATTCGTAACGATTCGATTTCTGTGTGCGACTTTACTGGAATCATTGGTAAACTCCATGAACCTTCAGCAGTCTTTTCAAAGGTCTGTGTCTGGTTGATAACAGTGGCCCTCTCGTTAGATTGCCAACTACGTGATATCCGGACTCCTCTTCAACGCTCCAATCAGTGTCTTGAACACCATTGAGGTATATTTGCAGAAGCATGTGGACAACGGTTTCGTCTCCTTTCGTTTAACCTTGTGTCATCCAGGAAGCCACTAGACCGCGCCGCTTGATACCTTATGTCACTCAGCAAGTGAGGTCCTCACCGAGATCACTGCCGCGCCCCGAGAGATTAATCACAACGTGCGTTTTCTTGCAGATGCGTCTGATGTCCAACGCGGCTCTCACTGGCAATGTGAGTGGTTTCAATGCGAACTATCAGGGGATAAGCAGCATCCATCGTTTAGCACACCGAAATGTGACATGACGTTGCTCTCTTGACACGCCTTCGCCCGAAAACAGTTGTATAATGCCACGACGGAGTTGTCCGACAATATTTTACCTACTCTTTTCCGATACGCGAGCGACTTGCCTACTGCTGCGATAATGCAACCGATAACGTCAGGGTATGGTGCCGTCAAGAAAGTGGAATCCGTAACCAAACTGATCGACTTGATACTGGAAATGCGAGCTTCATGCTTTTTCGGTTTTAGGTTGTGCTCACGAACTTTTTCAGTTTGACGAGACTCGTCAGGGACAGTATGAGTTCTCTCATGACGCTGCCATATGCCCAATGGAGCGCTCGACCAGATGGGCTTCTGCAAGATTCGAACCTCCAGTTTTTCCTTGATAATGCTCTGGCTGTATGTGCTTCCCGATTCCAGTGCGGTGTACATCTTGGCGAAAACCAGCTGATTTTCGTTGAGCAGATCGGCGACGCCCTTGACAAATTTGCACATCATTTGCTTTCCGAATATGTGGTGGAATCCACAAACCGCCGCTGAACGGTGATCGGATTGACGATTGGCGGAGCGGTCATCATCTTGGCGACCATGGCTTGCGTAAATTTGACCTTTAGACATGCGTACGCAAGTAAGCGGCTGATCCTCAAAGCAATGTTGCGCATCCCATCGAAGCAGAGAAGAGGCCTCGTTGATTCCGTGGAGGAAATGATTGAAGGTGAGCGTTAACATCTTTCCTATCAAAGCGTTAACATCTTTCCCTCTAGACGGGGAGACTGATTATGGCATCCAACGATCGTCGTTACATGGTCTTGGTACTTATTGCGCTGTCAATGTATCTGTATTGATTCTTACGTGTGAGAAATTGATCAAGGTGATCAAATATTTGTGCAACGAGCTGCCGGCGAACGACACAAACACTTGGGCACCTTACACAGTGCAACAGGAGCTGTACTATAGGCTTTGGGTGCTTACGGTTCGTTGCATCTGTCTGGGACGATGCGTGTTCTCATTCCACCTTGTTTCAGCTGATTTGGCCTTCTTCTCAGGAACAACATAATGCGGTCATCTCAGGCGCATACGGAGGGCTTTCAACAGTAAGCGGCCGTCGAATTGATCGCGAAGCAATCCAGCAGAGGGTAGTGCAGCGACATGTGGCGGAGGGTGGCGTAGCAGCACGTGACCTGCCCAGAGGGTATATATATCCACGGTGGCCGGCAGCCGTTCCGTCTCTTCCTCGCGCAAATTTTTCTCTTTCTGACATGCAAACCCGTTCTGGAGACGGCCACCAAGTCTGGCCACCAAGTCTGGCTACCAAGTCTGAACACGCACCACCTCTACCTACAACTACTTCTCCTTTCTGCCGCTGCCTCTGTTTCCTATTGGCCAGCTTCCTGGTCCGTCTGCTTTGATTTCTCCATCCTCACCAATTCCTGCCATGGCGACTGGCCAACCGGCAAGATTGACCCACACTTACCCCTTTCCCCTCCACGGGCCCGCCTCCGTCCGACTCCGCAACGACAGCAAGCTCTCGCCCACGCCCGACAAAACGCTTTCATCTACCACAGCATGTCTACACCTGATGTTCGCACTGAAACTGTCCCTGACCAGGAGACCCCAGCGTCCAACCCAGCCTCCCGGGCGGACATCCGATCCGCTATCGCGGGCATGGTCATCCCGGCCTTCCGAGGTAGCAATTCGTATTCTTGATGATCCTGGCATGCGATTCCTGCAACGCTTGGCGTTCTCGCTGCTGTCGAACTTCCAGAGCTTGCATGCGAATCTACATAACGTAAACAAACGTCAGTCTCATTATATCCCGGGCTCCCGACTGTCCCCGCGCCCGCTCAGCATCCCCTGATTGTGCCCGGCGTTTTGAGCCATTGGTCCGCCCTGCTGTTCTCCTCTCGCACCCGTTCCAAGTTGCTCATCCAATTCCTCTTGCGTGCGCCGCGGAATCCCAACCCGGCGTCCTGGGCTCCCTCCCTCAATCATCCCGTGAACGTACTCTTGCCGAGTATTGGGGTGTTCACAAATTGGCATTGGTCAGGCAGAAGTTATCATGGACTTGCCTGATCCGGATACTGCGGTGGCTCTTCGGCGCAGTCACCTCTATGTTGCTGACGCCCCGTCTATCAAGCGAGAATACATTTCCCGGGGCGGTCTCACCGTGCCATCTTCAGAATTTACCAATATGCTTCGCTTGGCCTACATTGACCTTAATCGACTCCACCCAGAATCGACTCCTCCTTGAACAAGGTGCTGCCGGCGGCCTGGAGGCCATTGAAGCTGTTGGAGGTATCATCCTCCCGAGTCCCCGGTTAGGTTCCCGTAGTTTATTTCCTCACGTGACTTCCCTCCCGCTTACGCCACGCTTCCGCGTACGGGACTTCACTCTTTTCTTCCACTTCGGACCTTGCGTCCTCTTCACACTCTAGACTTCAATACATACTTCACAGTACTACATCTCACACAACATAGAGTTCGCTCAGTCATCTGCTTCCTCTGCTGACTACTGCTAAGTGAAGCGGCCCCTTCTACGAAGATCGCTGATTTCCAAGAATGGTCCTCCATGCGGACGCATCTTTCGCGTACCTACGGCACCCTCTATCCCACCCTCTTGCCTTAACTGGATGCCTATCGCATGCAGATCAATGAAAAGGCTGTTACCGTGGGCCCTGCATCTTGGCACGTCATGTATGCATATGATCAGGCCCTTCGTCGCCACTGGGCCAACTACCCTGCGACTCCGCTCAACGTTGAGCTGCCGGAGCTCGTCCAGAAACATTTCCTCATGCCCTTGGTTTTACGTTTCCATGCTCCCAATCCTCCCAGCGGCACTCAGCCCACCCGATACCGACCAGAACGCGCTTCCGGGTCCTCCCCGGCACCCAGACGTACGTTTCCTCTGACGTTACAATGTTGCATGTTGAAGGGCGATCTACTCGTACCAACCCGGAAAAACAAAAGATTGCAAAGTTGCCCACGCGGAGTGTTGTTTACAAATTTAACTTGATTACGTGATCACAGGGTGATAGTGTCCTCCAGACCATATTTGCCGGACACCAGATTTTCTGGACAGCTTGAGTTGGATTGGGTTTGGTTTTTGGTATGACTTAAATGGTGCAAGGAGTTTGGTTTGGTTTTTTATGGCAGAATCCGAGGCACATTGAACACAAGAAAGTCTCACCTTACAGAAGGTGGCCAAAAGTCCGGGTACAACGGGTTCACCAAGCCTCTGTGTGCAACCCAAAAGTCAACGACCAGGTGCCATCAATTTGCGTACTTCTTCAGATGGGAGCCAGGCCGGCGACTTCTGCTGGTGGCTATGCTGAGGATGATGTGTCCTTGTTGCGTCGTACCCGGACTTTTGGCCACCTACTGTATCCTGACCTGCCAACCTTAACCCTAATACTATCTGCATTTTGAAGTCTTCTACGTACAGTAGGGTGACAAAAGTTCTGCAAACGCGTCACACCCCCATTCTTTGCCCAACTTCAAAGCCATTCCCTGGCCAGAGCCGCCCGTCGTTTGCCCCCAAACTTTTACCATGCCTCAGCACACCCCCAAAGACAAAAGGATTGCCATCATTGCTCACCATCGCGTGGGCATGCCTTTCAAGGACATAGCAGAACTTGAGAACGTCTCCATTGCGACCGTCTCCCGCATTGTCAAGCAATTCACCGAAACTGGCTCCTGCGAGGCCCGTCCACGCTCCGGCCGCCCTCCCAAGCTCTCTGAGAACGACTCCCGTTGTTTGCTCCGGCTCACCACTTGCACGGCTGAGGAGTGGCGCACTCCTTTGGCCGACGTGACCCAACAGCTCAATGCTGGGCGCTCCGATCCTGTCTCCAAGTGCACCATTCAGCGACGTTTGCATGATCTGGGTCTTCGGCGGGTCTTGGCAGTCCAAAAGCTTCGTCTGCTGCCCCAACACATCCAGGCACGGGTTCACTTTGCTAGGGAGTATCAGGCCTGGACTGCTGCAGAGTGGTCTCGCATTGTGGGGACTGATGAAACATTTTGGAAGTTGGGGAAAGAGGGCCAAGTCCGCGTCTGGAGGCACGACAGGGAGCGTCTTCGCCCAGATTGCCTTCAAGAGAAGCAACCCCGTGGCAGATCCATCATGTTTTGGGGCTGCTTTTTTGGTGACAATTCTGGCCCCCTCTTTGCTCTCCGCGGTACGATGGATTCCGACATTATTTGCGGGAACCTTCAGCAGCACTTCATTCCCTGGATTGTGCAGGACAATCCCCAAGATGAGGCCTGAATTTTTCAACAAGACAATTCACCGCTTCACACCTCATGCAAATCAAAGGCATTTTTTGTGGAATGGCTCATCCCTGTCATGTCGTGGCCTGCAAAAAGCCCAGATTGAACCCTATCAAGAATCTTTGGGCCATTCTCAAGCGTCGGGTGCAAGCACGGCGCCCACAAACCCTCAACGAGCTGGACACGTTGGTAAAGGAGGAATGGGCTAGTTTAGATGCTGAGATTTTGCGCAACCTTAACGAGAGTATGGTGCGCCGTATGCAGATGGTTATTAATGCAAACGGACAGGCAATTGACTACTGAATGATACCCCATAATTGTTCAAACCATGTTTGTATAGTAGGATTAGTGGTGGTGAGGGAAAACGTGTCGCATTGTATGTAGAAAACACGTCCGCGTTTGCAGACTTTTGTCACCCTACTGTACGTATCAATGATCTCTCTCAACGTTCCACTACCACATAACTTAGTGAGGGGCCACGCACTCTCGCGCGCGCCTTTGGAGCCCTGGGCCGCCTCGAGAGACCGAGATCCTTCTCACAATTGCGCACACTTGCAACCTTGCACATCAAGGCAAACCCCCAACCAATCTCTAAAAGCCTTCACCACAGCGCAGGTAAGCAGACACACGCCACAGGGGAGGGAGGCTCACAGCGGGGATAACGTTATAGGAATTGCGGCCTCGCAGCGACCTCGCAGCGGCCTCGCAAAACCCATCCTGGCCATCCTTCTGCAGGCACTCCCTATGCGCGCCATCCATACACAGGTACGCCATACGCGGGCACTCCTTACAATTCCTACGCGCCTTACCCCACCTCACTACCCATCGCACTAAGAACCTTCCCTTGACTTCACCGCATTCTCCGCTCAATTTGAATTGGCTTATTTATCAACATCGCCTTCCACTGCTCAATCACCAACTATTTAAAGGTTTTACGGGTTTCCCTGGATATTAGGTCCTAAATGCGCGCACAGAGCAGCGTTCCTGATAAGTAGTTCATCTTCATCGACCCATCCCTCCCTCCTACCGTAGCTTGACATAGCACTCGATAGCTCAAACGAGTTCTTTCATTCACATCCACGTTGTGAGGTGCCACCATGCTGTTGTGGCCATGCCGTAAACACAGGGCTGCCTCCCCAACACCTTTATTCACTTCGGCCGCACCACACAGGGTGCCCTCACCACGTCCACGAACAAAGATATGTGTGTATGTTGTTGCATAGCTATGGTGTCGTAGTGCAGGTGTAATTTAAATTACACCTGCACTACGACATATGGTACCCGCATCTTGGGCCCAGGGATGCTATTTCGAGGACGTCCACTTGCAGATTGGGCATGTGGCCCTCGGGCAAATATATGTGAGCACGGCAGCATTCTTTGATCCACATCCGTGTTGTCCACTTGGTTCTCGTCCGCTTGGTCCACTTGGTTCACATCCACGTCGTCGTCCACGTTGTCGTCCACGTCATCCATTTGATTTCTCCATCCACGTTCACCGTCCTGGAGATGACAGAGGGATGTAGGTGGTGGAGGTCAAGCGTTCTGGTACAAGTGGGTGGGGTTTGGGGCCTCCCCAACACCTTTATCCACTGCGGCCGCACCACACAGGGTGCCCTCACCACGTCCACAAACAAAGGTATGTGTGCATGTTGTTGCATAGCTATGGTACCCACATCTTGGGCCCCAGGGATGTTGTTTTCCAGGACGTCCACACGCAGATTGGGCATGTGGCCCTCGGGCTAATAGATGTCAGCACAGCAACATTCTTTGATCCACATCCACGTCGTGCACGTGGTTCTCGTCCGCTTGGTCCACTTTGTGATGTGGACTACCTTCCACACGGGTTGTATAACTGATGTTCGTATACAATAACTACTTTGCTGTAAGGTATTGTAGACGGACTGGGTGTTCGCCGGCGCTGCTATTCGGTATGTAGTAAAAGAACTACTTGTTGTGCATAGGAACGCGCGACGAGCACTGTTAAAGTACCCATGAGGTCGGAGTCCACTGGAGAACACTGTCTGGGACATGTCTCGCACACCTGGCGAGACATGTCTCGCTGACGTGTTGTTCTCCAATAAGACCAGACACTCCACATGTGATGTGGACTACCTTCCACACGGGTTGTATAACTGATGTTCGTATACAATAACTACTTTGCTGTAAGGTATTGTAGACGGACTGGGTGTTCGCCGGCGCTGCTATTCGGTATGTAGTAAAAGAACTACTTGTTGTGCATAGGAACGCGCGACGAGCACTGTTAAAGTACCCATGAGGTCGGAGTCCACTGGAGAACACTGTCTGGGACATGTCTCGCTCACCTGGCGAGACATGTCTCGCTGACGTGTCGTTCTCCAATAAGACCAGACACTCCACATTACACACTTGGTTCACGTCCACGTCGTTGTCCACGTCATCCATTTGATTTCTCCGTCCACGTTCACCGTCCAGGAGAGGAGATGACAGAGGGATGTAGGTGGTGGAGGTCAAGCGTTCTGGTACAAGTGGATGGTTGACCACGTCATCAAAAGGGACTTTCCGTCTCTCTTTCCTCCCGGCATCACTTTCTCTCTAGTCATCCATTTGATTTCTCCGTCCACGTTCACCGTCCAGGAGATGACAGAGGGATGTAGGTGGTGGATGGTCAAGTGGGTGGGGTTTGGACCACGATAACTGATAGACCGCGGTTGGCCACATCCTGCCCCAAGTCGACATCCTCGGCGACGGGTGTGGTCAGCATCATATGCCAACTTTAAATAATTATTTCAGCACGTGGAAAAGATCGTACTTCACGTGATGGGACTTCACGAATTTCGCCTGAGAAAGCGCTTGTTCCCATGTTCCATGGGCCCAGGGCAATGAACTGCCCCCATTCAGCAAACGATGTCATGTCTTCCGTCTCCTACACATTCCCAGGAAACTCGCACCACCAAGCCTCGCCCCAAAGCAGGGCATCCTTCCACCGGCTTGCGGTTGACAACAAATGGCTGGTCATGACGCAGGACTTCTACAACGCTATCTTCGACGCGCGCGCCATTGTCGATGAGAAGAACCTCGTAATGTGGTATCCTTCTGAGGAGGGCGATTGCAAGGAGGGCGATTGGCCGCCGGTGGAGCATTGCAGCCCTGCGGTGCTACATGTTATAGGTAAAGATTATAGCTGCCCTTTTGGGATGTTCTCGGAAGAAATTCACATAATGCGTCGTTTTGTACACCCAGATTCGTCGACGCCATATTATTCTCCGCTTCTGGCAAACTGGCGGAAGAAAGTAGGGGACAAATAGGATATTGGGAACGGATGCGGGCCGGGGGAGGGGTGTTTGGTTACCTTAGCCTGATAAAGGATTTCCACATCGTTTTCTGGGTTGGACTCGGAAGTGGAGTAGTTTTGGCTGCTGTGGTCTCAAGCTTCTCCACTTCCGCGTTCTAGTCGTCGCACCGAACGATGTCGTGCCTGGTTTCAGGCGAGCGAGTCTGCCACTAGTGTGTACAACATCGTTGGGTGGGGAGAGTGGGGCGTGGTTAGGAGCTTCCCTAGGGAAACAGGAGGGTCCATGCACACATGCCACATAGTTTAAAAGTTAGAGCCAGGAATAGATTGCGGCGGGAGTGCTCGATATTGGCTCCGGAACAGAGGTTGTTATGGGAGCGTTACGCCATCAGTGAAATGTAAATGTTCTCTAGTACTACGCTGCGTATTGTTCTACATGAAGCTGCAAACACCGGTTACGGTTTCGAATTGGGGTCCAAGTCCCTTAGTATCGATCGGGCTTGCTCTCGGGCTTGTTGTCAAGAATCTTCTCAATTTCGGCGAGGACCTCGGGGGTGAGCTTGGGGAGTACGGCGAGAGCCTTCACGTTCTCCTTGACCTGCTCGGCGCGGCTTGCGCCCGTAATGACCGTGGACACGTTCTTGTTGGCCAGGCACCACGCGAGAGCGAGTTGCGCCAAGGTGCAGTCGAGCTTCTTTGCGATGGGCTACGAGGTGGTAAGATGAGACATACTGAACAATGCCAGGATGATGCTGATCGCAAGACCGTTCCCTACCTCGAGCGCAACAACTTTCTTCAGCTTGGCCTTGCCCTCCTCTGAATCCAAGCTGGCCTCCCTGATCCGCTGCACGACAGCGTCTTTTTTGTAACCGAACCTCGAATCCTCGGGCACAACGCCCGAGTTGTACTTTCCAGTCAGAACTCCCGAGGCCAGCGGAGACCAGATGGTGGTTCCCAACCCGTACTTTGCGTATAGCGGGGCGTACTCAACTTCGAACCTCTCACGGTGCAGCATGTTGTATTGAGGCTGCTCCATAAGCGGGCCAATGAGTCCCAGGGAGTCTGCGACGCGGTGGGCGTCGGAAATTTGCTCCGCCGACCTGAAGAGCACTTGATGTTAATCCCGTGCTGATTGAAGATTGACCAAGGATATTATTACCATTCGGAGGTTCCCCAGTAGAAAGCGTAGCCTTTCTCGATGACCCAGTTGAAGGCGCGGACGATCTCGTGCATTGGGGTAAGGTTGTCCGGGCGGTGGGCGAAGATCAGGTCGACGTAGTCCAGGTCGAGGCGTTCGAGGGAGGCCTTTGTGCCTTCAATGATGTGCTTGCGGGAAAGACCCTTGTCGTTGCTGCCGGCGCCTCCCCAGTACTGGAAGTTCATATATATGACCATATCAGTTCAGTGTCTCCGGTTTGTCGAACTCGGACCCCTGAGAACGAGCCAGCGGACTTACGATCTTTGTGGAAATGACGAGCGAGCTCCTCTTCCATCCAAAGTGCTTGATCGCACGGCCCATCGATTTTTCGGACTCTCCGCCAGCATACACTTCGGCATTGTCTTTAAAGCTAGGTTTAGAAGGCAACGAACTTAGACGCTGAAATAGCAAGCAGATCTTACTCACCAAAGAAGTTAATCCCGGCATCGTACGCGGCCTTCATGCACTCAAACGCAGCGTCGTCGCCGACCTGGCCTCCATAGGTCACCCAACCGCCGAGGGACAGAATGGAGACTCTGAGACCGCTCTTGCCGAGGTGGCGGTACTGCATATCTGTTCCGGAAGCCATGCTGCTGGTGGTGCTGCTGCTGCTGTTGTTGTTGTGGATGATCTGTGAGAAGCTGTTGGGAGAGAAGAGGGGGGGTTTAATGCAATTTGGTCAGCGCGGTTTAACTTGACTTTACGTACGTACTTGATGATTAGGGTTGCCCCTAATGCCCAATTCCAATTAAGAGTCAAGACGGTGGGCGGCTCGGCGCAATCCTTGCCGCTACGGCTTATTCGAGGCGTTCTTCCTCTCTCTCTCGCCTCTCAGACATTCCACACTGGCACAACTTTCTCGCTCAACCCACTTAGAGCACACAGACATGGCCTCCCTCACGCCGTCCGTAACAGCTCGGGACGACCTCCCAGTCGCCGATCAGCCGCGGGTGCCAGCAAAGACCGAGTTGGCAAAGGACCACTATCGTGAGTTCATGTCAAGCTGCGATTACAAATATTTCGAAACTTATAGTCCCAAAGACCAGCAGCTTGCAATAGGTATCGTAGTAGCTGGATACAATGCGAAAGATATTGAGTCTGCACAAGTCGCTTCTCATTCGGATACAAGTTGCGATACAAACCTCTCTTTCCATTTCGTTATTAGACGAGGCTAAGCAGCGACTGCAGTCTAAAAACATCCAAAAGATCAGCGGCACTCTCGGGTCGAGGACAGATTTTCTGGCCATCATCTCTCATGTATGGTATGAAGTCATTCAGCAGTCTTGCTTCCAGATTACCGTCCTTAGTTCTTAGCACTTTTTTCAACGGCTGTCACTCAGGAACTTCGAACGCCCCTCAATGGAGTCATAGGCATTATCGATCTTATGCAGTCTGAGAAGATGACCGAAGACCAGCGCCTTTACATAAAGACACTAGAGGACTCGTGTTCGCGTCTCTTATCGTTAGTCAACCGACTTCAGGACCTGGCCGCTTTACAGGGCGAAACTTCCCTTGTGAACATCATGGCGTTCGATCTAGTGGCCATCATTACCGGCGTCGCAGAATCGATGCAACATTTCAGCACGCAGACGGGCAAGGGCACCCAAGTGACGCTCGATTTAGATCCCCGACTGCCTCTCTCCGTCAACGGCGACCTCACAAAAGTTCAGCAAGTGTTGAGTAATCTCGTGGCAATCGCAGCCACCGCAAGCGCCGAGAAACTGGCATTTGTAAAAGCGGTACTGGAATCAAGTGACGGACCGCAAGTCGTCATACATATCAGTATCCGAGGTGAAAAGATCGACATGCCGGCGGACGTGCTGCAGGGCTTCGGTCTCACCTTCTCCTACGAAGACATTCTACGGCCGCTAACAGCGAACAACTTGTCTCAAGGAATCGTCATCAGCCGCGAATTCCTTCACCTTCTGGGAAGCACGTTAGAAATCGCGCAGGAGGAGGACCACTCGCTGACATTCTCCTTTCGTTTGAAACTTACTTGCAATCCGGAAAATTGGAAAGGCAAGGACTCTCAGTCGAACTACGGCGAAATCAAGGCAGACCTGTCCGATGTTCATGTTTTGGTGGTTGAGGATAACTTCGTAAATCAACAAATCGCTAAGAAAATGTTACATAAACTTGGGATCGAGGCCGACGTAGCAGACGACGGTAAACAAGCCCTTGATCGGCTGGAGAACAAGGCATATGATATGATTTTTATGGTAAGAGTTGACTCTCCTTTTTTCCCGGTCGCTCTTTTACTCACTTTAGACCAACACTTGCATCAGGATTGCGATATGCCCATCATGGACGGGTATGACTGCACAACCCACATACGCAACAAACTGAACAACCATTCGATCAAGATCATCGCGTTGACCGCGAATAGCACAAACAACGCCAAGCAACGCTGCACATCTGTCGGGATGAACGATTTCTTCACGAAGCCGATAACGCTCAAAACGCTGTCGGAAATGCTGCATAAATGGCTGCCTACGACGGTGAATCTGGGGGCAAAGGAGAGCACAAGGTTGTAGGCTCGTTACTACCGTAGTGATGGTATCTCTAGGGGGTGCAAAGAGCTGATGGTGTCTCTAGGTGCGCATAGCTGGAATTAGTCCCGGGCGAATACTCGTAGCTGACAAAATTGTGTACAATCTTGACGATACGGCGAACTACATATAAAGCCTGCTGGCGGGGTGCAATAGTTTTCTTTATCTGGCTAGGCTCTACTCGTATGCAAAGTGCTGAATTGATGTGGGCTTTCCAGTGGACATGTTGAGACAGCGGCAGGTGAACCCGTGGCGCGTGCTTCCGCCCTGGCAGTTTGCGAAGCTTTCCCACCCACCAACAAACTGTATATGTACAGCAACTGACCCACATCAGTAAACCAAGCCTCGCCATAAGTTGGATCGGTTCCCTCCTTCCCGTCCCACCTCTCAACCACCTCGGTATAATTAGCTTCATAATGCACTTTAGGAGAGAGCTCTATGGGTAGAGTTGCCCACTCCGCTGGTGAATTGATTTCCCAGTGACCGTCGACAGCAGCTTCCCCAATGCCCGCCAACAACGCAGCAGCAAACGCACCATGCCTCCCTATCGAGCTCATAGACACTGTCCTGCTCTGCCTCGCTGACCCTCGCCACGCCGCGAAGGTCGCTTTATCCTTCAACCTTCGGCACGGCGCGCGCCACATCATCCCGCACATCGATTCCCTCCGCGAAAACTGGGGCGCACGCTCGTTGGAATAATTTCGCTGGCTCTTAAAAAGCACAAAGTGGATCCGACCAATCGCAACGAGGCGCTGACGATATCACCGACCGCCGCCTGGATAGGCGACAAAGACATATTGCGCTTCTTTCATCTTGCGGGGTTGGTTCCCGTCGGCCACCCAGACGCGGTCGTGGCTATCCACTTGGCGGCTATCTATGAACACTGGCCGTTGGTGCAATGCTTTACGAGCATCGAAGCGAGGGGCACAATTCGCTAGCCCGAGCCCACCCCGCCGCTGGGTCTGCCCTTAAAGATTGAATCAAAAGTTGTGAGCGGAGCTGGTGGAGAAAGGTGGAAAGAATTGTTCGCTCAGATCGGCCGGGATGGGTGGGGCTGGAACTCATGGACATTGCGGCCTACCACGGCAACTTTGCGCTCCTGCGATGGCTACCCGACAAGGGTTGCGAGAGTTGCTCGACCGCGGCTATGGACTTCGCGGCATACCACAACGAGTCTCAAATGGTGCGCTGGCTCCATGAGAATCGACGCGAAGGCTCTACCGCGGCAGCGGACTGGGCGGTCTGGCATGGGAGCATGTCGATGCTGGAATGGCATATGGACAGTCGAGTTGGGGGGGTGCTCGATGTGGGCTTTCCGGAACGCTGCGATGCGAGAGGACTTGGACTTGCTTCGGTGGCTGCACGCTGACCCAGAGAACTTCGTGCGCTCGCGGCTCAACTATTCATACGGGTTGAATTACACCCCGGATGAGATGGCTATGGCAGCAATTTACCCTGCAGCTAAAGCGGGCCACATCCATGTTGTCGACTGAATCCTCATGGAATTCCCTGAAATCGACAGTTGTCAAGTACACATATGGCATAGCTAAGGGAAGTGGGCATAAGGACGTGGCCCGTCTTTTGTACGAACATGGGTTATGTGGGCGCGTCGTGGATCTTGCGGGTGAACTGCTCGAGCCTGACCCTTTAGTGATGATAATCACGGAGCGTCCCGCAATCGAATGGATCGAGCTTGACGGCACCAAACGGGAGAGGAAGCGCAAGAATAAATGTAGCAGGAGTCGGACATTGCGAGGTCTATAGACATATTGCAAAGACAATCAAAGCAGCCATTTTTGATGTCATTGGCTGTTCCTGCTCAATATAATCACGGCCGCCATCAGCCATGTCTTTCCCCACCCATTTCCTCTAAGAGATATTCGGCGTTTGACCAGACCGAGTAAAGCGGCGCAATGTTGCACGTGGACCCATCGGAAAACGGTTCTGGAATTGAGGGCTTGACACCGGCGAAGACGCGACAATGTAGCACTGCGGTGTGCGACCTTCATCCAACAGGGCTTACGCACTCCGATGCGCCCAGGAAGGAAAGAAGGAGGAGCGCAACTTTCGACTGTAAACGGGGCGGATTCCTTGGCACAAATCTGGAAAGGTTGGTGGTAGCCGCCGATGGTTCGTTCGCTCACTGACAGCACTGACAGTATGACCGCAGCTTATGTCATCCCACGAAGCCTTAAATTACGCGAAAGTTCTTGGCGTCGAACCGTCACGCCCACTTTGGAATTCTTCGCCCGATTTGACAGGCAAATAACGCGTTCATGGACGCCCCAACCACGCGTTCACGGTTCACCCCCACAGATGTCAGAGAAAATCATCCCCTCCAAGAAATGCGCCGACCGGCTCCCCAGCACTTCATGTCCTCGTTCTTCTCTCCTCGCCGTCGGTTTGGGCTTCCTCAGCAGCCGCCAACCGCCAGCCGAACTCCTCCCTACCTTCGTCTTCGACATCACATAGGGCATAACTCCATCCAGCCTACTTTTCAATACAAACCATGGGCAGGATGAGCAACGGATTCAACACCCTCCTCCTCACTTTCATCGCCTCGGAAACCATCCGCGCATGTCTCCTCTCCAATGCCGTCCGAAGCGGGTGTATCATACCGCCCCTCGACATCGTATTCCTGTCCGAACTGCTCAAGTTCGCCGTGTCATGGCTGATGCTGGCCGTCGCGGGTCCCTCCCCACCTCTCAGTCGCACCTCCCCTATCCGGAAGGACCGTGCGACGACGAAAGTGACAGGTTGGCTCCACCACGCGCAGGACAGCCCGCATATTGCGTGTGCAGTGCCGGCGCTTCTCTACTTTATCTACAACGCACTGTATATGTTCGGATTGAAGCAAACCACGCCGTCGTCACTGCACTTTGCCCTCGTGGCGAAGATACCATTTACGGCCCTGCTGCATCATTTGTTGATTCGACGAGTGCAGAAGGTCAATGCAGCCCAACGGTGGTTCGCCCTTTTCGGGATTTTCGCTGGAATGGCTCTCTTTGAGCTCACAGGCCGGCATGACAGGGCGGACGACAGCACGGACTGGATCGTGAAGTTTTTCGGGTTGGTTATTGGCCTACTCATCTCGCTCATGTCCGGGTTCACCTCGATATACACGGAGCTGATGTTGAAGGGCAATACGATGTCTTTCTGGCAAACCCAGTTCTGGTTGTACGGGTGGGGATCGCTGTTCGGCCTGATTGCCACCGTCGCGTACTGGTGGTCTTCGGAGGAGCCCATTTCGCTTCTGGGCGGTTCATCGCTTCTGCCGACGGGTTCAGTCGTCATCGCCACAGCCCTTACTGGTCTTTTGGTTGCTACGATTCTTCGCCAGCAGAACAATCTTGTCAAACTCGTCGGAAATTCGAGTGCGACGATCTTCATTTTCATCGCTCAAGCTGCCATTTTGCGCGACGGCCAGGCGCTGTTCACCCCGATAGCTGTGATCTGTCTCACCATCATGTCCATAAGCATATTCGTGTTCAACCGCAGCTTAGGCGAACACTCGTATGAGCTGCTCGGCGAACACAAAGGTCACACCCCCACCGGCTGGGGTCGTAGTCTCTGGTCAACGCTGTACAGCAAGACCGGCCTTCGGTATGTCGGCGCCTTCGTCGCAGGGTCCTTATCTCTAACTCTCCTGTGCCTCACGCTCAGAGAGTCGCCCGTACAGGCTCTCGCACGGACAGAACGTCTCAGAGATACTCCCATGAGAGACTGGACTGCGAAGCTGGTCGCAAAATACCGCCTGAACGAGGCGTGGGGCACATGCGACGGAATGAATCAAACGACGGAAATTCAACCGATCTTCTTCCCGTCTGTATGGTACTCGAACACCGTTCCCAACTACCTCTACGAATTCGTCGGCAGCGTGCGTGCGAATCCCCATATCAACCTCCTCCTACTCGGCGCGGACGTCAAGGGCGATCAATGCTTGGGATTGCGGAAACTGACAGCCGAACACAACAACACAAACATCCGTCTCATCTGTCTCCCGCCACCGACGATGATGTGGCTTTTTGCCGACGGGCTCTGTTCCGAATGGAAGTGTTCGGAATCGGAACTGGTGACCACATTCGAGACGGTCCAAGCCCTCATCGAAATAAAACCGTACCTCTTCGTGGATCTGAAGCCGATGATGGGCTCGGTGTGGCAGCGGTTGGTAAATTGCAGCTCGCATTGGGCTTTCGGGGATATGGACATCGTTCATGGGAACCATGCCGATATGTTCCCGTGGAAAGCGCTGAAACAGTTTGATGTTATGAGCTTCTCGTTTGGAGATGCGGATCGGGTGTATACGCGTGGACAGTACACAGTAGTGAAGAATGATCCGAAGGTCATGGGATTCTGGACGAGGATTCCCGAAGTCGGGAATGCCGCCAACTTCTCCGCGTCGTACGGCGAGATGGTCAAACAGAAGAAGGTCTGGCAGCTGGTCACGGACGAAGGCTCCTTCTCTCATCTGCTCGTCACCGGCGACGAACTCACATGGGCGATCATGGTTCTATTCGAAGCCCCGGAATGGAGCGTAATGAAAGGCGAACCCCGGAGCCAATTCCTTATTACGCGCGACTTGGAGAGCAAGTACGAGGTGATGCAGGTCAACTACGACGCAGCGGTGTACAACGACTCGATGCGTGCCGCCGCCGAGCTCGCCAAAGTGCGATCCGCGTTCGACAAGCAGCCGACGCTAACGGATTTCTTTGGGGAGCTTTCCGAAGCCGACGGGCATCAGATCTACCCGATAGAACTTGGCCATTTGCCCCACGACGAATGCGAGGCGATGGGATGGATCGAGCCAAAGTACCGCACCTGCTTCCGAACACTGTGGAACCACGAGGGTCGCCGCGCACAGTCAAATCCTGTTCTGATGCGCCGGCCGAATCACACATCCGTGGAAATAATGTGGTTTGGACCTCAGGGGCGGGAAGTGACACTGGATTGGGACGGGAATGTATCGTTGGGATGGGATCCGTTAGCGATCCGTGCCACCCGCCATTTGTTCGCGCATTTCCAGATTTGGAAGCGCGAGCCCGGGTGGGCGGCCCGTCCTCTTGCGTTGGGTGAGACACTGCGGATTACGAAGGACGCCGCGGATGTTCCGAAATTCGAGTATGTCCCGTCCAGTAATCGACTATAAGAGGGGACGCGACTCATTTTCGCGATGGGACGGCGTAAATGCGGTTGAGTAGAGAAACGGAGGCGGCGATAGTCATAGGTCATAGGTCGCTGCATTGACGGCGTATTCATAGGTTTGTGTACACTTCACAAAGCGTATCAGCTATAATACTGTAAATAGTTTCTGCGCGCTAAGACGTACAGTATAAGCAAATACTCATCCCATACGTTCCATACCTCGCCTACGGAACCTGCGACCGGGGGTAGGCGACTGCTTCGCCTGTATCAACACAGCAGAGGGGTGTGGCCCGTAGCAAGCAATCGCCTCCTGGGCGTCTACGCCACCCACGACGGGACTACGTACATCACACAATATGATACGATATGAGACTTCCTTTACTCAATGGGATACGACGAGAGGGTTGGGATTCGGAGCGAAAGCTGGCAATTATATGAACGATTTCACCCTGCCTGATTGATGCATGTCGGGCCGCCTCTGATTTCCCCCCCTCACATCGATAGAGCCGTGATGAGAAGTAGAGAACTCGGGATAGATGCATAGATTTTTGTTATCCATTTACGTGATAGCTTTATGTTTTCTAGAGATGATGTTTTCTAGAGATGGTTTTTGTCCCATGTCTGTGTGCGAGTTCCTGCATGTGATGGCGATCATCACGCGCCGGTCCAAATCCAAACACTCTCCGTCTGCCCCCCCAGGACATCATCTCAACTCATCTTGGCCCCCCTCCCAACCCACATTTACCCTCTTATCCATCTCTCTCAGCTCTCCGGGTCCCGCAGCCCATTTGCTCCCTGACGCAAGAACCGCAACGCACAAGATGGCACTAGAAGAGGACACCTCCGCCCTCGAGCTTCGCTTCGCAAAGGCCCTGTCTGTGCTAGAGCAGATCGGGCAAGAAGACCTGGGAATGGTGCCTTCGAACGACGAGAAGCTTCAACTCTATGGGCTCTACAAGCAGGCGACCGTGGGGCCGGTGTCGACGCCGAGGCCGGGGATATTTGATTTGGTGGTGAGTGTCGGCGGAGAATAAGGACGGGAACTATTGAGCTTGGGAAGCGGAAGAATGCTGGAGGGTCTGTCTGGCGACTTCCGGCCGGTGCGAGGCCGAGCCGAAGGCACCCTGCTGGCAAACCTGTCGAGCAACAGCGGCATTGCGCAAGGCGCGCGAGATTATCATCCCTCGCCCTGCCTTGCGGAAAGCAGGATTTGGTCCAACGGGCCTGTGCTAACGTGTATGTCTTTGACTCTCCCTTTATTTAGGGCAGATCAAAGTGGGATGCATGGAAGAAGCAATATCATCTGAGTCCCATCCAAGCCAAAGAGGCTTATGTTACAGTCGTGGCTGACGTGAGTTCGTAGCTAGCTTTCTTGCCTGGACAACGCTTAATAGTCGCTCAAGATCAGTGTCCCTCTCCACTTGTTCCAGTTCTTGAGGAAATTTCCAGACAGACCACTGGGAGCCGAGGTCATCGAGTACTTTGAACTCTCCCGTGCCGGCTTGGCCCCACCGTATGATTCCGACGACGGTGAGACTGCAGAGTTGATCTCCATTCCGACCAGTGATTCCAGGAGCACCGTTGACATGACCTCTTCAATCCCAACACCGGCATTCCCATTTCAATCTTCTGATCCAACAAATCACCCGCTCCTCCCATCTGAACTCTACCCCACACGCTACCCATTACACCCTACCTCATCATCATCAACGCCCAAACTCTCATCGTCGACTTCAACACCAACATCCACCTCATCCTCACTACGGTCCTTTTTACGTTTTTGGACGAATGCAGAACACAGCGATCGAGGGCTGGATGACGTGGAAGTGCCTGTGGATGTGCACTTCCCTGAGTCGGATCACCATTCGGACGATAACTTGATTGGCTCCCCTCCACGCGGGTTCGATGGGGACGATCGCCATCACCCACATCCCTTTCACCCACATCCGGGAACCGCGGACTTCCTCTCAGCCTCTCCACCAACTATCACACCGCTACCATCTCTTTCTTCTTCGGCTGGACCAATCCAACAGCAGCAGCTTCCATCGAACCCCCGTCAACAAGCCCCAACGGAACCCCGGCCCAGCGACGACCTTACATCCACATCGCGCACCCCGATAGTAAACGACCTAATCGAACGCGTCCGCGCCCTCGAAGTCGAACTCTCAACCATGCACAGCGATCTGACAACCCAACGGAACCACATTCACACCGTCCTCCGGCGCCAAGGCCGTCCCGGCGTGGTGCGGGCCATCATCCGCACGGTCCTGAAATTGGTCGCGTCGACGTGCTGGAACCTCATCTGTGCGTTTGCGGCGTTGTGGGTGTTTGGGTACCGCCCGACGGCGCAGAGCAAGTTTGTGGAGTGGCTGATTTGGATGGTTATGAAGAGGAATCAGATAAATGGCGCCTTGCTGGATTAGCTTTTAGGAGGAATGTGTGGGAAATCAGGCCTTCATCCCATCGGCGCCCGGGGTTCGGTCGTGCCATTGCACTCGGGGATTCAGTGGAAGTCGAGGAAACCCAGCATCCGTCAGGTCGAGGCACAGGAATGCTGCGCGCAGGATTTCTGTGCGCAGGGGCCGGGACAACACAACGCGTACTTCGGTACATCCTTTCCCTTGATTGTTTCGGCCAGCCCTTAGTCTAATCCCCATGCCCTAATCGTAGTCTCCCGCTATGTATGTTCCCCACTGCTCGTACTCTCCTTCTAAGAAGCGCCCACCTTTGTACAGCCTATGTAGACTCGTCTGTATCTGCCCATGCCCTGCCAACACCTGTATCATAACTCCTGGCGGGCATATCATCGATTGCGCGATTAGCCGTGCAAATGCGTAAAATGTACACATAGTTTCACCAGTGTCGATCGTGCGTTCAAATGTGCAACAGTCTTGAAATGAATGAAATGAACCAGAAAGAGTCATTTCGCCCCCTCGCTCCTCAATAAAGGGCAGGGCGATACATATGCCGAAACTACCCCAAGGCACCGATGTCGTCTCCGACCACTATACAACCCGAATCTACGTCGCTACATAAAAATGGTTATAAATGAACTAAAGAAAAGAAACTAAGTAGCGTTGTCGTGGGAAGGGCCCGATGCCTCCGACGGGCCACTCACACAAAAACAGCCTCCGATCCAACCGCCGCCCACGATCTAAACGTCATTGGGCGGAGCTCGCCTACCCTTCCGCATCTGGCTTCTGTACGGATACCCGATTTGAAGGGTATGATAAGTGGCTGCCACAGATGTGTGAAAACGTTTCATATTGCCTGAAGCTTCTCGAGGCTGTTTCCGTAAAGCTTTGACGGGTTTTTTTTGACAGTGGCAACACTGGCCAAGGAAATCAAACGTCGCCGAGGTGCCATACATATTCTGAAGTCACCCTAAGGTTATGCTATTTATGCAATTTATGCCACTACATGATCAGCCTACAAAGTACGCCAATGAAGCACAGCAATCCAGCGCTATGCTAAAAAAAACCCTCCTACAGTGTCCGCTCTCAAACCCGGAAATCATGTCGCTCAACATACGAGGCAATAAAGCCCTCCAAAGTGGCCGGGTAATCCTTGAACTGCGCCTTGCCGTGCTCATCCACATACGTGTTGCCCTGGACAAACACTTTCCTGGGCTGCTTGTTCGCCAGCGCAATCTCACGGTACTTTGTCCATTCGTCGCTGACGGAGGTCGCGTCGACGTAGAACGCGACTCCGTGCTCGGCGTCGGCGGTCGCTTTGTACACGTTGAGCTTTTGCAGGAACTCGCCGACGGCTTTGTAGCCGACCGTCTTGATTTGCGAGCGGTCCAGCTGGATCGTGATGGTGTCGCCGGAGGGGGATGGGACGACTTTTGTGAACCCGGCTTTGAGGAACACGTTGAGGAGGGCGAAGCGCGCTTGCATGTGCGCTTGACCCCACTTCTTGGACTTGGGGTCGTAGAACTCCAAAGCCATCAGTCCGGCGCGCGCCATGTGGAGGTACATGACGTACAAAATATCCTCGAACTGCTGATCGGTGTTGCCGAAGATGGATTGGATTTCCTAGAACAACGTGCAATTGGTGGCGATAAAATGTTTAGTCCGAAAAAACCAGTTAAATACAATCGTCCCATTCAAGAGTAAATCCTTACCTTGTCCACCCCAAGGTACATGGCGACAGCTTCGGCGCGGCACTCTTCGTAGCTGGCGGCGGTTGACTTGAACACGGAGCCCCAGGTCTCGCCAGGCTTGTACCAGGTGGTGATGGGCTTTCCGGTCAATGGCGAGATTGGAGGGTTCTTGTGGTCGAAGTTGAACTTGCCAGCTGATTCTTCTTGGAGCAGCTTCCCGCTTCCGTGACCTAAAGTATCGCAACCAGTCGCTCAGAATCTCCGGAAACCCAGCCAACGGTCTACTCAAACGAGACCTACCGAGAAGCTCGTGCAAACCGACTTGAACTTCGAAAGCCGGCCCACTGTACTTCTTGTAAAGCACAGCGTCCTCGTCGCTGATGAAGGTGATTTTCTCATTGGGCGCCTTCGCCGACAACACATTTCCGAGCGAAACATTCTTGAAGCCTTCGTTCATGCGGATGTCGTTATACTAGAAAAAAGGAAAATCCGTCAGATACCTATTGTATAATCCATACTGAAGGAGCCATCGGCTTCGGCTTACGTTGGGGATGTTGATTCCAGCGGGGCAACCACCAGGCGTAGCGAAGGAAACGACCTCGAGACTGGTAAAGTCCGGCTTGATGAATTTGTCAACCTCAAAGTCGGTAGGCCACGGCAGACGTTTCACAAATTGCTCAGCGGAGTTGACAAGATGGTCAAACTTCTCAGTCTGCTCCTTGTTGACGACAGCGACAAAGCCTTCCCATTCCGCGCGAATACCAGCGGGGTCCTTGTAGGTCTCGATGAAACCGATGTTGCTCTCAACGATGGGACCGACATCGCGAATCCAGTGGCGCTGTGATTCCCTGTGAGCCTCAATGGATCCGGTACGGAAGGACTCCGCGTATTTCTCGAGCATCTTCTTTTGATGCTCATTTGCGGCGTAAGGGATAGCCTTGGTGATGTTCTCGGCGATGGAGGCCATTGCTTTCGAAAAGTCCCCATAGACAACCTTCACTTCGAGGCCGTCATCTCCCTTCAGGATCTTTTCGGAGGACGCACCCTCGGCAGATGCCACGTACAGGGTGTACGATTTGTCGTGCTCGTTGACCAATCGAGTGTTGAGAGCGGAAATCTCGTGCTTTTCCAGAAGAGCTTGAACTGCCTGCACCTCAGACTTGCCGATCTTCGAACTGCACAAATAGGATTGGCGTTAAGATCTACACAGAGCGGTAGAATGCGAGTTAACTGATAGGAACTTTTGCCTCAGCCTACCTGTAGTAACCAGAAACATGGCCCTCCGCCGGGAATCCGATCAACAGGCATTCGCTGGGCTCAGACTTATAAATGTCGCCACGAACTTTGTTGAACAGGGCAGTGGCAGCGGACGATCCAGCCGCGGTAACAATCTTCTCGAACTCGGCTTCCGGAAGACGAGGGAAGAACTTTGTGTCTCCAAACGACTTGAAGTTGGAAAGGTTGTAGAGCACCTGCACAGCGTACTCGACAAAGTACTTCCAGCTCTCCTCCGACACGCCGGCGGCGGATTTGAAAGCGGAGATATCCCGAGTGACGTTGGTGTTCTTGCTGTCCTGGAAGAGGGTGACGAAGAGCAGATACAGGTCTGTGGAATGCTCCGATAGCGTCCTGGTGAGAATGGGTGTGCCGGCCCAAGATGCCTTTGCGAGGTAGTGCGTGTAGAGCTTTTCTTTATCGGAAAGAGTTTCGAAGTGTTGCTTTGCCTCCAGACGGCAGATGGGAGCGTCGGTGTCAGCTAGGTATTGGTGAGGTGGTGCCATGATGGTAGTGTGAGATCGAGTGAAGAATGAGGTGATCTTCAGTTTTTCGAGAGGAGTGACAGGAGCAGCAGGTGTGAAGAAGACGTTCCTTCGTGCGGACGAGTTCAGACGGAGTAGCTGGGACAGCGGCGACGAGGATGGCAGCAGCCGCCTGTGATACATGTACTGCTGGTTGAGTGGGCAAGCCGCAAGCTCTTGAGTTGACGGCCTAAAAGACAAGTCCACGACGAGCCACGACGCAGGGAGAGGAGATCGTCACGCACAATTCCCGCTAGCAACACCGCAAACGGGACAACCGTGTTTCCAGTGACCACCAGGCCCGCTTCCTATTTGTTGCGCAATCCATACACCAGAACTTATGAAAAAACGGCGGCGTCCTAAGATCATCTGCGAGAAGATCTTCGTTGGAAAATCCGTACATACTCTACGGTAAGACCAGCAGCGCCCGGTACTGCCGTCAATCCCGGGATGACCGCCGTTATTTGGTGGGCCGGCCGACCTCGAAGTCACCGACTGCGTCCCATTAAAGCATTCACCGCCCGGAGACCGTTTGGCAGGTGCGACAAGGAAGACTGTTGAACAAGACCTATGTGGATCTCCTCTGAGGACTGTTAGGAGAGGCGGATTGAACATGCTTCATGATTCTTGCACTCTCCGTGCAGCAGCGGCTGCAGCGCCTTCTGCGGGTATATGAGCTCGTCGCGATGCTCGTGCCATTGTAAACTTGGCGCCAATTAGCAGGTAGAAGCGACGAAATGGCGCTCACGTTGCTGTTGCCTTTCCGCAAAGTAGGGGCGGCAATGGCTTGACATGGTTTGACTTGGCTTGACTAGACACCGTAGCCAGACCACCGGGTGGTCAAGAGGGTGGTGATCAAACCAAGTCATGGCCAGCCCCGGCTAGCCATTGGTTAACCATGGTCAAGCTTACATAAGAATGTGACAGTGTCTTTTGCCAGATTTACATACAATGGGCATGTCCTCATCCCTAACCCTAAACCTAACCCTGCCAAATCATCGCAGTCATCCCAGTAATCTTGGTTAACCGGTTAACCGGTGGTCAAGCCATGACTTGCCACTTTGTAGCCAAGTCGACTGATGGCTTCCTACTTTGCTAGCCAAACCGTAGCCTAGTCAGACCGCGCCATGGCTTGACCACGGTTAACCTGACCATCTGCCGCCCCTACCGCAAAGTACTGTATACGTACTGTACTGGCTTCGTAGTGCTCACTCGCTGGATGGAGACGCTTCCCACAGACGATATATGCAGATGACCTTTGGCATTTAGCAAGAACGCGTCAATAAATCGCAAGTGTCACGTGACTTGCGTTTCCACCTCCTTCTCGTCCTGGCCCCAGCAGCATTTGGCATTTTGCTTATTGAGAGCATGGTCCACCCACCCACTCTCAGCTGGTATACCGACCCTTCGCCCAGCTCTCGCAATACTTCGACGAACTCCAGGGATACAGGGATACACCAAAGAGTTGAATACTACAGTCGCCACAATGGCTCCCGCAGTGGCCTCTTCCTCTACCCCCGCCGCCCAGCATGTGGGAAAGAGGTCAAAGAAGGGGAAGAAGTCCGCTGCTCCAAAACCTATCGATAAAAAGAAGTTGAAGCGAGACGCCGAAGAAAAGGAACTCAAGTCCTTGGAGGAGAGAACGACTGACCCCGTGAGTCTCATTTTCGCTCTACCTGCCGTCTTTTCGAACAATTCACAAGAAGAACCACTCACACCTTTGTGACTTCCAGTCTATCTACGTCCGCGACGAAAGTATCACGAAATTCTCACAGCTTCCCCTCTCCTCGAAAACCGCCGAAGGCCTCAACAAAGCGAACTTTGTGGAAATGACAGAAGTCCAACGGGGCACCTTACCCCATTCTCTCTGCGGGCGGGACGTTCTCGGTGCCGCGAAAACAGGTTCCGGCAAAACGCTCGCCTTCCTCATCCCAATCCTCGAATCACTGCACCGCGCGAAATGGACTCAGATGGACGGTGTGGGTGCGCTCGTGATATCACCCACCCGCGAATTGGCGTTGCAGATCTTTGAGGTGTTGAAGAAGATTGGCAAGAATCACACGTACTCTGCGGGTCTGCTGATTGGTGGGAAGGACCTGAAGAGCGAGCAGGATCGTGTCAACAAGATGAATATTCTGGTCTGCACGCCGGGGAGGTTGTTGCAGCATATGGATCAAACGCCCGACTTTAGCTGCGATAATTTAAGGGTGCTGGTTTTGGATGAGGCGGACAGGGTGTTGGATATGGGGTTTGAGAGGACGCTGAATGCGATTGTAGCGAATTTGCCGAAGGATAGGCAGACACTTCTCTTCTCGGCAACGCAAACAAAGAGTGTGAGAGATTTGGCGAGACTGAGTTTGAAGGTGGGTTCTCGCCGTGCCTGCTTACCGAAACTATGCCCGGAAAATACGGACCTCATACAGAGCTGTGTTGACTTTTCGTATTTCAGGATCCCGAGTACGTCTCCGTCCATGAGCAGGCGGAATCCGCGACACCGAAGCAACTAGTCCAAAAATACCTCGTCTGCAACCTCCCAGACAAGCTCGACATCCTCTTCTCCTTCCTCAAATCGCACCTCAAATCCAAAATCATAGTCTTCGTCTCCAGCTGCAAACAAGTCCGCTTCGTCCACGAAACCTTCTGCAAAATGCAACCGGGAATAGTCCTCAACTGTCTGCACGGCAAACAAAAACAAGCGAAACGAATGGCCATCTTTGAGCAGTTCTGCCGGAAAAAGGCCATCTGCCTTATCGCCACCGATATTGCTGCTCGCGGACTAGATTTCCCCGCCGTAGACTGGGTCATCCAACTCGACTGCCCCGAAGACGCGGCTACATATATCCACCGTGTGGGTCGAACAGCGCGATACGAGTCGGAAGGCAACGGACTGCTTTTCCTATTGCCCTCGGAAGAAAAGGGGATGGTGGCGGCGTTGGAGCAGAAGAAGGTGCCGATTCAGAGGATCAGGGTTAACCCGTCGAAAACCACGAGTGTGGTGAAGCAGTTACAGGCGTATTGCTCGCAGAGTCCGGAGATGAAGTATCTCGCCCAGAAGGCGTTTATCAGTTACATGCGGAGTGTGCATTTGCAGAGTGATAAGGCGATTTTTGATGTGAATGCGTTGCCGGCGGAAGCGTACGCGGAGAGTTTGGGACTGCCGGGAGCGCCGAAAATCAAATTCGTCAAGGTGGGTTTCGGTACATGATGGTGATTGCGGGATGGTGATTGCGGGATGTAGCCTGGCGCGGGTCGCTGACTATCGAGAAATCTTGCAGAAATCGGAAAAGAAGAACGCCTCGAGGCAGATGGAGAGCATGGACGATGCAGCAGCGACGAAAGCCGCTTCGGATGACGACGAGGACGACGTTAAGAAGGTAACACGGTGCATCTCGACGCCATGAGCTGCCAAGGGATGGCACAACTGATGCATTCAACTCTACAGCAAACGAAAGTCCGCACGAAAGTCGACAAGATGTTCGACAAGAAGAACCTCACCATCATGTCCGATCACTACGCCAAACTCGTCGCCGACGATTCGGCATCTGACGATGCCAGTGACTCCGACTCCGGTTCATCCGCCTCTGACTCTGAACCCGCGCCAGCCCCCTCCACATCCCTACTCTCCCTCCCCACGGACGACACCGACGACCTTCTCACCCTCGCCCGAGCCAACCACGACATCGACGACACCCCCGAACCCTCGCTCCCACCCACCACAGCGCCCACGCACCGCCAAATCCTCAAACTTAAAGAAAAAGAAATCAAACAACGTGGCCTGGGCAAGAAGTTGTACTTTGACGAGGACGGAAACCCAATCCATGCGTTCAAGTTGGAGACGCTCGATGAGTTCATTGAGAAGGGCGATATTGAGAGGAGGCAGAAGGAGTATGTTGAGGAGGCCGGTGGGGCTGTTAAGGCGGCGGATGTGGTGGATAAGGAGGAGGAGAGGCGGAAGAGGAGGGAGAAGAAGAGGGAGAAGAAGTTGAAGGAGAGGCAGGCGAGGCAGGAGGTTGGTGTCGCTGGTCACTTTTGTCCTACTTATTGAAATGCTTTACTAACCATCATCTAATCGTTAGGAATCCGGAGCAGCAACAATAGCAGGAGGCGACTACGACTCGGACGACCTCCAATCCGTCCAATCCCACTACTCCTCCTACGACGAGAACGCACCCAGCGAAGAAAACGACGACTCCGTCTCTGACGCCGATTCCAACTCCGACAACGACGATGAGGCCATGGAAATCGACCTGAACGAGGACTCGGACTTTGGTGGCGCTGATGATAGCGACGACGAGGAGGAGGAGGTTGTGGTACCGAGTGGGAAGCGGAAACGGGCAGAAAAGAGCCTGCCGGAACCGCAGCAGCCAGAGCGGAAGGCGTCAAGCGCGAAGAAGCGTAGGACGAGGCTGGAGGGTGCGGATGGGGAGTCTTTGGAGGAGATTGCGTTGAGGTTGCTTGAGACGTAAGGATGGGAAATACGGGAGGGTAGATAGACAGCGTGCCACTGTTCGGGGGCATTCGGGGGCGAAGAACAAGAACACAGAATCAGATTATCATTATATTATACGTAGCAGCATTCATTTTGTAAATAGTATCACATCTTTCATGGCAAGTATTTATGTGACAGGTGAAACATACATAGACGCTCGAAAACTGGAGCTCTGCGACGGTGATTCAAATTGTGCGACTCCTCCGAAAACACCCGCAACATATAGCGCTCAACCAGAATGTAGGAGAAAAGCCAACTCCGTCATGATGCAAGATACAGTAAAATATATTCATGAAAGAAAAAAGTCTCTCGCGGCAACAGACGGCGCACTATGCTGGCGCCCTCCCCCAAAAATGTAATACCGCAACCGTTCGTCTTTACAAAATCGCGGCTGATCTAGGTTCGCACGGCCTTCGTATTGCCGCCCGACCTCCATGTGTATCGCCGACCCATCAAATAACTCCCGCCAAGTCTCGCCGCCGCCCTATACCTTCCTCCCCACCACCCGCAACCTACCCCCCAACCTCAATAAGTATAACACTCCCCCCTCTAACGCCCTCCCTCTCCTCCTCCGCCAACAAAAACAATTTCTCGCCTTTACACACCAACAGCCCCAACGACCGGATCTTGTCCCGCTTCGTCTCGAACACGTGCACGATCTTGCCGGTGTCGCTGTTGATCACGTCGACCACGTCCGTGGAGCCCGCGACGAGGTAGTCGGTGCCGAGGGCGTCTGGGGGGCGACGGGGGGTTAGTATTAAGGAGAAGGGGGGAGCGGTGGGGACGCCAACGCACCTGCGAACGTCATCGGACTCCGCCACGTAAGCGTCCGGTTCTCTTTGATGTTGAGGTGCAGTTTGGTCATGATCCCCATATCTGCCGGTATCCCAAAAAAAAGCCCCATCAGTATCCATCCCTCACGTCTAGAACCCCGCAAAGAACAACTCACGCTCGTAACAAAGCACAAAAAGCCCCTCGTAAAGCACGCCGCGAACCGGTTTCCCCAATTTATCCTCCGACACGCCGGGGACGACGATTTCCTCCACGGTGACTGTTTGCAGGTCGACGACCTTGAAGCGGGTGGATGTGCCGGCGTAGAGGCGCAGTTCGTTGGTGGGGGATTCGGTGATGTCGAGGGAGGTGACTTTGAAGTCCACCATGATTTCCTAAGTGGGAGAGGGGGAGTGAGTGTGATGCACGACGGATGATGCGTCGCAGGAGAGGGCACGGATCTTTGTGGTGGGGTCCGATTTTTCTTACCTTCATTTTCATGAAGCGGTTTAGAGGATGCGGCGCCCATTTCATCACTAATAGCGACTTGGGCGTCGCGACGCAGAGGTAGATCGAGGTCTTTATCCTGGCTGTAGGTGCAGGCGTTAGTGTATGCCGTGCTGCAGGGCTGGCCGCGCGTTGATGGACCGCTCCGTTGAAGCGGGTGGGATCGCTATCCCCGTCCGTAGCGTGACGGCGTCCAATCTCCTCCGCGCACTCTTCTTCCAGGGGTATGTCTATCTCCATCGTAAACCGCCAACAATCCACCGCACCGCTTGATGCCCACCGCCCCAGCAGATCAAGTGTATCCGCATCCTAGCAAACACACCTCCCACCCCGCCAACCCTGCATCCCAAATCCAATCCCCTTGCCCCTCTCCCCCCTCTCCACCTTCGGCCGCCTGTCCACATCATAACCTACCAATAGAATAGAACTGACACCCCTTAGTCTCCTTCATCTTCTTCAGCTTCGTCTCCGTCTCAAACTTCTGCTTCCGCTTGAACTTCATCGTGGAGGTCATGTCGTGCGTTGCTACCATGTCGTATTTTCCTGAAAAAGTAGCGGGTCTGAGGGGGAGTTTTTTTGGAGGGAGGGGGGAGTTCATAGATACCCGAACGCGAAATGACGATGTTGAGATCCTCGAGCGCGTTGAGCTGCTCGTACCGTCTCGTTGATAATGGGATCATTTTTGCGTCTTTTTCTATTCGCCAACGTGAAAGACGCAGATATTAACAAACTTCGATTGTATGAAGTGGATGCGAAATGGACGGTGTGTCCTACCTTTCGTCTCAAACCCAAAGAGGCCGTCGTCTGTGCCTAATAGCAGCGTTTCGCCTATAGGGTGCGCAACCGGAGAGTCAGATTTTGGAACTCCGACCGATTCTGTTGTCGGCTGTGAGTAGCACGTACCTAGGAACTCGGCGCAGTTGACTTGGATCGTTAACCGGCATATCCGGCTGGCTTTGAAGACCTGCATGATTCCACGTATCCGAAACGTAGAGGATATCTGCATCAGTCCTTTCGGCTATCCCCCCATCACCCGCATATCCACTCTCAAGATCCCTCACTTCAACCCCGACTAATTCAAACGAAGCAAAGTACCCACCGGCTTCTTTTTCGCCTCCTCTTTGGTCAACGTATCCCCCTTCTCCGGCACAGGCACTCGTTCCACCAACGCCGTGGATTCCTCCTTGACGTGGGTGGCCGCGCGTCGTATTGTTCGTTCCCGCTGGCCTTCTGATAGCGTACCTAGGGGGCCGAGGGTGTCGTCTTCGGTCTCCGAGGAGGGGGATGCGGATTCGCCGATGGAGGTTAGGGTGGAGGTTTTGCTGTCTTTTACGTCCAGCTGTCGAAGGGGAAAACAACCAATGTCAATGGATTTGCTCACATGCGGTCATACGAAAAGGAGGGAGGTGGATGTAGGGTGTCCCCTCCCGCATTGTAGACGCGCATACCCGCTGCAGCGCCTGCTCAACAGGCGTCCCCACAGTCCCGACCTCAACTTTCTGCGCCGTCCCCCTCTTCTTCACCGTCTCAGCCCTCTCGCTCGCTTCGGTGTCATCATCGTCGTCGTCGTCGTCGTCTGCGCCCGCCTGCGGGAACAACGGGTTCTGGATGGTGAGGGCCGCGCGTGCACGTTTGGCTTCGCGGGTGCGTTCGATGAGGTGCGTTACTATAAGCGTGGGTGTCGAGGTGGGTTTCATGAAGGGGTGCTGTGTGTCGATTGGGAGTTGGTTGGTTAGTTTAGTGCGAGATACAGTCCGTTTGCGTGGTGTGAAAAAAGAGCCGGATGTGATGCATGGATGATGGATGAAAACGATACCCCCTGCTCCCTCACGCTCCGGACGAGGATGTGGGTCGCCGATGTGTAACAAAAACAAGTGTTCGCTGTCGCTCACGGTTGAACACAGGGGCTCGCTACGCTCGCACGCACTGCGTTTGTCCTCGCCAGCGCTCGTTATCACAGTGGGCTCCGCTCGGACACTCACTTTCAGCAGTACATCCGCAGTCGGCCGCTTATCCGGATCCTTCTCTAAACAAACATGCAAAAAATCCCTAAACTCCTCACTCCACTTCCCGGAATCCTTGAGTTTCGGCGGCTCCAACTTGGGTATCATAAACAACACCCTCATCGGATGCATATCAAACATCGGCGGGCTACATTCCGCCATCTCCATCGCGGTGATGCCCAGCGACCATATATCCGCCTGCGAGTCGTACGCGGTCCCCTGCTGCTCGGCGGTGATGACCTCGGGTGCCATCCAATACGGTGTTCCGATGAATGTATGTCGTTTCGAGAATGTGCGTGTGAGTTGGGTGGAGACACCGAAATCGGCGATCTTGATCTGGCCCGTTTCGGTCATGAGGATGTTGCCGCATTTGATGTCTCTGTGCATCTTGTTGCAGGAGTGGAGGAAGGAGAGGCCGGTGAGAGATTCGCGGATGATGCATGCGATTTCCTGCTCGGTGAGCGGCCCGCGCATGCCCTTGTAGGAAGCTTCGACGGACCCGCCGCCGCAGAACTCCATGACGATCCAGATGTGTTTTTGGCCTTTGAGGGTGCCACGTTTCATGTAGCAGCCGATGTAGGAGACGACGTTGCGGTGGTTGCAGTCGCGGAGAAAGTTGACTTCGTGGAGGACTTCGTCGAGCTCTTCGCCGGCTTCGAGTTTGATGACTTTTATGGCGGCGAGCTCGCCGGTTTGTTTGCTGCGCGCTTTGAATACTTCGCCGTAGCTGCCGGTGCCGATGTGCTCCATAAGCTCGTAGAGGGTCTCTGGGTCCTCTTTTGTCGCGATGCTGCTGAGCGCTCGCTTGGCTGACATTTTGGGAGATGGTTATCCCTTGACTGTCTGTCTGCCTTGACGGGAGCAGCGCCCGCGTTTTCCCTGATATGGTCTTTGTACCGCTACAATACTGTCTGGTTCGACTATCCGCTTTATAAGAGATATTGTTTTCCGTAATGACTAGAGAGAAATGAAGAATCTATTCCTGATGCGGTCTTTTTGCGTCGTGAATGAAATCCAGATCTGGAGTGGTGGTGTGTTTTGCGAAATGATGACCCGCAGTCGAAGGAAGGGAGAGCGAACGAATGTCTTGATGCGTGGCAGTGATGCCGATGAAAAGTGATGGAAGCAGTGTGTATGGTGTTCCCGTAAAAGGCAAAAGATGGTGTAAAGCGATGGAGTTGAGCGAGGAGCAGCAGAAAAGATGATTGGTATGCAACGACTTGACCACTTCCCTCCACCAGCCTGTTGTTAGCAAGGCGCTGACAGGATGCGCGCGGGCATTGGGGACGAGCGAGCGGAAAGATGCGGCGTCGTTGCTGACTCATCATCTGCCTACAAAGGGCGCGTCGTTTAAATCAGCCAGATCCCCCACGTGAGCTCATGCAGAAAGCGCACCAGCGGGAGAGGGGGGGAGACCAGAGGAGACGCTGAAGACGCGCCATGAGTTCCCATCGATGATGCTGCGTGACTGACTGACTGACTGATGGGAGCAACTGCAAGCAACCGGAAATCCAAACGCAGGCTTTTCCTCACAACGAAACCGCCTCTTCATCGTCCGCCTAAACCGCACACAACATAACCACCATGTTGACAACGACCATACTGGCGGCTCGCTGCTCCGCTAAGGTACGTCACGGGGGAGACTCGGAAGCCACGCAGAGCACACGCTTGGCCGTGCAATTTTACGCTCGGAGATCGTTCTCTAAAGTGCCATTACGATCCTTACGGAATTGTCGCTTCCACCTCTATACCTAGCCTGCGCTTGCGGCAGCACGCTCCGCCACCACATTACGCTTCGCTCGCGGATATGCTTCATCTCCAGGTAAGACTCGCAGCTTCTCCTTTGACGCATCTGATGGAAGCGGAAGCGAAACGATGTAACGAACTTTCTTTTCTAGAATACGACGTTGTCGTCGTCGGTGGAGGGCCCGGTGGTTACGTTGCTGCAATCAAGGCCTCTCAACTGGGATTGAAGACGGCTTGTGTGGAAGGGAGGGGCGCTCTTGGTGGAACTTGTCTGAACGTCGGGTGCATTCCTTCCAAGTCTCTTCTACACAACTCCCACTTGTACCACCAGGCGGTCCATGATTTCAAGAAGAGGGGAATTGAGAGTGAGTAGCGCTAGCGATCGGAGTGAGCGACGAGCGGAGCGAGCGAATGCATGGATTGTGATGGGACACGCTCGCGAAGCGAGCGATGGTGGCCTGACTGCAACGAGCAAAGCGAGGTGCAGGGTTGATTCGGTCTGGGAGACCGAACGTCTTTTGGTTTGCGAGTGAGTTTCCTTGCGCCAGAGGCGCAATACCCCTAACCACGGCTCTTAGCGAGCCTCAGTGAGCGTCAGATCTTTTGCAAGCAAAGCGAGCACTACATTGCGACAAAGGCGCAATACTCCCCTCATCCACGTATTTGTTGATGGGTTGTTAACGTTCGATGGTCAATGAGTTGATGATGGTTAATCGTTGATGGACTAATCCCTTCACTCTTACGTCCACTACAGTCAGCGACGTAAAGATCAACCTTCCCCAGATGTTGGGCCAAAAGGAAAAGTCCGTCAAGGGACTGACCGGCGGTATCGAGCTGCTGTTCAAGAAGAACAAGACTGACTACGTGAAGGGGTGGGGTAAAATCGTGAGCCCGAACGAGGTCTCAGTTGAGGGCGAGGACGGTCAAAAGACGATCAAGACCAAGAACATCATCATCGCGACCGGCTCCGAAGTCACGCCATTCCCTGGCGTGGAGATCGACGAGGAGGTCATTGTTTCCTCGACAGGTGCCCTATCTCTGAAGAAGGTGCCAGAAAAGATGATTGTCATCGGTGGAGGTGTCATTGGACTCGAGCTGGGATCCGTATGGGGTCGATTGGGTGCCCAAGTCACGACCGTCGAATACATGGACGCCATCGGTGCCGGTATGGACGCCGACATTGCAAAGACCTTCCAACGGGTGCTGGCAAAGCAGGGCATGAAGTTCAAGCTGAGCACCAAGGTCATCTCGGCGACAAAGAACAGCAACGGCAAAGTCGATGTCGTCGTCGAGGCAGCAAAGGGCGGCAAGCAGGAAAAGTTCGAGGTTGACGTCGTTCTCGTCGCCATCGGTCGTCGCCCGTTGACCAAGGGACTTGGGCTCGAGAGCGTCGGTGTCGAAGTCGATAACAAGGGTCGGGTGAAGGCTGACCATGAGTTCAAGACAAACGTGCCTGGCATCCGCGCCATCGGTGACGTTATCGCTGGACCCATGTTGGCCCACAAGGCTGAGGAGGAGGGTATCGCTGCGGTCGAGTACATTGCTGGTGGACACGGACACGTCAACTACGGTGCTATCCCCTCCGTTATCTACACATACCCCGAGGTTGCCTGGGTCGGAAAGACGGAGGCGGAAGCCAAGGCTGCCGGCATCAAGTACAAGATCGGATCCTTCCCATTCGCCGCCAACTCTCGTGCAAAGACCATGGGTAGGGACACATGAAACGATTTGTAATACTTCCTGATGTACCTACCTGTGACGATCACTGACCGGTCGCATCATCGCAGATGACTACGAAGGCACAATCAAGATCATCAGCGAAGCCGAGACCGACAAGATCGTCGGAGCCCACATCATCGGACCCGTAAGTAAAAATCCCCTTCCCACCCATCTCCATCCCTCTTCCCCATACCTTCCCCACCTCCTCCTTACTCACGTCCCCCTTACTCACGTCCCCCTTCATCTCTCACATCGACAGAACGCCGGAGAAATGATCGCAGAAGCCGTCCTAGCCATCGAATACGGCGCCTCCAGCGAAGACATTGCAAGGACATGCCACGCCCACCCTACCCTTTCCGAAGCATTCAAGGAGGCATGCATGGCGACTTACGACAAGCCTATCCATTTTTGAACGATGTAGCGATGTGTGATGATTGTTTCTGCTCCACGTTTTTTCCCCATTTGCATGCATTTTTCTTAGACCTGCACGTATTGGTCATTACATAATGTCAAATTGAAACCTGGAGTATGTGAGAGGGATGGTTGTGAGGAGCGTTTATGAGAGTTGGCCCCTGTCGCGAAACTCCGTGGAGGAGCTCAGATGTGAGGGGGGGCAGATCGATACGAAGGAGCATATGGTCAGGTCCAACGAACACATGTATACCTGCGTCCCAGCACACATCAAAAGCCCATTATTTTTGGGACGGACGTCAACTCGCTTGATCGTCTTTATCCTTCGTATTCTACATCCAGTATATATGTCGGATTCGGCCCTCTTCGGCTGTATACGCATATGTAAATGCAAATCAAAGGAGGGTCTGGAAAGGCACTCCGGTCTCGCCGTCAAGAGTGCAAGATCCGTCGGGCCTTGAAGGCCTCGGACCACAGCGCGTTGGAGCGATCCGTACTGTGGCATCTAAATCAATCCAAATGAGTAGAGTAGCCTCGTAAGCCCGCTGAACCATAAACATACGTACCAGTTCCCACGACTTACTGCATGTAAAGACAGTAGCGTATGATAGCGTGCGATAAATGCGACACCAGTTGGATATCACCCTTGGGCATCTTGGTTACTGGTTGGCAAGCCAAGTCAGCCACCCGGACTGATTTCTGGCCAATAAACCGCGGCCGCCGCCGATAGCCGCTGGATACAGACGCCCATGCTCAATCAAACGACGCCGAGCAGATTGCAAATATAGGCCGGCCCAATATGAAAAGTTGAAAGTCTTCCTGCGCCCCTCGATTTACGGCTCGAAGCACCGCCGCCACCGCGTGCTGTTTTCCTTTTTTTCCGTGGTCGAGACTCGACATCGACACGGTGACCACGCACAGCTTGTCGGCCCGTGTCTGTTTCGAGTTTTGCAGCGCCCGGCGGAAGATGGTGCTATACCGACACGGATCATAGAATTGGAGCAAGCCGTCGTATAATCGTACACCAAGCTCACTATTAGGATACGCCCTACCCCACATCCGCGGTATTTCTGCCGCGCAATTCTGACAGCGCGCACCGCGTCAAATGCGAACGCCGCCAATAAGTCGGTCGAATCCCTCGCCGCCTTGTGTTCATGGAAATAGAACTCAGTGTATAGGATGAAGACCCACAGTGCTTCTCAAGTGCAATAACAGGAGGAAATATCACATTCGATTGCGCATAAGTACCGCAATATGGTTCTTCACGCCCGCAAAACTACCTCACTCCCAGAGACGTGTGCTTTCGGCCCTGGAATGCAAGATGACCGTGCAGCGACTCAAGGAACTGCCCTCGACGGAATCGTTGGCTAACCATGCGGGGCGCCCGGTATTAGACGCCGCAGGTAGCGTATATATGAAGAGTTGAAAGGATTGAAACCGGTATTTCCGATTTTGCTCGTTTCACATCATATTCTTTTGCCAGGGATGCTAGATGTGCCTCCCGAGGGTATCCACCAACCTACGGCGGGAGTGCTAGTACTGCCTTCTGACGTTGCAAAATCCTCGTCTTCTGCTCCCAACGACGACACCTTTGTGGAGTTCTCACGCGAACGCGCCCTTGACTCGCAGGCCCGTGGCGGGTACTGGGATTACATCGATGCTGTTGTTCCGCAAACGGATGATCCCACCGAGTTGGCTTTGACGTGGAGGGTGTGGATCATCGGCACCTTCTTTGTGATCCTGTTTGCGGTTCCAAACACAGGTAACGTGCTTTCCCAACTTCCGTTGTGGTCTACCATTGCGTGGATGTTCAACTTGCTGATCTAAAACTCCCCATATTCTTGCAGTCCTCACCTTCAGGACCAATTTCTTCTCCATCCCGAACCTCGTCGGTATATTGCTTACGTTGCCCGTAGGCCGATTCATGGGTAGAGTCTTACCCGCAGGACGATTGAATCCCGGTCCCTTCACAATGAAGGAACACGTACTGATCTCCATCATGGTCGGCTCCGCCTTCCTCCCGCTGGGCGTCTTCAACTTTGTGACTCAGAAGTACGTCTTCAAGCAGGCTTCGCTCAGCCTGGTCGGTGGCTTGGGATTCGTGCTCGGATCTCAGATGGTTGGCTACGGGTTGGCGGGAATATGTCGACAGTTTCTGGTTCGGCCGGTGAGTTCCTCCGATCGGGTCAATTGCGACCATTGGGGAAAGAGCGGTGTGCTAGAATCTTTACTCTCTTTGATCCAGGCGAGTTTCTTCTGGCCAACAGTTCTCACTGACGTTGCCCTCTACCAAACACTCCATACGAAGCGTGCCACCGCCGCCGATCAAAGAGAGAGCTGCGATGAGGTTGATTCTGACATCTCTTCCCCCGCCTCGTACATGTCAATCACGAGCTTTTTCTGGTTGACGTTCGCCGGCGCTGCCATCTGGCAGTGGTTTCCCGCGTACGTGGCGCCGCTGTTCACATCCATGTCGATCCTTTGCGCAAGCTCCAACAGCGCCATGCGGTTGTGGGGGTCCGCCTTCCCCGGCAGAGGGATGGGCCTGCTCTCAATCACCTTCGACTGGTCCCTCATTGGGCGATGGTCACCCCTCGAGTCCCCGTGGTGGACCCACGTGTGCCAGTTTGGAGGGTGTAGGTGCTCCCCGCTTTGCATTTCGGTTCCCGGATTTTGCGCCCTTCGTTCTGATGGTTTTCCTACCGCAGTGTATTTCACCATGTACGTGATCGTTCCTATCCTGTATTACACGAACGCCTTCGGAATGGACCAAGCGCTCCAGGAACCGAGAGGATCTCCACACGGCGTCTTGAACTCGCTCGTTCTTTTCAACAAAACCGGGTTGCCCTTTATGTCGGAAAGGGCCATGGACCCCAACGGAAACCTGATCCCCAGCGCGTACGAGAGTCAGAAGCCAATCTATATTTCGACTTTCTATGCCGTCACCATCGGTTTGGCGCTGATGGCCTATGTTGCTTCCATTTGCCATACCTTACTCTGGTGCGTCCGCTGCGATGTCGGCCCGTGGATTGTCCGTGGAAACTAATCGGCGCATTCATTCAGGTACGGGAAGGATATCAAATGCCGCTTGGTTGAGCGGTCCAAGGCGGACCCGAATGAGGAGGACATTCATTGTCGGTAAGAAGCACGCTTCCATTCCGCTACAATCCACATCCTGGGGCGTTGACCTTTTTCTATGGTGGCTAGGCTCATGAGAGCATACCCCGACATCCCTGCTCTTTGGTACATCGCGCTGATGGTTATCTCGGTCCCACTTCTGATCGCTGTTTGTGAGAAAGGCGGTTTCGCCCTGTCATGGTGGGGTGTGCTGCTCGCTATCGCCTTTGCGGTGGTGTCGATGGTCCCGATCGGCATCGTCCAGGCCATCTCGGGTTACCAACTCCCGCTGGATACGATTTCTCTGTTTATCAGCGGTCTTATCTTTGAAGGACAAACGTTCGGTAAGCGATGCTCGGTGTCATAAGACTAAGACTTTCGGAGTACTTGACTTCTTTTCTCTGTGGTCCAGCGGTTCTCTCTTTCAAGACGATTTCGTATATGGGCATGTCGCAAGCGTTGGTGCTTGTGAAGGACATGAAGATTGCTCATTACATGAAGATCCCTCCTCGGTGAGCACGCTTTGTATGTTCTGGCCCTCCCACTGCGTCGATCTGACGAATTATGGGCGTTATAGGGACATGTTCATCGCTCAACTGTACGGCAAGCTCCTCAGCGCAATCATCATGCCCCTGATCGCCGTCCTCGTAATGGAAAACTGGACCGACACACTGCTCAAGGAGCCACAATGGCAGTACGTCGCCTACCGCCATTTTGCCTCCAACGCCATCATCTGGGGAACCATCGGCACTCGGCAGTTCGTCGGGCTGGGCACGCCGTACTCCAAACTCCTGTGGGCCCTCCCCCTCGGTGCGCTGCTGCCTGTCATCCCTTGGCTGTGCTACCGTAGATGGGGTGGCAACTGGAAGTTGGTCAATGTTCCGTTGATTACCATGATTGGCGTTGCGCCGCAATCGTACCAGACGACGTTGACGCCTGTTCTGGTTGGGTTTGCGTCCAATTTCTATATGAAACGCTTTCATCACCGCATTTGGGCGCGGTACAACTATGTTATGGCCGCCGCTTTGAGGTACAGTAGATCTTTGTTTGACCATTGCGCATGGACCGGTTTGATTGATCTTCAACCTTTTCTCTCTCCTTTCTCTAGTGCGGGCACGGCCGTCACGTTAGTTCTCATAGCGTTGATTTTCGGCATTCAGCAGATTAAGATGCCGAGATACTCTTTGAACCCGAGCGACGGAGATTACTGCACGGCTTAGTTTCCAGTGGCGTACGGTACATGAAAGAGCCTTTGATCATAGAGCGGTGATGTACGGTGATTTGGATTGTATTAGATGAATAAACTCATTGGCGCGATCGAGATCATGCCGTCCTTCTTCGAAAACAACCATGCCTAGTGGGAAACAAACGATCCAGGCGAATTCCATGTCGATCGTTGATCATTGGAACGCGAACCCGAACAACTGGTACCGCACACTTGACATGTCTTGGGAGAAGATATATAAAAGGATGGCGTTCTCACCACCTGAGGCCCAACCCAGGCTACTCGATCGGCATCCGACACGGCATTTTCGATTCACACCAGTGTAGTAACGAAACATAGAGGAGCGACGGTCAAAGGCAACCTTCAAATCTAACTTGAGTTCTCGATCGACACTGGCACATGCATGAGGCCACTTAGTTTTCTGATGTCTAAGTTCTCATATATTTCCAGCCACAAGCCAAAAAGCAAGAACCGCAACCCTCGGCAATTATTATGATACAGTGGATGAAGTTGGAGTGGTGCTGGTGGGGCCGGTGGGAGAGGTGGTGGTGGGCAGGGGATCCAAGACGTCCGCCTTGTACGTGGCGATTCGACTTGCTCCTGGAGCACGTTGATGGCCCACCCCCAGACCCCCCGGCCATCAGCAAGGCCAACAGTTTGCTTCCCTTTCGATGTTTTTGTTTACTCTCGGCGCCGTCCAAGCGCAAGACTGTCCAGCACCTCCCACGTTGTGCTCGTACTCACACACCTAACAGACTCGGCATGCGCTTTATCCTCCATTTGCGACGAGGCTCGTGACTGCTTGATATTCTCTAATCGCTTGGTGCATTCGGTTGCAACGTATGGATGTCGTGGAATGAATGGTCCCACCTCCGTGACCGATCCAATGCTGACCCATGTGGCCTTAGCTCACGTTTGTTTCGGTCGAAGTGCCGAGGATGTTGGGCGGATTGGTCGGTGAGCTAAACTATTTTCTGTTGTAGCGGATTTGTGCGTTCCGTGGGCCAATTGAGTAACTCTGGTGATGAGCCTCTCGGCAATGAGTGTCGCATGAACCGCTTCAGACTGCTGGTCAGATGCCAAATGGGTTGGTAATTGAAGTCGCCCGATCTCGTGGTTCATAAATGCCCCTTTGCCCAAGTTCAGGTCGACAAGCCGCAGTGTCCTGGGCAAACCGGCGGGCTGAGGTGCCGCTGGGCTACAGCCCAATGGGCGCTTTGACGTCAAAGTGCCTATGTCGGTAGCACCTTGACATCAAAGCGCCTAAGGGCAGCGCCGGCGTGGCGGGACGTTCAGAGGCTAGCATAGGTTGGGCCACGAGGACACGAGCGGCCAGTGCCACGTAGCTCCGCCGTTTTCCGGTGGCGCGCTTTACCACTTTAGGTTAAGTGAATGTCATCGATGACGGGTAAAGGTTGTGATTTAACAGACCGCCTTCTGGTTGTCGTCGAGGATTTCCAACACCTCGACCCGCCGCCTTCTTCCGGATGCTCGGCGTATATGTCCTTCAGGTCATCCAGATCCATAGCGAGTAGCTTGAATGTGAGGTGCAAAGCAGGGCGCATTGCCCAGCGACTGCACAATTAGTGGGACTTCCTCGTCGCTCAAGGTTTGAGAGCGGCGAAGATTGTTCGCGTTCCCTGAACTTATCGTAGCAAGTTCACACAATTCGCCACTCAGATGGAAAGGGCCCAATGATGCGAGACAATATGGTGTAGTCGCAATCAAACATCGGCTAGTGTTTGACCGTGGAGCGGCGGCCACCAAATGTTTGGTGGAAGAGATGACCAGCGCTGTCGTATGAGCCGGCCCCGTCCTTTTGCATTGGGATTCCACGCGGGATTCCAGTGTGATGTTCCTCGTAGATTTGGCAGGTCGCACCAGTCTGCCCCGTCCTGGATAGCACGTAAGCTACCATTGATCTGCCTTGATGAATCTGAGCATTGGATTAGCGTTTGCCAAAGAGCGCCTCGCAACCTCCGTCATTGACCACCTGTCGTGGTCAGGTTTACCGACGTCGATAGAGTTACAGTTTTGTCGGCCGGCGTTCGCCTCGCGTACAAAGGTCTTTCATCACGGTGATCGCCTCTCGGTTCATCCTTGACTGTCCATCAACGAGCGAGCTCTCTGCTGGGAGTAAGAGGACGAGGCACGTTCAAAAGTGATTGTATACATCGCCAAGTTAAGCACGGTCGGCTTGACACTTTTCACAGCAATCTCGACGCATTTCTGAGGCACCCGGTCCACTCGCCTCCTCGAAATCCTCATGCCATTCCGACCTAGTTGTTGGGGCTAATTCAGGCTCGGCATCAAGTAACGCCTCGGCGAGGGCTTCGGGATCAATGGCTGGCGGTGAAGGTTCGTCAGCGAGTCCGGCGCGGGAGGGAGAGCCTCGGGTCGAGGCGGTGGAGGCAGGCGATTGTTGCCTCACGTGAAGGTAGCGTCGGTCCCTAGTCCGGCAATCAGATAGACGGCCCTGACGAAGGTCAACGACACCGGTCTCACCGGCCGTAATGAGGGCCGGTAAATCATGGCATTCAATTTAGGCTTCATGACCGGAGCTTTGATTCGTGATGTTTTGGCCGGGCGCAAGATATTAGGAAGACTGCGTTAGCGCGGCGCCCCAGCCCTCTACCAAATCCTTATCCGCTTTTCGACAACGCCACCGTCAGGTTCGGGGGACGCTCATGCTCACGGCGAGAGCGGCGCTCGGAATGCGTTTGCAAGCAGATTAGGGTCTTGAGGTCTCACGTTGCGGCCGTGCCTCTTTGTCGACCCACTGCACCGAACAAGCGCCAGCTCCTTTCTCCACACAGCCCGTTCGGTACTGGAAATAGCTTCTTCCCACCATCCCGTCCCTTCGCGCAACCATTGGAGTATTCCACCTCGGGCATCATATACGGTGGCGTCGTAAGGTCGGGAAGCTCACAATCCTTAAACGCAGGATGCCAGCGCAGTAACATCTGACCTCGAAAGTGTATCTCGTCCGTATGCGCTTGGTTGGAGACAAGTCTTTGGGAGATAAGCCTGACCGATCACCCCTGGGATCGGATTACGGAACGCCGCCAAAAGCCGCATTCAAGGCCACTTCCTCAGGATACATCACAGGGAACTCAAACACGGCCGCTCCAATATGGGACGCACGGCATGCCATCGTGGAAATGGACTTGAGCGCCTCCCAGACGCCAGAAACCTAGTCCAGTTCGCCCGCGTGTCGACTAACGGCATAGGCAGGGACGAATCGTACTATTCGGATTCGATTTCAACGAAGACGGTCTCAGAAGGTGCGACCTTGGGTTCTTCCGCTATCCAGTCAATTACAGATTTGCAGGGAGGCTTCTTCGTTCTCGTCCCTCTCATCGGTTGACGTGCCGGCATTGTCGTCCACCCATTCCTCGACCTCACTCTCGCCCAGTCTGTCATTTCCACCATTCCCCTCACCATTTCCCCAACTCTCGCCGTGGTTGTTGCTGTCGTCCGTAGACGTGGTAGACGAGGCGCTCTGTGCTGCATTGAATGATGCCTCAGCACACCTGTCCTGCCCCGCTATTTCCGAGTGTGTATTCGGCAAGACACGTCCTCCTCGTCCCAGCTGTCCTCCACCCCAGTTTGGGCATCCGCATCACAGGGTCGTGTTCTGCCCACATCCTAGTAATACTGGCATTGCTCCCGGCGGGGATCTCTCTTGCTCATCCCAACCGGAAACTTCATCGCGCTCCCGCGTCCCGAGGTATTCGGAGTAGACCGGCTTGCGATGAACCCATTTGTTCAGATGAGCGTCCTTCCAGTCCCTAGCTTATTTTGGGACGCAACGGTCTTGTGTCTCACCAAGAAGCCACAGAACTCGTAGATCCCCACCCCATATCCTTTCATCCCCTTCTTGAATGCCCTGAACGGGACCTCGGCAGGGTAAGCAGCATTGGCCACTGCTGTTTCGAGATCAAAAATAACCGTGAGGCCAAAAGTCGGAGCTAATCCTGCTGCTTGTGGCGTCGCAAACTCTCAACTCGTCGTCATCGTAAGTTGACCGGGAAAATTCCCTCACATTAACGACGCCGTCCGAAATCTTAAGACATATGACTTTTACTTGTCCAAGATCCACGGATTGCGCACAGGAAGGCGGCGGGTCCCATTCACCCGAAGCTTATCGGCGGCGGCTTAACCGCGTTTCTTTCCACTTGATTGTGACGTTCTTGAACTCTCCGGCTCAAACCATCTCCATTTCCGCCGGTGCGCGAAAGAATGGCCACATCCAGCATTGATAGTGGTAAGGAGTATGTCCGCGTACAGTAGTATCCCACCTTGAAGAGGAGTGTCTGGATACCGATCCACTCAATATCGCCACTCTTCCTACGCCCCATCGTTAAATGCGTCAGCAACTGTTCTGCGGCCTCTGGGCCTGTTCCAAACTCATGCACGTTCGTTGATTCTGCGTAGAGAGGGGCAACCTTGTGCTTCAAGAACTTTTTGACGCGGATTCGGTATGCCCTCTGCTCCTTGGCCGTCATTTCCTTTTCCACTTTCCCACCGGCTTCTGCCACCGCCGCCGTTACCGCTTCCACTGCTTCCATCACAGCATTGGGCATTGCATCTGTTACTGCATCCCGCACCGCCACAGTTGCCTCCCTCACACCCTCCCCCACACCCTCCCTCACAGCATTCTTCACACTCTCCATCAGCGCACCCATGACCCGCCTCGGCCTCCTTCACAGCGTCCTTCACAGCTGCAGATGCTTCTCGTTTAACCAACGACTCGATCTCCCGTTCATGTCTCAGTCAGGCCTTCCCCCACTACGGTACCCTTGGGAACTCCTCGTCCGGCGATTCGATTGACGTAGGGTTTAGCTCGGCCACCCATGACCCAAAGAGCGCTTTTTAGCAGACCGGATATGCCGGGATATCTACGGTTTCAACGTAACTCTCGCAGTAACCTCCGCAAATCGCTCTCCGAGTTTCACAATTTCGTGAGAAACCCAGACTTTGCCCATCATACCAGGACCATGTTGCCAAATCGGGTTCGTATCCTGGTACCCTCGCTCTGCCTCCAGTCCGGTGAAAGCAGTGTTACGTCTCCTGCCAATGGTAGCTTGGCGAGCCCTCGGTGTGTAATATTTTGACTTCGTGCGGACTTCGTGAGCGTCAACGGTTCCTTGGAAGGCACACGGCGAGGCAGGTTCCGACCGTGGCAATTTTTCCATTCACCCTCAAAAGTGACCTCTCGGGATCCGGGATAGCCGCAATCTCGAAGGTTAACTTATCCCCGTCCGGGTCTGCCCCCGCCAGGTTGATGTTGACTTTGGATGAGGTACCGTTGAGAACCACAGGAAAGCCGTAGCCCCCCACAGGGGCGCTTGAGGGATACAGAAATGGTTGGGCGCCGGAAAGCTGAGCTGTGCCGTTGCTGTCCCAGCAGGGATGCTGCGGTGGCTCCAAAGCTTTGCATTTGCCATCGCCAAGTGGACACCACGGCAACACGTTCGGCGTGCGACCACCGGGCATTGAGCGGCGCATAATCGAAGGCATATGCACATTTTTTGGGAGGAGATGCAGAAGACAGGCCAGCTGCGTTCTCACTGAAACACCAGCGTAAAACGAATCAAAAACTCACCACGCCTTCGCTGTTCCTCTAGCCTCAAGCTACCACTACCCTTTGAGCTCGGTGCGTCCCAATCCGCCTCCGTGGGAGGAATCGGAGAACCGTATTCCGCCCGGTGAAATACTACGACTGTGTAGGCATCTGACAGGTCTTGCTCAACCGGTATGTTCCAAAGACCCGTTGTAACGTTAGTGTGAAGGCTGGCAACAGAAGTCTTCTCTATTTCAACGTCCGAGGAACCCTCGAGGATTGTTAAAAATTAGAGCACCCCGCCGCCTGAGCCATGTGCCCGCAGGCGTCTTGCTCTTCCATCGTGCACTAGCTTCCAGTTGTTCCACCTGGCGGCTCATCAGTTAGGTCTCTTGTTGGGTCACAAGTGGCCTTGGTTGTTGGTCGGCCAGTGTTTGACGACAAGGCGCTTTGGGGTACTGGTAGCTAGCCAATCCTGTTGTCTGAGACTAGGTATATAGAAGCGGGATCGTTCTCTTTCCTCTGTTGAGTTTGTTCTGGGTCAAGATTTTGCAAGATCTGGGAGTTTGAAACAGAAACAGCCACGCGTAGACTCCCCTTGCTAACGATCTCCCAGGCGAAGAACATAGAATTGGCCCAAATGTGCCTCCCTCTCCTTCCGCCACTTCCTAAATTCCGGACTCTACGCATATCCCTAACGTCACAACGTGTGCATATATATTGATGTATGTATAGTATGTCGAATAATTGATATCAAAAAGTAAACCAGATGCAACACCGCCCACAACATCCTCCAGCCATATCCCCACCCCAGTGTCGTCTCCCTGTGCCATATCTACGCGAAACATTCCCCGGATTCTGGCAGCAGCGACCGCGTTGCCGTAGGACGACGGTCATTACTAGTAGCCGCTTTGCGTTCTCACGCATAGTCGGATAGTCGCCACCATATCAAGAACGAGCGGGATGTGAGATGGTGTATGGTGTTTTCTGGGAGGTATCAAATGACCGCTGCATGTGCAGCGGTTCAGAGATGAAAGTGTGTTCGTAGTTGGTTGTGTGTATTTTGCAATGGCGGTAGCGGTATCCATAATGAGGGTGCTTAGTGCGCTTCAACGAATTCCTGATTGGGCGAGATAGAGTTGGTAAATAAGATTTCCGCGCATGGCCCCCACATTGCAGTTAGGATCGAGGTACATACCCGCTGCGCGAGCCTGGCGGTCGCTTTCATAGTCTCGACTTCTCTCCAGTAGTTCAGAGGCGTTTCGGGATTGTTTCTGTGTACACGTAAATGTGTTCATTAGGAAGCGGACGATGGCAGCCGCAACACATTTCATGAACCTACCGGTAACATGTAACAACCGCATTCTCAGCAGCTACGCAATCTGCTTTAGGGGTGCCTTTTGGCGGTCTAAGAAGGAGGGGGAGGGATCGGAAAACAGAGGTGAGCAGGAACATGCAGAATTTCGGCGAAGTCAACAGGGGCGAGGTTGGGCAGTTTATCGAGGATGTATCCACAGACAAGCCCAACTTTCCTGTCTTCATCGGGTCGGCTCCATTTCGGCCGCACACCCCTCCTTCCTTCCCCACCTTTCCACTTCTTTCCCCGACAAGTCGTTTCTCCCCGAACTTCCTCCTTCCACCTTCCATGCCCTATCCCATCCTCTCCGCCACATATGCCCCCAATACATACAATCTCTGCCTCCTCAAAACATCCTCAGCCTCTCTCGCGACCGCTTCTGCGGACCGTTTCTCGTTCACGAGACGTTTCTGCTGGTGGAGATCGACCTGACGTGCTACGCGGGACTGGACAGCAGCCTCGATCGATTCGTCGTCGTCATGGCGATGCTGTTGGTGTTGGTGTTGTTGGTGTTGGGGGAAGGGAGAGTCGAAGGGTGTTGGTGGAGCGCCGCCGAGGGGGGTCCTGCCTGCGGCTGGATGGGGAAGGCGGGTGTAGAGTGGCTGGTGGTTGGTTGTTGGAGTGGTTAAGTCGTTGAATGGGATTTCACAGAACAAAGTGAGGAAAGCCTTACGTCTGGTGCTTGGCCGTCTAGCTTGCGGAGGAGGTTGGGAGTCAGCTAGTGTCGGTGGGGGTGAGAGGAGGTGAGTACGTCTGTCTGGAGTCGTTGGCTGCCGACATGAGCTAAACGCTCTTGGGCGAGCAATACCTGTATGGGGACCTCAGGCTCGTTGTATATGATGATAGGCTCCTTTGAGTTCCTTGCGCCCATGGTTGCTACTGTGTGGGTATGTGGACGGTTGACGGTGGACGGTGGAGGGTTGGTTGCTGTTGCTGTTGTTGTTGTTGGTTGCTGAGAAAGCCGCCTCAACGTCGCCAGCCGTCGCCTGTTTGATCTCTCGCTGAGGGGCATTTCTCGCTCTCGGACGGACGCGTTTTCCCACGAAAACACCGACTGGGGATTGGGGACGACCCGACAGGAACAACGACGGAAACGGGAGAGCCAAGCCTCGCATATCGTTGACGGCGCTGAGGGAGGCGAGCATTCGAGGGAAGGGAACCAAGTCAGGAAAGGTGCTCCCCGCCTCCTAGCTCGAAAAAAGCAGGTCATCCTCCCAGATCGCCTTCGGACTTGTAAAACGATATGATGTCCTCCTCAACAGCACCACCAGCGCCGCAGCGAACACCGTCTCCATGCAATGGACCTGCCAACACGCGGCCGCCACCTACCTCGGCGCGACCCCGGCCATGGACCATGCCTCGCGGTCCGGCCGTTGAGCAGCCGAAGGAGACATTCGGAGAGTGGATAGCTGCGAGACACGCCAAGGCGAGAAGACCAAAGAGCCCACCGCCAACGGCACATGAGATAACACGGGGATTCCAGATGAATACGGAGGCCGACTTAGAGGATCGCAGTGACGCATCGCCGCCGCGCCAACAGTATCGGAGAAGCACTATTGCCGCGCTGATGCCAAATACACAACCACCCAAAATAGAAGCGCAGGCGAGCCCACCGCTGAGATCCCAGACCGACGTAGGTCGGCCAACACCCTCGCGACCCGATGAAGCCGCCGCCGTTACAAATCCGTCAACGCCGTTCGTGCTCGCGCCAGAATCCCCGCTTATCCAGCTCTCCACGTCCCGCTCCAATGTAAATGCAGCGAATGAACAAGTGTCGTCCAATGCCCCTCGATCCGGACCGAGATTTGCACAGAGGGTCGGCAACGAAGTGTCGTCTCCGTTCTTGGATGCCCCTCGATCGGGATCGAGGTTTGCACAGAGGGTCGCCAATGAAGTCGCGTCTCCTTTCGTGGACGCCCTCCGGTCGGGATCGAGGTTTGCACCGAGGGTCGACCAGATGATCGCGCCTTCAGCTGAAATATTGGCATCCGTTAATGCCCTCGACGTCGATGATGGCGGAAACAGTGGAAGGCCAGAGACGCCGCCCTCTCCAACGCCATTGCGGCAACATGCTTCCCCAGCGCAACCTCATTCACTAAATCCGGAGACGAACAAATCGGAGACAACAAACTCGAACACTGCAAACGTGGAGCCGGTCCCCGCTACCTATGAGGAGGTATGCACACAGCGTGCATCAGACCATATCTCGATCAGACGGTATATCAATGCGTTTCTTTCCCTTCTCATAGGCATTACAAAAGATTCGGAAGCAACAACGAAAGATACTGAACTTAGAGGCTAGTCGGTCAAGGGTGGCTAGATACGTGAAGGCAAAGGAAGAGGAAGCGGTACGCTTCCATATGTCCCAGGTTGTTTCGCAAGTCAGAACCGACCGCTCAGCCACATATCCCCTTCCCTCTCTATAGGAGAAAATCGAACACTTTGCCAACTTGGAACGTTCATGGGCAGCGCAGGATGCTGACGAAGACTGGGTATGTGTATCAAATTGCCCCAATGATGTTTGGATTGCCGCATCCTGTGGACCTCATTGACCACGACATTTGCAATTCGCTAGCGGATGATCGAGGAACTGAAGGCGGAGAAGAGCGCTATGCAGCAGGAGCTGGATGCATTGAAAGAGGCGCACAAGAGTCTGGAGGAGATGTACCTCGCCAAGTCTAGTCATGAGGAAAACGGGCCCGTTGTTGGGACGGGGGTTACGGTCGCCTCGCAGACCATGTACGAAGGCCACCAGGAAACTGAATTGAAACAACACGGCGAAAAAGACATTGTTGCGGAAAACATTCATCTGAAGAACGAGCTGGCCTCTCTCGAAGACAAATACCAAACGGTCCTCCAATCCGAACGCGAAAGCCTAGCCCGCATCCTATCCCTAACCGAAGAACGAGCCCAATCCGACCAAACCCTCTCCGCAGTCCAACATTCCCTCACCGCCCTCCAACAATTACACACCGATCTCCAACATCAACACAGCACCCTTCTCCAATCCCACACCACCCTCCAAGACCACCACACCGCCCTCCTCCAAACTCACGCCGACCTCATCCTCATCAAAGACGCGCTCCTCCTCGACCGCGACACCCTGCGCGCGCAGCAGGACCGCGAACTGGAAGGCTGGCGGTCGAGTCTGGGCGGATTGCAGAAACGGATTATGGGACAGCAGGAGGAGATTGAGGAGCTGAGGAAGGGGTATGATGAGAGTATTGAGATGTCGATGAGGGAGTTGATGGGTGTGGAAGATGAGAAGGAGAGCGCGATGGTGGGAGGGGATGTGTTGGGTCACTTGCAGGATGAGGGTGAACCCAAGAGTATCTCCAAAGAGGCCTCCCCACCCCACGAGCCAACCGACCTCACCCACCCACTCCGCAGCGAACTGACAACCCTCCGCCAACACCTAACAACAACCACTGAACAACTCACCCACCTCCAAACCGAAAACGCCGACCTACACTTCGTCCAAGCCACCCAACGCGACAGCATCGACTCCCTCACCGAAAAACTCGCCCACGCGTCCAGCGAACAGACCCGACTCCGTGCCCAACGCGATCATTTCCGTGAAGAGGTCAGCTGTTACAAGACCCATCTGGTGGAAGCTGTCAAGAGGGTCGATAGATTGGCTGCGGAGATTGACGAGTTGCGCGGTGGGGGGAACAAAAGCGCGGTGGATGAGGAGGACCTGAGACGCCGTGAAGCCATGTGGACGCGTGAACGATCGGTGCTCGCGGACGAGAACAAAGGGTTAAGGACGCAGGTGGACACGCTCAGATCACAAGTGGAGAGATGCGAGGGCGAGCTACGGGGGTTCAGGGCCAGGGTGAGGAATGGAGGTGGGCGGGGGACGGGGAGAGGGAATAGTGGTGCTGCAGTTGTCGGTGAGCAGGATCGGAGGATGCGGATGAGTTTGCCTCTGGGGGTTTTGCAGGGCCGGGGAGGGGATCTGGGTGGGATGCGTGGTGGGGATGAGAGAGGTGCTGCTGGACATATTGGAGATGTGTGAGGGATTTGGGGCGTGCGTTCCACACATATACATGGCACGACCACCTTATCAGGTATCGTCATCCGTCCCCCACCCCAAACGAAGTGGGGCTAGAGTACAACATAATGTAAAGCGTATACGTACAATACATACAATATATCGAAAGACTCTGCGCGAAAATCCGACGTGCCTGAGATAATACACTCTCAACCTGTATCTAAATCCTCGCAAATCGGTATCCACATTCACAATGTAATATACAGGACAAAAACCGCAATCACAAACGGTGCTAGATGAAACTATGCCGTCCGTGTCCGAATCAGAAAAGTCTGTGCGTTCGGACCAAGCGCCTTTCCCCTTTCAAAAGACCAAAGGAAGGAGGGACCACATCCACCGTATTCCCCAATCTCATTACCGCAACCCCACTATGCAAATAACCTGTACAGAAAGAGAGCGACTAGCATATACAAGAGGCGACAAAAAACCTACATACGTATGATACAGATGAAACCACCCACCCCCGCACAAGAGGGGGAAACAGACGATATCGCGGATATCCCGCACATGCCGTCCCGAACTCGCCAGCCAGAGCACGGTGCAGCTATTCGCACAAAGGAAAAAAGAGGGTGGGGGGGGGGGGGGGGTTCGGACCAGCCGCACCGACACCATCAAGTGCCACACACCAGCGCTCGCTCGTTTCACCGCCCCGGGGGCATCGTCCCGGGTGGCGGCACCTGATAAAAGCTGCCTGCATACGCCGAGACGGCCGAGTTCTCGGTCTCGGTGCCGACCGCGGACGCCTTCGCCATCGCTCTCGCCTCGAACCCCAACGTGTCCCGCCGGTTCCCGTACCCGTACGACACGCTCTCGTCGTCGTAGTACCCGCCGACATGCTGCTGGGCCGATGACGAGGGCGGGAGGGGGGGTGATGCGCCGCAGGGGTATTCGCCGGATGGATCGGCGCGGTAGTACGTGTTGTCGGCGTAGGCTGAATGGTGGTCTGCCGCGGGGGTGGTGTTGTCGTAGGCCTGTTTCGTTCGGGACGCTTCGTGGTTGTTGTTGTTGTCGGCGGTGTAGGAGCCGTCCAATGCGGTGGGGGCGTCCTGCGATCGGGGCGGGGAGGCAGCCTGCGGCTGGGAGAGGAGGTGGGGGTAGGGGTGGTCGTAGCGTTCCGAGCCGGAGTTGTAGTCGTAGTCTGGGTAGGCTGTTGTTTGGTGGTTGTAGGTTTGTTGTTGTTGCTGGTGGTATGGTGTGTCGTAGGGCTGTTGGTGCTGATGGGCGGCGTATGAGGCGTAGGCGGCCCCACCTGCGAGCGGGACTGCGGCGGCGGCCGGGGCCGAGTAGCCCATTGCGGTGGAGGGGGCGTAGTAGGCCGTGTCGTGGTGGGCGGGGGCGTAGCCGGCCATGTGGTCGTGGGGTGAGACGTAGGCGTAGTCGGGGCGTTCGGCTACGGCGGGGACGGGCGGGTAATAGGGTTTGCTGTAGTTCTGTCGCTGTTGCCGATATACCCCCTGCGTCACAGTGTCGAGGTCGTCGTCGGTTTTTTTGGACATTTTGGGAACGCCGTTGGCGCCGATGCTGTCGATCCCTGGCGGGAGGGGTTGCGGACGGGCGCCGGCGCCGTAGTAGGCCCCGTCTGATACCGACACGGGGGGTAAACCGGTATTGATCTCGCTGTTGTTGGCGACTATCATGCCCTGTTTCCTGCTTAACTGGGTCTTATGCCTCCTCCGTGCGGCGAAATACGCCACTTCGACGATGAGAAACATGGCGCCGGTGATGATGGCGAGGAGAATGAACCGCGTTTTGGCGGAGGTGGAGCCGCCGGAGGGGTTTGTGGTGTCTGGGATGTCGCCCGCGCGCACTATGGCGAGAATGGCGCCTACTAGGGCGCCGAGGGTCACTGTACCGGCGAGGGTGGAGAAGATGGAGTGGATGTTGAAGGCGATAGCGCTGTAATCGATTCGGCGACGGCGGTACATCAAGAATGCGATTCCCGTAATCGAAGAGAGGATAAGAATCACACCAACTACCCAGAATCCTACAAAAAAAAAATCAGGCACAAAAATGAATATGGGACTCTGAAAGCGACCACCCTGCAAATGACAAAAAAATAAAGAAGAAACGATCCAACGCTCGCTGAGGCTCGCTGGAGCCCGTGGTCTGGAGTATTCCGCCTATGGCTCGCCCGCCAAGCAACCCTGCACCTCGCTGTGTCGCTCGACGCAGTGCGCATTCGCTCCGCAAGACAACCGCTCGCTTTGCGCTCGTGTACGTCCACCATCCTTGCGCCTCCGGCACAATCCGCCAGCCCTCCACCTCGCCTCGCCGTCACGAAGACATACCAATTTTGATAAACTTATTAATCCCGGCGCCAACGACGACAATGCCGCTTCCGGCGTCACTCGGCCATTGAGGGAGGTTATAGTGAAAGACATCCTGTGTGAAAGTGAGTTCAGCGGCAACCGCCAAGAAAAAGAGCCCTGCGAGGAAAGCGATGGCGTTAAGAGAGGCGACGAGGGTTGCTGTTGTGCGGCCCATTGCTGTATCAGGGATGAGGTGTGAAGTGAAGTGTGAGGAAGACAAGGGGGGACGCCTTCACCAGTTCAGAAAGCGAAAGGCGCCAGCGGCTAAGGGAGGATGAGGGGGGGGGGGGGGGGGGGGGAATAGGAAGCACTCTATGTTCAGAGTGCGTCGAGTGTGTGTCTCTCCCCTGCGTCGCCGGTTGAGGCAGCGGGCGGTGGTCGTGTGCGAACCTTGTCCGTCCCGGAAAGGGAAGGGCCACTTCGACAGGATTCACAGGAATGAGGGGCAACCGACGCGTTACACTCAGTCACAAGCGATCTTGGCGATTACGCACCGCATCACGTGAGCCCCATGCATTTATATTGTGCGTGTTCAGACCTCCAGTCGACTCTGGGTGTAGCAACGCGTTACCACCACAGCATCGACTCCCATCCACGCGCTTTCGGAAGCTACATATGTCCCAGATGTTGTGAGATCTCAGTGCTAGGTGTCGGGAGCGTCGCCCCACCCTCTGAGTCCGTTCAGTTATACCTACTGCATGTGGAGATGCCCGTTTGTTCAGGCGTCTGCATTCCCACATACAGTACCTGGCAGCCCCATGCGCGACAACCCCTCCGCTACCCTTACGCATTCGGACAGAGCTTCGTGCAGATCTGCGGGAGGGAGATGGAACTTATACTCAGGGTCCAAATTGCGTTGAAAACCTTGTCAAATCAAGGGGGGGATTCATGGATATCCCCCGTCCCTCTTCCCTCTGTCTCTCCATGTGAGGAAGGGTATTTTCAGAGAGTCCCCCGTAAATGTCTGTCTAGTTTTGGGATGAGCCGCGGATGGTTTGCGTCTGTCAGATGCGAAGGGATGGTTAGTTATTTCCCAGTGTATTATCACTTGCTGATCACGTCACGCGCGCGTTGTCCTGTCTGTCTGTCGCTGCGGAGGAAAGAAGACACGTCGCCGCGAGGACAAGGACAAGGACAAGGACAAGGAGCGAGAGACCCCACGCGAGCACACACCCTCGTGCGGACATTCCAGTAATATTACCCTCTTAGTCGCCTTTTCCCGTGGATCTTGCTTTTTCCCTCGGTTTGCTCGGTTCGATTCCTTCTCGTATTTATTAAAGAGACCGCCTCCGCCAACCTCGTCAACGCTATCCCCAGTCTCACTCCGCTCCTCGCTCATTGCAAAAGAAGGAAACTCAAGCCCAACCGCACTTCCAACCTCCCCTCCCAAGCCAACACCTACCACCCACTCCAACTCTCCACCCACCGCCGACCCTCACACCGCCCGCCAACCCCCAACCCCCCGAATTCGAATTCCAGAATGACAATAGCAGCCCAGTCCCAATTCGCAACAGTCGCCCACAACAGACCCTCCGGCGGGCCCTACCGTCTCTGCTATGAACTGCACGGGGAGGGACCTAACAAGGTCTTGCTTGTTATGGGTATGTTGTTTCAGGACGAGGGGAGGTGTGAAATGGGAGGTGTGTCCGAGGGGTTCGGACGGGGTTTTGGAGGTGTGACGTGGAGTGTGAAATGCGGTGGGGGTCTGCAAGGGAAGCGAGCGACAGCGAGCCCAATTGCGTCGGAAACGAGGCGCAAGAAAGCCCGTCGGTCATCCATCGCCCGACTACATGAACCCGCCTTACTCGAGATCGAGCGCCAAGCGCCGGGTGTAGCACGCGAGGGCGTTCGCGTTCGTGACCGAGTCCTAACCTTTCCCTTCGAATATCAAATTACACAGGCCTCTCCGGCTCTTTACGGATGTGGGACACAACTGTACGACAACTCCTCGCCCGCGGCGGGTTCGAAGTCTGCATTTTTGACAACCGCGACGCCGGCGATAGTGACAAGCCTGGGCCCGGTTACTCGTGAGTCCCCCTCCTCTTAAAACATGCAACGCTAAACCAAACTCATTTTGATTCATTGCAGCATCCAGGACATGGCGCTAGACGCCCTCGAACTCCTCCACCACCTCAACTGGACCCGCAACGTGTTTGTCGCAGGCATATCGATGGGCGGGATGATCACGCAGGAACTGCTGCTTGCGGCGCCCGAAGGCACGTTTGCGAGCGCCGTGCTTATTTCTACTCATGCCGGTTTGACTGTTCCGCCGGTAAAATACCCTTTTTGCACCGTTCCGTCAGACAGCGTAGTCGGATCAGAAAACGTCCCATCTCATCCCTTCGATACCCCCACACAGCTAGCAACCATCGCAGTCTTCTCGAAACTCATTCTCTGGCCCTGGGGTCGTACGGAAACGGACATCATCGAAGGGTTCTGCAAACTCGTCTTCCACCCGTCGTGGTTGGACGGCGAGGCGCCCGTCGACTCGGGGTACACGACCAACCGGGAGATGATGCAGCAGGTGTGTTTGTGGCATCGCAAAAACCCCCCGCTTTAAAAGCATGAAAGTTCTGACATCTGTGATTGATAACACAGCAACTCCTCCGCGTCGGCCGCCAAAAAGGCCCGCAGCCCGACCACTCCCGCCGCGGGCAGATCTGGGCCGTGCAGCGGCACTACGTCTCGCCCGCACGGCTGCGCAGGATCGCCCAGCTGCAGATCCCCGTGCTCGTCATGACCGGGACCGATGATCTCGTACGTTTCTCCATCCCTTCCTTCCACTTTCCTCCCCAACCCCACTCACACACCCTTTGAATTGTTTTCCAGTTGATCCGCCCCAGCAACTCCCACCACCTAGCCCACCACCTCTCCTGCCCGCTCAAAGAGTTCCCCTCCGCGGGCCACGGCCTCCCGCAGGAACGCCCGCACCAGGTGCACAGTCTGATGGTCGAGACGTTTCGGAAGAGCGCGGCTTACATGAGCCATACGAGTACGGGTGGGAAGCTGGTGGCGGGTGAAGGGCACGGCAGGGTGGAGGTGAATGAGGAGGAGGTGAGGAGGAGGGTCCGGGAGGCGGATGCGAGTGTTGCTAGTGCTGCGACGCTGTAGGTTGGGCGCGGGGGATGTGTGTGTCGATGCCATGGCGCGGTTTTGGGAGTGTTGGAAAGTGGGAGAGTGTGTGGCTCCAGCGTCACCCCCCTGGGTCCTCCTCCGGTCCGTTATCGTTTATTCTTGTTCTTTTTGGGTGTGCCCGACCCTGTTTGTAACATTTTTTTTTTGCGTGCGGTTGTACAGTAACTCCCTTCCCGTCAACGTACTTGATATCAATGCGTTTCTTGCTCTCCCTTTTCTGGATGGGGAAGACACGCCCATGTATTGTTTACACATGCCCACCTTTGCGTTTGTGCTCGTTCATGTGGGAGAGTCGTTTCATCGTTACCCTGCAGCCAAGGGTGTTGCGATGGGCTACTCAATGTACAGTACGCGCGTTACGTGAGCACGGCGGACCTTCCGCAACGCGTTGTACTTGGCAAGGCCGGGTGACAACGGGAGACGTGGGTGTATCTTGGCTGTCGCGAGTGCCCAAATGCAGGCTGCCCGTCAAGCGATCGGCTTTGGTAATGTTCTCGAATCGCCCAGTCCTGTGTTTTCAAAAGGGGTTTCGTTATTTCGACGGCACCGCCTTATTTCGACGGCAGCTGCGCAGCACACACATACTTTGTTTGAGCACACAGACGGAAGCATCTCTTTCGCAATTGCGGAGGACTCACCTCCAGTTCTGAACCAGACTAGGGTAGCTCCGTCCCCACCCCTCCGTCACCATTCTGATCATGCTGGCAGAACCGAGGCACTTGCAAGGAAAGTAGGAGCATCGACTGCACTAATAGTCATATAGCAACTTGTATTTTGCGTTCAATGACACTATTTGGGCATAGGTTCTCCCTGTATACTGGCTCTACTCCCACACGTTGTGCAGTGCTCCAAGCTCCTCAATGGGCAGTGGTGCAATTGCAGAGTGCTTTCAGTACAGAAGTCAAGTTAACTATCACACCTGGCCGTGCCGGCAGTGAACTACCACGCCTGGCCATGCCGGCAGTGGTCATAACTCTCCTCCCGTGTAGGAAACCACCCTGCTGAGAGCCCCCACTGAAATGTCCAGGTCCACCGCAGTTGCCTGCAGATGCTGCCAGGTTGGACAAAAAAGCGGCGACCACACGCAGCTGCCGTCGGAATAAGATGATGCCGTCGAAATAGCGATTCCCTTCAAAAGCAGATGTACATACAACGACGTAATGCTGGTCCTGGAATAGCACTGGTGTGATATTCCAGCGCATAGGTGCGACGCGAAGTTGGTGCTATTTGACTTTCGAATAGCCCTGGTCTCCAATAGCACCGGTGTGCGATAAATGTACTGTACACGCTGGCTCTAATTGTGTTGTGAACGAGCCAAGTTCATTTGTCTAATACAGGATCCGCGCGGAACCACGCGCCTTATATACGCTACGAGAGTATAAATGCAACATTGACGGGCTGGCGGGCTTGCAACTGGAGGACACACCTGGGTAACCTGGCGGTCTCGTACAACATATGTACTCACTCTTTCGTCCGTGACCGGCGGCCGCAACCGTCTACTATCTATCATACAAAAAATAGAAAGCCAAGAGTCATGTCTTGCTCCTCCCGACTTGGAAGCGAGTGGCCTTTCCTGTCGGCGTTTCACCATCTCAAGATTCTCAACTCACCGCCACTGCACTACGATCGTCATGTCACTGAACGATAAAGAAGCCAAGGCACTGGAAGATGAAGAAGCCGAGGCACTGAGCAAACACTTAGGAGGGAAGCATGGACTTGGGGCTTGCAAGAACCTTCTGAAGGTACGGTGCTATGTATAGCATTTTGTAACGTTCTGGATAGAACGCAAAACGCTTAGCGTTCACTGTAACTTAGATCATCCCACCACTCTGAAGAGCGTGCGAGATCGAGCACCTTTGCCAACAACCATCAAGAAAAAAGGGGACTGGAAAGAAATCATCAGGTTTTTTGACGCCGAGGCGGACGTCGAAAAATCAAAGCTCGAAGAGATGAAAGTGCTTCTGCAAGACATCTATCCAAGCAAATCTATGACCACCGGGTGAGTTGCTTTTACCGTTTTGCTTGCCTTGTCGGAACCTCACACCTCCGACTCGCCAGCAGCCATGGTGCAAGGGACACAAATGGAACCTGTGCCTTCGAGACCACCAATGCATTCCCCAATCCGGCTGTTCCCTCGGTCACCATGCCCGTACCTGCGGCCCAACGCAACTCGGTCAAGTTTGAGGTTTCTCTGGGACAACCGAATGAAGCCCGGCCCTTCAACTCGCCCGCTGGGAACTCTGCCGACGATAAAGCCGCCAGTATCGCCTCAACAGATATGGACACGTTAAAAGGAGCCACTGTCGACCCCGCCTCGGCCGATGCGGCAGTCAAGCCTCCCAGCTTGGCGGCAGCGTATTCCACTCCGCAGACTAGTGCGTACCACCTTGGTGGTCCGGGCTCTCCTCACATGCAGGTTTCTCAATGGCATGGTGTGTGCGCGCATGTTTTCAACAGCTCTTGTTGCTTGATTCCGTGTACACAAAGAATACTCAAACTCACTCACTGCTCACTGTCCAGGTTACCCGCCCTATTACTCCCCACATGTTTCCATAACAGTTACCACGAACACTGTCTCTGATGACAAGGCGCACCAAATGGACGTTCCTTCGATGGGCGGATCGGTCGCCGATACCTCTGTGACGAGTAAGGCTGCACATGTAAGCTTCCCGAGATAGCAACACAAAATGAGTCGCCTTAAAACTAAATAATGTTCCACTCATACAGGTCCTCTCGACAGTCGCGTCGGCGTTCGGGTCTTCGGATGCTGAGGCGGAGGAGTCCAACCCCCAAAGCGATACCTACTACTTCATCGGCATCGGTGCCTTGACAGGATTTCTCATCGGATTTATCATCCTGTGCATTCGAATCGACCTCCAAGCCCTCATTAGTGCCCCTGTCGGCGGTACCCTCATTGCGGCCGATGGCGCGCTCATCAAAGCCTATTTCAATAAAAGGGAGCGCGACCGACAGGCAAAGAGGGCAGCATTTCAGAGAGCTCTTGAAAAGATCTGCGACGACCCGGACGTACGGATCTTTTTCCAGCTTATCACTCGGGGGAAAATCCCGCCTCTTGCGGGATGCAACGATTGCAATCATTGCAACATTGGAAACTTCCACGAATGTCCGAAGGCAGAGTGCAAGTTGGAGAACCAAATTCACTTCGAGCATCCCCTTGGGACACTGGGCCTGAAGGATATCCGGAGAAATTATTTGTTCATGGAGGAAGACCACATGGCGGACAGCAGGATAAGCAAACTTCGAGCTGCATGCGTAAAGGCCGTTCGCGTTTTTCACTTCCAGTGGCTGGAGCTAAAGAAAGGTGAGGCACTCTCCATTCTCCTTATGCGGACCTCATCCCCTGATCTCATCGGAATTTGCACGCCCATATTTTCAGATAAGAAACTTCTGAAAGAGGTTGTCCGTGAAAGCAATCTGGAGACGCTTGTTCATTACGAAAACTCGGTCCTGCACGAGCATCACCACGGCGACGGGAACAGGCCTTACAGGGCACAACGCTACGGCACGTCCAGGCTTTACCACGTCTGCTACCATGAGCTTTGCGAAGCCCAGTTTTGGTCGTTTATCGCATTCCTCAACTTTGTGGAAAAGGTCCATGGTAAGGACGCCCTTCTTCGTTGCAACTGTGCGTCTATTTGCGTTGGTTGAGTTCTCATCACTCACCCTCGTGCAACCAACAGCTCTCACCCCGTGCAACAGCCGTCGACACGGAACCGTCCGCCTTGTGCCACACTGACGTCTGCACCGTTATTTGGATACCCGGTTGCCCCTCGAAGCCCGTGCCTAGACAGCACACCCATGAGCCCCCCACGCACACAGTCTCAATCGCCCCAGCAGATCACAAGCAGCAAATGGAACCCATCCAGCTGTTGCCGTAAAACGACTGAAACGACCTCCCACACATGAAACGCAGAACCCGTTGCCGGCAACGGATGACCTAACCATACCTCATTCTGATACCGTGTGATACCCTCATGCCTAGTAGATAGAACACCAATCCTTGCGCCATAGGCCTCATCGTTTGAAAACTTTCCTTGCATTTGCTACGATACCGTATGATATACCCACTCGCCTAGAAGATAGAAAACCGAGAATTTGCGAGTCTTTGAAGTTGAACACAATAAAAAAAGGCAATGCTGAAAAAGATACATAACGGTGTCTTATTACACGTCCACGTCTGGCGACTCGGCGATTCCCTATATCATGTCCGACCCTATCTAACGTTTACGGTGGATCCGGCACCCGACTCGACATCGTACACGCCGATAGGGACTCCGAGAACAGTGCGTCGGCCGCCCATCGGTTGAATGAAGCGTTCCTGCATCTCAGCACCAGACTCCTTGCTGGGGTTTTGTGCGCACGTGGACACTGGGTACAGAGCCGGAAACAAACAAACGCCAATGAACCCTTATGAACACCACCGCAAACACACAAACAAACATCCACCCGCCGTCAGATTCGCGGTCTGGCGCCGCCGGTGAGCATACACACCGTGGCCGCGATGCCGTAAACGGGCATACGAAAGCCAGCAGCATGGCCGCGTGATGCGTCCCGGATCCCGCCTGCGGTTTCGCGAGCAGCACGAGGGCGTTTGGGGCGATGGGATTGTGAGAGCGGGAGGTGGGCTGCGAGTGCTTCGCCGCGGTGGTTAGGAGACGACCGTTGTGGCCGGGAGGCGGGTTCGCTCGATGATCACGCATATGACGAGGCCTCCGTCGTACGTTGGGGAGAAGGGACGTTACTTGCAGATGCTTCGAGGTTGGGAATGGTACCTGTTGGGCTGATGTTCCAGCATCCATCTACCGGGGTTTCGTCTGCAAAGTACAGCTGTTGTGTTGTTCAATAATGAAAACCCTGTGGGCAGATTTGTTTGGTGAGTTGATCTGGACAGTGGTGTCCGGGCCCTACGAACCAAGGGCTCTATCTGCCTTGCGGCTGCGAGTGCATGAAGAAGCGGAAGCGTCAGCCAGGGAGTTTGAACAGATCACATATGATAAGATCGCATGACCCATTGGTGGGAGGAACTGACATCACAAGTTTTGCCAAGCAGACGCCCCGATGTAGGCCCACGGCACCCGATGCGTAGCACCCTCGCACTGGCATCTTGGTGAAAATCGGCGAACGAGGTCCCTGTCAAACTTCTGTCAATTCGCAACGCTTCTGGCCGCACACCCAAAAGGCGTCGAGAAAAAAAGGGAGGAGGGGCTCGCAACTGACCCTTGGGGTGGGTCGGTGGGCTTAGCTACGGGCAAAGCATGTCATGTTGTCGCAACTAACTTACGTCACCCTGTAGGGAAACTCAGGACCAAAGTTGGAAAGCACACATGGGGGTTGCCGAAGAAAACAAGGAAGCAAGCTCCATGAGGCGGGCATGGAGGTCTTGATGCAGGAAATCCTAGAAGCCGGGGCCTAGATCCACGCAGACCAACACGGCTTACTTTTCTATAAACCGACTCTGCACCACCGTAACGTCCCAGGGGTCCAGGGTGAGCGGTGTGCTGAGGCCCACCCGTTGCTTCGTACCCGTGCCCCCTATATCTAGTACGATGCAGCGATACCGCGGCGGTCACTCGTTTGGAAGTGCCTCGGAATATGATAACTCTCACCGTTGCCATTTGTCCCCAATTTGTCCAGAATCTGTCCCCACGTCAACTTGCCACGTTTCGCCCGCCTGTCAGCCTGTCACCGTTCAGGTCACCGTTCACCTTTCTTCATCTCCATCACAAACCCCCACCTCGCAATTATCATCCCCCCACCCCATCTGCCCCACCACCCGCCATGTCCTCCGCCTACGGCGCCATCCCCCCACCCCCCGCGACCACTCCCCTCCCCCTCCCGCACTCTTTCATCCTCCGCAACGGCACCTTCGCCATTCTCACATCCTTCAATCCAACCTCAGATTCCCACCTCCTCCCCGTCCTGCGCGGCTTACTGAACGCAGAGATCGAGAAGGGAGACACCTACCCGCAGGAGCAGGTGCTGCAGGAAGCGGAGTTTGAAGCCTACTTCTGTAGCGGAACCGTGTTTCTGGCTAGGGTTGCGGGCGAGGGGGGGGATGTCATTGGGTGCTTTTACGTCAAGGTGGGTTGGGCAAATGCGCGGCTCAATTTGCGCTGACCCAAGTCGAGGGGAAATTGCAATGGCAACTCATTCCCACGCTTTGCATGGTTCCCCCCCTGCCAGCCGAATTTCCCCGGCCGCTGCTCGCATATCTGCAACGCCGGGTTCATCGTCTCCCCCAGCTACCGCAACCTCGGCGTCGGGCGCGCGCTCGCGGAGCTGTTCCTCGTCGTGGCGCCCAAGCTGGGTTACAAGGCCTCTATGTTCAATCTGGTACGTCCTTTTATTCTCTCACCCGCATGTATGTGTGATGGTAGGGAGGAGGGTGGAGGGTTTGACCCCGTTTTTGGTATTAGGTGTTTGAAAGCAACACGCCCTCGATCCGCCTCTGGCGCTCGCTCGGGTTCCGTGAGATTGGACGGATTCCCAGGGCCGGGAGGTTACGGCTTCCCGTTGGGAATTCCACGACGACCTCCGAGGTGGAGTCTGGAACAACGACCGCGGGTGGGGTGGGCGAGGTGCAGGAGACGTATGTGGACGCGTTGATGTTTTATTATGATTTTGCGGATTTAGAGAGGGCGGCGTAGGAGCGGAGGATGGGACATGAGGGAGTCGGATTGGCGGATGGATACATGTCCCCAGGTTTAGGAAGACGTGGGAAGACGTTAGCGGGACAATTTGAGGTGTAACGATTTGCAATGCGGCGTAGAACGAAACAGGCACAGTAGAGCAACTATGGTGGCGATATCCCCGGGGCCTAGTCGCAGCTCACATCCGATAGCGGGCAGGAAAACGTACATATATATATTTCGGGATCCTCCACCTGGCCGTGCACGAACACCGGGGCTACCCTACATAGCGAGCAGTGAACCACAGCGGTCTGCATCTTTCTCGATTAGCCCTGGGTATACCATCCTGATTCAGCGCCCCTACTCGCTTCACATGATTGCGGTGTCCCTGCCGCGCAACCACACTTGGAGGGGACGCCCTCCCTCACAAATAGACCCTCCTCAAATCCGCCGGCGCCGTGATCTTCTGACACTGCGGGCATAGGCGTTTCGTGCCTAGGGTCCTGAACCAGCATCTAGCAACCACAACAAGCTCCATGTAAGTCCAAGTGACATGACCATGAACGGGGATACAGCATGAGGAACTGGGATATGATTCAACGTACTGTTCGCAATGCACATGCCAGCACACGATGGAGACCAGCGGGTCGGTGTAGGGGTCGAGGCAGATGAGGCATTTGGGGGAGGTTGATGAGAGGCGTTCCTAAAGCGGAAGTATGGTGAGGAGGGGGGTGTTGGAATGTCGTGCGTTTTTCTGAAAGGGTGTGGAACATGACACGTACCAGATCGCGGATCCGGGATTTGAGGGCGTCGATGACGAGTTTTGTGTCTGACGAGGAGGAGGGTGGATGGTCGGTGGATGGATCTAAGGCGGAACAATGGGCAGGTGTTGAGCAACAAGCACGGCCGGCGTGCGTGGGGACACCGAGGTAAAGAAACCACTCACATGTATCGCGACTGTCCCCGACGGTCCCGGGCTGTGCATCCGCATTCGCCCCGGGGTCGATGTCGTCGGTGCTGCGAAACGGATCCAGGTGCTGTTCGCCGAACTGCGTCTGTCCAAACTCGTCGGTGCCGTCGTCGTCGATGTCGATCTCTTCGTCGGTGTCTTGTTCGGCGGGTTTGCGGACTGTGAAGCCGCTGGCTGGAGAAACAAGTAACGGTGGGGTTAGCTTGAGCGCAGAGCTGGTATAAACTTCCTGTGACGAGGTACCCTACCTGCAAACCCGCCCTCCAGCATCGCCGACGCACGCACACGGGTCTGGCCCGCCCACGTATACTCCTCCCACTGTTCGCCGCTCCCACCCTGGTCAATCGCGGGTACATTTAACCCCGACGACGACGACGCGCCGGCCGCCGCGTTCTTCTGCGCTTCCAGACACTCATCGATATGTCTGTTTAGCGCCTCGGCTTCGAGTGGTAGAGGTTGATCGCACATGAAGCACCGGCCGCTGTCCCCGTCCCCGCCATCTCCTACGCCACTGTTGTTGTTGTTGTTGGTGCCTCGCCGCTTATGGGACGTGGGTTTGGCGCCGACTCCGAGCTCGGCTTTCCGTTTGAGGTTGTTGGCGCGGAGTGTGTACAGCAGCTACTGGGGTAAGGGAGCAGACACAAGGAATTCAGTTGTTTGAAGCGCGATAGTTGGGGGGGATGTGAAGAAATTTGGACGCACCATCTCGTCCTCATCCAACTGATTCAGTGCATTGGACGCCAATGCTGCGGCTTTTCCTTTCGTCACCGAGGCGATCTGCTGCGCGGCTGCCAGCGCCGCGCCTCTTCGGACCCTTGACGGCCTGGAAAACGATAAATTGATTCATCAGAACTATCAACCATCAGCCATTGACCATCCAACTATCACCCATCCACCGTCGAAGTCAACCATCCACCATCAACCATCCACCAGCGCGTAAGCCCAGATCGCTCCCTTCCGTCGCAGCTCGCAGACGCTCGCTAATACATGGGAGTAAAGGCAGTATCGCGCGCTTGGTGCAATGTGGCTCGCTCCGCTCGCATTGGCTCTGGTCGACCTCGGTAACGCTAGGTCTCCCAGAGCGCATCAATCCCAAGCGTCCCTTCACCTCGCTGCGCTCGCCGCAGTCCGACTTCGCTATCGTCGGGGGGAATTCCACGCATCATCCCCCGTGTAGGATGTATGTAGATCACACCTTCCCCTCGTTTCGCTCGCGGCTCGCCTCGCTCGCGATCCATCCATCCCCCGGACCTAAAAGCCCACCCATTCGTTCATCCCCAACACCCACCCCGTGGCATCCTCTACAGCCTGCTGTACCGTTTGTCCGTCGGCTACACGCCGCAGTTCGAGTTCGCAGTGGGTGGCGAGGTCGCTGAGGGATAGTGAGAAACCGCAGAGTGGGCACGGTTGGCGGCGGGTGTCTTTTGGAGGGCGCGGACGTGGTTAGGAGGACTGCATGAGGGTGTTGATATCATGTGGCGTAACTTACCTACCTGAAGGTGAAAAAGGCTGGTGGGGTTCTTTTCCATTCCTGTGCATTCAAGACGGTGAGTACACGTAATAGGACAATTGTCCAGCGAAAATGGCGCTTACGTCGGAGTGTTGTGGGCGGGTGCTGGGCGAGGGATACTGTTGAGAGTCGTGGGTCCTTCTGTTCCTGTCCACGGCGTTGCCAGTGCTGGTTCTTTGGGCATATCTCTGTGTGTATGTCTTTGTGTTGGCTGGGTTCCTCCCCTTCTAGTGCGAATTCACAGCAGGAGGGAAAGAACACCTCCGCCTCGTTCGGACGCGCCGTGGAATGTCACACTTGCCTCTATTCCCTTGGTGTTCGCTTAGGACACACATACCCTTGGAGGCCGCCGTCTATCCTCTCTCTTATTTATATCAGGTGCCCTCTCTTGCTCTCGGACCACCGCACGGATGAGCTTTGACATCGCAGCTGCATCGTAGGAGGACAGCATCGCACGCGTGGGTTTTTGGACAGGTCGCTACCTCCACAAAAAAGGGAAATGACAACAGGGTTCACCAACTCGCCTGGAATGGCACCAGCAACGGCGACCGCAGACCCAAGCATGCAAAGCTTCATGGACTCGCTTTCTCGCGACCTGGACGAAGCCGGAGAGTCCGCTCTCAAACAGCTTGAAGGCGCGGGCGACGGCGGCCATCTCGTGCGTCCAACGCGCGCGCGTGCGCAGAAGAACGTCCATAGCAGCCAAAGCGCAATAGACCTGCCCAGCTTCGAATTGTCCACCTCCTCCGAAAACACAGCCAGTATCAGCGTGCTGCAGATGCCGCCCGGTTTCTTGTCGCAGACCGAAAACGACTTACGCAGGGAGTTGGACGAGATCTCGGGGCCGTCGTTTTTGGGCGAGGTGGAGGATTTTGACAAGGATGCTCCGAGGATAGCTGATCAGCACACGGCCGAGCGACGGGCGTCGCCACAGATACATGGCGATTCGAAGCATGAACTCTCCTTGGCGGATGATTCGATGCTCCCTCATGTTAGCGCCGATAATCGAGAATCCGCGAACCACGGGGATGAGCCGGCGGATCAGAGCATAGATCGCGGGCAGGCGATGGGGAACCTTGACCCGAGCGGCATAGGTACTGGAGGCGACTTTAGCCTCTCCTTCGACGCCAATCCAGACGTTCCGCAAGTGCCGTCATTATCGACCATTCGCGATACCACGGGCGTGCGCAGAGCCGGCGGATTGGAAACCACGGTCACGGCTGAAGCGTACGATTACGAGGAAACGGGACCCAGCACAAGCGATGTGGGCAGACTCGCGAATACAGGAGCCGATGGCGCGTACGAACCCACAGAGGTGTTTGCAGACACCGGGTCTTCCGTGCCGGCGGCGGATGCCCCTGTAGCGGACGCCACAATACCGGTTGAACCCTTGGACGATTCGCTATTCGATAGGCTGGAAAAGTTTATAGCGCGAGAGGAGGAGCAGTTGAAGCGTTTGGATATAGAGCTCCAAGCTGAAAGCGAAGGCGCGTCGTTTCAGTTATTCACCGGAGTGCAACCCGACAATGGTCTCGTCCACACTGGTGGGGCTCAGGAGGAAGCCACCTTCACCCAATTGATACCCAACTCCCAGCCCCGCCAGTGGTTTTCAGAATCCAAGATCGCCGACGAAGGCTTCCTGTACAATACCCCAACCACCTACACCAACAACACGGCGGATTCTAACAACGGTGGAAGTAGCAACAACAACAAGAGTGATCGTAGCCCTGGCAACAAACCTAATCTAACTATGAGACCAAGCAGCGCCCGCTCATCGCCCGCCATATCCTATACAGGCCCGTTCAAATCAATCATGGACGAATCAGAAGCAGAGGACGAGGAAAGTCTGCCGCTCGACCCGGCGTCCCCCTACCCTGAACGGCGGTCTCCTTCGCCTACCCCGCATTCGCCGCTACGGCCTACCACCGGCGACGAACGCCACCAACTCGCAGATTCACCATACGCGGACCTGCGTTCCCCTTCCCCCACCTCGCACTCGCCCTTCCACCCACCCACCACCGACGACGAACGCCATCGACCCGAAACAGAAGACGAAACAGATGATTCCTCACCCACCTTGTCGTTCAAGTACGCGTCGGATCTGGTGATCAAAGGCCACAGGATGCCGACGCCGACGACGGCCGAGTCTGAACTGGATTTCGGCAGCGAAGACGAGGATGAGGATAGCAGTGGTGCTGAAGGGGAGTACGGGAACGTGTTGGACGCCGCGGAGAGTTTTCAGGGTGTGCGGTCGCCGTTGCCCGAGCCGCGGGAGAGCGAGCAGGTCTTTAAGGGCGATGCGTTTGAGGAGGCTTTCTTCCGGGAACAGTCGGGAGGGGAACGCGATTTCGACGCGGAACGCAGCGAGGAGGTGTATAGGAGGGACGAAAAACCGATCGAGGACGACCAAAGCTTCCGAGACGACATCTGGCTCGGCGCAGCCCGCAGCATGCCCGAGCGGTCCCAGTCCCAGACGCGCTCGCAATCCCTCTCACCCCAACGCGCACCGCCTCGCTCCAGCCCGTCTACGCGGGACCAAGACATATATATACCCACCCACGACCTGGAACACGACAACCAAGCCCCTCGGCAACACCCGCCGCCCCGCCTCCCCTCACCCTTCGCAGCCATGACCGACAACGACGATACCCCGCCCTCCGCTCTGTCTGTGGACCTTCAACCCCCGACGCCTGCACCACGGTCGTTCACGAGGGCGCCGCCGAGGTCTCCGCCTACACAACCCCCGGAGCAGCAGCAGCAGCACCCCCTCCCACCCTACCTCAAATTCTCGTTCAACGCGGGACCGGAGTTCAGCGATACGTTTACGACTATGCAGGATGCTACGGATACCATGCACACCGTCGCGTCGGCCGCGGTGCATCCTACCCTCCTCACCCACCAACCCCAACGCGCGAACCTCACCCCCGTCACCGCAAAGCCAGTAGTGGACGCCCTCCGCGTCCTGCAATCGAAAGTCGGCAAACTGGAATCCGAAAAAGCGGTCGCGAAGGAGCGTATCCGGGATCTGGAGGGGGAGCTTGGCCGTGCCCGAGGCGCGGTGTTGATGGAGCAGGCGACCCGATTGAGGGAGAGTCAGTTGCGGGAGAGTCAGTTGAGGGGGGAGGTGGGTGTGCGTGGGGGGAGGTGGGCACGTGAACGGGAACGGGAACGGGAGAGCGAACGGAGGGATGCAGAGACGCAGGTTAGCGGGGAGGAAGACGTCGGTGCGGGACCGGCCGTATCACCTCGACGGACCGCCACACGTGATCCGCCCACAGTATCGCCGCCCCAACCAACGCACAGCCACCAGCATCAACAACCGACGGACGAAGACCTCGCCCTCCGGCGCGAGCGCGACCTCGCCCTGCAGAAACTGCACGACTCGCTCACTGAAGTCGCCCTCCTGCGCCGCGAGGTTGCCCTGAGGGACAGGGAGATTGAGCGGACGAAACGGGAGGCGGATGTGATTGTGAGGAGTCTGAGCAGTGCCGTGGGTGTTGCTGCTGCCAGTGCTGGGGGAACTGGTCGCGTCGCGCATCCCCCGCCAGCTGCACATTCCGCACCATCTACACACCAGGACCAAGCGGACATGTCGTGGGCGTCGACGTCCGGGGGGAGGTTGTCGTATGCGAATGTGCCGGAGGTTGCGGGCGGGTCGAAAGAAAGGCGCGCGGAGGTGGCGAGAGAGGGGTCACCGGCACCGGCGCGGAAGAAAGGTGGCCCTACTTCGTCACCGACCAGGACCACGGGTGAGGGAGCGACGAAGAGAGCTGAATCGCGATCCTCTGGGAGATCCGATGATGAGGGGAAGGACAAGGGCAAAGCTGCTGCGTCTCCGGGGAAGGTCTCGTCTCCAGCCCCATCGGCCCCGCGGAAAGAAGGGAACACGAAATCGTCCCCTGTCCAATCCCAAGCCCCACCACCAAGAACCTCCACACCCCCGGCTGCTCCATCATCTCCCTTGCGTGACACCGCACAACAACCCAAATCCAGCCGCAAATCACCACCACGCAACGAAGTGAAAAGCCCCGCCCGCGCTGAAAAAGATCCGGTTGCACCCAAAGATGACAAGGAGGATGCTGAGGAGGATGGTGAGAACCCCGCAACAACGACCTCCTTCCTCCTCCGCGACGAGATCCGCGCGCTGAGAGAGGAGATTGAACGGGGACGGCGGAGGGACCGGGAGGCAAACGGTGGTGAGGGTGAACGGAGTGGGCGGGCGGACGAGACTGCGGGCCGGAAAAGCGAGCGCGAGCTGCTTAAGAGATCTGCCGGTGGGGTTAGTGACGCAGCGAAGCCTCCACCACCACCAGCATCAACGCTGCACCCGAACATGATCACGAAAGACCGCCTGCGCCGTCTGATTGTCAATAAACTGCTTGAGAAGGAACGTAACCGGGTCAAAACGGATGAGGACGAGACGGGTACGAAGGTGATGTGGAAACGCGTCGATGCGGGCGGTGCTGTGGGTGCGGATAGGGTGGGGCAACACCGACGGGCGCGGAAGGATATGCAAAGTGAGCACCGATCTGCGGATGAAAGGACGACGACAGCGACGCGGCCACGGTCCGCGGATCGTCAACGTCGTATCCACGAAGCCGGCCGCGCCGCCGCCGAAGTCCGCGCGCGGTCCGTCGGTGGTGCCGGGAAACGCGCGTCCCCAACAGCCCCACAAGGCGACGACCGCGCTGCAAAGCTGCACCGGGAAACTAGAGGCAAGCCGGCGAGGACAGCGGCCACCGATACCACCACCACCTCGCGGCGACACCAGTTGCAGCAGCATACCCAGGCGATCTTACATCAGCAAAAGGAAAAGCAGCAGCAGAGGAGTGTGAAGACGCAGACGGGGGAGGCGAGGACGGAGCCGAGGACGGAGCGGGGTGGTGGTGTGGCCGCGACGAGCAGCGCCAGTAGGAGGAGGGACAGGGCGGATCCGGCGGGAGGACCGGCGGGGACTAGGCTGTTTATGGAGATGCCGTTTGTGGTTGGGAAGGTAAGCTTCTCATTCGCGTGGGGGTGTTTGTGATTGTTATCTGAGGAGCCTTCTGTGGAAACATGATCATGCATGGTATGCTCACTGGTTCCCTCCCCCCAGTCCGCGACAAAATCCTACTCAGTAACCGCCAACCTCCAACAAGTCCTCTCCCTCCTCAAAGCGCACAACCCCTCCCTCTGCTCCGTCTGCTCCTCGCGCCGCACGCATGGTCTCGTGCACTCGCACCCACCGCACACACGGCGCCCACCGCGGGACCCGAAACACGACGGCCCGCTCGAGCGGCACCAGCACGCCGCGCTGGCGCATAGCGGGTTCTTTGGCGCGCGGCTTGGGGACGGGTTGGCGCGGGGGCCAGCCTCGACACGAAGTAGACGCACGGGGGGTGAAAAGACGAAACGCACGACGGATGAAGATGGAGATGGGGACGAGTTTGATGACCATGCGTCATTCCATGGGGACGTGCTGGACACGGCTGCGGCGGTGGCGTTGGCGGCTGCGACTGTTGGCGCGGCGAGGACGAGGTCGTTGACGAGGAAGGGTGGGGATCGGGAGAGGGAGAGGGAGAGGGGTGAGAGGAGGGGCGGGAAGGCGGCGGAACAGGGTCAGGGTCAGGATTCGCGGCGAGGCACGCGTGGGGACGTGGACCGTGGTCGCCGCACGCACGAGCGGGATGATGGCATGACGACGCTGGAGCGGGTGCTGGCGGTGCTGGAAGACGAGTTCCAGGATCTGAAACGGTATGTCATGTTCTTCCCTTTCGTGGTGATTAGTCTGGTGGGGTGCCCATTCGTGCGAACCCTTGATGAAGGGGACCGTGTTCATTACCTCCCTCTCACCCAATCATCCACCCTGTAGCCACTACCACACCCTCGTCCGCCACTACGAATCCGTCGCCTCCCGCACCACCTCCTCTCCCACCGACCCCATCGATGCGTACACCCTGCATCACGCCTCGACCTCCTCGCACACCACCGCAACAACTACCACCACAGCCCTCCGCAGCCTCGGCGACGACCTGCGCCACGTCATCCGCGCCATGGACACCAAAGGCGACCAGATTGCGATACTGAGGGAGATCCTGAGGGGGTTTGGCAGGGTTGTTGGGAATGCGGGTGGGAAGGGGACGGGGAACGGAAAGGGGAAGGTGGATCATGAGAGGGCTGCGGGGCGTGTCTAATGTGAGGGGAACTGGGAGAGGAAGTAGGCCGCCCGTGTTCACGAGACGCGATTGAGCCCGGATTATACTGTATATCGTCCGGAATGGGGAGTTTACGGGGACCGGGGGGCTTCTGAAAAGGGCTTGTAAGCTCTATGTCACCTGTTTGTCTGCATGTGCAATGTTGCATGAGATTGTACATATAAATACAGACAACGTCGCCAACCTCCTGTATGGCCCCTGAAACCTGACTTCCGGAGGGAGTGCGGTGGGGGCACCAAGTCCTTCCTAATCTACTTACTGTAAGCTACATAAACGCTGGCTGTGTGATATTAAAGAGCTGGCGTCGGGGTTCTATATATGTGTGCAACATATCGAGTCATATTACCGCACCGAAGTGACGAACTCCCTCTGATCATTTCTTCCTCGTCAAAACAGCGTCGGTCAACTGTATCAGCGCCGAGCGGGCGGGTGTGTCCGGCAGCAGCGAGATGGCGTCGATGGCTTTTTGGCAGTAGGAGGCCGCGAGGGCGTGGGTGCGCGGGAGGCCGTCTGATTGGAAGACGAGTTCTAGTGCCTGGGAGGGAAAGAGCAAAAAACTGTCAGAAACATGGCGAAGAATGTCATGTCACAGTATATATGACCTACCTTCTCAACATCCCCCTTCTCCGCAAAATTCCGCTCCATAAGCACATGCAGCTCTCCATACGTCTCTGCCGCAAACAGCACCGGCGCGGTCGCGAGTCCCAATTTCAGGTCCGCATTGACCGGTTTCCCAAACGCGTCGGCCGAGGTGGTGAAATCCAGCATATCGTCCACCAACTGGAACGCGATTCCCAGGTTCTTGCCGTACGCGTAACATGCGTCGACCACGTGGGGTGTGCAGCCGCCGAGGACGGCGGCGGCGCGGCAGGATTTGGCGATCAGGGAGGCGGTTTTGAGGTACGTTTTTTCGAGGTAGTAGTCGAATTTTTGGGCGAGGATTTCTTGCTGTTCGGGTGTTTGTTGGGACGTTGAGTTTGTTGAAGAAGGCGCGGGGAAGAGCGGATCCCGAATATGGCGATGAAACCACGACGTTCCCTTCTCCTGTTTACTACTATTCAGCGCCGAGTTGCGCAACTGCATGAACTCGCCCTCGACGAGGTTTGAGATGACGGTGGCGAGGAGCTCGACGACCTCGACGTTTCGTAAGCGGGCGAGGGCCACCGATGCGCGGGCGAGCAGGAAGTCGCCGGCGAGGATGGCCATCTTATTTCCAAACTCGGCGTTGGCGGAGGGCGTGCTGCGGCGGGTCATCGCGAGGTCGATCACGTCGTCGTGGAGGAGCGAGGCGGTGTGGATCATTTCGGAGATTTCGGCGAGGCGGCGTTGGGTCGAGAGGATGTTGTTGTCGGGGAGACTGCTGATGTCAGAGGGCCGTATCGTCTTTGTCTTTGCCTCGTCGAACCGTACCTCCCTGTCCATCGAACTCACGGGCACGTCCACATCCCCATCGTGCAACCTCGCCCGTTCCGCCGCGGCATCATACCCCTCCCGTTTCGGCGCCACACTCGTCGCCTGCGAGACCAGCAACACCACCATAGGCCGCACATGTTTCCCTCCCGCCGAGAAATAGTAGTTCGCAATCGTCGCCAGCACAGGATGTCCGGTCCCCAGCAACCGGCGCACATGTTCCGTCAACAGCGCCAGATCGTTGCCCAGGAGGTCACTGGGCTTGATCCGCTGGGTTCCGAGTGCTGGCGAGACGAGAGTCTCGCTCGCGGACATGGCCCGTGACCATTCGGGCGAGGTGGGGGTGGGTTTGGCCCCTATCCCTTCGGGGAGGGCTTGCGAGGCTGCGGCTTTGAGCGCGCTCACTGCTGCCTTGTCCCGCATTGCTGTCACTTTTTCGGTTATCCAACTGCTACTATTGCTGGAGGCATCTTTTCCTGACGACGCTGCTTCTGGTTCTGGTGAGGCCTGTGATTGTTGTAATCTCGTTGCCGTGCTAGAGTATTTCTGGTGCGAAGCCTGAAGTGTGCAAAAACGATTAGTCTCTACATCCACAAACCCTTGACCTCCTCCCTGTCTCGTAGATCAGCTAGATCACCCTATCTACCATCTTGCCCGAACACCCAGCTATCTCCCCGAGGTCTGCAAACTCACCTTGAGAGGAAGGGTGGATGACCGCGGGCGCAAACCCCGCCGCGCCAATATTGGAACGGCGTGAAGCATCGGGTGGGTTGGGTTGGGTGGGGGGTGTGCAGGTGAAGAACGGGGAGGTTGTTGCAGACAGGGCGACCAGCTTCCGTTATGCGAGGCTCTATGTACGGTCTAAGACTCTATGCGCACAGGGGGGGCTTGTGCCAGCAGCGACAAGGTGCTCGTCGGAGAAAGGCTGCAAAGGGAGTCCAACAGCCTGCGCGTTCGGCAATTCCTCCCCTCTTTGCCGTGCGACCGCGGAATTCGCAAAACATTAACACTCTCGCATCCTTTCTTGCCCATATATAAAACAAGCCAATACATACACCATCCCCCTCCACTCTCCTCCGACTCCCTTCATCTACATACACATACATACATACATTGTATCCATGTCGGAGTATTCGGGGGTTGAGTTGCGGTTGACTATTGTGTGCCTTAGCCTACCTCCCTTCGCTCCCATCCCCTGGCCCCAACTGCGTTTCCATTTTCCCGTTTCGAACATAGTGTACATCGACCTTTGTGGTTTTCTTCTGGGTCTTGGGGATGTATGGTTTCGATTTCTGAAAGGCGGCAGGGGTGGAGTTTCTCGGTTTCTTAACGGCGTCTGCGGTCACACAAGGGAAGAACAGATGAGCGGGAGTAATGACATACTACTCTGACTAAAGAGCGAAAACCCACCGATCAGAAGACTCCCTATCGCGTCTCGGACTTCTACTCCTCCTCTCCTTCTTCACCTCCCGATCGCGGTCGCGGTCACGATCACGATCCCGTCCCCTCTCCTTTCCTTCCCGACCATAAGAAGACCCCCCCTCACGCCCCTCGCGTCCCTCACGCTCCGAGCGATCCGACGAGCGGTGGTGGTCGCGGTCCTTGTACCCATCACGGTCCTTGTCACGGTGGGACGACGAGCGGCGGTAGTCTGAGGAGCGGCTGTCGTCGTAGTCCGGGCGGGAGGTGCGGCGGTAGTCGCTGGCGGGAGCTGCGGGGGTGGGGAGTGGGGCGCCACTGGGAATGCTGGCGTTGTTGTAGGTGCCGGGCTCGAGTTTGACGTCGGGGTGGCGGTGGGAGCGGTCTGAGTAGTCGCGATCGCCGCCTCCCCCTCCTCCATATCGACCGCCGGAAGCACTGTATGCCAAGGAAACAGCAGTTAGTTTGAAGATCGCTCGTACAACATCACACAAGCTGCTTTCATATGCAGTTACTTACGGTCGATCACCATAACCACCTCCACCACCGCCATAGCCACCACCACCATAACCACCACCTCCACCTCTCGGCGGGCCCCCGTATCCACCTCCATACCCGCCCCCACCGCCATACCCGCCCCGTCTCTCACCGCCACCGCCATACCCCCCACGACCCGTCGGCGGCCCACCCCTAAACCCTCCGTCAACATACCCGCCACCGCCACCTCCTCCTCCATACCCATATCCACCGCCATGCCCCTGCCCACCCGACGCCGCCATCATCGACCCGTACCCGCCCTCACGTCCACTCCACCTCTGATTCACATCCTTCCCGCCCAACCGGGTCCCTCCGAGCCCGCCACCGAGTCGACGGGGCCTCCATCCTTTAACGGTGCGCCCGCGCTCCACGTCGACGAGCACGCGGCGGTCGTTGATTTTCAGCCCGTCGCCTTCTTTGTAGGCCGCTTTCATGTCTTTCTCGCGCTCGTATTCGATGAAGGCGTAGCCGCGGGATTTCTCGGTGTCGGGGTTGTGCACGATTCGGAGCTGGGAGTGATTTGGCGAATTTCCAGGGTTTGAACGATGATGGTTGCGGCGATGGGAAAGGGTGGAGGAGAGGACAAGCTCGGTTCAATGTTTCGTTCCACTTCGGCGGACTTACCCGCTTACCATAATAAAAAGTGCAAAAACAAACGCCAAGCACGCAACCCCACCACCACAGCCCTACACCGAAATGAACGCCATGCAACACCGACGCGAAGAGTAACTGCGGAAAGAGCAAACGAACCAGACCAGTGCTCAAACGGCCCAAAGATCATCACAGCACAAGACTGCTCCCCAGACCGCCGGGCCCTTTCCAACAGCTTCTCGTCCCCACCGTCCTTTGTCTACAAAAATTCCTTACCGATTTGATAGGCCCAAACCTTTCAAACTCTCGTTTCAGCTCTTTTTCAGTCGTATGATAAGACTAACAACCGACGAAAGAAATACACTCAAAGAGTCAATCTTCTGCCGCATACAAGAGGCAGTGAACCCCGAGCAAAAAGAGTGTAATCAACAGAACTCACCAAACGAGCCACAAACAACGTCTTGTAAGGATCACTGGCCACATTCGGGTCTTGATCGGTATCCCAGGTGGTTAGACCGTTATCAATAGCCTCTTTCGCTTTCTGTTCTCGTTCCGCTTTCTATCCCCAAAAGCAAAAAAAAGCTCAGCATCGGTCCCCCATCCCCAAACAACCCCCCCCCCCACTCCCTTAAACCTACCTTCCGCTTCTTCTTCTCCGCAACACTCTCACTCGGCACATAATCCACATCATGCCCTTTGCATCTGTCCAGAAACTCCGCGATCCCAGTCAACACGGGCCCGCGGCGGTCGGCGGGGGCGCGGTCGAGCGGTTCGAGGTACGGCAAGGGTGGCCGCGGGGCGAAGAGCTTGATGAGATGGGGGGGTAGTTGGGCGGTCATAATTTACAGGCGAGGAGGGTGATCTGCGCGAGGTGCGTGGTTTGTGGGGTGGGGGTCGGATTTTCAATGACCCTTTCCGCGTCCTGACGGGATGGTGTGTAAGCCGTAGTGAGCGGACGGGGTTGTGCTGTGGGTTGCGATCCGTAGGCCTCCCGTCGCTGATCGAGCAGTGAAGGCAGATCGTCCCGGGGTCATTTGTATCTGGTTGCAGCTGTGCCGAGGGTTAGGAGGGTTCAGTTGATCGTTGGACGGGGCCGTGACTCACGCTTAGTCAGCAACGGCCTTTTCACACAGCTATCCCAGACGGGAAAGAAAGCACAGACAGACAGTAGGTTATGATAGGTACGAGCTTGGGATGAATCTATGCAGCAAATGCAAACGACAGTAAAGAGTAACAATGTAGTGGGACACTCCACGGAAAAAAAAGATGGAACGAGCCAAGAGGCGAAAGTGCGATCCACCTCCCCACCCCTTCAAATTCCCTACTTATCCTTCCCCGCATCCTCCTTCAACGTAACCGTCCGATTAATCACCCACTTCCCCTTCCCCACGTCCGAATCCTTATCCACACAAAAGTACCCCGTCCTAACCGCCTGGAACCGATCCTCAACCGCATACCCCCTAATCCCCACCTCCGCAATCGCCTTATCCAGCACCTGCAGACTGTCCGGGTTGATATCGCTCAACCAGCCCCCGGGCACGTCTTTCTCGGACTGCGGGTTCTCGTGCAGGAACAGGTTGTTGTAGAGCCGCACGGTGGTGGGCACGGGGGAGGAGTGGGCGGGGGAATGGGCGATCCAGTGGATGTATGTCTTTGGTTTGGTCGTCTTGACCGACGCGTCGTTCTCATACCGCGCTTTGACGGCGGTGATCTCCCCGTTGGCGTTGCGCACGACGGAGGTGGCGGTGATGGGGAAGGGCACGTTGAGCAGACCGACGGATTTGCCCGGTGTGAGGCGGTAGAAGTTCGGGTCGGGCTGCTCACGGAAATCGGAGCGGTCGATGTAGACGCGGTTGGTAAAGGGCAGTTTTCGCGTGCCCATGGCGTCGTCGCGGGGTTTGTTGGGAACGACGACCTCTTCCACGTGATCATCGGGCAGGTTCTCGATGATGATTTCCAGGGGGTCGAGGATGAGCATGAGACGGGGCGCGACGTCGTTGAGGTGTTCGCGGACGACGTTCTCGAGTCTGTCGGGGTGGATCGTGGACTGGGAGGTGGTGACGCCCAGATCGCGCACGAACGCGTTGACGGCTTCCGGCGTGAACCCCCTGCGTCTGATGGCAGCCATGGTGTACAGCCGGGGGTCGTCCCAGCCATTGACAATCTTCTCGTCCACGAGTTTCTTGAGCTTCCGCTTGGACATGACGGTGTAAGCCAGGTTCAGGCGGCCGTACTCCCACTGCACCGGCTTGTAGATCTCGAGGGCGTCGACGAGCCAGTAGTACGATTCGCGCGAGAGGGTGAACTCGGTCGTGCACAGGGAATGCGTGATGTCTTCGAACGAATCCACTAGGCAGTGGGTGAAGTCGTAAGTGGGGTAGATACACCACTGGTCGGCGGTGCGGTGATGGGACGCCTTGAGGATGCGGTACGCGACCAGGTCCCAGAACTGCGGATTGGGGTTCTGCATGTCCATCTTCATACGCAGGAAGGCCTCGCGGGGCTCATACTTGCCCTGCTTCATTTTTTCAAACTCGTCTAGCGATTCCTGGATCGGGCGGGACCGGTGCGTGCACTCCTTGCGGGGCCCGCGTTCGTCGCCGCCTCGGTTGGCTTTGATTTCGTCGCCGGTGCAGTGGCACACATAGGCTTTGTCACGCTTGATGAGCTCCACCGCCAGCTCGTACAGTTTCTGGAAGTGATCGGATGAGTAGGTGATGGCGTGCGGCTCGTAGCCCAGCCACCGGACGGTTTCGAGGATGGAGTCAAAGTAGATCTGTTCCTCGGCTTCCGGGTTCGTGTCGTCGTACCGCAGGTTAGTTATCCCGTTGAAGGCGGCGGCGTAGCCAAAGTTGACGTTGATGGCCTTGGCGTGTCCAATGTGGAGGAAACCGTTGGGTTCGGGGGGGAACCGAGTGATAACCTTCCCACCAGTGCGTTTCAGATGCTCCTCCATCAGCTTCGGGTCAATCTGAGGGTTCTCCCCAGCCTTATGCAACTTAGAGAGCTCTCCTTCCGTAATGAACCTCGTGCTCTTTGCCGCCTCCGCCACTCGGCTGCCAGTCCCATTAGCAGCCACCGGCGCATCCGCCACTTTCGCAGGCGCCTTGGCAGCCTTAGCACTCTTCTCCGCCGCCTTTTTCGCCTTCGGGTTATCCCGCTCATCCTTCGGCCCCAAGACCGCCAGCACCTGTCTATCCAGCTCCTCTTTGACCGCCAACGCGTTGGCCCACCTCAGACTGACACGCAAAGCGCCCAAAAGCTGGCCCGCAAGCGTGTATCTCTTCTCCTCCAAATCCTTCCTCCGGGCCTCAATCACCTTCTCCACCTCCACGGTGATCTCCGCCGGTGTCACAGTAACGCCCACCCCGCAGTCCTTATCAAACTGGGCGTCGTCGATCTCCCCGCCGGCCTTCTCGGCATGCTTGATCCCCGCCGCGATCCGGTCGGTGGAGGTCAGCCGCCCGTCCCGGATGGCGCGGGTGAGGTATCCGATGTGCGCTGCGGCTTGAGGGGTGATAGTCGACGCGAGGTGGTAGTACAGGGCGCCGGTGGATCTGTCCACTGGCGCGGAATCGGCGCTCGTGATGCCTGCATCGGTGAGGATGGCGTGCAGGTTTGCACCGAGCTTTTTGTTGGCGGCTGTTTCTTTCGCTTTGACGTCGGAGAGCCCGATGCGGGTGAAGAGGGTTATGAGTTCGTCCATTCTGGTGTTGGTGTTGTTGGTTATGTGACGAGGTGAGCGAGTAGTGGCAAGATTCCGAGGCCGAGTGAAGATTCCAGGGCTAGTAAGTCCAACGAAGAGCGGATGAAGGAGCCGGGCGCTAAGCTGTGGATGAGGGCTGAGCAGCGGCGACTTGAGGCTCTTATGTACTACTGAGAGCAGACGGGAGGTGCGTTGAGCCGCCAGCGTTGCTTGTTGCGAATATGGGGAGTGATCAGGGGCAATGTCAAATGGGCTCCTTGGTGGGTTTCTGAGGAGAAGTGAGTGCTCCTAAGATCTTGTTGGGGACAGGCGATAGGATGCATCACGTGATGAGGATGACTCGTCCAGCTCACCCATTGACGGCGCCCACCCGTCTGAACGATCTTCCTTTCCGGCACGCTCCCCCTAGGCTTCATGGAAAGGGGATTAACGATCCAGTTCTTGCACAAAAACTGCGCCGGAAATGCCTCCACGCAATTTCTATACACGCCGGACTTGACCTGCAAACGAACAAGCAACTATTCCGGGAAAGATGAAAATAATGGGCCTTAACATCCAGTCCCAGCGAATCTAACCAGAGGGTCTTGCATATAGAGTCTATCGATGGTTTCAAAACTCTCGATTGTTGACCGTTTCTTGGACAGCCAACATGTGCACACTTGCGAAGATGTCACCTTGGATATAGAGGTGATCGACTTGTCTAGCTTCTGCCGGTCTTCTACCTCCGCGCAAAACGTAGGACTGTGCACGAAAGCAATCATCTACAAAACATCATATCGCTCGCTTGATCTTCACAAGTGTACCAAAACACTCACTCACAATGTTGTCAGCGTGACGAAGTTTCACAAAGACATGGCCGCGCTTCCTGCGTCGGTGATGGCAAAAGTACCCTGGGGAGTCGCAAACGTGTTCCCGAATATTCAGCGGGATCGTCAGACCTTAGGCATTTCTTTCAGCGGTGATGCCCCGACATCACTCCTGGTTCCGGTGTCAGCACATGACGGTCTGAAGAAGTTCTATCTATCCCGACCGTCGCTACCCGAGCTCAGGCCCATAAGAACCCACTTTTGCCACTCATAATCAAAACACGGATGTCGACACCATCCAGCTTCCTCACGAGATATCAGGCTCTGCGGGCGTGACTACGGAGGCCCAGCTCCTGCTGAATGTGATGAGTAGCTCGATTCGCGAGTGAAGACTTCCTTACAGTCGAACTAAGCTGGCTGATCAAGGAAACCTAGCCTTGTTTGGCTTTCGGCGAGTCGGGCTTTGTAACGATCATGGTCTACTCGCTCCGTCTACCTAGTCCGAGCCTGATCGGGCTACCTCCCTGGAGCAGGCGGTACGCTACGATTACATAACGCCTTCTGAGCCCAGGACAAACGCGGTATCCCAGACGTTGCAAAGCTGAATATACCGTCTTCATCAACACGGGGCCTGAAAGAGCGAGCCCGTATCCGGACAGACGTCGGACGAGGCCACGCGGCTTACATAACGCGTTTTTCCTCATCCACGGGACGCGTTCTCAGGTTTTTCGCAAGCAACGCAAAAACCTCAAAAGGGGTTTGAGAAAGCCCACTCGTTCACCCCAACGGGTTCAGTTCAATTCGGCTCACGGACCTACATGACCAACGGCGGCTGCGGTAGGTCTCTGCTTCGAATCCCGCCGACGGTCCAGTCCAGTTTCCGCAGTTCAGTTCAAGGATCGACGTACCCAGCAGCGGATGTCCGGGTTCCATGCGCATCAGCCACAGAGAGCGGAGTGTCCCCGTCCCAGCCGTCTGAGGACAGGTTTAGCGACGAGCCATCGGCGGGTGGTTGAAGAATGCGCAAACGACGAGGGCGCTTGCTTTCGGGGCGCATCCGTGGCAAAAACTGACATCAGGATCGTACTTGGGCCAATCGAAGAGGTCCTAACCGAACCTAAGCGTGATGGGAAAATGACAGACTCACACGCTATCGATATTGGGATTACATGCAAAGTATGTGGGGGGGAAGGTGCGTGGGAAATGTCACTATTAATCTGCGTCCAGCGAACAGGAAATGCATACTACTAAAGTACATACTACGAAGGGTCCATAAATAAAATGCGGAGACGAAAAACAACGAACCGATTGTCAAGCAAACTACGACTTGACCGCAACAACCTCAATCTGCTCCATCTCGGCTCCCTCCTCCGCCACCTCGGTCCCCTTCCCCTTGCGCGCCGGTTTACTATTCTCCTGGCCCCTGACGATATTCGCCAACGCCGCATACGCAATCGCAATCAACACGACCGCCATCCCCACCAAGATCACCGCACACAGCAGGATCGACAGTCCGTTGGAGAACCCAAGGTCCGCGATGTACGACTCCCCCGCGCGGGCGGTCCCGTCCTCCTGCGGGATCTGCAGGCCCGCGTACTCGTTCTTGACAAGCCCGATGAAGGAGTACCTGATGGGGGAGAGCCACCGTATCCATCCAAAGTACGCCGGGATCGCCGAGTCGTTGATGAACAGGCCCGAGAACAGCATGAGCGGTAGCAGGAGGAGTGGCGTGACGGCGAGCGCGACGGGTAAGGAAGGGAAGATCGACGCGAGTGAGACTCCGAGCGCGAATCCGGTGAGTGAGACCATGATCACGAAGGCGCATACGATGAGGTATTTAGCCGCGTCGACCTGGAGCCCGACCATCCAGTAGATGATGGTCGCCATGATGGTTGGGAAGACGATGATGGAGGGGAGCTCGACGCCTATTTTCGAGAAGAAGAAGGCGGGGAGGGAGTAATATCCCGATCCGTGTTCTCGGGCGAATACCAGTTTATCGGCCGCGAAGATGCCGAGGATGGACATGGTTGAGCCGAAGACGGCTTGGGTGGAGAGGAAGAAGAGGACTCCTACTCTGTTCTGGTTGGCGGCGTACCCGGTCTTGTCGTCGGTGTTGAGGAAGAGGAGGCCGATGATGAGGGCGAGGATGAGGGATTGACCCGCTTTGGCGCGGAGGACTAATGGATTGCGGACGGAGTTTTTGAACTCGCGTTCGAGAAGGTATTTGAATTGGGTCGAGTAGGATGTGCCGGCGGTTTGGTTCTTTTTTAACGTGACGGTGTCGGCGGGCGGGTTTTGGCGGATCTTGGCCAAATCAGCGGCTTCGGGACTGTCTTTCCAGTATTGGATTAAGCGTTTGATGCGGTCGGCGTTGCTTTCTTCTTTTTTCTCTTCGAAGGAGCCTTCTTGGTTGTTAAGAATGGCCATGAAGACATGGTCTGCGGGGTTGAAGTGCTCCGGGCAAGGGTAGCTGCGAAACGAAGGAAAGATGTTAGTTAGGTCAGGTGGTCCTGATTCAGGACCTGAGCAACTCAAGTAAACCCTCCGAAACTCACCCAAGACGGCCAAAGTAGTCCACCACCTTCGACGTCGGACCATTATACATGACCTGACCCTCAGCGAGGAAAAGCACATCATGGAACAACGCAAAGACCTCAGACGACGGCTGATGGATGGTACACGCAATCGTGCGACCGGTGGTAGCCAGATTGCGCAGGATGCTGATGACGGAGTAAGCGGTGAACGAGTCTAAGCCGCTCGTGGGCTCGTCGAGGTAGAGAATGCGGGGTTCGGTGATGAGCTCCATTGCGATTGCCACTCGTTTTCTCTAAAAAGGAATGAGCATTCAGTGATCAGACAGGACAGTCAAGCCATCACGTCTCTCCCCAATTTACCTCTCCTCCGCTGATGCCTTTAAGGGTGGGGCTTCCAACGACAGTATGTGCGCACTTGCGCAAGTTGAGCAGATCCAACATCTCCTCCACCTTACGTTCCTTCTCCTCTGCCGAAACGGCATCGCCCAACCGGAGTGTCGCAGACATGGCGATCGCCTCCCTCGCAGTCATAGTGGCCAGGATCACATCGTCCTGGAACACGAACCCGCTCTCCTTCCGCATGGCGCTGCCCGAGACCGGCTGCTTGTTGACCGTGACGGACCCGCTGACGCTGCCGCCGTCGGTGTGGCCGGCGAGAACGTTGAGGAGGGAGGTCTTACCGGCTCCGCTGGCGCCCATGATGGCCGTCAGGCGGCCGGGGCGGAAGACACCGCTGATGTCGTTGAGTATGCTCTTTTCTTTGGTGACGGCTTTGGAGAAGGGGTTGGATTTTTTGGCTGCTGGATCGGCGGCTTCTATGGAGTAGTTGATGTTGTGGAAACCGACTTGTACGCTGCGAAAAAGAGGGAGGTCAGTATCTCGGATATCTTCAACTAGAGACCCATCAACTATCAATCCATCAACCATCAACCATGGACGATCAGGACCTACAAGAACGACCGTTCGCTGACGCTCACATTCCCTGCTCGCTTCGCTCGCTAATAGTTGCTCCTCAATAGCGAGACTCGTTCCGCTCGTGAAGGCGTTTGCTTCCGCCGACCGCGGTACGGTCGGTCTCCCGGACTGAACCAACCCCACACCTCGCTTCACTCGCCCCAGACACCCCGCTATCACTCGCGGCAGGCAAACGCATTCGCTCGCGGCGCAGTGCAAGCGCTCCCTCATAAGCGATACCCCACAGTGACCGCTGGCTGAACCTACCCAAGTCCGGCGACAGACGTCGAGGAAGTCGTCATGTTTGTACTAAGTCTTTCTCGTTGCGGTGTCAAAAATAGCGTGTGCGGAGTTTGGCGGGTGATAATTGAGGTTTTGCTCGTACAATGACAATGACAAGGCCGAGTGTAAGTACGACTACTGGTGAAGACAGGACGCTTTTATGGTACGCCGGTTCGCAAGGGAAGAGTGCGTTGGTTTCAGCGACGACGACCTCCTGTTTTTATGGTCGAAGGGCAATAAGGCTTGCCAGTGGGGCCCGTCAGTTCGGAGCCCCGAAGGAAAGCAACTTTCTCCTCATGCAGATCGGCCACGCGTGTTTACTGATAGTTTGTCGATCTCTCTTACTCGGAGCCCCGCCCCACTCCGATCTGCTAAGTGCTTGCTCTCCGCATGTTGCGATATTGCGTGGACGACGATGTGGGGGTGCGCTCAAATTCAAATGCATTGGGAGCGACGGAAACTTGCCACATCAAACAACTTGAAAATGTCGGAGCTCCAGCACTGTCTCTTCGAGTTCATACCCCTCCGAGACCCTCCGATTCCCCCCCACAGGCCTTCCTCTGGTCGCCAAGAGACATATGTACGTAACTTGTGGAAGCTTGTCCACCACCGTTGCTCCTTTCCGGGACTCCGGGAGACGGACAACAGCGTCAGAGGGAAAAAAAGCATACATACACGAATTCCGAGAAGCAGGATCTCCAGCTCCGAGAACTTGAAGTGATGTCGACAGGCGCGTGTCCGATCGGCGATCTGATTGATTGATGTCCGAGAAAGAAAACCACCTCCGAAACCGGAATTCGGACAATGCACATTGAGCAAACCACTCGGAGCACTCAAATAAACTCATCACGTGCACAATCGTCACGCACAGCACGTTTTAATCATGACTTTTCGCCCCACAAAGCGCCATGCCCATCTTAAACCAACGGAGTCGTTGGAAGGAAAACCTCAACTCCCTTTGCCGCAAGTGCGTCGCCAGGGGGTGTCGTCTTTCCACTTCACGATTTATTGCACCCCCAAAAAGCAGAACAAGCAGCTGGGGGAGCCTCCGGTTTCTCGCGGTCATGTCTTCAAGGATCCGCCCACCATCCGATATGGAGACGTACCCGCAGTTCCTCCTTCGAGTACCGTATTGGGCTTGCAGACTGATGCCACGTGCCCTGGTCTGATGGGCTTTGGCAGATCACGGGCGGGGGTTTATATGAGCCAGAGCCTTAGTCACTCCTGAAGTGAGCGGTGTGAAGTCGAGGATACATACAAGGTGTCGCGAACGACGTCCGAAAGGATGAAAAACATCATGGGATTCCATGACGTACGACTTCAGCGGAGGAGAACCACCTGCTATGGAGATCATCGGCATGGAGGTTGCGTTCATCTTGGTTATCGCGAACATGTCTGAACCGTCGACCTCCAGCTGCATTCTCGCTTCAAAGGCGTTGGGTCGACGCAGTCCATCCAATAGCGGCGAAGGACAGACTGGTGTTCGTACCGGCGTCCTTGCAATTACCTTGCCTGGACTTGAGCTTACGCGAAAGAGGCGCACGCCCCAATGAAGCTCGGGCAACTTTGTCGAGCGCATCAGATTTCACGTCTATTCATAAATTGCATATCGATAGACATCGCCAGGCGAGGCGACAACGGGGCTGGGCGGCAGTGTTTCAAGCCGCGATAGGGAACAATGGGTTACACGGTGAACCGGGTATTAACCTGCTTAAGACCCACATCAAACCTCGGGTGCCAGTCGCGACACCGTAGCGAAGTGGGGAGACCAGTACAAATCCCCAACAGCATGCTGGCGAACTGCGATTTTACCGGTCTTACTTTGGCGTAAACTGCACTGGATCTTCATACTATACGACCTTGGAAACGTACGTTCATGTCGGCAAGAAAGGAAGGGCGACGCGAGCGTTGGTGGACGTGCAGATGTGCGTAGTCGAAGTGCGCGCGTTGTCCGGTTATTATCTAAAGGTAGATGGTGTTCTGCCACCATGCCGAGCATATCACCGTACATACGTAAGGTTGCAGCGACATCCGCTATCAGGCCGATGCATCGGGGACCTGGCCACCCTTTTCGAGCTGCCGACAATCCAGCTTCGTTCGAGACCCGCTTTCGTTCGAGCATTATCCGGATCTTGTGCGATTACCTAGTTCTAAATCAATAACAGAACAACAACACCTGCTACTGTACTGTACATACGTCCCCTTGCTCTGCCAGACCGGAGATAACGTTGCCTTCACTTCAGCTCATGCTCCGAATCTGGCCGACTCCGACGGCTGACGAAAGCCTCCAACAGTTTCGGAGCAGGCATTTTTTGCGTGGTGAAGTTTTTGGGTTTGACCGGTTTTGGGGGATCGGCGATGATGCGACGCGTCTCGCGTTTGGTGGCTGACTAAGCAGACATCATGACAGGCAGATGACTGCTTTCCTTCGTACGCCAAAATGAGGTGATGCTGGCACCATTTTCGAGCGCCATTTATAAAACTTGTGCAATTACCACGGTTGGAGGAACTTTGTGGAGCTCTTGCTCTTTGCAGGCTTGTTAAGTCACAACGACGGATCAGGTCGTGGTTTTCGGCTCGGGGATGACTATAGAGCGTACGCCTCTAGGACCGCATGCTGTCAACTCTTTTGTAACGTGACAAAAGCCCTGCAGTATTGGTCTACCCTCAAGACGTACTTGAAAAGCGGTCTGCTCGTGCGCCTGGTCACATACAACTGCAGTGGCGGGTCGCATCTAGAAAAGGTCGCAGTCTACGTGAAAGCGATCGAACTCGGCCCCGACAGCTACGAAGCCACGCTCCTGCGATACGTTCCGCAATTTCACGAGGCGGACCCTAGGTGGCTTTTACCGGGTTGTGGGGATAGGGCTTTTGGGCCCGCCTCGATTGAGGTGACGGGCCTTAGATCGAAAAGCCGCCATCACTTGTCAAAAGTGCACGCAGACATTGACAGGTTGTTGACTCGAGCCATCCCAGCACGGCAGGCGGCGTGGTCAGGTCGCTTGAGTGTGGACTTTTGGTGGCGTTTCATGCACGAGCGAGGCGATTACGGTCAGGACGACAAGTTCTCTGCATTGGACTGGGAGGAATGGAAATACTTGCCCTCATACGGCATTTTCGTACCGGTGCTTGCAGTGGATGCTTATCGAGCTTACATGGTGAAGGTCGCAACCTTGCGGCGAGCGATGCGTCGTTTCGTTCAGGCTCATGCGGACGCCATCGATCGCTGGTTGTGGCTCCCCCAGACCGGACTCGTGCCTCGCCGCAGGTGCCGCCTTCTCGGACTCGGTTTGCCCTAGGTATGGACAATGTATAGTTCTCATGCGTGTCTTTCTTTATAACCCGGTGGCAAACGCTGGCGGCGCTCTTTAGCTAGACATAGACCCCAATATACCCTACTTGTTCCTGTGTTGATGCCCGTTCGTTCAGTCCGTCGAGAGAGTGTTGTTTGCAATCTGCCGCATCCGCGAAGCGCGGGACTGGCTATGTGGTGCACACTGCACACTGCAGATGCATGACCTGCAACCTAAGTCACGTGACAGTAATCCAGTTCCTTTGCGATTTTGGGCAAATAACATACCGAGAACCTATACAATCCGCCGCCATCCATCCGATCATAACCCGAACCAGCACCAAACCGGAAAGACGAAGCCGCCATGCCTCCCTACGACGAGCAAGCCATAGTCAACAAGATCATCTTCGAGGGTCCGCTGTCCAAGGACCCCGAGCGTTGGACCAAGTGGCGTACCTTCCTCACCAACCGTGCTGTCCAAGACTGGGACATCCCTCTCGAAGGCGCGGAGGAGACCGAGGCCGTGAGGCTCATCCGGTCCATTATCGAGGCTCAACTGGAAGGTCGGATGACCCTTCTGTCTGCAATCCTTAGAGTATGTGGCGTTTGGGACGGGATCATTGTGGAGAATCAAACCATGGAGGAGTACGTCGAGGATGTGGATAAATCCATTGCGAGTGTCGAAAGCCTCAAAGATATCGCAGTACTCACGAAACTTGCTCTGATCAAGAGTAACTCGGAATCCTTTCTGCGGAACATGCCAAGCTTGTCGGAGCTGACTGAGATGCAGAACACATTCGAAGACCTTCATCTAAGGGTTCAAGCGCGCAAAGAACCTGAAAATATCAACCGAGACATCGTGCGTAAATCCACAACTGGCGAACTTGTTTTCTTTCAGTCGGTATTCGATTGGGAACGTTGGTTGGCTCTGGAAGAAGGTCAGAACCTCCTTGACCATTTCGTTGCACGGTTGAACTCCGGTGGGAATCGCGAGGTTCGCGACAGGCATCTCTTGAGTTTTCAGAGGGCATCTGATGCCGCCAAGGTCTTGAAGACCATCAACGAGGCAAAGTACGGAGCCGTGGCGAAAGCCCTGGATGACTTCTTTGAGAACCTCAATGTCGTCCTGACTTTGGCTCAATGGGACCGACCAGTCCCTGAGAGGAGAGCTGATGACGAAAGGGTGCTCGCGGCAGCAAAAGGGGTCCGGGAATCGCTTCGCTACATGTGCGGCCCCGAATGGAAGGCTTTGATAAACGTCTTCATCTAATCGATGTACTGCATTTGATGTATGATGCAATCTGTAATCTGTAATCTATAATCTGTAACCTGTACATTCGAAATGGTTCTACTCCAAGCAAGGGAAAAGAACCATGCAACAGTTTCAATGTTCCCTCATAAGCAGGCGCCCTTTTGTTGAAGAACACTCGACCCCGGTTTGCATATTCGACATAAGATATACTCTATATAAGGCGCAATGACACGGTTAGTCATACCAGTTCAGACACACCATAATCATACATTCATACATCAACATGCTGTCAACCATCTTCGACCAATGCCCTACTTGGGAGTCACTAGACATGGAGAAGATAGGCGTTTCAGAAACGATGAAAGCCGTCACATACGAGGGGAAGTTGCTCCTCGTACGAACCAGATTGGAATTGCGGAACTCGTACAATATCGTGCGGTGAGGGCGACAGAGGCCACGCTCTATGTGTGCAGTACGCAGCTCATGTCAGTATTATAGTCAGTCATCAGTGGAGCGGGTCCGCTGTCGCCACCCCCAGCGCAGCGTGCAAAGTGCAAATCAGCGTCATATCCACGTCCGGTCACAACTCATCACCACCGGATGCCTGCGTTGCTATTCCTGGGTGTCTCTCGTGCAAGTTACATATCTACCAGGTTTATTTACCCTGTCGACGGTCACACCCGATCCGCCCATACTGCCTTTACTTTTTGGGGACCTGGCCTCCGGAATCGCACACCTCGGAGCACTTGGGACCCACCTCCCACCCCCTTGGATATTGGGCATATCATATCTGGCTGTCCAACGTGCGCTCTCTCACAACAGTGCGTCACGTCTAGGTTCTCAAATTCGACGCTCGCCCTCATCAAGGCCCAGGGTGTCGCAGCTTTCAGCCACCAGCCGCCTTCGCCCTTCCCAACTTTTATCACCACTGCTGCTTTAGAAAAACTACTTCACAGTACGTAGTATAGACAGATAGACAGAATATCATAGACCGCCTCAACTCCAACTCCAAGTTCCCATATACCTGAAGTGTTCGGCGTTCGGCTCGGCACTCCCGTAAATTACCGGTGTCAACCTGAATGCTTCTTGGGCGCCAAAACAAACCCAAGGCGGGCTCTTTTCCGTCGCCACTGCAGTCGCCCACAGCCCAAAAGTGACGGAAACAAACTCCCAGGAGACGTTTCCTCAAACTCAGTTGTCTTTTCGCCAGATAATCTCTCGGAGTCTCTTCCTCTCGGAGTCTCGGGACGCTCTTTCTTTGCCTCTCCCCCTTGCATTGTTCTCGTTGATAAGGGAACCTCTTCTCCTGGCCGGCCTCCTCAACAACCTCCGTTTTTCGAAGCTGTTCGGCGCTTGTGATATTATCGACCAGAACAAGCAAGCAAGCTTCAGCAGTTTGCAGCAGCAGCAGCCCGCAGCTCTCAGAAGCAGCACCGTTCGAGAACAACCTTCCCGCGCAAAAGGAAGGTGGCTTTTTCGCGGCGTTTGCCTTTGCCCCCCCACGGAACTTTCGGTTTGCACACGGCAAGCAGCCCGACTCGGGAACGGACTGGGAATTGTGCAGACAGACACAACGTCCAACTACCCTCCAACAACCAACCAACCAACCAACCAACCAACCGACACTCAGTTTACACACGCAGGCCTCAGAGAACGGTGGCACAACAACAAGCACCATGCCCAGCCTGTTCTCTTTCGACAAGAAAAAAGCCTCCACGGCTGCAACCTTCGGCATCGACACCGACCTTGTGGATTCCTCCTCAACCAGCTCCAAGTCGTCAAAGAAGAAAGGCAAGAAAAGCTTCGACTTTGCCTCCGCCCTCTACTCCCCCAAGTCCTCCTCCTCCGACTCCCTCAGCAAATCCAGCACCCAGAGGCTAAAAGACTCAAAACGCAATGGCAGCAGCGGCAATGGCTCCTCAGACGACGGCAGCAGCGTCGCCTCCTCCGGCCGTCAACGCCGCAAACGAGCACGCCCAGTCCTCGATGCCCTTACCCTCGCCGCGACCTCGATCCAGAAACTCGAGTCGGAACGCCTGCATGCCTCGTGCGAGCTGAGGAGACTGGTGCTCATCCAGAACCTGCTCAACGCCATCTACGAGAACTGGAACACGTTGATGGAAAAGACGCCGCATCACCAGCACCCGGACCAGCCCGCGTCGGTGGTGGCTGCGACCGATCTTATCGACCCGCAGACGGTGGACGAGGCGCCGGCGGAGGCGGTTGTGAATGATGTGAGGGAACGGAGGAAGAGCGCGCAGTTGAAGAAACGGGGCGCGTTGACGTGGAGGAGGAAGGCGGCGGATAGTGCCGTTGATCTCTCAAATATGGAGCTGGCGGAGGACGCTGCCAGGAAAGGAGACGGCGAGGATTCGGCGTCTGGGTCGTCGGAGGATGATGACGAGGAGAATGGGCTGCCTAGGCGGTTACGGAAGAAGAGGGTCGTGCCGAAACCGGCCATGGGGATCGTTAAGCCCGGCCGGTCGCTGCGACGGGCAAAGAGCGAGGATATCCTGTCCTCTGCCATCCCTGTTGGGGGTAGAGCGGTAAACAGTGGCGCCGTAAATGCGCAGGGAGCACCGAGCACTGCCGAAAGTTTGGCAGAAGACGATGAGGTGCCGCTGGGCCATCTCAATATCGGAGGAGGCGCTAGCCTCATGCGCAAGTACCCCTCAGAGCCCACCATCGCATCTACACCATCACTATCACCTTCCGCGCCCGAGACTCCATCCGCCTCCACACCACCCGCCCCCGAACCCCTCCGTAACAAAAAGCTCGCCGCAGCCAGCCCCCTCCGCCAAGCAGCCTCTATGGACGACCTCAAAAAATTCTACAAGGACCAACCAACCCCCGACCAAACAATCCTCTCCATCCCCAACCGCACCAACGCCTCCACCAAACCCACCATGACACTCATCGAGAAAGTTGAGCTGCGACAACGCGAGGCACGCCGATCGTTGGATAACCCCGACGAAGGCAATGGACCGGCATTCCCGGCCCGATCTAGCTCGTTGAATAACCTGGCATCGGAAGAACCGGCTAAATTGCCGGCATCGTCATCACTCCCATCCTTGTTGAAGGAACAACCGATCCGACAATCTCTCGATACACCCCCCCGGGACCGTGACCTCCCCCGCATCTCCACCGATTTCATAGCACCCGCAATGGAGAAATCCAAATCCTTCCCGCAGCCATCCAACTCCCCTCAAAAGCTTACCATCGCACCCCCGCGATCGGCGACATTACCCGTATCGGAGAACACGCTGCTGGGGAAGGGACAGGTGAAGACGGGGAAAAAGTCGGGGTTGATGAGTCTCAGGAGCGCGTTTCTGAGGAAGAAGGCTGAGAAGGGATCGGTCGAACCGACCTCTCCGGTCTCCGCGAGTTCCGCACCAGGTATGTATAGTGGACACCCCTTTTACTCCTCAACCCACTAGCTTTGTTGTTAACCTTTGTTCCATTTCTAGTGTTAGGCGACCAACCAGCCCCACTAACCTTCCACCCTACATCAGCCCCAACCTCCTCCCCGCTCCTCCCGCCCCCCTCGCCCCCGCAGAAATCACCCACGTCATCCGCACGCCTGCGTTTCCTCCCAATCCTCACAACACCCAAACGCTCCCCCCCGTCCCCATCCTCTCCCGCACCACCAAAATCCCCTCAACCACCCACACCCCCCTCCAAATCCCCGCTCCTAGACGACATCGATTTCGGCTCATCCCCCTTCGGCGGAGGGTTCAGCACCGCCAGTTTCGAACACGAGGTCTTCTCCGGCCTCGCAGCATCCAAGGACATCCGCCGCTCCTTCCTCCTCGCCATGCCCGCACCATCGTCGGTCACGCGCACGTCAGCGAGCTCCGGGTCGGCTTCTTCCACGGAGTACCGGTCGAGTGGGAGCTCGGGGAGTTTGGCGAGGAGGGATAGCGGGGCCAGTGGCGGGGTGGATGATGTGGGCACAGGCGACGGCGGCAGGATGGGGTATACGCTCGAAGGCCGCTTTTGTGAATTGGCGTTTGATCTGAGTTGGGAGGTGAAATTGTAGGATCGCGCCCTTTGGATCGCTTCGGGGAAACGGCGTATGCATGCGTTTTATCCACCCTCCGTGTTTTGGGCGCCATCCACCATTCCCCCCGGCGTTTTCGGGGGGAGCTTCCCCCCCCCCCCCCCCCCCCCCCCGTCCCCCGTGTGATTCGAAGTGGGACCGGGGGAAAATAGGAAGACCTCATTTGATTGTTGTGCTAGTGTTTGGGTTAATGTCTAGTGTACGTTCTTTTGTTCATGTGTATAGTATAATGATACTAGCTACGGCCCCGTCGTACACTGTCTTTGTTCGCGGGGTTTGATGAATCGGGGGCATTTCTTGGGACGAGAAGTGGGGAAGGGTAGGAAAGCCGCAAAGATGGGAGGGAGCCCTCTGTCTCCTCCAACACGCAGGGGAACCCCCTTCCCAATGTCCGCGCACATCGGGGAAGAAAATGTTTGTTGGTGTGCTAGTGCTAGTGTTGGTAGTCCGTCCTTGCTATACATATGTCCTCAATCTACTATACGCCGCGAGGTTTTCTATGGGTGTGGAATTCTATACTCTGCTCTACTCTATGTACACGTCCTCACAAAAAGAAACCGTGGATCATCGTCTCTCTGCACCGTGGGGATAGAGTGTCCATCTCTACAACCGGGCGGGGGCCTAATCCCTAATCCCACTCTTCCCCAACGCATAGTCCTGCCTCCACAGGGTGGGCTCGACCCACCATCCCTTCAACCCATTGCCGCGCGCATCCATCTGCAGATCAATGGGGTCGCGCATGGGCAGGGACCTCCAAAACTTCCTCGCGCCCTTCGTGCTCACAATGTAGGCATGGGAGCAGCGAGCCCAGTCCTCGCGGTACAGGCCGGGGGTGGACGACGAGTGGAAGTTGAAGCAGGCGCCGGTCATGAGGTAGTCGTAGTCGGGGGCGGAGGCGTTGAGGGCGCGCGCGATGTGGGTGGGCACCAGCGTGGCGTTGATGGAGTCGAGTTGGATGTCGTCTTCGAAGATCATGGCGTGCGTGTGCGCGTGCTGGAGGATCGAGTGGAAGGCGGCGAAGTGCTTGATCGCGAGGGAGATTTCGCCGGGCTTGAGCGGGTTCTCGGGGTGCTTTGATAGAATAAATAGAAAATATCACTGTTAGAGGGGGGAAACGAGATATAGGTTGATAACCGGTTTGTTTTTCTTCTTACCGGACGGATCTTGGGCCACGGTCTCCGGTCGGCACCCCGGAGCACTTTATCATCCCACGGGAAAAAACAGTCCAGATCCCGTTTGCTCAACTTCTCCCTATCGTATCCCGTCACGACCCTCGCATTCACATTCCACTCCCCAAAATGCTTCCTCAGTCTCGGCAGGCGTTCCTTTAGGGGCGTGTAGTGCGTGATGTACACCGCGTCGATGCCGGGGAAGGCCGATGCTGTTTTGTTGAAGGGGAGTTGGGACAGTGGGTAGAGGGGGGTGAAGGCCTTGGAGGATTGGGAGGTGATTGTTTTGAGCGCGCAGGATTGGTAGGAGCGGCGGAGGAACGTGGCGTCGCAGGCTTTGCAGACGAGGTTTGTTGTGGTGTACTCGAGGAGTTTCTCGAAGTACGGGTTGGTGAAGGGTGTTTGGTGTTTCCACGCCAGATGGGTGTTGTACCGCGTTTCGTCGTCGGTGACGTCCATGACGTAGCGGGAGAGGTCCGCCGTTGTCGAGAAGGTGTCGGAGAAGATGACGGAGTCTGGAGCGGGAACGACGGACTGCAGGGCCGAGGAGGAGGGGTGGGTGGTGGCCGGATTGAAGTAGATGGGCACGGCGCCGGCTTTGAGGGCCTCCCAGACCTTCTGTGTTTCGAGGTTGGTGGCTTCGGCGGGGGTGTCCATGGCGAGGGCGAAGCGGTACCTCCGTAGTGTGTCGCGGCGGGTTTGGAGGTTTTTAAAGTCGCCGCATTCCGTGTATGTTTTTAGGCGCGTGTCGTAGGGGGGTTGCCAGCAGCATCCGTGGACGTCGAGGCGGGGGAAGATGGAGCGGAGCATGTCGACTGTTTTGCCGACCGTGGAGCAGTCGGTGGGGAGCCAGGCTACGCCGTCGACTTTTTCGGAAAAGGGGAGAGGGGACGTGCGGTAGGCTTCTGCGCCGCCGTCGCGAGCGACGAGGGGGACGAGGGCTTCGGCGTCGTTGGCGATTTGGAAGTCGAGCTCCATGGCGTCGTCTTTGGGGATTTTAAGGCCGGCGTAGTTGAGGACACCGTGAAGGGTTTGGGGGAGGTCGTTGGTGCGCGCGGGAAAGGTTGTGCGGTCTTCGGCGTTGCGGAGGATGGCGTGCGCGCTGGATTCGTCGCCGAGGCGCACGTCGCAGGTCGAGAGCGGGCAAAGGTATTGCCCGGGTTTCAGTACTTTGCCTGCTTTGGCATCCACGGAGAGGATCGTTGATGCTTTCAGCGGTGTACGGGGCGTTGGTTTCTTTACTGGTGGTCGTGGTCGTGGTGGTGATGGGCGAAGGGGTGGTTTCCCCACTACCTCTACATCTACTTCAACCTGCTGTGGGAGAGAGTGGGTGTGAGTGGTCGGTTGCGCGAAGCGATCGATACGTCTTCACACGTACTCATACATCGATACTCACCTCCACATCTTCCACCTTCCTCCCAAGCCCCTCCTCCCCAAGCTTCCCCTGGCGTCCATGCCCCTGTTGTTGTTGTTGCTGCTGTTGCTGCTGTTGTTGTGATGGCGGCGGTAATGGGCGTGAGCGCACTGCGGCCATCCGCTCTCGTGAATCGAACGAATGGGCGTGTGATAGGGTATACAGGGTGAGTGCGGACAGCACGATGAGGGCAAGGACGAGGAGCCGACGACTGGGCAGTGTTTTTAGGTCTAGTTTGCGCATTGCTGTGAAAGGCGTTGCGGACATTATGGGAATTTGAGTGAAGGTGTGCTTTGTTCGGCGGGCGGGGGGTCGTCCAATTGCGGCGGGCGTGGAGTCTGGAACGGATGGAGGGGGAAGTGAGTTGAGGTGTGGAAAGGGTACTATGTACAGTACTTGGGAGACGTCCGCTGCTGCCTGCACCTTTGGATATGGATAGAGGGAGGAAGTGTTCTGACCTTTTCCGTTGTGAAGCCCTTGGCGGATTCTGCGGCGAGCGGGCGTGACAACTCAAAAAGCGTAACGTGCGGCCCGTCACACCGCCCTCGCAGCGACCGCCGGATCTGTCGCCTGATCCGCCCTGTCTCCTTGAAGGTCTCATCATATCCCAAATCGTGGATGCTTCCTCCATCATCAAATTCTCACTTTGTTCGGGTTTCCCCCCTTACCGCGCTCCCAACCAACCCCTCCCGATTCCCATGGGCGTGGGAGACTTATACCGCGTCGCGTTCCACCCACGTGTCCGGGAAGTGGTAACCCCCATTCCGTCGGCCTGGTTTCGGACAAGGCCGAGAACGGGCTTGCTCCGTTTCGGACACCGCGTCCCTCCTTCGCGAGGGGAAAACGGTAACCCTACCCCTTGTTTTTACCGCCGTTCTCACAGATACGCCCACACACACAATGAAGGTTCCGTTGTTCAGGAAAACGAAAGGGTACAGTCTATGCACCACACAAAGAAAACAATACATACAGAAAACGAGTGTGAGGAAGAGAAAACACAGGCCTCCCCTTCGTCTCGTCCGAATTATCTCCCCCCCCCCCCCGCCTACCTCAAAAACCGCTGATAAACCGGATTCCCCGTCTCCTCGACATACGGATACCCCAACCGTCCCAAAAACCCCTCAAACGCCTCCTCGGTGCCCCTCTCCACCTGCACGCCACACAGCACCCTGCTCACATCGCCGCCATAGTTCCTATGATGGAACAAGCTCACGTTCCACCGCGGGCCGGTGCCGGGGGACAGACACGTGAGGAAATGCAGCAGCGCGCCGGGGCGTTCGGGGAACGCGAAGCGGAACACGCGTTCGTTGGAGAGGTGCGACGATGAGGGCGGCCGTCCGCCGACAAGGTGCCGGAGATGGTCTTTGGCCATCTCGTTGCGCGTCGCGTCCAGGGCCGTCATGCCCAGGGATTTCAGATTCTCAATGATCTCCTGGATTTCCGTCTGGGTGGTGTGTGGGGCGGGGGTGGGGTCGGAGAGGGAGTCCGAGGAGGAGATGTTGAACGCCATGAAGATGTGCGCTTCGTTCGCGTCGCCGTAGCGGTATGCGAACTCCGAGACCGTGCGGGGGTAGATCGCGTTGTACAGGTCCGCGAACGCGCCGGGGCGTTCCGGGATCACCACCGTCAGCAGCACCTCCTTGTTCTCCCCAAACACCGCGCGCTCCGCTACGAACCGCAGCCGGTCGAAATTCATGTTCGCGCCCGAGGACACCGCCACGAACGTCTGGTGCGTGCAGCCGGTCATCTGCACGTACTTCTTTGCGCCCGCTAGCCCCAACGCGCCCGCGGGCTCGACGACCGACCGCGTGTCTTCAAAGATATCCTTGATCGCCGCGCAGATCTCGTCCGTGGTCACGAGCACCATCCCGTCGAGCAACTCTTTACATATCCGGAACGTTTCCTCCCCGACCAACCGTACCGCCGCGCCGTCCGCAAACAACCCAACCTGCGGCAGCGAGACGCGTTTACCCGCAAGCAGGGAGTAGGTCATCGCCGCCGAATCGTACGTCTCGACGCCGATCACTTTGATGTGCGGGTACAGCCGTTTGACGTACGAGGCCACCCCCGCCGCGAGCCCGCCGCCGCCGACGCAGACAAAGATCGCGTCCAGTTTTTTGGATGAGGAGAGCTGGCGGATGATCTCTACACCTACCGTGCCCTGCCCCGCGATGACGTGGGGGTCGTCGTAAGGGGGTATGTTGATGTATCCGTGGTGGGCGGCGAGACGCGCGCATTCCTTCTTGGCTTCGTCAAAATCGTTGCCGTATAAGACAACAGAGGCGCCGAGACGTTTGACGTTTTTCCATTTGATGGGCGGGGTCATTGTGGGCATCACTATCGTTGCTTTTATGCCCATTTTCGAGGCGGCGAGGGCGACGCCCTGTGCGTGGTTACCCGCCGAGCATGCGATCACGCCTTTCGCCATCTCCTCTGGTGTGAGTTGGCTCATGCGGTTGTATGCGCCGCGCAATTTGAAGGAAAACACGGGCTGCAGGTCCTCGCGTTTGAGGAGGATGGAGTTGTTGAGGCGGGAGGAGAGGTTGGAGGCGAGTTGGAGCGGGGATTCGATGGCGACGTCGTAGACTTGCGCCGTGAGGATGAGGCGGACGTAGTCGGGGAGTTGGTGCCCTGTTGCGGCGGTGGGGGTCGTGCCGGGAATGCCGTATTGGTGGTTGGGGAAACTCCAGAGGCCGGATAGTTGTACCAGGTCGACTAGATCCTCCGTTGGGGGGCCGGGCTCGTTGGGATCGGGTATAGTCGCGGACGTTGAATCGCCGGCTCCGTTCGCCTCCGCGATGGTGGCGGTGGGTGACATGGAATCTCTTGAAGCAGCAGCAGCCGTCCCACCAATCGGTGGCGGGAAATCCACGCCGACATTCACACCCGTCACGTCCGGCCTGCCCAACCCAACCTCCACTTCTACATCGAGACCCAAATTGGGGATACTCGGCCGCCTCCCGCCATCCGACAGCGCCTTCTCGCTGCCAAACGCGTGGGCTTGGAACGGTGCTGTAAGATAAACCAATCGATGAGTCAAATGACGCGAAGCGTTGGTTGGTTGATGGAAATGGATGGGTGATGAAGAGATGGTCGAATGTCGATGGGATGAAGTGAAACCCTACTCGCTTCTCTCGCTCCCTTCAGACCCCCCTCATTCCCTCCCTCCCGCCACTACTCACAATTTGTCCCAAAAAAGCCTCCTCCTTCCGTAGGAACACTGGAGCTCAACAAAGCCTGGGTCAAATCCTCGGGCTCAATCTGTTCATTCTCTTCAAACGCCATCGTCGCAAGGGATGCTGCTGATCTCACACTTCCGCGGGTCGTTGATGTGGAGGGCCTGCCCAAGTCCACGGATATGTTCTTATTGTTGTTCCTGTTATCGATACTGCTGTCGCTGTTGGACCTGTTGTCGGCAGCGATGGGCGAGTGGATGTCGAAGCGGACTTTGGAGGTTGAGCGTGGGGGGTGTTGTGATTGCGGGGTTGGTGGAGCGGGGTTGGGGTCGGGGGTGGATGAGAGAGCTTTTGAAGTTGAAGCGACTGGCGGGTGCTGTGGTTGTGGTGGTTGTGGTGTAGAGGAGGACATGACTGTCGGTGGGCGCCCTAATAATAGCCTTTCTGTCCGAAGAAAAAAAAAAGGGTGTGTGGGGGGGGGGGTGGGGTGGGGGTGTGTCTTGTGCGAGAAAAGAGCGAATGCTGCCGAGGGGACTTGTGACCCCCGCGGATGATGGATGATGGATGATATCGGCGCGTTCGCTTCTTATTACTACTAGCTGTACATGTACTGTACTCTAGATCTACGGTCTCTGGTGGTCTTACGGACGATCGCTACGTGGTGACTCGCGTGATTCTTGCAATCAATCCATCCATCGGAGGATCATTTCCATCCAGCTGGCGCACAAGATAGGACAAGACGCGTGTTCTCATGTGGCCACTCGCAGCTTTACAAAGTGTTGACAGTTACAAAGGACGTGACAGGGTTGAAAGCCGTTCTCGACGCCGTCGCGTAAGCCCAACACAAAACGGTATACTCTCCCGAGAAACAGTCCCATCCATACAAAGCCTGCAGACGCATCCAGAATCCCGCCTTACCGTCCCATCCCATCTTGAAATGTTGGCGGGGTAGGCTATTGGTGGTGTCTCCAGAGGAGCATAAATGCATCGAATCATCACGGGGTTCGCATAGCGGGCAGTGGGAAGTGCTTTCCCAGTGCCAGACTTCCGACAATGTGATTTCTGAACGGTGCATTCTGCCTCAAACGGCGGCTCGGCTCGTAGGCATATTCATAGCAAACACTTGCGTCCGGTTGCGTGATGGCCCCTTGTGCCGATGCATTTTGCATGTAAGATCTTGGTTTACCCAGAGAGGGGCGGAAAACGCGTCCTTCACGCGTCTCGTAAGCATACCATCAAAGCTTCAGACCATGCTCTCCAGACTCAAACCAGACGATAGTTTCGCTTTGGGAGATGGGCCGATTTCGCTCGTCCTTCTCTGCCAGATCAAGAAAGTCAGGAAAGGAACTTCAAGCCCCGCCTCACGCTTCCTTGCGCCGTCCGGGAAGTCGAGTGTCTATTCCTTCCTATGCATACTCTTCCACTTTACCACAACGCACACTCCCCATTCGACCCACATTCAACCACATTCTTCTACCCAAACTATGCAGTCTCGTGGGGAGTTCGTTCAACATCCTTGGGGCGGGATTGTGGCCCGACAGCCCTGAGGATGTTTATTGGAAAGGTGAGAAGACGATGCATGTCGGGTTGACGCCGTCATCGTCGACGCCGGCGAACGAGGGGTGGCGCCGGCGGAAGCGAGGCAAAAGGGCAAACGAACGTGCGGCCTTTGATCGTGAATTCCAGGCTCATCTCTTAAATTGTCTGCGGGCGTTTAACCTTTACTATCATGACGTTTGTTTCTTTCCAGGAACGCTTGAAGCAAGAACAGGGAAAGGGAAAGGAGAAGCGGGAGGAGCGGGAGGAGCGACCAGCATGCACTGGGGGGCGCTTCATAGGTTGGGGGCAGGAGTGCAACACAAAGCCCTCCTCTTCGTACGCCTCATCCGCGCCTGCCGCCACGCCCACCCTCCACCTCACAATCGCCTCCTCCCCGAAAACGACGGAAGTTGGATCCGCCATCCTCACGATCACCACCGCGAGCCCCCCCTCTTCCTCTTCCGGCCCGCCGCCGGGATAGGGAGAGGGATCGGGATCGGGATAGGGAGAGGTATAGGGGTAGGCAGGGGTGGAGGGACAGTTGGTGCGGCGTGGCGAAGGAGGTCAACAACAAACGCCCTCAGCTCTACCACGGCCTCCTCTACCACGGCCTCCTCTACCGCGGGCTCCTCCACCACCACCACCGCCTCCTCCTCCCGCTGCAGTCTCGGGTCCAACCATCTAGATAGACGAGGAGGCAGGGTACGGACTAACCAGAAGTTGAATCAGATGTGTTGAGCGCTAGCCGACCTCCGCTCTCTCTCCATCCAGCTCTCTCTCTCTCTCTCCATCTAATTCCTACGTGCATACGCCATATGCGTGCAACTCCTGCAAGGCTTTTGACGCGTTGATCCCTCTAAATGTACACCTACGCTATTTACAGTTCGCCGTTGTCGTCTTCCAGCATGGCCAGATACGTCAGCAGGCCCGTGACGAAAAGAAGGATGAGGATGATGGGGATGATGTACAGGTTGCCTAGAACGCGGGGATGGAACAATTACGCTGAGTTAAAGGCTCGGTCCCTCGTGCAGAATGGGTTTCCTGCTACGAGAGGCTGAGAGTCCGGGGGCTTACCTGAAGCTGGCGGCACAAGGGCGACGTGGACCGTCCCGTCGGCGGATCCACTGACGAGTATCTGACCTGTTGGGTCGAAATCTAATGCGGTCAGGGGGAAATCGTGGACATTTGGTATCCGGTATATTGTCTAAAGCGGGAGAGATAGGTCGCAATCAGTACTGGTGTCAGTCAAAGGTATACGACAAAAGACCGCTCCCGTTACCTGTAAGCCTTTAGCTGAAATCACGTTCACGCTCAGATCTGCTGCTCCAAATGCCAGCAACGCCCCCGTTTTGCTGTGGTTAGACCATTGCCGAGTCAGCAGGTGGAGAGCAAAGGGTAGCAGTTCCAAAGGCCATACCTTATCGTAAACGCAGTAACAGGTTTCGACCCGATCCCTTTTTGCCTATGCAGCTTCCACCCTTTCACTTGCCACTTGCAAATGAACGCCCGCTTCCGGTCTTTTGCGTTGATGACAAGGAACAGGTAGCCTTCTGATGTGCGCACGCCGAACCGCGACGCGCGGAACTCGGACTTTATCGTTTTCTTCATGACCGGTTTCTCGATGGACCAGAGGGTCTTTGCGTTTGAGACATCTGTTACGTAGCAGATGGTGGCTGTGACGGACACCAGCTGTTGTTATGTTTTGAGATGAGGATTCTCAGTTTCCAGGGCCGTAGAGGGGCAATTCCGAAAGCGCTGGCCTTACCTGCTTGCCATCAGGACTGAAATCCGCATCTACAATCTCTCCTTTATGGTCGATTGGCGGAATTGCCGGCTTGAAGTCTGGCCATGTCCATATGCTTAACTGTGTGTCGACGTCAGTGTCATTCGGCAATTCCATGTGCAAATGCACGACATGTCACCCGTGGTACCTTTCCATCTGTGTTCCCCGTCACCAAGATTTTGCCATCCTCAGTGAATCGAGAGATTTTCTATCAACAGGTGGGACGGTAAGTTAGTGCATAGCTGGTCGCTTCGAGAGAACTACTGTACCACTGTACCTGATGGAAGAACGGATCCGTGCTGTCCAAGGTCTTATGGGCTCCTTTGGCGGTGAATCTGAAAGCGGCGGCGACCGTCACAATCAGCCAAGGACTTCCACCCTGGAAGGTTCAACCCTTGCAACGTACACCTCATTTCTCAGGAAGAACACGCGACAGTTCTCATTCTGACCCGCCTTCATTTGCTCCTCCGGGCTGTTGACTCCGGCTACAAAAGCCTTCTCCTGTAACCCAGCGTCAGTGATGCACTCAAAGCGCCAATCCCAACCGTTATCCAGTACCTTTGGGTGAACAGCAATACTCATACATCCATCGTCCTTCTTCCCAAACAGCTGTTCCGTCACAGGCTTGACGTCGAGAGTGTTGGGGTCGACATCATACAGAATCTGCGAGTGAACGCCAAGAAGGCACGTAAATCGATCTGTCGGATTGTTTTCCCGCTCCTCCTGTTTTCCCGCTCCTCCGTGCAGCCCCACAAAGCAAGGGACGGCATGCCCTGACCATCGCGTTCTTTACTCCCGCCTTCGTCGGTCCACCGCCGCCACCGATCGTGACGCGATGCCTCGACGGCGTCCACGTTACCGCAAAGACCGGAAACCCCAGCGTAGTTTTCTTTCGTGGTGGCGCCATCCCTAGTTCGTTCTAGCTCGTTGCTGTTGGGGTCGCGAGCGGCGTTCAGGTTCAGCAATGTAAACCACTCGTTGCGCGTAGGCGGCTGGGCGAGAGCGTCTGAAGTGAAGGCGGCGAGGTATGTTCTGCCATGGCCGAAGGATAACGTTTGCAGGTCAGGAAGCCGGACGAGAGCGGGAGATCCAATTCCGGTAAATACCTGTAGTTATAACACTTTATCACACAAGGACGATGGCTGCGAAGGAGCGTTGAACATGGCGCTATTTCTGAGGGACCGATTGGGCGGATTCAACGCGTGAACCGACGAAGGAGCCGGAACCTCCAACTTCTGCTGTCCACAAGTGACTCTCACCCCCGGGCCTCTACGAGAACAGCAATGACTGCCAAACCGTGGACGGACGCAGAGCTGGAGTCAGACGCCGTCTCCAAGAAAGGTAAGCATCGTCCTCTCCGTGGTCTCACTCACAGAAAAGAAAAGGAAAAGCTCACCAACTCGCACCATTCCAACAGACCTCGTCACTTTCCTCCAGGACTCGGCAACATATGAGGTAGCGCAGTCGAATACACAACCCCACCTCCCTCCACCGCCTCTGACTCTTCCTATGTTTCCTCTAGTTCCTAAAAGATCGCAAACTCTACGGCAAACCAGCAGCCATCACCAAATCCTCCAAAAAGCCCGACCTTATCACCGCCTACACCGCGCTCTTTGCCCAGGACGCATTCAGGCCTGCCGGGCAATCGCTTGACGAAGCCGCTGCTGCTGCTGCGAGTAGTGCGAATGTGAAGGATGGGGCTGCTGCAGGGGGGGATGCACCTAAGCGTGTTGAGGACGTATGTCTTTCGAGATATCTGCTTCTGTGAGGTTTCGCAGCTGATATTCATGTGGAATTTTGAACAGGCAACACCACCGGAAGTCCCGAAATACCAAAAAGTAGTATTGAAAAAGGGCGACGGGGAACGCAAACCGAAAAAGGGGGATACCGTGATTGTGTTTTACACGGGCACGTTGCCGGATGGGAAGGTGTTTGATACCAACATTACGGGGAAAAAGAAGCCGGTTGGGTTGAGGTTCAAAGGTTCGTGTTTGTGCGTGTGTTGAGAAGACCTAATCGTTAATCGGCTCTTTTTTTACGCTGCTTCCAGTGGGGACGGGCCGAGTCATCAAGGGATGGTACGTACAAACAACACCCTCACCATTTCACTGCAAACCTCCTGCGCAACCCGTAACCATCGCCATCCCTCCATTTGAACAGGGACGAAGGACTAATGACAATGTACAAAGGCGAAAAAGCACGCCTGATCATCGAGAGCGAGTGGGCTTACGGGAAGAAGGGCACGCCGGATGGGAAGTGCGTAAGCCTTCTACGTCGCTCCTTCTAGCATGATGGTTTTCCTCACGTTATTCTTGTCGTTTTGTGCAGGATCCCACCGAATACCGACCTTACGTTTGAGGTCGAGCTTGTTAGCATTGACTGAGAGTTGGGTGACGGCGTAGGTTATGTGACATGTTAGGGTATAGGTAGGCGTAGAGACGGAGAGGTATGCAGTGTAGCGTTTAATTTCGCCCTCGGAAAGCGCGCTTTGAGATTTCCACGGGGAAAAGGTAAAGGGATGTGCGTAAAATAACGATATCTGTATGGAGCAACGCTCTCCATCCGCCATTGGGTTTGACGAGAAGATCATGTTGGCCCAGTGTACTATATGTTCAATCAAGTCATCTGCCTTGTCTGCAAAGTCCTCGATCCGATGAAGGATTCCCCGAACTCTGTGATGCCAAACCTCTCAATCTCTGGCCCCATACACCAAAATCCCGCGATCCGCCTCCTCCACAGAAACGCACTCGAGAGCATCAAGAAAAAGAAACACCAAAATCAACGCACTGTGCGTGGTGAAGATGGGGTATGCGAATTTGGAAGAAGACGCCTCAACTTGAGAGCAGTCGCATCTTTAATACACGTCGGGCTCGTATTATTGTCCCCACCTCTGGAAGTCTTCCATCGCCGATCCGAGTGCACGTTTTCTTCCTTCTCAAGATGGATGACAATTCCAGGGGCGGGAATTGTGGATGCGGCCAGGCGGCCAGGGTCATGTTGCCTTCCACAAATGGTTGAGAGGGGAGAGCAGTGGAGCACCAACGTGTGGCCGACGGTCGCGTAATTTGAAATTGATGACGGGCGATGCACTCCTCCGAAAGAACTTCAAAGAAGGGACGCGTTGGGTCTCACAGGCGACGAGGATAAAAGAGCTCCAGCAGGTCCATCCCCTTCCCGCTCACCACTTGCATCTCCAGTCACAGCACAGCACAGCACAGCACAGCACAGCACAGCAGCACCTGCACTCCAACCCCACTCAAAATCAACACCACCCTCTACTCCATCACGATGCCCCTCATCCTGCACGGTCCCGCCTACAGCACCTGCGCGCAACGCGTCAGCATCGTCCTGCGCGAAAAGAACGTACCCTTCGAACTGCGCCCCGTGGACCTGTTCAAGGGCGAGCACAAGACGCCCGAGCATCTGAAGCGCCAGCCGTTCGGGCAGGTGCCGTATTTGGAGGACGATGGGTTCTTTTTGTATGGTACGTTTGGGGCGGGCGTTGACGAGAACCGGAGAGGGGGGGGGGGGGGGGGCAAATCTCTCACACCCTCTCGATGCGTAAAAACGAGAACACACACACACACACACACACCCGCTCATCTACTACGCAATCTTTTCCTTTCCCAGAATCCCGCGCAATCGCCCTTTACATCGCCAAAAAATACGCTTCGCAAGGACCCGACCTCTACCCTACCTCTCTCCAAAAGTCCGCGCTGGTCGACCAGTGGATCTCCCTCGAAACCGCACACTTCACTCAACACGCCTCCGTCATCGTCTACGAGCTCATCTTCAAAGCCCTCTTCCAGCCCGGGGCCTCCCCTGACCAGGCCAAAGTCGCAGAGCATAAGAAGAAACTCGAGAGCGTGTTGGATGTGTATGAGAAGGAGCTGAGTGGGAGAGATTATTTGGCGGGTGGAGAGCTCAGTGTGGCGGACTTGTTTCATTTGCCGTATGGCGTGAAGTTGTTTGATGCCGGCCTTGGAGGCTTGATTGAGGGACGGCCGAATGTGAAGAAGTGGTGGGAGAGGTTGACTGCTAGGCAGAGCTGGAAGGATACCCTGGCGGCGGCCAAGTAGAAGAGGTGTCTTGATCGACGCAGGCGCTTCGAGTAGGCTAGTCTATTGCGGTCACCCCGTGATCCGGCGAGAGAAGTGTCACTCGGCGCCGTCTCCTCTTATCGAATGAAATGACTTCCTCAGCTTCGCGACGTAGTGAGTTTTCGAAGTAAAACTTGAATAAGTTAAAACAAACAAACGGCCTCGCTCCACAACCAGTCTAGTTGTAATGGAAATTCCTTATCTACATATACACACCTACCGGTACGCAAAACCTACCTAGGGACATGTTGGATGAAGCCAAACTGTACACCGCGAGTTCCCTCTACACCGCAGGTTCAGTTACAACCCCTCCTTCCCCATTCCCTGCCTCCCCATTCCCTGCCTCCTTCTCCTCCTCGGTCACCCCCCCCCCCCCCCCCCCCCCCCCCCCCTTCCCTCCCTTGCCTTTCTTATTCTGACTATCAACCCATGTCCGCTCATGAAACCCACTAGCGGTCTCCATCTTCACGCACTCCCTCAGCGCCATCGTCGCATACTGACTCACCCCCAACGTAAACTCCACCACAACCGCAACCCTGGCCCCACCCTCCACCGTCTCCACCTCCTTCCTCCCCTGCAGCCTGTCCAAATCCGTTATGGCGAGATCACACTCCGGGTCGGTGTACCTCAACAACTTCCAGGCTACATCACGCGGTTTGCATATGATCTTGCGGTAGGAACCGGGGAGGGAGGCCGTGTTGTGTTTCCGGTGCATGGAGAAGGGGTCGACGTTGTGTTGGGCCATGAAGGTTGTGTAGGAGGAGCGGAGGGCGTGGGTGGGGTATTCTACGTCGTAGCCCGGTAAAGGGAGGACCACGTCGGCGAAGGTATATTGGGCGGCTTGTTCGGAGGTCTGGATGGTGAGGATTTTTGTGATGATTTTTGGGAGGGCGTTTATGTGCGTTTGTTGTTTGAGATTGTTGGAGTGGCGGCGTCATTGTCGGATGGGTTTAGGTCATCCTCGTCTGGGATGTTGACGAGGTCGCCGATGACGGGGGTTGGGTGGTAGAGTTTTAGCCGCTTGGTGGCCATGTTGTTCCAGACAAAGCTTTGGTAGGAGTGGAGGTACATTAAGCGCAGGTTGCGCGGAATCTAAAATCAGACAGTATTGTGGGTCAGAGAAACCGTTCCGCCTACCCACACAGATGTTGTGGATTCATTGAATTCCTTACCGCCTCCAAAGCTCCAAGGTAGTTTTGACATTCTTCGTACTCTTTAAGTATTGCAATATAGACCGCTCAGCGAGTAAATGCTTTGGCAACTTCTTCAACGCCTCGGCCGCGTTGGCTTCCTCTTGCCACAGGCGGCGGGCTTCCAGTACATCTGGGCGGTCTACAAAAGCCCCTCAAACCCAGGAATGTCCGGCGCCATGTAGGCCGTTATGCCCATATCGGCTTCCAGAAAAAACGCCTTATCCGTCGCATAGCCCTCGGTCTTCGTCTTCACGTCCGTACTAGGGCCGTTCTCCTCGTCTTTCACTTGTTTCGGCGACGTAGACAGCGACGCTTCTTCGGGAGAGAGCTCCAGATCCCTTTTCTGTGGTATGCTGCTGCTGCTGACCATTCTGATGGGAGACTGCGTAGTGTGCTGGACAAAGTGGGGGGAATGTGGAGAAACACAGTAGAGGGGCAAGGCGACGGTTCTGCTTCGTGCAGATGATACTGCAGCACGAAAGAGGGAGAACATCCACTCGCTGTAGGATACACAAGGACTGCCGCCTGGGAGTATATATATGGAGTCTAAGTCTGTTATGTATGTTCGATGCCTTGCCCAGTTGCCCAATGCTCCCAATGTTGCGCTGAGGAAATAGAAGGGCGCGTTTCCCTTCTCGTTTCGCCGTTCGCCGTTGCTGAATGGTTCGTGAAGTGGGAAATTGGAGAAGCTCGCCTAGATAGTTGGAATTGAAACGGCAACACACACAGACAGCCAACATGCGGTCCCATACAACCCTGCTCCTACTCGTTCTGCTCGCCCTGCAGACCCTGGTGGTTCTTGCGGCCCGCTCGACAATATCGGTGAAGAAGATCGATGTAGACGCAAGAGGCCCCGACGGCCAGATCACCGCATCGGAAAGGTATGCGCCGTTTTTCTGTCGACGCTCCCAATGCACCTTTTCAAGAAAGACACACCCCATACAGTCTCACGCAAAGCCAAGCACTATCAGGGAAGCTCGGCCAAGTGAAAACAGACGGCAAATTAACATTGAAGGTCCAGCTCCTGGGCAGCGATGACGCGCCGGTTGCCGTCCAGCAAGTCGTTCTGGGTGTCCACAGCACCACCACGCATGAGGAGGCTTCGTTTGTTTGCTCGTCGAAGCGGAAGGGCGCTTATGTGTGCGAAGTGGTATGTGACGACGTAGAACATCCTGGAATGAGGATATCTGCCTTGCTGACAAGTAGAATATCCTTACGCCAATTAGGACCTGAAAGACACTGCAACACGCACCCTCATCCACTCCGGCCGCAACACTTTAAAACTCTACGCCGCCTCGCGCGACGTCACCCCGCTCGCCGTCGACCTAGGCGTCGTCGAGTTACAGGTCACCCCCGCCGCCAAGGACGAGGAGTCGGCATGGGACATCTATCGCGCGCTGCCAGAGATCAAGCACCAGTTCCGGCCCGAGGAGAAGCACGCGAACCCGTTCTTGTCGTCGGTGTTCAGTTTGGCCGTTTTGGCGCCTTGGGTTATCCTTTTGGGATTGGTACGGGGTCTCTTTCTCTGCTTGATGAAAATAACCCCCAGTTTCTCATCATTTTTCTTTACGACAGTACATTTCCCTCTCCGCCAACATCTCCAACCTCTTCGCCAACTCCCTCACCTTCACCTTCGGCACCCTCTTCCTCGCCTCCCTCGGCAGCGTCGTCGCGCTGTACTACGTCTACTGGCTGCGTCTGAATCTGTTCCAGCTGCTCGGGTACGGCAGCGTCCTTGGACTCCTTACTGCGACGCTGGGTAGGCAGGCGTTGGTTGCGAGGGCGGGGCTGAAGACAGTTAGCAGAGTTAAGAAGGATCAGTAGTGATTTAGATTAAGGGGGGATTTGGGCCCGCGGCGTTTTGTGAGAGCAGGCGGCGTGCAGTGTTTCGCTTGCACTTTCGAGAATGGGGAGAGGAGTTTCCCCTCTTGGACGGGACGTGACGATGTACAAATGAGACGACTTGTCCAACGCAAATGATGTGAACAGGGTATCCGCGAATAAGTTCTGCCAGGTTACATCATCTGCGCAGGAGCGTTAACCTCGCCGCCGACGCCCATCTTGCGCGATTCGTTCCCGAAAAGCGCACACAATGTAAGGCCGTTGGATGCCGATTGGCAATGTGTTGGGATCGTCTGCTGTTGGGGCCTGCTGTGAATAGAATACGCACAACGGACATGGGATGTAAGACGGGCCTATCCGTTCGGCATCCGTATCCTTGCATGATTGGAAACGCACAGCTTCGGGCGAAACCGAAGGTAACGCGTCGAATAAGCTTCCGCGTGCAATCCCCTGGGGTGAACCCGAGCCCAAGGGTTTATGTGATTCTGGCCGCCCCTTCTCCCCTTCGCCATCGCCCCGTCCATCTCCCTCTCCCGCCCCAGCTTCCCCCCGCATATAAAAAGAAGCCCACCTGCCAGACCATCCGTCCGAATTTGGCCAATCTCGCACAGGCCTCGAAATTGAAAAAGCTTGTACATATGGTAAACAAGGCCCAAACCATCTCAACAATACTGACCCCGTCGAAAATTCTCTTCCCATTTCTGTTTACAATTTAGGTGACGGCAAAACGTCGAGCTTACCGGATGTGAAATCTGTGACGCGCGGAACTTCGTGGTGAATGCAAGTCAGGAACTGTACAGTACGATGCCATACAGGAAAATGGGATGGAGGTAACATAGGTAAGTGCCCAGGATCAGACTATGGGTTGGAGACAGGTATGTATGTATATCGCTTGCAGAGTGGAAGGCTGCCTGCACAGAAGCTCCAGAACCACATGGAAAGCGCGAAAGTCCCGTTCGGCGAGTCGAGAGAGTCGAGGACAATTCGAGGAGGACATTCGAGGAGGACATTCAACCTCATTCAACCTATTCAACAACGGCAGTCTGGTGTTGTTGCAAGTCTTTGAGCAAAGTCTGGACGACCGCCACCACATATACATATGTACAGTATAAGCACGCAACGCACACACTTAACGGACGGGTGAAGTCACCCCACGCTGCCGCCTCCCAGGCCTCCCACGCAGCCTCCCACTCCTCCCACGGTTACCAGCGCACTTCGTGTTCTAAGCAACAGGAAAGCATGCAAACGTCTCAACCCTGGTCTCAACCGTCGCTGGTCACTCTGCCGCCAGAGCTTCAACTCAGCATTACCGGTTTCCTTCCCCTCTCCGCACTCGCACGTTTCCGCTCGACATGCAAGGCGCTGCACAACATAGTCTCCCCTGCTCGTTTCCGCCTATATGGCAAGTGTGCTGGCCATCATCAAAACTCGCCCTTCCTACGATTCCCATCTATGCGGCCTTCACGACTATTGCAAATTCTTCGAAGGGAAAACCCCTGCCCCGCCTAGGGCGATTCTACTGCTTCTCACGCAAGCATACAAGCGCACTTCAAGCGGCCCTCCACAGCGTCCTTTCATGTCACCGACCCGTCTATCTCGGGGTCGTGCAGGACGTCGAAATACTGTCTGGATTTTGCAGGATAGACCTCGAGGTTCCAGAGATGGATAATGTCTCCTGCTCCTTATTTTGCGGTGCCATGAAGGCCAGGTGGCTGGATACAGCTTGGATCATCGCCAAGAACGTAACGACTCCCAGGCCCCAGATCTTATGCTGGCCGCCGCAATGTCCATTGGGCAGTATGTGGAGCTGGTCAAGTGGCTTGTGGACAAACATGGAGGCACGTTTGATGAGCCCGTGTGTGTTTAGGGTGTGAACCAGTGGAACACCGAGGGTCAACGGGGACAATTTTTGGAGCTGGCTGTGGATCCGTAGAGTGGTAGAGATCACTACAACGCTCCCTATGCAGCCCCAGGCGCATCAGAGCACTTTGGACCCAGCCGCCCCGTCGAGATCCTGAGGTTCCTGCTGGAAAGATGCGACAGAAGTCGATCTTGGTGTTGGAGGTCCCGGAAGTGTTCTGCTCAACGCTGTTGTTATGGGGACTGCCGAGCACGTCCGCCTGCTTTGCGATGCTGGCGCGGATCCGAACGTCGGTCCGATCGATCTGTACGAGAAAGCTTCGCGGTATTCACGGACTCCAGTCGGAAATGTTCGCTGCGCTGGTGGAGAAGGGCCGACCGCATCGGCGGGTGATCAATACGTGCAAACTATTGGACATACTCAGGCGACCTAAGCTTCAAAGAGATCCACTAGCTATTGTTGAAGAGTGAGGTCATGGCTTGCAGCCGGCGATCTGGATCCGAATGCCCTTACCTTGCAGTTCCCAGAAGACGGGATCCGTCAACCGTTCTTACGGTACAAGACATTTTTGATCCACCTGATTGCACGCAGCAGCTTTGCAGGCGCACCTCAGCTTATCAAACTGTTTGCTGAAGCCGGGATCTATATCATTCGGGAACCCGCCACGAACGCCTCATCGTACCGGCTTCCCGAAAGGACGTTGGGTCGTCTGGAGGCCGGTTTCGCCCGTTTCGCCGGCGTGAATGACCTGGATTCCCTTTTATTTCAAGCCATTTTCTCGGATCTCCCCGCGAACGTCGACGCAGTCATCACCGCTTTTTCGATCGATTTGACCATCGAGTCCGACATCGGGGGGAGAGGAAAGCTTCCGCGGGCTAACCGGCAAAGGTACCTCAGCCTACGTGTCGACATTCCCCACATCGCGGCTGAATCGCGGGATGTTTTTGGCCGCTGCTCTAGGCAGAACGGCCGTGTGCTTAGCTAGGGGCGGACTTGAAATGGGAGGCTTCGGGCCGGCTCATCAGATTATTCAAAGAAGTTCACGACAGGGGTCTCACGTACGCGCCATCGCGCGAGCCCGAGGCGCTACAACTCCTTGAATCCTTCGATGCCGAACGCCAGTACGTCTCCTGGATACCGCTCGCCAAACGCCGCGTGGACAAGACCGGCGACGTTATCTCTCCGCCATCGGGCGCCACCCACTACTACACCCGCCAGGCGCTGGTGCACGGGTGGGCTACAAGTCTTCAACCTCTTCGAAACTCGCCTCCGGCCCTTCGACGCCGAATCCCAACTCCCGCTGTACGTAGCCATATCCGCCGGCTACCCTTCCGCCGTGCGGCTCGTCTGCGAGCGACCTGATCTGCTCACCGACGAAGATATCCTGACGATCGGGGACTTGTTCTTGGGCAATGGGGGTGTGGAGTTGCTGGCGCAGTATGAGGCGGTTAAGTATCGACTGGGCGCGTTTGCGGATCTGGGCTTGGAGGTGTGCGCGGATGTTATCGAGGGAGTGAGGTACGATGACACGGACATGCGTCGGGGGCGTGAAATGCCGAAGGAGGTGCCGGGGGAGCGGAGGCCTTTTGATTATCATGGGGGGTGTCCGCAATGGTGACACGCTCGATCCTCCGTACAAGGGGTTCTCCTTCCCTGCGTCGGCGTCGTGTCCGTCGTTCTGGAGTGTAGGTCGCCTAGTGTATCCTGAAGGCATATTCAGTTCCAACGCTCAAAAAAACTTTCACATTGCAGAAGAAAGGGTTCATACCTCTAGAATATTCACTTCCTACGACGGCCTATTGAGATCATCCGCCTACATCCCAACCTCATCCGCACTACGTCATTCAACTTGCCACCGGTACCTGGTGAACTTCACACCTTCACATCCTTTTTCACACCAGAAAGCACCACCGCAACCACCGCAACCACCCCAACCACCACAACCACCGCAAGATGCCTGAAAGACGCAAATACAATAAGATCCCCGATGATATCCGCGAAAAAATCATCCAGTCTGTGATGTACGAAGCCCGCTCACTTGGAGAGACTGGCCAACGTTTTGGATATCCGAAAGCGACCATCGCATCGATTGTTGAGAAGTGGAAGCGCACGGGCAACGCTCACAGATCTCATGCAAGCAACCGACCTCGCCTCATGACAGAGGAAATGGATGCCTTCGTTCGAGAAAAGTACGACGACAATCCCGCTCTCACCATTGCGACGGTCACAGATATGATGAATGATCATTTTCATACCCATATCACCGAGAGGACTGTTGAGGCGCACCTCAACCGGTCCGGAAACGACCAATATCGCATGAAGCTGATGAGGAATGAGCCCGCCGACTTCAACAACCCGACGAAAATTTGTGACCGCAGAGAATGGTGTGAAGAATTTATGCGCCAGCACTTTTCGCTTGATGACTGCATTCACCTTGACGAAGCTGGGTTCAATCTCAAGCTTCATCGCAAACAAGGAAGGGCTCGTCGAGGTCGCCATCCGATCAATGTCCATAATCAACGGGGGCCCAACCATACCCTCCTTGTCGCTGTCTCCCGCACGCAAGGGGTTTTTGCAAGGCGTTTGCGTATGAACCTGACAACCAACGGGAATGCCTTCGAGGCATTCCTCACCGAAGAGGTCTTGCCAAACATTGACGAGCCAAACAAGCTCATTGTCTTGGATAATGCGCCCATTCATCGCACCCGTCGCATTAAGGACCTCATTCAAAACGCTGGTCATCGTGTCAAGATGCTCCCTTCCTACACTCCCTTCTTCAACTGCACCGAATGGGTCTTTGGCAGTGTCAAGCCCTTTATTTGCTGCAATGAACTGCGGATTAGCAACGAGACGCTGCCCCAGCTCATTGATGACGGTCTGGATCGCATTACAACAGATATGGTGGAGGGTTGGATGCGCGAGGTTATGAGATATTTCCTTCTGGCGTTGAGAGAGGAACCTCTTGGAAGGATGTACGACAACAGGAGCTACATGGACCTCGCTCAATTCCAGCACAACGTGGAGAATGAGGAGGAGGAGGAGGAGGAGGAAGACGGAGGGGCGGCGGATGGACCGGCTGATGGAGGCGAGGAGTAGATTCACTTCCTTAGCACGATCTGAATTTTGTGGCGTATCAACTTGGTGCGGCGTATGACCTTGGATGGGGACACATATGAACTTGAGTAGGTAGTTGCGTATGAAGTAATAAATCAGCATGTGAATAAGAAAAAAATGTGCGTATCAAAATATACTTCTCTATGTGAACTGAAAATGCGTTCAGGATATGAAGGAGCATTCTCTCTCCCTCTGAAAGTGGCTTAACATGCACAAAGGCGACCCATACCGGCCAGTTAGTCAGTTAGTCGGGGCCAGTTAGTCGGGGCTTCCGTTTGTGTCTAGACTCGTAGCCTGGGGAAGACTCTTTGTACGTGAGGGGACAGTACGTCCTATTACAGCTAGGGGAGCCTTCGCATGCTTGAGCGATGCGAACAAACCTCGAACCTCGTTTCGCCCGGCGCTGGTCCCCGCCTCCTTCCCCCTTCTCGTAGATTTTCTGGACTCAATCTGCCTCCCGCCAAGGGAGACAACACGTCAGTTTCGGGGTTGACTTTCATTCATGTATCCCTTGTTTCTATTTTCTGTGCTAGACCGGATTTTACTACATGGGAATGCAGGACAAAAGCATAATACAGTAGGTGGCCAAAAGTCCGGGTACGACGCGACAAGGACACATCATCCCCAGCATAGCCACCAGCAGAAGTCGCCGGCCTGCCTGCCCATCACTTAGCAGTAGTCGGCAGAGGAAGCAGATGACTGAGCGAACTCTATGATGTGTGAGATGTAGTACTGTAAAGTATGTATTGTCTTGTCTAGAAAAGAGGACGCGAGGTCCGAAAGGGGAAGAAAAGAGTGAAGTCCCGTACGCGTAAGCGTGGCGTAAGCGGGAGGTGAGTCACGATGGGAAATGAACTACTAGAACCCTAACTGGGGACTAAGCTACGGGAACCCTAAATAAGGGCTCGGGAGAATGAAACCTCCAACACCCCCACTCAAACTCACGAGTCTGTCTAAGTAAAAGATAAATCAAACAAGGAGTACAATGGTGTACAATGGTGTGGCCGTACGCGAAAATCGGGCGGTCGGGGAATGTTGATGAGATGCCGGTACGGATGCGAAGACCTTCGTAAGCAGCATGGCCGGTCGTATTGGTAAGTGCGACGGTGCGGGTCCATTGAAGGGAGCGCATTGATGTGAAGTGCATCATTCCAGTCGGCTTGGGTTCGGAGCTGAGACCTGACGACGACAAAACGAAGCCGACAGCAGTTGAAATGGCCCAGCGCCGGGTAATGGATGCCCCCGTGAGGGCCGCCACTGCTTCCGGGTAGTAGAGGAGCGTGTTGAAATGGGGAACTCAGAGGCGGGGGGTACGCACTGAAATGGCGTATGGCGGGAAGCCGGGGTAGCGTAGTGTTGTCCAAATCGGGTAATCCGTTGATGGGGTAACGACGCTGATTCTCTTTATCAGTGCATTTCGCAGCTGATATAAGAGGTTGGGTAAGACCGGGAGCCGATAATCCGTCGCGCGGAGCGGCCGCGTTGTCGCCGGACGTAGGTTGGATAAGTACGGTGTCCTTCTTCTTTGAAGTAAGGGTAGTCGAATCCGCGAGTCCATTGAGGCGGTGGTGGTCTTGAAGAGAAGATGGATCCAGATCCTCGATATAGGGGTCTTGTGATCCGTATGGCTGCCGTTCCGGAGTTGAATAAACATACGGAGCGGTGGCCGCATGGGGTGGCCTCAGAGGTTCACTTCCGTGATGAATTCTCGCGAAAGGAGGGCCTTGAGTACCGTATGGCTGACGTTCCGGGCCTTGATAAGCATATGGAGCGATGCAGGCCGTTGCGCTCTGAGAAGGCGCATGGGGTGGCTGTCGTCCTGGAGTTGGATAAACATACCGAGCGGTGTAAGCCGGAGCGCGCAGAGAACCCAGTTCCCAATTTCCTAGTCGATGTTGGGTCGTCCGGTGTAACCGGGTCAGGGGAAACGGATGCCAATCGTCGCACCGAAGTGAAGTAAAGCTGGGCCAACTCCTCGGCAGTTATCGTGGATGTCGCAGGTATAAAAGTACACGCGCGATGACAGATAGTCGATGAAGACAATAATACTGTCGTAGAACGCATCCACATGCACCTTGTTTTCGGGAACATCAAGTTCCTCCTACAACACTCGTTATGTGTACCTTATTCCAACCCAGCCCGTGTTCATCGCAGACTAGCCGCAGAATCGAATGCTACAGTTCCTAAAAATTCCGACGGGAAGCCGGCCTCGGGAAGCACGAAAAAGCTGTTCTGAAGCGCCGTTGAGGCGCCAGAATAGCCTCGTCGTACTTCCATTGGCCGTCCACCGAGTTCTGCGAGCCAGCGACGTCGGGCCAGCAGGTATACTAAGAACGCAGCACCCCTGGTGAGCCGCGCAACGCACCGGGCCCGTGATGGAGCAGGAGCAGCTCTGCTCGCGGGCTTCTCCTACTAGCCTCTAGCACCTTTACAATGACTTGGTCGTGGCACTTTGAAGACGAACTCGACCGGTCCGCTCGCTGCAAACCGTTGCAGTTTTGCTTCGATGTTCGCTTGGATGGCGGCATAACAGCCACTCGAACAACACATGCGATGATTCGAGAACGATCAGGTCATGCGCGGATGCAGCGGTTTACAAAACATGAAACCTTACCTCGTAGATGGAGTAGTTGCGGTGACCACCCACCAGCGCCCGCTTTCAACCACCTTGCAATCTGTTCGACGGTCTCTTCGGCAGGGTACGATACATGGGGACGGGTATGTTACGTCTGTGATTTTTTCCTCAAGTTTCCGTCCATCATCAGACTTGAGGATGCCGACCTAAACGTTCGGGTAACACAACCACGACGACTCCACGGTGTGCTGGGCATACCATTTCCGCTCATGCGCCCGGTATCTGATGTTCCAAGACATCCATGCTGCCCAGATCTTCTCCGCGGCTTTGATTGCTGTTGCCGGCGAGGCCGGCGATTGGCGCAGGGTGGCCGTTGGATAGCACCACTTGCGTTCCTCCCTCTGGTATCTGAGGTTAGATGCCAACCAAGCGCCCCAAATCGTCTCCGCGGCTCTTGTTGCTGTTGCTGAGGCGGGGAGGGTCGGTGCAGCGGTGGTGGTCGCGGGTTCGTCTACATCGTCTGCCCAATTGAATCCCGTCACGTAGTCGGTTGAGGTATGCTGCTGCTGCGGGACCAGGCACTTTCGTAGTGTTCGAAAGAGTTGTTGGTTTGGTTCGCCACATTGTAGGAATTGGAGTGTATAGGGTGTATAGAATGCAACAGTTGCCTAGTGGGTGGCCCTGTTGTGTCCGTGCTGTGTCCGACGTCCTGTTGTTTCCATGCTGTGCGAAGGCTCCTGTAGCTCGGGGCTTCCTCCTAGGTATAGGTTCTGGGGCGGGGGTGGGGTTGGGCGGCAGTCGGGGTGGCGCGAAAAGAAGACCGTTCGCGCAGGGAAACTGGTCCTTTCGTACTCTCTGCGCTTGGTTTCTATAATGCCAGAGTCAGAGATCTTCTGGCCGATGAGGGAGGCATCAGCGAAGTACTGTACGTACCATCGCGCAGGACTTCCCACGCGTGGCCGTGTTGCTGGCCGTGCCAACCTCCCCGTGCGTCAGCTTGGGCTTGGGGGTGGTGTTCGTGGCCTTGCACATCACGTCGAATTCCCTATGAACAAGACAACATCGGGTCAGACTTTGACACTCTGAGAGGTCGTCCCAGCAAGAGGGTGCTCATATCCTACCTTTTGAGGGCGTCGCATTCGTAACGCCTCATCCCGCCTTCGATGGGGATGCAGACGGTCCCGTTTGGGAGGAGACGCATTCTCGATCCCCAGGTGACAGCCCCCGTAATCAATCTATAACAAAGAGAACTACGTATGAGTTTCCACGAAAAACTTTCGGACCCGATGGCCATACCCATCTTCGCAGTTTCCCAACAAAACAGACGGAGCTTGAAACGAACCGCAGGAGGAACTTGGGGCATAGTGGTAGTGGTTCGAGGAATGGGGAGGGACGAGAGAGAGAGATAGTTGTTGTTGTTGTTGCTGGTTGGCAAATAGTACTTTCGAAAAAGTGTGGAGAGTGGAGCCTTGCAGCCTTTTATACGGTCCCCTTCCGGCCCCCCGCGCTCCCGTCGACTGAGCTTCCCGCGACCTCCCGGAACTTTCGAGGTGCCTCCGGGTCCCCGTTCTTATCTCTGGGATGTCAAAGTGTCAATTTCTGGGATGTCAAACATAAAGCCGAAGATAGGAAAGGAAGGAAGGCAGGACGTGGGACTTACGGGTGATATTTGAGCGCCTTCTTGTAGTACCTAACAGCGCAGAGGAAAACATATGTCAGCGCCAAGACGAGTACCGCCGAGGCTGGCCGGCGAAAGGACCTCTTTCGGTTGCACTACCTACATCTGGGATTTCTGAGAACAGGGCAGTCCGGCCCTACTGAACGGCGGGGCATTGACAAGTGGTCAACCACCATCTTCCTACCGTATCCTTGTCGATCCAAGTGGCTCCCTGCATATGGTGCACTACTTCGTGAGCGCCTTGTGCTGCTGGAGAGTCTGTTCGTTACAGACGTTTGTTACAGACGTCGCGGTGGTAGCGGTAGTGGGCATGCCGTACAAAGACCGCCTCCGTGCTGGATACGTTTGAACAGCAGGAACAGGTAATTCGAGGCATCTGCTTCCGAGGTGGTTTGGGAAGGGGAAAGACTGTAAAAGACTGTAAGCGCAGGGTGGGTGAGTTGCATATGGACGAGGGCTGATGCTTCTGTGCGGAAAGGGAGAGGGTTCAGCAATGCGGGTGCTCCTTCATGCGGAGGATTGGCCTCAGTTCGTGACGTGTTTGGCTGTTTGGTCCCCCCACCCCCATGCGTCCGCCAAGACCTCCCCACAAACCCATCGTCCCACGCCCATCAAATCCAACCTTACATCAACCCCATCACCAACCCCCGAAAATGCCCGCCGCCCCCGCCCACGAACATCTCGTCAACAAGCACCTCGCAAAGGACTCTCAGAAAGTAGACGCCCTCGTCTCCAAAGGTGTTCAGCGTGACCAGGTAACGTCACCCCATCCCACATCTCAATCTCACACCTTCAGTTACGTACATCACACTCATATTTATGCTAACTTATGGTTTAGATTGTTACACCCGACCAACTCCCCGCGCATCACCGCGTGATCCCGGCCTCGGGCATGATGACGATGGATTTCAGGCCCGAGAGGCTGAATTTGGAGGTGGATGAGCAGGACGTCATCAAGAGGGTTCATATGGGTTAGAGAGGGATGTGAAATGCAAATGTAGGAAGTTTTGGTAGCGGAGACAAGAATTGTGGTTATGAAAGGACTAGCAAGTCGGCGTAACAGTTTAGTACAGAAAAGTCCCGACTACGTAGCTGAGTTTCATGTATGTAAATGCATCCATATGTACAAAAAGTCCCATCACCTCGTACTCTCCCCCCTCCCCACACAATGCACATGCGTAACCCTCCCATCCTCCCACCTCGCAAACACCGTCGGATCCGTCACACCCTTCTCACAAACACAACACCTCACCCCACCCTCCGGCAAATGCACCGCCACCCTCGCCTGCCTCTCGTCCAACAACACCGCATGCGTCTTCAGATGCATTCCTTTGGCAACGTTCTTGGTGATCACACTGGTTCGATGGGCATGTACACTCGACCGAAGTGCCGAAGCGATGAAATGCGGCGCAAGGAGCCGGAGTGACCATGTTGTAGGCAGGGCCGGTAAAATACTGAGGAGATCGAAATGGGTCGCGTGTCGGTTGAGCAGGCCGATGGCTTTCATGTGCTGTTGCGGGTCACCACCTTCATCCCGCATGCAATGCTCCAACAACACCCTTAGTAACCTGCCCCGCGTCTCTGGGACCGGTTGCGCGACCGCACACGCCTCAGCGCTCACATCATCTCCAACCTCCAGCCACAACTTCACCACCGCCTCTGCATCTTTATCTCCCCCTTGTTTGGTCATCACAACCGCGCGTTCCGCTTTCAACCCCTCCACAGCCTCCACACGTTCCGCAACAACCCCATAATCGATATGGGCAGACGTATCGAGGAAGTTGAGCAACTTGGCGCGTTCGACGCAGAGCCGATCGGACGGGCGGGAGAGGAGAAAGGAGCGGTAGGTTGGCCGGGTTGGGAGGGAGAGGTAGGCGGTGTCGAGGGATGTGAGGGAGGAGGGGGTGGCTAGGGATTGGAGGGTCGTGAGGTAGAGTAGGGCGAGCGTTGTGTGGAGGTTGGGGTCCTGCGAAACGGGAATTAGGATGAGATGTCACTGATTCCCTTGGGGTCGCTTTTGTCCTCCCGCCACTTTTTGTTTCTCTTACCTGCTCCTCCCTCCCAAAAACCAACCGCTCCACAAACTCCACATAAGCCTCCGGCTCCCGTTCCTTCAAATACGCCTCGATATCCCCCATCGACATAGTCTTGTCCATATGATGTACCAGAATCTGAAAAGAAAAGGACCTAAGATCAGCAAACAAGACATCACCCTGCCAGCGTAGTACTGCGTGTCCCCGTTTCACTCACCCCGATGGCTAAACCCCTATCCAACCGCAAAACCCACTCCACAGCGCTCATTACGATGTCTCGGTGCTCAAGCGCTTTCACGTACTCGCACACTGTCTCGAGGCCCGGAAAGGCCGGGTCTTCAATCTCGCCAACTGCCAGCCTAAAAGGGATCCCCGGCGTTAGTTAAAGCCGTGAAAATGCCCCTGGAAAGATAGTAGGACACGGACCGATGCCACATATCCAACACGTTCTCGTTCATCCCTCGGGTTTTATGCAGGAGGCTGAGGTCGTAATATCGCTGCTCCCCCAAAAGGACCATGATAAGTCCAACTTATTTCCGCTTGTTCAAGCACACACATAAAGCCCACCTTCTGTGCCTCCAACAACGCCTCAGCATCCGCCATCCGACATCTAGTTGGTGACGAGAGGAATGAGGCTAAGCGAGCGGGGTCGGTTTTGATGTACAGTTTGAGGAGGGTCATGTCGATGTGCTACACGAAGTAATCAATGTCGGGTGTGAGCACATTGGTGTTGTACATAGAGATATGCGGGCTTTTCACTCACCTCCTGCCGCGGATCATCGACGGGGTATATCGTTCGCGCGTAGCGGAGGTATTCGCCGAGCATGCTCTGCAGAGGGGTGAAGCGGTGAGCGGGGGTGTGAGCGATGCCGAAGGGATGTCGCGCCCAGCCACGTACCTGAGCGTTCCCAAACAACGCCTCTCCGAAAGAGGTCAGCGTCTCCGGGTCAGCGTCCGCATACTCCTTGCTCAAATACGCGTTCACTGAAACCACATAAATCAGAAATCGCATTCCTCACACCAAGGAACAAGAAAGGCAGAAGCATACCAATCGCATCACTCGTAGCAGGGTACTCCGGATGTTTCTCGCTCATATCAACGTCCAACCCCTCGGTGTGGTCGGCAATGTCCGGGAACCACGACGTCAAGAAAGCCGGGTCCGTCGCGCCTTTTTTTAACAGGCCCAGTGCTTCGTCGAAGAGGGTATCTTGGAAGTGGAGGAGGGCGGCGCGGCGGTAGAGATGTTCCATTTGCGTTTTCTAACAAAAAGAAAGGGTTGGTAAGGCGCCAGTCAGATTGTATTGTGACATCAACGGGCGCTCACCTTCCGCAACGCACTCTCATCCGGCTGCGCAAGCATCATATGCTCCGCCAACTCCAACGCCCGCTCGACATCCCTCTGCTCCAAAAGCTGATCAACCTGGCTCGCCAGCGGCGTCATCGTCAACGCCAGCACGCAGTTCTTGCATCCGATCAATATGCGAATCGTGCCGCCTGACGATGTTGAGGACCCGCCGGTGGTGTTGACGTCGAGGTTGAAGGTTGCTTCTGCAAGGAACCGGGAGTCGACGTTGGGGGGGAGAGTGAGCGATTGTACGCGTTGTTGAGTCATTACATTGTGGATCTCGATTGTGTTGTTGTTGAGGAGGGCGGCGACGTAGGGGAAGTGGAATGCTGGGGGTTGGTTGCGTTAGTCCCTCTGTCCATTCCAGAATGTGTGCATGATGCAACAAACCTAATGATTTAGGAATCGCCGTCCATTCCAAAGTACCTGCAGCCATGAAAAGTCAGCATGGAAGCGACACTCACACAGACCTAACGCACAAACCATATCCTACCTCTCACCGGCTCCCCATTCTGCGATATGAAAACGCCCAGCCCCAACCCCTGCGGCGTAGCAGTCACGAGCACAAACTCGCCCTCGCCAAACACGGCGACCACGGGGTTCTGCAGCGATCGATCGTATGGAAACAACGGGATCATGGAGCCGTTATCGAGGAAGATGAGCTTATACTGCTCGCCGTCTGCAGCGCAGATGCGGGAGTCGTAGCGGACCATCGTTGCTGCTCCTTCCGGGATCGGGAGTTCCTGGAATGATCACGAGACGGGAGGTTAGGGGCTGTCGCCATCGAAGAAATGGATCCCTCTCGCTAGCCCACCTTCTCCGGTTCAAACATGTCGCCCAAGTGCCCGCAAAGAAGCATCCGCCGTCTTGAGTTCACAAACGCAAGCGGCATGGGGGATTGGACCTGGCGATCCGCGCAAAAGCAGGTGACTTGCTTTATGGGCTGACACATTACGACAGGGAGTTGCTCCAGGGTGTCCAGCTCCAGGAAGACCACCGTCCCATCTGTGATTTCGAAAAGCAGGTTCCCCGATCAGCGTACTGTCACCAAAATCCTGTCCCATCCATCAGAAGTCAAGAGCAGTCGTCATTACCGCAAAATGCCACCATCCGAGACTCCGTCGGTACCGCCAGTATAGACGAAACCGGCTTCCTCCCCAATCCCAAGGAACTCCTGCTCAAATGTTCGCTATGTAAACTTTCATACTGGTGCTATGTCAAAAGAACGCGTGTCAGACATGGTCCATTTGACGAAACAGACATAAACACTGAATGCATACCTTTGTCCCACTCTCGGCTTGCGTAGTCGATCTATCAAGCATAAAATGCAGTACATGCCCATCCGATGTTCCCACATATAGGTTGGCGTCTACGAACCCGAGAGACAAAGTTGTCAGTGGTCGATAACGCGTCTAGATCACACATCCGCAAAGTGATGGATGGTTGGGGTGAGCGACGTTGACTAAGAGTAACCGGGCGCTCACAGCTGAAGACAGATGCTCCTTACGCTCGCCTGAAAATCACGATGGTTCGCCCCCAATTCGCTCGGGTTCCCATCGCAAACCAACCGCTCTCGCTACCGCTCGCAGACCCTCTATATCGCTCGGGCACCCTCAAAACTCACCACATAACTCCACAGCCTCTATAGTCGCCGCCCTACCCCCACCCAAGCTCGGCGACCCCGGTACCGAATCCTGTCCACCTCCAGCATGCCCATGACCCCCACCAAGAACGGTAGATCTAGCAAAGAGGGAAGTCGCGCTGCGTTGCGGCGTGAGTGCCGCCGGCGAGGGATCCTGCTGTTGTTGTGTGGATGTTGCTCCTCCAGCGCTGTTGTTTTGTGTGGCAGCGCTCAAGTCTCTTATGAGCGTGGTGAGTCTGAAGGGGTTGAAGCGAGGCATGTGAATTGCATCGTCGGCCTGGCTGGATGCTGCACTCGCCCGTCTGCGTGATGTGGTTTCGGAGCCCCTGGCGGAGGAGGGTACTTGCAGCTATGGGATAGGCTGCTGGTGCGCTTTCAATAATGCCTATTCAGCTGAGCCTCAGGTTCCGCTGCCGATGGTCTCCTATCCAGATTGGCTGTGTTTCCCACGAGTTGCGAACCAAGATGGCGGTGGGAACTCGTGAAAGCCTGTGACAGGCCGTTGCGGTCGCCCAAAAGCCCTATATTCAGCAACTCGACAATTTCCCCCCACCTCCGAACACAATGTGGAAAAAGAAGGAGATCTCCGTCAGCTCATCCTCTGTGAGTCCCCCCTCCACTCCCTCCTCCTCAATCCCCACGCTGATTTCCCCCTCCTTTCCATTCTCTCATTCAGGTGGTAGACCTAAAAGCCGAGCTCTTCCGCGCCCAAGAAGAATTCCAAAAGGAGAAACTCCGGACGGGAAGCAGTACACTAAGAGCCGTCTCCACCAAACCCATAAAGGTACCCTCCTCTCACATTACGGTGTCTTCCTACCAAGTCATACTGTTAACAATCGAAGTATTCTTCAGAAACCGCCCACAAACAAAGGCGTCGCCCAACGCGCCAAAAAAGACGTAATCGACAACGATGCGGAGAGGATAGAACCAAGCCTGGAAGCGAGCTGGGTTGCGTTGAAGCGGAAGGCGGAGGTTTATGAGCGGTTGGCGAGGGAGGGCGGTGGCGGAGATGTCGATGGTGATGATGAGAAGGAGGAGACGCTGGTCGATTTTTTGATGAAGAATGCGGAGGGGGAGAAGGGGAAGGGTGTTGGCGATGCGTTTGATGTAAGCCACTCACCACTTCTTCGGCGAGAGGGTTGTATGTGGGAGTGATTGGTATTTGTTCGTGCAGGAAGAGAGTGAAGACCCGTGGGTAGAAGCCGTCGACGAGTTTGGACGGACACGGATCGTACGAAGGAGTCAGGTTGAAGGGCAGGGGTTACGGTAAGGCAAAAAGAAGCACACCGTTCAAATCGCGGAGAGGCCCGCCCATATATGTATGTGCTCACCTCGAAAAGCAGATTCACAAAAGTCGACACAGACCCAACATCCGCCACCGACACCTCCTCCCATACACCAACCCTTATGTCCTCAGACATGCGTCAAGAGGCCGCACGACAAGAATGGGAACAATCCGCTCTCGCCTCCCTCCAATCCCCTTCGTCGCCCGCCCAAACACCACATTTCGACTCCGCACGTGAGATCCGCACGCTCGGGACCGGGTTTTACCAGTTTTCGCAGTCGGCAGCCGAGCGGCAGAAGCAGATGGATGACTTGAAGAAGATTCGGGAGGAGACTGTTGTTGGGAGGGAGAGTGTTGCGGGGGGGAGGGAGAGGAGGAGGGGGAGGGTTGAGGAGAGGAGGGAGGCTCTGAGGGAGAGGAAGAGGAGGAGGGTTGAGCAGGGTGGGGATAAGAGAGAGGGACAGGGGGAAAAAGAGCAGCAAGATAAAGAAGGTGGGGATGAGGAGGGGAATAAGGAAGGGGATGTGAACCTTGCTGTGGATGATTTCTTGGCTGGGATTGTTGGGAACGTGTGATATGAGGCGGCGGTCATCGTTTGGCGACATCGATGCGGCGCACAAGACAGCACCAAGACGTCTTTCGCCGGGACTTTTTGGGCACATAATCGCTCACGACCGCGATAGTCAGTGGTCCTCGGCACATCTACGGAAGGTCGAAAATCGCTGGTACAGACACTGCGTGCTGCATTGCACCGCCGACGCCAGTCAAATGTATTACCGGGACGACGCCTAGCACTCCAAAGCGGGTCCATCCGAGCCTTCGTCCGCCCACCGCCATGCGATTATGGAATAGAACTCACCCGCACAGACGCGCATGTGTCATCTCCCAATCACAACCTAGCCGACATGCAGAGTGGAGATATCCCATCCTATACTCTCTATCAGTACCCGCCTACCACTGCCAAGTCATCCGGTCCCCCCTACTCAACCCCCCTTCCCCTCTCAAACACCACGCCATCCCCCACCCCACTTCTCCTCACCGGCAACATCCACCACCCCACACTCCCGTTCCCCATAACAGCTCGAATGTTGCGCATGCGGTGTCCGAGATCCCACGGGTTGACGGGCATGTAGAACGCGAAGGACTCGTCTTTGATGCGGATGTATTCGAGCGTTGTTAGGTTGTTGATGAGGTTGTAGAGCTGCGCTCGTTGGGGCGGCGTCAATGTACATATACAAATACCAAATTTTTGGGGCGTGATTCCATTACCTGCTGATACAACATCATCCCCAGAATACTGCCCACGGGGACCAACACGCACAGCACGACCGCCATGACCGTAATCTCGCCCAAGCCCGGGGCCTGTGTATGCTTCTGGTCGGTGTGGATGAAATGGATGATGGAGAGGACGAGGCTGAGGAGGCGGGCGAGGAGGAGCAGGGCGCAGAGGAGGGTGGAGAGGACGGTGAAGAGGAGGAAGCGGATGAAGTGTGGTTGGTTGCCGTGGCCTATGCATGTATCTGAGTGGGGAACCGACGGGTGTGAGATGTTGCCTTTGCCTATGATTTGGAGATGTAATCCAGTGCGGGACGTTACTTAGCCATTTGCCTATATCGGATTCAAACGTGGAATGGTTCTTCAGTCAAGATTCGCACGGTCGCCCTTGCCTTGACGAAAACGGGTATCACTCACAATGATGGTCCATACGTCTGCAACGAAACGGGTCGGTTACCACTGATCAGCTTCAGATGTCCCTCCACGCGTATGCGGAAGTATGGCGCTTACAGGACGCAACGCTCGCATCTGCGACAATGATGCGTACGGGGCGGTTTCCCAATGTTGCATTTATGGCAATAGGTTGAGGAGGGGAGGTCGGCGGTCGGTTGTCTAAAATGTCGGATGTTGGATTCGGGATTTGATAATGTTGGGGTACCTGCAGGTGGTTGCCTAAACTTACGTAGGTGGCGGGCTGGACCATGTCGATGGAACTCTTCCCGGGTCTATTTCAAACGACATAGGCCGTAGGAGTTGGTTTTCTCATGTTTGCTCGTATGGGGTATGTACGCAGGAGGACACATACCAGTTAACCGACACGCAATCCCATTCACGATGGCCAAGATCACAACCAGGTCAAAGACCCCGAGCACGAGCGTCGACCCGAACGTGAGTGGGCGCAGCCATGGCAGGAAGACGAAGAGTTGGGAGAGCAGGGGGAGGGATGTTACTGCCTGCCCGGAGGGTGTGAGAAGCGCACTTGGTAAACGGGGACGCAAGTGTAATGAGAGTCATTGGACATACGTAGAGTGACGGCTGTGATGGCGAAGAGGGCGTCTCCGGAGCGATCGTCGGTCCCTCTGTTCCTGCCCATTCCACTTGATGGCCGTTCTTGCCAGTGGGATTTGGATTGAGAAAGGAGGTATCAAATGTTCATTTGGCGCTCTCAAGCTTTACAAGTTCTGGGTGGCGGTAATGTCAGGCCTTCTGAAAAGTTCCCACCTTGCCATATGTAGACCACCATAAGACATCAAACTTTTTCCATTACAATCCCGCACTGTAAACATGTATTATGCAATACCGTCTCCCGGATAAAAGAAGAAAGAAAAGGCAAAAAAAAATATACAAGAAAAAAGGTCTGCTATGCTCATAGGAAGTTAGCTAAAGCAAGGGGAAACTATGAAATGCACAATACGCCTGAAATACGCCGAAAGATTCCGTTCATCACCGGACAAGGGCGTCATGTGCGGTCTCATCCGCCCCAGCCCCCTTCTCCCCCCTCTTCTCCCTCTCCCTCAACCTCTCCACCGCCTTATACCCCGCCACCTTCGTAAAATCCACCCCTCCACACGCATCCGCAATAACCCCCTTCGCACCCTCCCACCTCCCCGGCCCATTGACCCTATACTGCGCCGGCACCGCAGGCCCCAACAGAATCTGACTCGCCAGCACAAACTCCTTCCCTCTAACCAGTCCCCACAGATCCGGTTTACACCCGATTTGGGTAGCAATGTCGTCCATGTAACTGACGAAATCGACTTGGATCGTGTGCCGTTCCGTGAGGACGTGCGTCGGTTTATAGTTGTGTGTCCAGTTTATGTCGACTTCGTCGCGCATTTGGGTGGGTGAGGGAAGGGGGGTTTGGGTCGGGTTGCCCGAAAAGACGCGAGAGACCCACCGCGCCTGCATTTCTGAGACGGGCATCACGGCGCCGATGGGTTGTACGAGTCCGACAAACGCGATATTTTTGTGGAAGACGGGGAAGACGTTCTTGTATAGACGGACGCGGTTGGAGTCGGGTCGTTCACGGCCGAGGATATCCAGCGAGGTTTGGGGGGAGAGGAAGGGGTGTTCGATTTTGTAGCCTGTGCAGTAGATGACTTGGTCGATCTGTTCCACTGTGCCGTCTTCAAATACGACCGTGTTTGTCCGTGGGACCCCTGTTGATGTGCTTGTGGTCGCTGCGAATTCGGCGACGTTGGGTCGGACGAGGATCTTGCCCGCTGCTATCCGGTCCAGGATGTGTCCGTTCACTGTCGGGTGGGCGTCGAAGATCCCGTGTTTTGGCTTCAGGCCGAAGCGGGAAAGGTCGCCGTTTTGGAACTTCATTGCTGTTTCGAAGAGGTAGTTCGTCAACGGCCTGGGAAGGGACGCTGCTAGACGGGTGGAGAGATGGTCTAGGGGGACTCCGAATAAGGAGCTGCGCGGGAGAATCCATTGCCCGCTACGAGCGGAGAGGATGACTTGTTTGGCGTGGTGAGACAGTTCAGTGGCAATGTCGGCTCCTGAGTTCCCGATGCCGACGATAAGCACACGTTGATCCTTGAACGGATATGGTCTGCAAACAGAAGGAAATCAGGATATGTTTTGCGTGCGCCCTTTCCAAAGCGGATTCCATGCCACTCACACTTTGTAAGAATGTGAATGCAACATCCCTCCCTCAAAGTTCTCCATCCCCTTAAACTCCGGTAATTTCGGCTTCCAATGATGTCCCGTCGCAATGATAACATAATCAAACGTCTCGCATTTCGACCGCACGCGCGACACGGATCTAAACCTCCCCCCATACGATTTATGCGGACTTTCCCCATCGTGTTTCCCACCACTTTTCTGACTCGCCGAGCTCGGTGCCAGCAGACCTTTGCGCGACTGGCTCAACGATCGCCGCGACGAATCGGGTGCGGGCACGATATCGTCCGGTGGTGTGGAATGAGACCGCTCGGGGATGGGTTCGTAACCAGCCGCGGGATCGTAGTCGGAGAATGTTTGCGAAGGAACGCGATGTAACGTGCTCGACGTGACGTTGTTTTGGGAGTACAGCGTGTCCCCTGATGAGTTCAGGATTGGATCTAGGATCCGCGCTTGGGCATTTCCGTGCCTGCCGCGACTCGTTGATCGAGGGCGTCTACCGTCCACGGCGTCGGGCACATCTATCGACGGGACAGGTCGAGGAGGAAGCGGCGGTCGGATGGCGGACAGGTCTGGCGACATTGCTGGTGTCGGTGGGACACCGTAAATGTTTGTTTGTGCCTGTTTTCTCCTCACTTTCTGCGTTACTATCTCCCATTTTCCCGTGTTTTCCCCTGTTTTTTCGTCCGTTTCGGGAGACACGGATATGACCTTTCTGTTGAACTTTATGTGCTCGCGGAGTTTGAAATGGTCGCAGTAGGAATTCAGGTATTTCACCACAAAGCGGTGGGGTAAGAACGTCGGCCACTCTTTGGGTGCAGGAAAATCCGAATACGCCATCATTCTTCGGAAAAAAAACCAAAGCCATCAGTCAATCATGTCATCCATCAACCATCATCCATCACCCATCATCCATCAACCATTAACCATCATCCATTGAACATCAACATCATCAAGCGAAGTAAGAACGACCTCGGCTCACTAACGCTCGCCATCCTCAAGCTTGCGCCTCCGGCGCAATCGGGCGCGCTAGTGGTCGCCTTCTCCTGACGGCCCACTACCCAGTTAGCCTCGCTATCGCTCGCATTCTCCTCGCTGCCGCTCGGAACCTCAAGCAATCCCCTCGCTATCGCTCGGATCCGCAAGCATTCCTGCGGCTCCGGCGCAAACAACCAGTATCGCTCGAGTCTCCCTCCACTCGGGTACTCACTCTTTACTAGTATTAATTATCGTACTCATGTAAACACTAGAATGGGTATCGTCCCCACCCTGGGGCACATATCTCCAAAGCCCTCCAACTTGAGGTTCCTGGTCGAAGCAAACGACGTCGAGTCCTTCAGCGAGACACTCTTTGAGCGACGCGAGTCCCGAGGCGCCTGCGTTTCGGGGAATTGTAAGAGTTCAGTGAGGGCGGTGGACGGCTTTCCTGGGAAAGGCGTGACTTTCCTTACCTGCTCCTATTACGGCGACTCTCCTTCGAGGGCGGTCGGGAAGTGGTGGCGCTGCACTCGTGTCCGGCGAGGCGACTGACATGGTTGCTTGGCTCTCTGGGTATGGCTAGATCACGGGAGACTTCTGGTACGGACGAGAGAGACGAGTGCGGAGCGTGGGAATATTCAGAAAACAGGGGCAGCAGCTCCTTGCGTCTGAGAAAGCAACCTCCTGGGGCGGGTGGTCCTCCTGCCAAGAGCGAGCGAGCGCCTTGAGCTCTCTGTGACGTTTTGGCGCCGTTAGCTTTGCAGTCCCTCGTGCGTTTTTGTGCCTTTGCCGATCTCGACCCACATCGGGGGCCGTCGCTGAATTGATTTGATTCAGAGATCGGTTGGTTGCATTCGTGGCGTCCGCTAATCATCGCCCTAATGCAATCAGTCCTATCGCGTGACGCCCGCTAAATTATGAGCGGCCAGGGACTGCAAAATGGCGCTGGCTTTGCGCTTGCTTCCGTCACGTTTCCCTTTGAGAGGAAGCCCCCCGGTGATAGGCTCTTGGCCGCTAAGATGGTTTCCTTGCAAGATTGAGGCCTATGATTATCATCGCAGCTGAATTGGATGCAGGGCTGGTGCAGTCTTTTGGATGCGATGGTTCATGAAAGGGCGAGGCGAGTGGCAGCCGGTGGTGAACCACGGCACGGATGACATTTCGACGGGTAGAGCCAGCCAGCCAGGCTAACCACGCCTCAATGCCTCCGCATAGGGAAGCAAGGGAGAATGAAATGCAGCTTGCCTCAACAATTGCGCGATGGGCGAGTAGGAATGGGGCTGGGATAGGATATGAGCGGATGGTGGTCCCGTTCCGGAAAACTCCTGTGATATGACATCATACTGTATATGGATTTGAATTTTCGCTTACCTTTGATCGCAAGCGCTCTGAGTGCTCAAAAAAAGCTGCCGGACTTGCGAAGGTATGTACTCCTATCAAGACAGCGCGTGCACTATCTGCTCTGGACGAGGAACGTAGTCCTCTAGAGTGTATGGACGAGGAGGAGGTTGCTTAGTAAGCTTCTCAATTTTTCTTCTCGAGTGAATAAATAACAGATAACCCTAGCTCCCTTTCCCTTTATCTCTTTTGAACTATCGAGTGCTATGACTGAAAAGCTACGGTGGGAGGGGGGGATGTTTCGATGAAGAAAAAGAACTCGCTAGCGGGAGCGCAGTGCGCAATTTAGGACCTAACGTCCAGGGAAACCCGTAAACCCGTAAGAATGTTGATAAATAAACTGACGCGAATTGAGAGGCGAATGCGGCCTGCGAGAGGAGGTGCTTAGTGCGGTGGGTAGTGAGGTGGGATACTAAGCAACCTCCTCCTCGTCCATACACTCTAGAGGACTACGTTCCTCGTCCAGAGCCAGAATGGACTCCGTTCGGAGGTTGCTTATTTGTCGATAAAGCCGTATTTGCCGCCGTATCGCGTAGGAATTCGTCGTAGGTGCGGCCTCAGCGTAAATATCGTCGATACCGATGGTGTAATGCGTTTGGAACACCCGCGAATTGGGTACCCAACGTCCCCGTTTGATTGTTTCGTCGCTGAGGCCGCTGCGCGACTGCGCGGTCGTGACGGCGTGAGTGATGGACTTCATTGTGAACTCGTTGTCGATGCCGGCCGCTCGGAGTACATTGTCGACGAGGTGGCTGATGGTTCCGGGAGCCATTGGTGAATCCTGCTACCGGTTGATGAATACTTCCGCAATGTCGTTGCGACGGGCGCCCTGCACGGTGATGAGTGAGGTGTAGAGCTCCGCAACGTCGAGGTTCGGCGTGTGTTCGATGGGGGGAACGTCGATCACACGGTAGTCGCCTTGTTTGAAGACTGTGGCATCATGCGAGTGGTTGGGACGCCATTCCTTGGGTCGTCGCGAGCGGAGTTTGAGCGAGTGGTCGGTGATGATGGTGCGTGCGTGAATGAGTGTCGCGAGGTGATTGGGGCGACACTTCATCGTGAGCATGATGGTGACGGCGAGCTGCGAGGGTAGCCATTCGAGCGTTTCGAGCCGCGGGCGGCGAGCGATGTGTTGCCAGAGCGTCGCTGGGTCCCAAATGGTTTTGTATGCCTTTTCGGTGGGCTTGGTTGAACGTGCCAGACCTCGGAAAAATCGTTGTATGTCCGGCGAAGTACTGATCAGTGTTTCGTCGCCGGTAATTTGTTGGAGTGTGTTTGCGATCGCTGACCGGTAGCCTTTTAGGGTTCGGACGGCGAGTCGTTTTTCGGAATGAACGTCGGTGAGGAAGTTCAGAATCGATGAATGGCCGGCGCAAACGGGATCAAGGTGTTGTCGTATACACCAGCGTACGTATATACTCCAAATGGAGTTGTAGTTTGCGTCGTTCGCGAGCGATTTGAGCGTGATGTCGATAGCTGTCTGCGATAAGCCTCGCTGTGCGCCATAATGCCGGATAACCGCCATGCGATCGTGAGGGTCCACGGTGGTTCGCGAAGAGGGAGCCCGCTCTGTGCTTGGAAAACCTTGGGTTTGGACGGAATTGGAATCGGGTCGGCGATTGAGAGACGCAGGAGGAGCGGGAATGCCGCGTGCGACGGCCAGAACGGTGTTATAAGGGTCAGGTCGTGCACTTCCTCGTCGCTGATCTTGCGGGCAATGCTCGTAATGAGCAGCCACGGCGGTTTCGCGTAGCATAGGTGATGATTCCATGATATTTGCAAGGCGTCGACTGCGAATGCTTGTGGGTCTCGCGGGTCCAACGTGCAGTAGTTCGGAATGCGGTGATCGCGGTTTGTGCCCGTCGCAAACAGCTCCATTGTGTGATTCACTTTCCACCGGCCCTGAATCTGCCGGAGAATGCGCGGGTTGAGCTGGTAGTCGTTCCGATCGTTCTGCTGGCGAGAATCCAAGTCCGCGATCACATTCTCTTTGCCCGGAACGTGAAGGGCTTGCCATGTCGTGTTCTGGTGTTGGTAGCGGAGGAGAAGGTGCTCGATCACCTGGGAAAGACGATCCGCGCGGCCGCCGCCCTTGTTGAAGTAGAACATTGTCGGCGTGTTGTCCGTCATGTGGATGACGTGGGCGTTCGAGAAGTCGAAACCATGTCACTCGTGAAGGAGGTCGACGGTGCGGACTTGAGCTATGGCTTCGAGGACGTTGTTGGAGACCAGGCGATCGAGCTTCTGCCGCCGAATGGCCCGTTGAAGATCGGCGAAGAATAACTCGGGAAAGTAGCGTTGAATGAGCACGGGTGTCCACAGTTCCTGGACGCGAATGAGCTGACCGGTTTGGGGATGTTGGCAATTTCCGCCCCATCCGTGGTTCGGGGATGCGTCGGCGAATATGCGGTAGTCTGCGTCCGTCGTGAACAAGCTCTTTCCATTCCACGCAGTGAGGTTGTTTGCGAACTCGCGAAGGAGGGTGCGGGTCGGGGTTGGAATCATGCAGAATGCGCGGGGATGACGAGCTTCCCGTTTCCAGTCGAAGGTCTTCTTCTGGACTACTCTTCGCAGCGCGCGGGTGAGGGGTTGAGAGAACGTTTTCGCTATCGTAATTGCCGGCGTGATGGCCTGAATCTTGCCGAGGATGTGCCACAGGCTACCTGGCATGCGGGGATGCGTGTGCGGCGACTGGTTTGACGGAGGAGCCGGATCATGGTGCGGAGTTTGTCGGGAGGAAGGCGCATGGTTTTGAGGGTGAGGTCCCAATCCCAGCCGACGTAGCGGGTCGTCTGCGAGGGGGTGATGTCGCATTTGGCCCACTTGAAAATGCAACCGAGGAGCTGCATTAACCGCAGGGTGAACAGCATCCCTTCGAGGCATTGGAGTTGCGTTGTCGCGACGTTGAGGAAATCGTCGACCCACGCAAGAATGGTGTGCCCGTTGTGGGGTACTATCTTGAGGATGGCCTTCATCGTTTTCGTGAAGACTTCGGGGGCGTGATTCTGTCCGAAAAGCATTGCTATCGCGCCGTAGTAGCGTCCGCCGGTGCGGAGCATTAGCCGGTTCCGTTCGCGGGGGTGATTGGCGATGATGTTGTAGGCGTCGGCGAGGTCCGTCCCACTGGCCCAGTTCGCCGTTGCCATCACTTCCTGCACAGTTTTTACCGTCTCCATTTTGAAGTGCCCCGTCGGGCTCTGCTCGTTGACGCCGGTGTAGTCGACAATCTGGCGCCATTTTGAGCGGGAGGGTTGATATACCATGAAGACCGGTGAGGTGATGTGCCCCGGCGGGAGAGTCGGGCCGTGAGCGCGCATCTCGTCGGTGCAGTCCTCGATGATCCCTTTCGCGAGACAGTCGTCGAGTTTGAGTTTTAGTTGATCGCGCTCGGTCGTTGAGAGGTGGTACTCGCCGGCGTAACGTCGCATTTGTTGGGGGATTGAGCCCATTTGGTTTTGACGCCGTACGTGACTATGTTCAGGATCTCGTCGTTGATGGAGAAACTCTTCCAGTGTCGGGCAAAGTGCTTTAGTCGTCCGCCGGGAGGTATGGTGAGATGCGGGTGAGGAAATAACCACTCCATCCACTGCGTCCGTGTCGTTGCATTGCTTTGTTCTACTCGTTGTAGGAGCGGGAGTAGCCAGAGGAGGTCGTCGCGCGACACCCACGGTCGGGGATGGGGATGGGGATGGGGATGCTCGTCGTCCTGGGCTGGCGGAATTGAACACCATCCCTCGTTGAGGTGCGGCCCGCTGACCCAGTGGGTCCATTGTGCGCGCCATTGAAGAATGCGTGGCTCGTTCGGGAAGGGTAATTGTGTGAGAGGGATTGGTTTTGGGTCCGGTGCATCCAGCATATCCGGCATATCCGGCATATCCGGTGCGTTCGTCGTCGCCGTTGAGCATTCCTCTACTGTTTTTCGTGTTTTGCGTCGGGTGAATTGTGTCGTTGATGACTGTGGGACCCGCCGCGGCCGCCGTCGCGGCCTCGATAGCCCTGTCCGCGGGAACGACCTTGATATCCGCTGCTGCGTGTGCTGCGGCTGCTGCTGCGGAACCCTCCCCGTTGGGTTGATGACCTGCGATCGCCGTAGGAGGAATTGCCCCGGTTCCGCTGATCGCTGCGCGTACCGGGGGGGCCAAAAACCTTCTGGGGTCGAAGAGATTTCATGGCCTGGAGGGATGAGACGATTTTCTGCATCTGGTCGAACTCGCCGAAGAGCTCCTGCTTCCTATTCGCGCCGAATGCGCATTGTTTGTGAATGGAGTCGACGGTGGTAGCGGTGAAGCCCGCTGCTTCAAGCGCAGCCTTCTGGGCGTCGTGGACTGTCTTGGTCAGCGTTTCGCGTGCAATCAGGGTAGTGGCCTCGCAGACCGACATGGTCTGTTGGACGATGGAAACGAGTTGTTCCTGCGTCATCCCCGGCGCGGCTGATTGACCGAGGAGGGAGAGGATGGTAGCGTGCTCCTTGAAGGCCCGTAGGTGGCGGTGAACGAGGGGGGCATGTTTCGCCTTGACCTTCTTGAAAGCCTCCTTCTCTGCGGGAGAGCAATGCGCATGGAGGACATTGTCTGTGGGCGTGCCGGAGTTCATGTTGCTGGAGTAGGCGTCCAACACGTCAACTTTGGGGATGCGACGTTGGAATTCCTTCTCATTCTCCTCCTGCGTCGAGACGGACACGACGCCTTCGTCGCGGAGGATATCGGCGAGGTGCATGTTGAGCGGGATCACCGACCGGCTGGTCGGGAGGCGCACGCGGGTGTCGTCGGCGTCGGACTCGAAGTCGGAAGCGGAATGGTGCGAACCGACACCGTTTTCAGGCCCGTTATCGTCATCATCATCCCCCGGGGCAAGCGGGACGTGACGACGACGTTTGGTTTTGGGTTTCTCGGCCGCTTGAATGTCGCGGAGTGAGGGGAGCGGCTGGCTCATGGCAATGAACACCGGCTGCGTGTCCGGTTTGGGGTCCCACATGGTCTTCTGGAGCCGGGGGCGAGGGGGAAGCTCACCGGGCTTCAGGGCGAGGACAACGGGCGCCTTTTTGGCGTGAATTGCGTCGAGGCGGTGTTTGGGGATGGGACCGATGGGCGCATTGGACATGTCGTCGTGCGTACGCTTGCGGCGCTCCCTGGCCAGGGCAATTGCGGCGTGATGGCGTTCTGCAAGCCTTTCTCGTTTTCGTTCGAGGTCGGCGATGAGGGCAGCCTGGTTGTCTCGTTCAAGAGAGGCGACAACCTGCTCGGCGTGAGCGAGATGCGCTTCCCATTCCGCAATTTCTCCGCTGTAGGGTTTGCGGGGAGGCTCGGCATGCGGCGAGGGCTGGTGCGCTCAGGGGATTGAGCGTCGTCCTCCTCGTGGTTTTCAGACGTCTCCTCGTCTCGGAGTTCGGACTGGGACGGCGTGCCGTTGTCGTGCTGAGAGTCATTGTCGTACTGAGAGTCGTTTTCGTCCATGATGGTGATGATGCCGCTGGTTAGAACACACGTGTGAGTCTGTGTACTATCCCGGGGAGGAGAGCGAACGTGAGTTCAAGGTCTCCTTTGTTTTGCGACTCAATGCGCTGGGTGAAAACCCAAACTGATTGCCTCTCGCTCAGAGCGGCGCCCAGTAACCCCTTTCCGTTCAGACGGAAATCACCATGGAACCCATATTTCAACGTACCTGTGTCGAGAGCGATGAATTAGGTGAGTTTTTATGAAGAATGAGAGTGCAATGTTGTGAACGGAGTGTGCGCTTAGCCTGTTTTCGTTCGGGGACCTGTGCACTCGAGTGAAAAAGAGATAAAGGGAAAGGGAGCTAGGGTTATCTGTTATTTATTCACTCGAGAAGAAAAATAGAGAAGCTTACTAAGCAACCTCCGAACGGAGTCCATTAACGCAGCTTCCTTCCAGTCCCCGACATCCCGAAAAATGACAGTATCTAGGCAGCTGTCAAGAATCAGTGACAGTGCTGTCAGAGGCAATCTGTCCCCGAGACCCTTTCCATCACCCGACCAGACGGACATGGGCGGCTTCACTTCTCTCAGAAGACGTGCCACAACGCTCCATAAAGTTTTCTCAGTCGAGGCTTATTCCAAAACCAGAGGCAAACCATCCACTCCCGTTCCAGATATCCCCAACTGCCCACCACATATATTCCCGCTCACCCCAGTCCTCCCTGACTCGTACCCACACTAGTCACATCCGCAACGCGCAACAAACACCCCACCCCAGAAAAAGCGCTCGACAAAATGCCAGCCCGAACCACAGGTTGGGCCGTCGCCGACGACAGCACCAGCACCGCTTCAGGAGCCTCTTCTCGCCCCACTTCGGCTGGCTTGACTGTTTCCGCTGCTTCCAAGTCCACCGCCAACAACAACTTCAAGTCCAACGGTGCGCAGAACATCACCACCGGCAACAGCATCACATGTTTGGTCTCAAGCTCCACCCTCTCGCACTCCTGCTCCACGTATCCCCCATCCGCCACTTCACCAAAAGCAGCTTCACCCAAACCCAAACCGGTATCAATCTACATCGCGCCCAACCCCACCGCCGCCACGCCCACCAAACCCAAAGCGAACAATTTGAGAATCATCGCGGACACGCCGAGCCCCTCACCCCCTTCGAGCACCACCACGTCGCAGAGGAGGGCGAGGGCGCCTGATGAGTGGGATTACTCGTCGAGTGAGGAGAGTGAGGGTGGGGAGGATAATGAAGAAGAGGAGATTGTTGTCGAGTATGCGGTTCAGGCCACGACGGACACCGGCCCCACCAAAACTATGGATGTGAAAGACCAAACCCTGGAGAAACCCGAAAAAAGCAAGAAAGACCAGAACCACGAACCCAACAAAGGAAAGATCTACCGCCCCACGGTCCCCAACCGCTCCACCACCCCACCCCACACCCACATCCCCACCACCGGCACCGAAACAGGCCTCTGGGTCGACTCCCTCCGCCCCAACCCCGAAAACGACACCGACTGGTCCGCCTTCGATACCTGCAAGCCCGCCGCGCAGACCGCGCCGAGCGAGACGCCCGACCTTGGGTATGAGGATAAGTTTCTGTTGGCGTTCGATTTTCGGATTAAGCAGAAATTGCCGGAATTGCAGTACGTCCCCATATCGTGAAATCGTTTCGGTTGAGTTACCCGGGGTTGATTGATGTTGAGGTTTTTCGTTTAGGCGGGTCGCAACACAAGCCAAAATCAAAATATCCCACGACGCCAAAAACAACGAGCTGGTCATCTCCGCCAACACCAAGGAAGAGCTCCTCGACGGGTATGCGTTCCTTTCCCCCGCCCCAAGTTCTATATTTTCCATCTCCCGCTTATCAGTCCCCCCCGTGGGTCGCCTACGGCTCCCTCCAGCTTACTCCGAGTCTACGACCTAATCGACCGCAAAACCCCGCACATCGTCTCCACAACGCCGACGCACCTGCGGATCCAGAAACCGGACCGGCCGGGGTACTGGGGCCAGCCGAGGGAGGAGTGTGCTCAGCGGGGGGTTTACAAGGTGTTGGGGAATGTGAGTGAGAGTGCGGGGAGTGAGAGGGGTGCGGGGAGTGAGAGCGGGGTTTGATGTATGAAGGGATGATCATTTTTGGGCCGTGTTACTAAGCTCGACCAGGAAGGAAAGTGAGCGTGGAGAGAGGTAAACGGGGGTAGAACGAAACGAGTTCCTTCTGAGAAGTTCCAGTAGTATAGTAAAAACAGTAGTCTCGCAGAAAACCCTAAACGTTTAGTGAGCACATAGTGTAGCATCCCTTACCGAACAAGGCGGGAATGTATCTATAATGGGTGTAAGCCGTGATGTCCAGTACAGTACATGTTTCCCCAGCCGTCCCTCTCCCTTCCCATCTACCCCTCCCCCTCCTCAACCGCCCCAGCAGCCCTCCCATCCCACTTTCCCCCCCACTTCCAAAATCGCACTTCCAACACTTTATCCCCACTAAACCCCTCCTGAGCCCACTCGGGTATCGGTGTCTCATACATATTCCCGTCCCATTCGTATCGCCAGCTGTGGAGCCAGATGCTAAGTTGTTCGGGGGTGGGGTCGCGTCGGGTGAGGAGGCATTCGGTGCAGCCTGGTGCGGGGGGGAAGGTGCGGGTTACTTGTTGTTCTTGTTGCTGAGGTGGTTGTGGTTGTGGGGCGGTATCTTCAGGCTCCGATGCGGAAACAGGCGCCAAATCAGGAAATGCATGCGGACCAAGTTGTCGCACAATCGAGTCGATGTCACCCGCGGCGACCCCACCCTTCCCCATCTCCTTCCCCCAGACATCACAACAGTACAACGGGTCGTTAGCGATCGGGTGTCCGAGGAACTGCAGGTGGACGCGTATTTGGTGGGTGCGGCCTGTTAGCGGTTTGCCTGGCGGAGGAAATGTAATTTGTTTGTGAGGTTTAATAGAATACAGGAATGTGGAAGATTTGGTGGGGTATTTACATTCGACGACGCTGGTAAGACCGTTGGTGGAGAGTCGTTTGAAGACGGTTGTACATTCTTTGCCGTCGGGCGAGACAGCGTTGATGCCGAGTTTGGGGGAGATGGTTAGGATGGGTTCCGAGCATGTGATTTCCTCCCTGAAAGTTACACACATCGGTGTTAAACGCCATGCATTGTAACAACGAAATGAAGTGGGAATCAAGCGGTGCACGTACTCAGGAAACACCCCGCGAACCCGACACAGGTACGTCTTCTCGACCGTGCGGTCCTGGAAGACTGCCATTAGGTTCTGCGCGGCCGTTTTGGTGCGGGCGATGAGGCAGAGGCCGGAGGTTAGGCGGTCTAGTCTGTTGACGGCTGAGGTGGAATCAAACGGTCAAAGAGACAATCAACCGACGAAGAAGCGCGAAATCATGCCACTTACGGTACAACTCCTCCAAGCCAAACTCCGGACTTCGCAGAATGTGCAGGACAGTGTTATGGTGGTACCGGCCCGTAGGATGGATCTAACCCACATACACATCAATACCACCACTCATCGCCATCCGCAAAACATGTTCCTCTACTCACAGGTAGCGAGCTCGGTTTATTAACCACCAACAGATCCTCATCCACCCGTAAAAGTTCCACCTTCTGCGCTGTCACAGGCGGCTCATGTCGATGAATCGCGTGCGTAAGTATATCGTTGTTGCGGGGTATGTAGTCTGTTGTGACGGGTTGGTTGTTTATGAGGATATCGCCACGTTTGATCGCTTCCGCCTGCGATTGTAAAATAGCCCAAACATTAGCATCGCCGCATGCGATGAATACGGACATGTAAAGCGCTTTCTCTTACGTAGTATTCCCGCGGTTTATCCTGGAACTCAATGGCAAAGGTCTCGATCAACGGGCGCTTCTGCCATCGGCCTTTGACGAAGGTCTCGTAGACGAACGGGTACGGCTCGACTTTTCGTAACCCTACCACACCAAAAGTCGGGTAGTGAGTGATATGCCACAAAAGTGATAACATGTCCCGCCCATTAGCGACGTTCCCACCATGTTCAAAGTAGTAAGTAGCGTTCGTTATCGGCTTCGATTCATGTGAACCAAAGTCTTTTCGGTTTTTCTGCCGGGGGAGGGTTTTCTTTGTCTGTGAGGAGGATAAAACGGGCGTGAGATATGAGTTCAAAAGAGAGAAGACGGGTGATCAGAGTGCAACCTTCAAGTTACCCTTGGCCGCTTGTTTGGTGGCTCTGCTGGTGTGTCTTGCTGTGCTGCTGCTGCTGCCGCTGCTGGATCTGGCTCGGTGGTTTCGTTCATTCTCTTCATGTTGTCGGGGTTGATGCAGGAGAGCAAACGTGGCTTCCAATTCTGACGTCGTCGCGGCCGGTCCCAGAAGACGCTCCCTTCGACTCCTTCGACGGACTCCATTTCCTGCACAACACCACTTATTCAAAACACTCCCATACAATGTCCGACGCAAACAAACGCCTGGCCTTCGCCATCACTGAGTTCCTCGCGGACTCCATCGCAAACGGGACTATCAACAAGGACGACGCTGAGGGTATCGAAGGTGGGTAACTTGAACAGACTTCGTCCATGAAACCCCGACGCAGAACTGATCTGGAACCTCCTCAAATAGTCGCCATACAATGCATAGGCGAGGCTTTTGGCGTAGACCCGTCCGATGAGAAGCACAAGTCTCAGTTCTCTATCAAGCCCGCCACTTTGCCAAAGATCTTTGACGTGTTCCTGACGACACAGCAGAAGGCGGCCTCTTCTAACCAGGAGGCTGCTCCTGCTCCCGAGAAGGTATGCGACTATCTCCGAATGGAAATTATCGGTTTGCGTTTGAGGAAGGATTGCTGATCAAGACTCTTATGAAAAGGCTGCCCATACTTCTGTTAACTCCGGACCTTCGGCGGACTCTATCAAGGCGAAGGCTGAAGATCTGAAGGCTGCTGGTAACAAGGAGATGGCGAATAAGCAGTATGCTCAAGCCATTAAGCTGTACTCGGAGGCCATTGAGCTGAACGCTGAGAACCCCGTATACTACGCCAACAGGTGAGGATGACATGCAATCAATCACGCGCTATGGCATCATTGATAAGGAATGTACGAAAACAGAGCCGCTGCATACACACAAGCGACAAAGTACGAGCAGGCGGTTGCCGACGCAAAGAAGGCTGTGGAGATTGACCCGACTTACGGCAAGGCTTTCAGCAGATTAGGGTAAGTGGCGGCGTCAGGGCAGACACCAGGGAAGCAGGGACAAACAGCTCACTGTCGCCCCCACCACAGCCAAGCCTACTTCTGCCTCGGCAAATACCAAGAAGCCAGCGACGCATGCGAAAGCGGTCTTAAGCTTGAGCCCGGAAATGCCGCACTCAAGTCAACAAAAGCGGCCGCGGAACAAAGGCTCAATGAGGCCAGCGAGCCTGCAGCCAGCGCTCCCAGGGCTACTTCAGCAACACCCCGCTCGGGCGGTGGGGCTCCTGGAGCAGGCTTCTCCGGACTTGGAGGTCTTGGTGGACTCGATTTGGGGTCGATGATGAGCAACCCCAACTTCATGCAGATGGGTGGGTGCGGGGAGCCTATGGCTTCTGAAATCGTCCCCCGGTACTGACTGCTAAATCAACTTTTTCTAGCGCAAAGCATGATGAGCAACCCCGCCATGAGCTCCATGCTCCAAAACCCGGCCATGATGCAAATGTAAGCTTGACCTATACCCTTTCGATCTGAAGCAGAATCACGAGTGACTGACGTATCACATGTCCTCGTTTTACAGGGCGCAGAGCATGATGAGCGACCCTGACGCGATGCGCAACATGATGAACAACCCGGAGATAGCGCGTATGGCGCAGAGCATGATGGGTGGCCAGGGTGGTGCTGGAGGTGTTGAGGAGGCTCCTTGAGTTCGCTTTTTAAATGTAGCAAGGTAGTTTCGACGAGTTTGTTCGTCAGGCATGTGAACCGACTGTAATATCGTAGCATGTAGACATACTCGTAGGTTTAGATCCGCCGAGAATATCATAGGCAGTAATCGTTCATACAGTTCCATGGATGCTTTTGGTACTACAGACGCCTTGCTTGGGTGTCGAGACTTGTGCGGGGAACAGCGGCGCGCGTTTTCTGGTTGACCGTTTGCGCAGGCGGCACGGCGCAGCTGGGAAAAAGTTGCCTCTCAAAAAGTTACGTTCCTGGTCGAACAGTCTGCACCACAATTCCGACGGTCTACATAGAGACTCCAGAGCCGGTGCAACAACACTACCTTCTGCGGAGTTACTTGATAGAATAGACGTCAGAGCACTGCCAATATCGCCGATACTCCGTTGGGCAAATAACCTGGCTGGGCTGTCGGGACGCAGGCAAACCGGGCGTTACGAAAGTTCCCACGGAGTACGCCACCAACTTCGATATTTCCCGTTTGGCCAGCATCCGTCGTTGAATAAGCATGCCGCCTGTAGAGCACGGTCCGGGCGGAGACGCCTCGCAGTCCACTGTGTCGCCGTTCTTGGTGTTTATGGCTGAGGTTGGAGGACAATTCGCTCGCGGCGTCGTCGTTGGCGGCGTGGTGATTCTTCTGGGGCAGATTTTCTTTAGGTGAGGAACGGAGGGGGCGGTGCTGGCGAGGCAGCGTCGTTTGGAGTGTGTTGTAGGTCCGAGTGTCAGGACTGACAGTATAACTTCCCTGATACGGCAGGCTTATAAAAACTTGGTACCGCCGCCGGCAATACTCGGCCTACGACGCCATCCCGGACTACGACCCGCACCCCGACTGCGACCTAACCTATGATGATGCCGACGACAGCTCCTACATCCCGCAACCCCTCCCGCCAGACCCGTCTACCAGCACCACGCCAACACCCTCGCTGACGAAAATCAAGACCGGGGAACCGCCCGTAGTGAGACACTGTCGACTCGCTGTGAGGGCTATGCTGCATTTGGTGGAGATCTCGCCGGAGGTTATTCCGCAGGCGCAGTTGTTTACGTACAGGGGGTTGAGGGCGGGTGGGCATCAGAGGCAGGCTAGTGTGCCGGCGTTTTCGAATCCGACGACGGCGATACCTGTGCACAAAGATGCCGTGCTGGGGGATAAGGAGAAGCAAAGGGATGAGCCGAGTGCAGTACGGCCGAAAGATGAATCTGTGACCCCGCCACGCAGCAGCTTGGCTGATGAGAGCATTTCAATGTCGAGTGGCGGGACGAGGCGGAAGTCGTCAAAGAAGCCCAAAACGGAGCGGACGAGTCTCGGTCGCGCCAGCGGAGCCCGAGCAGCTGTGGAGATTCTGGAGAAGTCTATTGACGAGGGTAAGATTACGGCCGCGCTGCCTTCGTCCAAAAACTCCAGTCCGCACCGGCATGCGTCGGATATCTTCGACAACAGCAGCAGCCGGCAGGAGGTGTCGTTTGAGGAGAGCCGTTCCCACGAAACGCAGTCGGGCGTTACAGACGACATTCTTGCGCCGATAAAGGATTTCAAAAAGGACGATGCGCACAACAAGGCGCCGCGCCGCACAAAACTCGCCAAATCCTTTTCCGATTTCAGTATCGGGCAAGCCACCAACCGCGCCTCCTTCCACGCTGACACCGATGACGCCATCTCGGAGGAGAACGTCAGCAGGCACAGCGTCTCCTCAACCACATCGACGCCGAGTGCCAGATTGCGGAAACCGCAGTCCGCGATGCCACTTGGCAGGAGGTCCACGTCGTCGGCGGTGGAGGATGGTCACCGGAATAGTCCTGCGTCGCCCACACCTGTGAGATCGAGCATACCGGCGACGTATTTCGCGGCCGACCATGCCCATGAGTGGACGATCCCGGGGTTCGGTCGGATTAGGTTTACCGACCATGCTCCATTGCCGTTCAAGGCGTTGCGCACGCTATTTGGGTACTCATTTGATGAACTGAATGAGAGTCTTGCCCGCGCTTTTAGTGTCGAAATGACAGCCGGGAAAAGTGAGAGTGGTACGTTGTGATCGTGTCTGGCGTGTTCGCTTTGCGAAGCGCGAATCCCGGGCTGATTATTGTTCGTTTCCCAGTGTTCTTTGAGACACACAACAATCGCTACCTTCTGAAAACACTTCGAGGCGCCGAAATGGAAAACCTGCGGAGTTTCCTCCCTGCCTACATCTCCTACATCTTAGACAATCCAGGCACTTTACTCCCACGCTATCTCGGCCTGTACACATTCGAGCGTCTCACCACCGTCAACGGCCCCGCATCCTACAGTTCCGGTGCAGGCCCCAACGGCCGCAGTTTCGGCGCTTCAGGCAAACACCTCCACCAGCAATACCAATCCTCGCAGATCGACGACGCCCTCGGCACCCGCTTCACCGTCGTGCTGATGGCCCACGTGTTCGACACCGACCTAGAAATCGCCGCCAAATTCGATTTCAAGGGCTCTAATGTCGGTAGACAAGCCTTACCAGACGACCTCAGCGCGTTGCGGCTCCCACATAACAGGAATCCGTTTAGCTCCCACTCGTCGACTTCCACAGCCGCGTCTGGGTCGGATACTACCACTAGCGGCAGCAGTCGCGGGAATAGGAGCATATCGTTTTCCAACCTTCCAAGTGAGATTACCCTGAAGGAAGTGGATTATCAGCGGTTGATTGCGATTGGAGGCGCCAGACGGTTGATTATGGGCGAGCGCGCCAAGTTGGCTGTTTTGGCGCAGTTAAGGAGTGATGTTGCGTTGTTGAGGAAGTGGGAGTTTATGGATTATAGGTCGGTTTTTTGGGACAAGGGTTGACGTGTCAATTTTTTTTTGGAAGCTGGGGAGACTAACGATACGGCTGCTTGGCGTTTCACAACAGTCTGCTGATAGGTGTGTACAGACACCCCCGCAAAACCGCGCCACCCGCCCCCGCTGCTCCCCCACCACCACCCCTTCGCGCCTACTCCCACGACACATTCGCACAACTCCCCAAACACGACAAGCCCACTCGCGGCAGATCCGACTCCATCTCGTCCTCCTCCCTCACTCCCCCCAACGAGAACAACCTACCCACAAGCCAAACAACCACCCCGTCATCAACACCCAAACGCACCGCAGCAGCAAAACTCTCCCCCATCTCCATCCCCTCCACATCCCCACGCAACCCCAGAACACAGGGACTGAGCCCGACGCTGCAGCACTTGATTCCCCCCGTCGTCAACTCCTACCCTCTGTTCCAATCTGCCCTTCGCATGCTGGACGGGTGGATCGCGCCCCCGCCTGAAGGACAGAGCGAGGCGGATGAGGAAGGGAGGGATGTGTCGGTGACATCGACGCAGAATCTGCGACGGACGCCGAGTCGTGGGAAGGATGTGGCTGGGAAACCGGTGGCTGCGGATACGTCAAGTGTTTTGAGCGATCTGGAGAGTCAGTCTGAGGCGGTGGCGGATACGAGCGGGAGTCGGTATAGTAAAAGTTCTGTGTCGACTGAGGACTCGGAACGGCGGTACAAGTATACGTTTGGAGGGGCGAGCGAGGATGCGCCGTCTGCGCCTTTCCATAAGCATTTTAAGGGGGGCATTCGGGGGTTAGATTTGGTGGATGACGATGATGTGCAGTATGAGGTTGGTCTTTTAAATTTATCTTCGGATGGTCGTGCCCTGCGTTTCACCCTCTGACGTGTGTGTAATCCACAGGTCTACTATCTCGGCCTAATCGACATCCTCCAGAAATACAACGTCATCAAATGGATCGAGCGCAATCTCATCAAACGCCCGCTCTTCCTCCATCACCAATCCAGCTCCATCACCGCTTTACCCATCTCCTCTCCCGTCACCCACTCACCCGCCACGTCCACGCCCCCCATCACGACAATGGGAATTCCGGCCTCGCTATCGGGACTGTTTGGCGATCATCGCGATGCACAGTTTACTACACCCACGAAAGTCGCGTCGCCTGTGGGGGATTCGCAAACCGCGTCGTCGTCATCGTTCTCGACCACGGACATCAATAAACAGGCGCTGGGGAGTCAAAGTCCGGAAGCGCTACGACGACCCGCAGGCCCGCTGCATCACACGTGGACGTATCCGACTCCGCGCGGGACTCCCCCACCGCCGACACAGGTATCCGCCACCCCGCAAACACCGACGACGAACCCGATGGCACTCCTGCTTCCGGGGATGCAGAACTCGGAGACGAGCGTCGAGGAGCCGGGACGGTATGCGGAGCGGTTTGTGGAGTTCATTGAGGGGATTTTGGTTTGAATGAGTGGGAACCGATATCCCGTGGAGCGCAAAGCTGGACTGTTTCACTCACAAACACACACACACACACACACACACACACACGCACACGGCGTATTCGATCGACGAACGCCTATGCGACTTTGTCTCCTTTGCCACCATCCGAGGCGAATAACCCCGGGCTCAAAGATCTATTATTATCTTCGTTCTCTGGATTGGAGAAGGACCGTATGCTGGAGCTGGTTGGGACACGGAAACACGGCGTGCGCTTGGACCTTACTTCCCTCCGTAGGTTGCGCGTGTAGACTGAAGAACATTAGACGGGCTTTGTTGTGCGAATTTTCTGGGCGGGGCTTCTTGTAGATATTGTGGGTGTCTTGTATATACAGTATGAGGTGTTTCTGTTATTCACTTGCTGTGCCTCGAGGAATATGTGGGATCCTTTGGTTTGGCTGCAAATGCGAGGGTTGTAGAAGGTTTCCCACGCAACGCATTTCTGAGTCATCTGCTGAAACGAAGCGTGGGGACGGATACTTGTGAACGACAAAGGTGTGATGGTGCGGCCAATGCATCGTTGCCTACAGACCAGGAGTGAATATGTGCCTCGGACATTCACATCCTACTCGTCGCCTGTTTTCCGCGCATTCGAAAAACGCTCGCAAGTGAGCTTGCGCCCATTGACTGACCATCAGCTTATCTTCCGGAAGAGCTTCGTGCACGGGTAACACTGTGCTTCAAGTTATATATTCGGTTAGGGAAAACGCGTCAATTTCCCGGTTTACGACTATTAACACGGGTATGCATCCTCCACTCCTGACTCCTGAGCGAGCGGTACATGTACATATGTGAACCCTTGAACAACGAAGTAGCCAATAGGTGCACCACACGGCAGAAAATCGGGTCAGTGAATATCAACCTGAGCGGTTCGCTCTTACTCTAGCTACATAGATATTTAGCGATGACATGGACGGACAAAGACGCTCTGAAGATCATTGGGCTAGCGGTACAACGCGCCGACCTGCGGGCTCCCATTGGCCACTTCCTTCCAATCATACTCTACTTATCATATTGCGCCCTCCACAACTAGGTGGCCGATGTTTCCCGCTTTTTTTTTTCTTTTTCCTTTCGGTTGCAGCACTTCCCAAGTTTTGCATATGCTCAGTTCGAGTGCACATGAACGCACCTCAGCTTTAAAGTCGTTGTATGCGGTCGCGTACGGTCCTTCTGGCTGAGAGGATTTTGCCTTGGAAGCGAGTCGACGCGTTCTGCCGCCACGAGCGACAGTGCTTACGCGATCCAAAAACGCGTCCAAATGCTGTCAATGTTTCGTGTTTCTAAAATGTTCTGCCATGTAACATATTTCGGACAAGAGTTTCCGGGGACGGAAGATTGCGTTGTCAACCACGCCAAGAGGGGCAAAGGTCGCCTAAGTATGGGGTCCTGAGCCCCACGCGTGGAATGTTGCTTACGCAATGGTAGAGCGCGTGGGTTTCGCGTTGACTCGGCTATGTCTGTGCAGTGTGTAGCAATGCTTGCGCTCCCAGGGGCTATTTAGGCTCTCAGCAACTTCGGGAGAGTCAGAGCGTTGTTTCATTGCTAAATGTCACCCGTGACATGTGTACTTCCGCAAACTCGCTGCTACCTGGTTGAACCCCTCCCTGCTCCTCCTCGTATCTGAAAGGATGCGCTTTGCTAGCCAGCTTTTGCTCCACTCGAAAGACAAAACCCTAAACATTAGTCCGTTTTGACGATGACCTCCCCAGTTCAGCAAGGCAAAAAACCGGACTTGTTCAAATAAAACTAACAAATCATATATAAACCCCCCTCCCTTCTGAACCTAACCCAATTCCCCCGCTCTGAAAAGGAGGCACTCTGTCATGAGGATGAAACAGGATGAGGTCCCTCAGCGGGCCAGGAGAAGTTCAGGAGAAAGAAAGGAGAGCTTGGAGGTCCAGGTGCGGAGTTGCATGCACCGTATCGGGACGCAATGGCGACGCGTCAGTTTCGCGTTGTCCCCGCTGCCCAAAATCATCAATTGGGTTGTTGTACAGCAAGCAACATGATGAGCAAAAGGGGGACAAACAACCATCCCAGGGGCAAGAGAGCAGTATTCGAAAGTAGTGTCAGAGGAGATAGTCAGCGCGGGGCGGCCGAGTTTTAAGCCGAAACTTCCTATCCCGTCGCGTTTGTCCCTTAATGAGGCCGATTTGCTCGGCTACATGGTTTCCCCAATGCCGCCTTGCTAGATTGAATGGAACGATATGGGATGCGGTAATCTCGGAGAAGAGAAGCCAGGGCAAAAGGGAGGTGTGTCAAGTGAAAAAGGTTACTGCTTACGCAACGGCATGGAAAGCGTTGTGGAGACACGCATGTTTGCCTGCCATCACTTCCGAGATCCCATGCACATGCAGCCCGGCTCCCTCCACGCCGCCAGGACCGAGAGGGCAGACGAAATGGCAAGAGTATCGGTGGAAGGGCAGGTAGCCGGATGTGAATCGGGTAAGTGTCATGAGTGAGCGAACAGCCCAGCCCACATAGCTTTCCCGCCAGCGCGGCATCCCGCTCTCTTACCAAAAGTGCTTACGCAGGCGAAAATGCGTCGAATGGGTGTCCTTTTCGCGTTCCCAGCCGTCTGGTACTCTCCTGGAGGTACATAAAGGGGGGACGTAGAGGGATCACAAGCCCGATGACGAACGGGGCCCAAGAGAGAATCGGGAGAGGATCAGGAGAACTACGAAAACGTGAAAGCCCGCGTAAAACCCAGTTCTTTGGTGGCATGCACGCCAGCGTGCTTATGTTTTGATGTGATGTGAGAAAGAAACGCGTCAGTTTCGCGTTCAAATAAGTAACGAACGCCCCATGGCCGAGTGCCCAATCTAAGGATAAGCCTCACAAACGGCTTGTTAGGCTGCAAGCGGCGTGGTGAGCAGAAGGGGACAGGGGGCAATCTCCCAAACTGAATGGGCAATGCTGTCGCTTAAGAGTGAAATTATCCCATCCCAGCCATCTTGCGTCCTAGCCAAAACCCATTTCCATGTGGACAATCTCCGCGTCCGTTCAAAGCATGATATCTCAACCAGCACTCGTCGCGGCTTTGGTAGCCATGGATCCCTTGCGCTTTCGAGGTTCATCTCCCTCCTCAAAGTCCTCAGCGTCATCATTGAGGTTGGTGAAGAAATCATCGAGCGACTGGTCCGCAGGCTTGGTTTTCGGAACTGGAGCAGGAGCCGACTTCTTCTTAGGGGGCGTAGGTCCGACCTTCCGTTTGAGCTTTCGAGCGAGGGCAGATTCTTCTTCGTCATCTGATCCGTCTCCAGAGCCATCACCTTCGTCATCACCTCCGTCCTGTTGCTGAGCTTTGTTTGCTTCGTCTTGGGCAAGACGGCGTGCAGCTTCTTCACCCATCCGAGCCTGGATAAGCCGAACAGCATCGGCGAAGGCGGCGGCCTCAGCCTCTGTGCTATATTCAGGAGCATCGATACCGCTGAAATCCATTCGGCCTTGCGAGCTCAAGGCGTGGGAAAATGGCCCGTGGGAAAACCGACAATGAGTAGCGGAGTTGAAGGTTTGCGGTGAAGACCTAGCGGATCCCCACGAGAGTAGCGGCGTTGGTGTAGTAGGTCTGAGGCTGTCTATGCTGTGTGTATGCCTGCCAATGCGTAGCTTTCGACAATTTCCAGCAATTTTCTCAGGCTATCGTCTCGCCGAGCGTTCGGACGTAACTTGGCGTAGACGTGGGTGTACTGTATGTATCTTGGCTGTCGCGAGTGCCCAAGTGCAGGCTGCCCCTCAAGCGATCGGCTTTGGTAATGTTTCGTACGATCTCGACAATTGCCAGTGGACTAAGGCAGTAACGATGAAGATGGAAGAAGGGAAAGAGGGAAGAGTAGGGTGCCTAAATGCCCCCCCCCCCCCCTGACTCGTAATCACTTAAACCGACGCTTACAACCAGTTGAACTGCCATGGATTTCAACGGCCGCCCGCTGAGAGAGAGTTTGCGCCCGCTGCCACAACCCACACCCGCACCCACCCACCCAGGCAGCAAGCAGTCTTCACACCACTTTTGACTCCTTTGCTCCCCCGATGCAGTCTCTCATCTGGTGAGCAAGGTCCTTACCAGAAGGACAGCTAGTACAGTTGGAAACTGACTTTTTTTTTGAACCGCAGGATACAGGAGGAAAAGTCAACTGTAAAAAAACCGTCATAACTTCTTCAGACATCTCCACTATTCAAGAGATCGCAGCTCTGCTCGACAGCAAATTGGCGCCTCTAACTACAGCAATCGACAGTCTCAAAGACGAAACCGCCAAACTCAAAGACGAAACCGCCAAACTCAACGTGCGCATGACCATTTTGGAAGCAAAACAATATAATTCATCCGTCGGCAGAGAACAGGAACTTCCAAAAGTTCCCAAACAGGACGGTAGTCTCCCGACCTCAGCTTATCCTGCAAAATCCGTCTTCGCCATACTCATTCAGCAGTGCTGTACTCTTCATTTTATTCCAATCATTTTGCTCGCCATTAGGAAGTTTCTCGTTCCCAGCCACCAGGAGTTGCAAATCTCTTACATCTCTTACAACCCCTGGTGGCTGGGAACGAGAAACTTCCTAATGGCGAGAAAAATGATAGTGTCCCTTCTCTCCCATTGGTGCAGGCAGCAAATCCTTGACAACACCGCAAATGCCTCCCCCTCGACTAATCCGACCAACGCAAACATATCGAACATCAACTGAATTAAACCAATTCACAAAAACTGGTATATAATGACCCCCCCTCTAAACTCAAACTCTCACAAATCATACAGAGAAAACCCTATGTTCAGAAGAAAAACACGCAAAGTACACGCACACCCCGTTCCCCTCCCCAAGTCTCCCCATCCCCGTCTCCCTACCCTACTCCAATTCCCCCCATCCTAACCCATCAAATCACCGATACTCCCTCCTCCCCATCATCATCCCCATCATCGGCGGTATCCCCGGGGGCTGCTCCCCTGCCCCTGCCCCTGCCCCTCCTCCCGCACCATTCCTCGCCATCATAGCCGCAACGCGCTCGGCCACCAAATCCCGTCGATCTTGGTCCCGTTGTTGCTGTTGTTGGGGATGAGGATGTTGTTGACGTTGTTGTTGTTGCTGTTCCTGTTGCCGGACTTCGCGTTCACGGAGGTATTGTCGGATGAGTTCTTCGCGGACTGCGTCTTTTTCGCGGTTGGCTGTGTGGGAAAATCAGAGTTGAAGTCATGCGTCGACAACGTTCATGCACTGAAGCAGGGAATCCAAACTTACCACCACCCCCATACCCACCCCCCATCCCACTCGCCCCAACCGCTGCGCTCAAATTCCACTCCTGCTGCTGCTGTTGTTGCTGCTGCTGGTACCCCATGCCCGCCCCCAACCTCGTCCTCGCCTCAAACCCCGGCGCACCGCCCCCCAATTTCGGGTCCCTAAAATCCTGCTGTCCCCCTCGCCCGGCAGCGCGTAACTGCAATTCCTGTCGGAGTTGGGACTGCAGGACTTGGTTGAGGATATCGTCTTGCGGTTGTTGTTGTTGTTGTTGTTGTTGTTGGTGCGGGAGGAGGTGGGAGTTTAGGGCGAGGTTGGTGGGGAAATGCGCGGGGGGTTGTTGTTGTTGTTGCGAGGGGAGGCGGTATTGTTGGTATTGGCTCATCAGCTGTGGCGGGGCTGTGACGTTGTTGGGGAGGAACTGCTGTTGTTGTTGTTGTTGTTGTTGAAGGAGTTGCTCACGGCCGGGTGGGGGAGTGCCGTACTGGCCGCCGCCGAGGCCTCTTAGTCCCGCGCTGGAAAAAGTTGCTGCGTTTGGTTGTTGTTGGCCGCGGAGGGAGGGGTATGCGCCGCCCCCTCCTCCGGCACCGCCGCTTTGGCCCTGTGCCCAGACGGTGGGGTCATTTTGCGAGTCTTGTGCGGCGAGCTTGCTGGGACTGAAGGATTTGCCCCAGCGTGCTTCGGCGTCGGAAAGGCTGCCAGTAGCGAAGGAGACGTTGACGTTGGGGAACATTGCGCGGAAGGATTCCTGTGGAGGAGTCAATAGGGATAAATGTATATGTTCAAAAGCGGCACACGGGATAGAAAGACTTAGTGTCTTACAGAAAATCAAAGCGGAAAGACCACATACCTGCACAGTCTTAGCCTCTTCCTTCTTCTCCGTATTTACACTCGTCTCATAAGCCTCCACCTCCCCGACGCCCCCAAAAAACCGCTCAAACCTACTCTTCTGCGGATTATCACTCTGCCTCGAGCTCGACCTCACCGAATCACTCTCATGATGCCCCCCCAGCAGTCCATGATCATGCAAGAGTTCGCCCTCCCTCTTCGCCTTCTCACCCGCCAGCATGGCCGAAAGCCCCGCAAAGACAGCGAGCGGGTTCTCGCGGAAGGGGTCGAAGGGCCCGACGTATTTGGGATGCAGGACGTATCCCATGGCCGAGAGTGAGAATTTGAAGTCGTCTTCGTCGTGGTAGATTCCGAAGCCGAAGACACCGTCGTCTTTTGTGGGGTGGAGGAGGGTGGGGTCTTTACTGATGTGGGGGGACTCGACGCGAGGGGTTGAGCGCGCGGAGAGGTCGTTGGTTTCGTCGAGGGCGCTGGAGCCGAGGACGTGCTCTTCTTCCACGACGGCGGCTGTTGATGAGGATGGCACGGACCGCGCAGCTTCGTCGACTGGTGAAGGCGGGCCGGAGAGGCCGGGAGGAAGCTCAACGGTCGTTTGCTTCGCCTTTGCTCGGGCGCTGGACTCTGTGACGGAAGGAATGGCCGGTGGTGGGGTGGTGGTGAGAGGTTCGGCGGCAATAGATTCCCAGGAGTCTACGGGTTCCGGCTCCGGAGCACGCAGGGAAGTAGCGGCTGTGGAAACGGTGGAGCTGCTTATCGCAGGGGAATGTTGTGCCGAGGATTGCGCAGGTCTCGCAACAGGTCTTGCCCTAAATGGGGATATTGTAGCGTCAGCAGCGGCCCCTCGTACAAAGGCGCCTTTGGGCAGAAACGAACTCACCAGCTAGCGGTGGCAGGCAAAGCGCTGCCTTCCTCTTCCTCCTTCTTTTCCTCACCAACGGTAGGGAACGGCATGCGCCTCGGATTCCGTTCCCGGACTTGCATTCTCCCCATCTCAGCGGCCGCAAAAGCATCCGGCTCATCGCCGTGCTCGTGCAGAAACTGACAGGTAGTGACCGGGCATTGCTGTCCCTTGAGAAAGTTTGAGCAATACCTGGTCGTGCCATATGTAGCACGGACCAGCTTCCCATCATAGACGTTCCCGTCCACCGACTCGATCGCTCTTGCTGCGTCCTCTTTCCGAGCATATGTGATGTAAACCCCCGTGTTTGGCGGGAGATGCGATACCACCGGCGTGTGGGCGTGTGGTCGTCGGTTGAGGATGACTTTCACGATCTTTCCAAACTGACCAAAGTACTCCGGCCCTTTAAGGACAGTCTCGCTGGTCGTGACTTTTGGAGACAGGCCCACGACGTATATCAGCGTTTTCTGTACCGCTTTGGCGTTGGTGAGATTCCTGCGCGAAAGTTGATCCTGTTCCTTTCGCTCGCGTTCTTTGCGTTTCTTTATCGCTTTTATTCGGGCCATTCTACATAGACAAAAGGGAAACAGGGTTAGCGAGGGCCTTGAGAATGCGACTCCGTGTGGGAAGTTGATGCTTTGCTTACTCTTCGGGCGGTACGGGCTTGAACTCAACTGTATCTTCCGAGTACGGCCGCCGACAAGCCGGGCACAGCCCATTGAGATTCTCCTTGATATGGTTCCAACAGAATCTGCATATCTAACAAATTGGACAGAGAGCCAAAGATCGTTAGCATGTCATAGCAAGCCATTCTCGAACGTGATCACCCGGAAGGAAAACCGCTGACGCCAAGATGGAATTGCCGACGCTAATCCGGACTTCACCCTTTCTTACCTGATAGCCACAAGGACAAGGCTTGAAGTAGCGGTCCGTGACATCTATCTCCTCCATACACAGGGGACAGTCGAGGTCCTCTTCGTCGGAGGACGCCATCGTGTAGGGTTGTTCGTTTAGTGTCTGCCGTCGGGTGGATGTGCGATCTTCAGCGGCCGCGGTCGACGGTTTCGGATGCTGAAAGGCGGTGGGATGTCTCGTTTTTTTCCCTCAGATCTCAAGCGTCCAAACTCCCGAGAGCGATACTGATATGCACCTAGAACGTCTAAGTCTCTGGGTTTGTTGTATCTGCGGTGTGGAAGGTGAGATGCCTGACGGTGGTCATACAGAGTGTGTATGTGCGGTTTTGCGGTAGACCTAGAAAAGGAGGGGAGGTTATTTTAATTCATAAACAGTCACGTGCAATCCAGAAACCTACCACAGGTGACAGGACAGGGAACGCAGCAGGGAACGTCCGGGCAGGCGACAAGAAGAGGGTTGGACGACGCAAGGGAGTTATCGGTATGATAGAGGACTGGGGACCCGTCCCACAGAGCTGTTGGATGCAGTCGGGGCCGTCAAGTCTGGATATCATCTCAAAGGACTGCGTGGACGTGTGTGACCACAGCCGGGAGGTCGGCAAGGTGCGATGGGCAGATATGGAAACGGATGGCGACCTACCCAACGGAGCCGCGGACCTTGGCAGGGGATGTCATGGCCTTACTCCTATTGCTGAATACTTCCGCACGCTTCAGTATTAGCCTTGTGGCTCCTGATGTGAGCGCATCAACCTCGGGATCGCCCGTCAACGTGGGGATTGCGCGATTGAACCAGTGCCTCCACTATCAAAGCCTTGGCACTTTTGAGAACTCAAAAGCAGGAAGTGCGGTGAGAGGCAAGAGGCAGAACACCATGCCTAGTCGACCAGGAAGCTTGGCTCTTGCTTTCAGCAAGCTTATTGAAGTTGCGAGATTTTAGGCATTACCGGGAGCTGCAGCGGGGATCAATGCGCAATTCGCGGCGCTTACCCAATGTACTATGTATGCGGCGGAGACCATATGTGGAAAAATCGAAAGACTCAAGGAAGAACATATCGCAGAATGAGGTGAGCCGGAGATGACAATTTGAGCGACGGTGAGAACCAGAAAATCACGCGATATGCGGCCGTCGGCGGCCTCAAATCCCCGTCCCGTGGAAGCCGTCCTTTCATTGCAGACAGCTTATGGACAAAACTGTCATCTGGTCGATTGGTACTCTACTATGCGTTTGAAGGCCATCATTGAGGTTTTCTCAGGAAGGTGCTGCCCATGGACTAAATTTTGGTGGCGCTTGGAATGGCATCGCGCACGGTGGTCCCTGCACATGGCGTGGTTGAGTTGCAAATCGGAAGGTAGAGACACGTTTGCCAACCGAGCGGAATTTGCCATAAACCTAGGTTCCCACCAATCGGATTTTGAATGGCCATTTTGGCCCGTTTACCGTGCCATACCGGTATATGAACATCGAGCTTCCCTCCGCTAGGAGATCCTTTCCACTCCTCTCCTCGGAAACCGCAAAAACGAGTTCCTCAGCCACATTGCATACGTCTTGCGTGAAGGGCTTCGACCGCGAGCAAAACCCACAGTCTCACAACCGACTCACGAAGGGACGATTTGCGAAATACTCTGCTGATTGAGTGAGCGGGGCCATAACTACGTTTGAGATGGAAGCATGACCGGGGAATTCGAGGAAAACAAGCGACGTCGAAAGACCATCGCTTGCAGATGTCAGCAACCCTCACCGCCGACACCCGCACTTGCGCAGGTCAGCAATTCAGACTAGATGGCGTCAAACGCCTTATGCCTTGAACGCTGGATCAGACGATTCAGATTATACTATGTAGAAAGCGCACACATGTCACAAGCAATTGACGAAAACACTCTTCAATAACCTAAATACTATATCTACTTCGATAAAAAGGGTGATAGCGCCGTAAGGGTATATGATCTACCTACTTAGGGCCGGCTTGAACAGGTTTGCCCTGCGGTCCACCAGGTCCACCAGGTCCACCCTTCCCACCCTTCTCACCCTTCGGCGGTCCCGGCAGGCTAAACTTGTAATCCGTCGCAGCTTCACGAGACCTCAGAACCGCCGATGTAATCCGGTCCATGCTAGCGTCCTCGTAGGTCTTGAGGGCGGCGCTGAAGTCGGGGGTTTGTGGCTTGATGGACATGCCGTAGGCGAGGGAGATGGACGTGTTGAGGGCTTTGGCTACTTCGAGGGCGTCCTTGAGGGCTTGTTGGGCGCCTTCGCCTCGGACTGGTTGGAAAGAGACAAAATGGGAGAGTCAGGTAATGTGTCCTTCTTGAGCGAGGGCCCCGGTGCAAGAGAGTGGTTGAAAGCATAACGTACAGAAAGTCATTGGGTGGAAAGCATCCCCGATAAGCGTCACGTTGCCAGCGGGGAGTGGTGCGGGAATCTGATCGCGGACAGGGAAAGGCGGCAACATCTGAGCCGGATCCTGTTTCTCCACAATCTCCTTGAAATCGGGGTGCATATCCGCGACAACAGTCTTCGCCATCTCCAGCCACTCCGTTGGCGTCTTTTCCTGCAAGTCCGTCCAATACTTTGCATCAGCGGTCGTCGGATCGGTCCAGGAAAGGATCCAGTAGTATCGCGCCTTTTCCGTCCGAATGTATTGCGGCGCGATGAACAGGCGGCGATCTTTGCCGTACGCCATACAGCTTGAGCGGCCGAGCGCCATGAATTTGTCATAATCGGCGGGGAGAACGTCGAATTCGCCGACGAGGATGCCGACGGGGACGAAGCTGAGTGGGGGTGGGGACGGGGCGTGGACTTGGTCGCGCACTGGAGAGAGGAGATTCTTGAGCGAATGCATCCTTTGACAATGATAGACTCCCGACATAAGGCGAGAATTGATGCATACCTCGGCTCCTGACGCCGTCAGCGCCGACAAGTACATGGCCAGTGGCGGTGGTTCCATCCTCGAAGTGAGCAGTAACCAGCCCATTCGATTCGGTTTCGTATCGGGAAAACTGCTTTCCCCATGTCACATCGATGTGGGACATGAGCCAGCTCCTCAAGGCAGCGCGGTTGACACGGAGGAACGAACGAGGGTTGTTCCCGCCGCGCCAAAGAACTTCCTTGGTGTTGGCATCGTAAAATGCGGATTCGGATGTCAGGCCGAGCTCGGCCTCGACGGCGGTAGCGGCGAGCGGAGGAAGGTCGAGGGAGAAAGCGGGAAGGAGTTCTCCGAGAATCCTAATCCATTAAGAGCGTGATCAGCAACCGATTTGACGGATGAGAATGCATCAAAGGACGTTTCACATTGCAAAAACCTACCAGTTCATCGAAAGCGCCCAACCTTGAGGACGGATTTCAGCGGAAGCGTCCCGTTCGAAAATCTGGTAAGAAATTCCCTGTTTGCGCAAAGCTTGGGCAAGCGCTAGACCCCTGATGACCCAATTTGGCAGTTCAATGAAGCGGCCCCTTGAAAATGTGTGCATTAGCGCTGGATAACTCACCCAATGCCAGCACCGATAATTAACACTGTGGGTGTCTTGACGGCGGGGCTGTCACCGGCGTGGCGAATCTCTTCGGGCAAGGGTGGGACCCCGCGGACAGCTTCGACAATGGCCTGGAGCATGTTGGCAGGAGGGGATGGAGGATTCGGTAAAAGAGTTTGGAGAGGGTAGGTGCAAGGAGGGAGAGGGAGGAGGGAAGTCTGAACGTTGAAGGCGGATGAGGAGGCGGGTGGTCGGGAGAAACCCTTTTATATGACATTCTGATTCTGGTCTACAGTACATCATTTTTCAACGTGCACCGATGAATACATATTTTCTCTGATAATCGACTCCGAGTCCGACGAGTCTGCGGAACTCCTTAAGGCGGAACTCTTGAAGACGGAATTCCAAACTTCGAATGATCTCCGGAGCCTCAGCAGGCTGGCCGCAGGTCAATAATAAAGTAGCAATTCGGGCTCGGATCTGCAACACATAATGTTACACAGCAGGGCTGAAAGAACGCCCTTCTCACCGGCAACTCGGACACACGGGGATGGTCGACATTTCCTCCATGGAGTTCCAACTTCCAACGTTCTGCTGAATACTTGCTATGTACCTAGTCAGTCTTGACTCTTGAGTCTTGACCGCCGGCCGGTGACTTCTGGGTTGCACAGGGAGGCTCAACAAAACGTAGATATCTATAATCTGGCATATTCGGAGTGTTCGAAACTCGGGCTTATCGGAGGGTGGGCGTCTTCTTCGGAGGTCCATGGTCCGACTAATACGTAACAAAGCTCCAACTTCTCATTTAAATCGGAAACTGTCGAATGTGACAATTGACAGCGCGTCTTCGAGCGGAGTTAATGACTGCTCCAGATCCCAGCGAAGAACGTAAGAAGTGGGAACAAATGATATTGAAAAATTCAGGAGTCTTAAAAATCAAGGGTATAGTGTATCAATAATCAAATATCAGAAGCTCTACTACTCAGTTCTATTTAGGAGTCACTTTGCTGTTTTTCGCGCCTTAACGCAATGGGATGGCATCAGGTTGAGCCTGCTGCTGTTGCTGTTGCTGCTGTCGCTGCTGGTCCATCTGCTGTTGCTGCTGCTCTTCCAGCAACGCCATGCGAGGCACCGTCGACTTGGGGGAAGACGCCGCGCGCTGTTCCGACATGGGAAGCAGCTTGACGTCGGTCTTGACGGCCGGGTCCTTCGCGAAACTGTAGGACGCAGCGACCTCGAGCTTGTACGAGATCTGAATGAACTTATGGTCGATCGATGGGGGCAGATCAGCGGTGTGGATCTGCAAGTCGCGGACAACTGTCTGGCGCTGGCTGCCGGCTCCATCAACGCGGCCTTCGCCGACGGTACGGTTGATCACCATGTCGGGAACCCCACGCTCGCCACTGATCAGCTTTATGCGCTGTTGGAGCTTCGCCTTGAGGTGCTTGTTGGTCTTTTTCGACTCATTTTTGCACTCGACCGAGAGTTCCATGGGGGACCCGAGAGGGAAAGCGAGCGTAGGCAAGTCGACGTGGATAGTGGACGATCCCTTGCCGAACATGAACTTGTTGGTGTTGCTCAAATCCGCGGCCTGGTGCTGGACTGAAGGCAGGAGGTGCACGTGGACCTTCTCCGACTTGGGATCGAGCCCCGCCTTGTCGATCTTGGCGTACATCTTATATTCGATCTCGGCTTCATAGTCAAGACCCTTTTTGTTCTTCAGCTTGAAGGTGGCAGGAAGATTCTCCGGCAACTGCAGCTGGAACGGGAAGTTGTGGGTTCCCTTGGTAAGCTTCTGTAATGCGCGGGAAGGAAAAAGGTTAGATTACGCTTTGATATATCTCTTTGCATTGTCTATCGCCGGTAACGAACCTGAGGACCGACAACCATCGCCTTCACTTTGTCGAACTTCTTCTCCTTCTTGAACTTCTCCTTTTCCTTCTTTTTGCCGCCATCGCCGTTATCGACTTCCTTCATGTACTCGTACTCGATTTCGGCTTCTCCATGGAACTTTATGGTGATTCCCTTCATCTCGAAGCCGCTGTCCGAGTTCACCTGCACAGTGATTGTGCCGGCCAACGGGCCGTCGCCATTCGAGTATTGTTTGGGAATGTTTATCCACACCTTCGCGCCGGAGATCAAAGCGTTCAGCATGTTGAGGAGCTGTGCCGGTTAATCGAAAGGTAAAGCTGAGTGAATGTAATGGACTTGTAGTAGATGAGCGTGATGACTGGAGGAGGGAACAGACGACTTCTCGCCTTTTTATGCTTGTTCGCAACATTGGCCATGCCTCATGGGAAACCTCTGTAATTGCATGAGCCAATGCAGTCGTCCATTCACAGTCGTCCATTCACAGTCGTCCATTCACAGTCGTCCATTCACAGTCGTCGTCGAGTCTCTTTTTTTAGCATGAACCAATTCAGAACGTGGGCGACTGGCACTTTCACGTCTCTTTTTTTGGGAGCAGAACTCCCTTTCAAAAGAAGAGCAGAACTGTCGTTCATGTCGGTTGAGTCCTCCAGTAATGGAGAATGGGCTCTTCAAGATTCTAAATCTTTTCTACCAATAAAAGCCGCTGAGAACAATCCAAATTGCAGTACACACTGCGGGGATCCCAATTTGGCACCAATGCCTCCAAAAACAGCTTTTCCTGAAAAATGGGCATCCGTGGCACAGACGTACCAAAGCTTACTCGCATTAAACTACGGATCAGCGCGTGAAAGCAGTTGGCTCGCACTGGAAATCGCAGTTGCTCATGCCTTTCTCCGCTGCGGTAATCACGTGTGTGACAAACCCATTTGTTTTCCCACGCTTCGGCTTCGCAAAACGAACTCTTGGAGGCGCCTATACGAGAAGTGAAAAAAGGTGCCCCGGTGAGGCTCTGCTGCCATCGATGGGATGGTATAAAGACCGGAAATATGCGAGAGGATAACTGGTAGCACCACTCCAGTATAAAGGTCGAAATAGGTGAACGCAGGTGGTAACCGAAGGCACGCTGGTGAGGGTAATGCAACGAAAGGAGCTTCTCCACTTTGGTTTTTTTTTTCTTTCCTTCTTTGAAAGCAATGGCCTGTTCGAGATCTTTCTACGAGTAAGTGAGCCAGTAGCTTAGCTCTTGACGAATACCGTCCCTTTGTTCCCTCGACTTTTGTGGCAGCGAGCGTCCTAGACGTAATTAGGGGATCAAGGCATGGGGGAGGTGTACTTTTGGGTCAACATTGGTCCCCAGAGGCGTGCAAAAAAAACGTCTGTAATACGATGCAACGGTCTGAACTAGCTGTCTGGGAGGGAAATACTGTTTGGCATATCGGGAAAGGCCAACGCACGGAGCAAGAAAAACAGGGGGCGGACTTGCGCCTGAAAGGGACTAGACCAGGATGAGCTGTCAAACGGTGTCCAAGGGATATTTGCGGGGTTTCCGACAGCCGTCGTCCGCATTGATTCCTGTGCGGTCCTGTATACTTGAGCAGGCAGGCATCAAATTACCACATTGGTCCTCCAGCTCAGAAGTCGCCCTTTGGAGAATGACGTTGAACGAATCAGCGTCAAAGCTTTCGTACATAGTATTCAAACTTGCCTTTTTGGAAACGCAATTACAAAACCCTGCAACTTTGAGCTTGTCGGTAAAGGTTGGACCGTTCAACAGCTCCATGGCGATGGTCAATGTTAAATATGTTGATCTCCTTCACACGGGACTCTGCCAGGTAGTCAATGGGGCGATTTCTTACCTGGAAAACCTCCCGAAAGGAAGACGGTCCGGCGAAGTCTGTCAGGAAGCGAAGCGCAATCGTACCGGGAACTCCGGAGAAAGGGCGTACATATGGCCAACACGAGAGCTCATTGGCTAAAAAAGAATGTAGGAAGGATTTTGCTCGGGCCACGAGCAATGCGAGCCTCCGATACGTACTTCTCTGGACAGCTCCAGAAATCCTGACGGGAGAGAGAAGCGTCTGAGGCGAGTAAACGTTATCCGCCTGCCAAGGTTCCAGGAGCGGTAGACGTTCATTGTACTTTATCCTATCCTGAATCGACTGTATTGCATGTTGCCCGGGATTGATTCACTCCACGCTGCCCGCTTCATATTATTTCATATTTCATATTCATATTTCATATTAGACGTGCGGCACCACAGGGTCGCGTTACCGGCGTGATGAAATTCTCTGGAAAGGTTTCCTGGAACTACACAAACGTTGAGATCTGCTCAAACCGGGATCAACCTGATCTCTAGTAAAGAATGCCGGGGATGAAGATCGCACTGATACTTCGAACGCGCCAGAGATCGGCAGATCGGCGCATCCCCCCCTCGCCGAGCTTACAAAATGCAGCCCGCTGGAATACGTTTTCTGGAACGTATCTACGACATTACGCACCAATTCCAGGTTCCTTGGCCATTCTTACCCGGTCATGGGAGTTGGCATTAGTCGGAGTAAGGTTTGCCATATATAAACGTCACGCGTCGACCGAATACTCGGATGCAGGTCCCTGTCGAATTCGTCCCTAAGCTGTCAACCCTGAACCAACTGAATAATGCAAGGGCATTACCTTACAGTTGGAGCAAAGCTTACGAGGCCGACCAATAATGGAAAGACTTTTGACCGACATTGGCCCGCACCCATCCACATTTATTTGTAAGGACCTGTGGAAATCATAGAAGTACCTTTAAGAGGCCGGGTCACATTGTTGTTGCAGATTGGACATAGACCGCCTCTAGGATGGCTCAGAAGGGAGGGTATGATCGTCCGTATATTAGGCGCACTCGCTCTCAACGCAACGTTGGGAGGAACCCTCAGGCAAACAAACAGTCTGCCTTTGAGAGCCGACAGTATAAAAGGTGTAGCCGGATTGCCCGCCCGCAGTGGTAGGCTTAGCACTCTAGATATCTCAAAAACCTTAACGACATCTACCAAGTGTCTGCATATGCAATGCACAAGAATTCGTCGATAAAGTCAGCGTCGGTGTCGGTGGCGGGAAGTACACCAGCGCCGTTGGAAGGACTCGAGAGTCAAAGAGAACTCACAGCTGCACAGCTGGCGGAAGAGTCCTCCAAGAAAGATGCGAAGACATGGCTCCCAGCTATACCTCTCACTGTCTTGGCGCCGATTTTGGTCGCGCTCGCACTCGTCGCCGTTTTGTTACCGGTAGGAGGACTTTACGGAATCATGCGCATTAGACCCTGCCTGACCAGGTGCGATTTTTTTATTCGGCTGAAGAATACATACGTTCTGACAAACGCCAGCGATACTTCGACATCTTACCTTGCTGGCAAATATCTATCGCTCCTCATGGAAGATGTTGGTATCATGTGCCGGCCTCATTTGCTGTCGGAAGGATACCTGAACACTTTCTACGCATGCTGTTAGGTGAAAGCGCGTATCGAAGCGCCCATCAAGGCCCTTGTTCCAGTGTAAGTAGATTTCTACGGAATTACATCTCGTCGAGACGAGCGCTCTCAGTCCTGCGGAAATTGCAAACGTGACTCGATGTCTTTGCCCTCATTCAGTACCCAAGCGCTTGCCAATTCCCCGGATATGCTGGCGACCATGAAAGGGGATTTGACGAAGCTTCAATACAGCAACTCAATAGCGACTATGGCAGTCATTCGAGACACTTACAACCTCGATGTGCTCCTCTGCGTAACAGCGTCTTGGAAAGATGGCTATGAGTATGCAACGTGGACTTCCCTGTAAATGCGTCGCATCCCTAACCATCTCATTTGCAACAGTAACACTTACCCTCCCACTACGGAATATGCCTACCAATCATGGGTAACAGCGTCATATTCAAATCAACTGCGGTCGAATCCTGACACATTCCTCTATGCAGATCTACATGGCTAGAATCGGGAATCTAACCGTGGCCTTGACCTTGGACAAAACTGGTAAGTCCCGACATCGAATCTTTCGGTAGGAGCTCAGAAGTGCTCATTCCAGCCTTGATTCGTCGAAACTATTGAACCATAAAGACCCCAACACGATGAAGGTGGGTTTAGTTTCAGTAATGCAGCGCATGCCTTGCATCTCACCTCACACGCACATCCCCCTCTCTCGATATTGCTATGTTCGGCAGACGTGGATGTTGGACCCAGCCAGTAAGTTTTCATTGGGCGTTTTGAAACTGCGATTGCCATCCCAAAGGCACTCACGTAAGATCTGCTCAGCGAAAAAAGTTGCGAATACCACTACGCCTGTACCAGGGAAAAGTATCCCGGTCAGCTCAGTGCTGTCCGATACATCTCAGATGCAGGTCGGGACGGTGCCTACAGTGCGTACACCTTACTTCCGAGGTGCGTTCTTTGCAGGGATACTGTGACCGATTGGCATGGCGCACCGCTCATACCGAACTGCAGTCAACAGGCAGAATGCGGGCCTGATTGCCGGCCTAATCGCGACACAGCGGTTCGAACCTGAGACTGCCCCACTGCCATTATATGCTTGCACTGCTGGTTTCCAGGCTGACAAAGAATACAATACTATGCTTCGAACCGTGAAGGCGATCAACAGCAGTGGTATGACAAGAGTCCCACAAATTCAGCTATGTAGCATCATATCTTTCTAACCTGCGTATATGCTTTCACCTCTAGTAATCGCTATGTTCGAGCTCGATCAATTCCGAATTCTCGCGAGCAGCAACATGGTCCTTCCCGGAAACGCGAACGAGTTCAGTGCCAGCGGCACCTTCTCTTGGGCGAACGCGGCACCCGACGCAGTCACACTGGAGCTCCGGGACAAGCTGCGCGCACGGTTCAACAACGACACCAGTCTCGCCGTAGCGTCTGTCGCCTCCATGCCTTCGTTTGAGATGGACATTTCCGATTCGCGATGGATTGTCAACATCGGATTGCCTGCATTGAGCGCTACGGATACCTTGATTTTGGTGGCCGCGGTTCCCAGGTCTGAGGTATGCAAAAATCGAGGATCCATCTTCCCGCACGACCATTCCCTAAAAGGACCTGTAGATCTACGGTGTGATCGACGCCGCGCGAGCTCGCAGTCGAGGAATCTCGGCAGGCATCAGTGTGGCCGCCGCCTTCACGGTTGCAGTGGTTTTTGTCCTCGCAGTGCTCCCATTATACGCTCTTGCCAAGCAAATGGAGCAGCTCACCAAGCTGGATTTCGGAACCCTCGAGTCGTCGGGTGCGTTGGAGAAACGCAGTTTGATCTGGGAGGTACGTCAAAGACTGCTTTGATACCTGCATTTTTGTCTTTGTTGATGTGCCCTTCTACCACTCCCCAGCTTCGTCAAGTGCAGATCGTATTCGGCACGATGGTGAAAGCATTCGCGGGCGCGATCAAGAAGAACAAACAAATAATGAACAAACAACAGTCAAACAGCCAAGTAGGCGCTGGTACCCGCAGCGCGGGCACCGCCGCAAACCAGAGCCGCCAGGTGCTCCCGGTTGGCCGTTCTGCCGCACTTTAACTATATGTGTAGGGGGCAAGGTCTTCTTTGCAGGAGACGCAATCCCATATATCTGGTGCTGTTATCTGGTTTTCGTAGGGACGGAAGAAAAGCAACCAAGTCTGGACGGCTAGATTTCTTGATGCTTCGTCTCTACATACCATTATCTCGTGTGTCACTAGCTCCTGCAACTTTATTTAATGGGGGACGTTGGGGATTGCGGCTTTGAGCTCTTCTCGTCAATGCGGATTGCAGCAACAAAGCACTGCAAGCTCTCACGGAGATACGTTATTTCCATTACAAAATCTTTCCTTTTTACAATGGCCTGCCAACATCGACCGGCAATGAAAAACCTCCAACACCGCGGATATGAGTAACAAGCAGACAGCGCTCCCTGGCTACTCGCTCATTGCCTTATATATACAACCGACCCACTCTCCGTAAGCCCCCCTACGCCCTCGATAATCTCGCAATCTTTATCTCCATTCATACGGCACCATACACGACTTGCAACCGCCGCTCGCCATGCTTCCAGATCCGCAAAGCCGACAGAAACACGTCTAGCCTCCTGCACGAACCAACAGACCATCGAGACCATCTGCTTGAGACTCGTCGGGGTGATGTCCGGGCGTGTCTTGAAAAGAATTTCATTCACGCGTTTCCTCAAGGAGCGGGCGTCGTAGGTCATATCGATGTTCTGGGCCGCGAGGATCCACAGAGGCGGGATAGCGAGCGAAAGGAAGAAGTGTTCGGCAACGCGGTGAGCTGCGAGATGGGTAACGAGCGCGGGTTCGCCGCCTTGGATGTCGGTGTTGCATTCAGAGCAGTAAATCGGGATTGGGGCGTCAGCAGGTGACCAGGGCAGACGGTAAGTCTTGGCCTTTGCTCGCTGTTTGGCCTGCAAAGGGTATCGGCAATGCCATTGGTCATCCACAATCCAGTGCATTTTCTTGAACCAATACACGGCGGCTCTGAAGGCCTCGATCATCTGTCCGTCCGTCAAACAGTTGTTCTCCAAACCACTCAAAAGCGTTTGAATATTGTCACTCGAAAAGGCCGCCAGCGCCGTCTTCGCCGCGTGGAGGCCTGTAGCCGCTTCTTTCTGCATTGTGGTCCAGCGCGATGCAGGTGAAGAAGCGCGAGAGATCCAGGTTGAGATCGTCCGGGCGGCGTGTGTATTGGAAGAGAAGGAAGCGGCGGAAGAGCTCCTGGTCGTCGGTGATGTGTTGCACGTCGATGCGGTAAGGGAATTTCAGTGTTTTCCTGAGACTTGCAGCCTCGCTCTCGCCTCCGTGTTCGCTTTCACTCTCATTCTCCTCTTGGCCGTCAATGAAGGTGTACTCTTCCGAGACGTCGTCGTCTTCTTGTTCCATGGCCTGGTGGTTGCTATTCTCTTTGACGAAGTTCGTGTATGCGTCAAAGAACAGTGACCAACCACGCAGAATATCCCTGTGCGCAAACATGTCGGGCACGGATTTGTTATGATCGTCGAAGACTACAAGCGTGTCGGCCGTCAGACTGTTGTTGAAGTCCGCCAGTTGACGATGCGGCAAGTCTTCTCTTCCGGACGCCATTGCCATCGGCTGGTCTTCCGTTCAAGCTGGCCAGAAAATTTTACTTTGACGATACGTGGTCGTTATTGTTTGCGGAATGATTACGGACAGTCGCTTTCTTATTTCGGAAAACGGAACCTTTAAGGCCGGCAATCAACGAGAGACCTTTTCGGGTAGCCATCTTTTCTTCCTCATTCCATTGCCTTGTTGGTCTGTCCCCGAGAAGTTCCCCCGTCCAAGGCCAGCGCGTGAATATCAGGAGTTAACGGTATTTCGACAGCGCGTAACCTTTATGCCGTCACCTCTTCACCCTCCACATCCTTCTTTTCCCCCCGTCCCCGCTCTGACTTGGGGCATCTAAGAAACCTGCAAAGTCCAGGATATCCCACGTGCGACGACGCTTGATGATGGCAGTTCGTTTCTTGCGACGGCGCACTTGAATTCCTTTCCGATTTCCATCAAACTCACATACGACGATTCTTACCTCCGTCTCGCAACCCTGAACATATGCACTCCGTCTCGCGAGCCTGCAATTACTACAGATATGGGTCTATTTCAGATGAAACAACAGAGCACTGATATTGGCACGACAGCACCGAACATGGCACCGGCTCAAATCCACCCACCCGCCGCATTCCCACCGAAAGCACACTCACCCAGCTCAAGCCGGTTTGTTTTGGACGGCATGCACGACTACGATGACGAACCCCTTCCAAACCCCATCATGCCATCCTCTTCTCAGTACCCTTCACCCCAATCCGGTATCACGTCTCACTCAATCCGTGCCCACGCTGTCGACCACGTCAACGACGGTTCCTCGTCCTCAGACGAAGACAGCGCGAGGCCTGTACTCCACAACAGCGCGCCGCACAATCCTCCACCCCTTCTCACGGCTGCAAAGACGTCGCCGGCCCAAACCCATGTTCGAACCGTCGTATACCCACGCAAACCACACCTAGAACCACGCGATTTTCACAAAGACGCGGACTACGATAACGGCATGCCATCCCAACTGAATGGACCCGGTCACACCCCTCTACGCCGCTCACTCACACCGACCCAGATCCGTCTCTCGGCTCCAGACCCACGCATCTCGGACCCACCCGATTCCCCCCGCCTTACCAGCCAGCACAGAGTCGAATACAGCTCCTCATCGTCAAACGACGCCCCAGTTCACGCCCCCTCTCACCAACCCCCCGCCAACGACCTGGTCCAGCGACACGTTGGCGCGCGGATGTATTCGACCCCCGTCGCGGGGACGGGGATGTGGGCTTATTCGTTTGCGGATGTCTTGTTGAGTGGTGAGGAGGAGGAGTGTGAAGACGAGGAGGATGAGGAGTTGGCGAGGGCGGAGCGGGAGGGTAGGCGAGAAGGCGTTGTTCTGGTTCGTGGGACGGACGATCCGGGGCGTGATCAGCCCATCATCACCGGAGTGAACACCGACCCCATCCAACCCCAAAAACGCAAGCGCCGCTACTCCCCACCCCCGCTAGACTCCGACTCGGCCGACGCCGACTTTGCGCCTCGACCAGGAGACGACGACGATGATGACGAGCCGAGCGAGGATCCTGCTTACAATGACTGGAGGGGGAGCAGGAAACGGAGGACGGGGGGTCCGCCCATGTCCACGCCGATGCAGATGCAGAAAGGTTCCACACACACGCCTGCCGCGAGAGCGAGCCCCCCGAATGTGAACACTGGGCGCGATACCTTGATGAAGAGCAGGGCGACGGGACCGGTTGGGTCTCCGCAGACGAGGCGACGGGTCGTCGATGTGGGGATCAAGGACGATCGTAGGAAATCCCACCACTGCGCGGGGGCGGGCGATGGGAACTCGGCTGTCGTGGATGACACTCCCCGAGTGAAAACACGTGTGCCTGGCTATAAGAACCCCCTCTTTATGCAACCCGCTCACAGGAAAGCGAAGACCGTCATCGACCTGACTGAGCCCGACCCGGATGTGAGCGAGGATGATGCGCGTAGGAAGAGGGTGGATAAGTGGGTTAAGGATGAGGACGGTGTGATTGATGTGGATGATTCGGATTCGCGGCAGGTGAAGGACGAAGCGCGTATGAAGGGGAGACAGGCGCCGAAGAAGGAGGTGGCTGGGAAGGTGGTGGGTGAGAGTAGTGGGTGGGGGAGGAGGCACCGGTATGTCTTCCTGCACATCTTCGCCCAACATCGCATCAAAAACGCATTTGCTCAAAATGCAATCTCTACATCACAGAGCCTGGTCCACCGCCGAAGACGCCGTCCTCCGCGACATCTGCCGCCCGACCAACCGCCGCGACAAGACATGGAGTGCGCTCGCGTCAGAGCTCAACAACCACTTTGGGCGAAACGCTCCTATGCTGCGGTCGAGGTGGGAAAGGATGTGCGCCAATGGAACGGCGACGAGATGATGTGATGTGAGAGTGCGCACCGAACGAAAGACGGAACGATGTGTGTCTGTATGATGGAGTTCTATTCGATGATCCGGCGTATGATGCTCACCGATTGATGGAGAGATGTCGTTATGTGATTGCTCGGCGGTTGTCACTACCAACAAGGGATGAGGGAAGCTATATATAGCTTTTTGAGGAGGGAGGAACAGTTACCATCCATCCTGGTGTAGGAAGGTAGTCGTAGTCTTCAAAATGTGAATTTACACATGTCCACATCAACCGGCATGTGTTCTTGTCTATCAAAACATGTTTTGTACGTTACAAAGAGAGAGAAATAGCAAAGAGTGTTCGCTTGAAGTACTGTACCATCCCTCCTCAAAACCGATCAACATCCACAAACGAAAAACTGTACGTCCCGCTATCCTATATTTCCGTCCCCTTGTCGCCGCGACACACTCCCAATGCAGTCCAGAACCCAATATCCATGGGGGAAGAACTAATCAGACCAACCCCCTCCCGCTAGCCCCGGCAGCAGCGGCGCCAACGCCTCCGCCGCCCGTCATGCCCGAACGCTCCAGGGGTTCCTTTTTAAAGACGCTGATGACTGCACAACCAAGGAGAAATCTGTCAGTTGAATTCTACCGGCGAATGGAGTGGCGGAATAGGGGCAAACGTACAGTAGAAGATACTGGTAAAAGACAGCGTTATCGCAGCGATGATGAGCGTTGACGCGCTGGAGAGGATCGAGAGCCACATTACGACGGCGAAGCTGTGGAATCAAGAAGGGGAGTAACGGTAAATATCTGAGCCGAATAAAGAAACTGCGTCGGCGATGATGGAATACGTACACGGCATACAGGATCGATCGGAAGAGTGTGTTTTGAAAGAAGCGTTGGAAGGCGTCACTGAAGGGAGACGAGGGGGCATCAGCGCCGAGAGCGCATTCCAATTGAAGAGCAAAACCGGTCCCTCCCAAACGCTCGGTTATCTGCTCGCGAAAGAAATACGCGTTCTATCCCACTACCACTCACATCTTAGGTCCACCAGGGCAGCACACCGTAAGCAGCGGAATTTCCAGCCATATCATGAAGAAGGCTTCGATCCTACAAACCGTCCAGGAAAACATTAGTTTCCACGCGCATTCCCTCAGAACATTTCATCCCCTTTTTTCCTCCCTCTCGCTCGCGCTCTCGCCCTTTCTCTCTCCCTCATTGCATATCGGCGCATACCATGCCAAGATCGCAAAGAGGAGCAGCGAGATGATGTTCGTGATGCTGAATATTATCAGAACTGTGAAGATCGAAGAAGGGAAGGATCAGCTTTGGCACTTCTTGCGATCAACGGGGGTGGGGTGAGGGTAGAGAAACAACTACGTACATAGCACTGATAAGATCGCCGCCCTGAAAAGGGAAGAGGAGGACGAAGATCCGGTTAGCTTGACGTAGGCAAAAACTCCTTACAGGCGAAAGACGGTTTCGAGGTTGCAGTGCAAACCGTTAAGTAGAGGCTCGCTGCCGATCGTGGAACGCTCGCTAATCCCAGCCAATCTTCCTCATCTGAGCAACTTTGCTCATTTGGCTTCCGCGCTGTTGCCTCCGCATGTCAAAGCTATCTGTTTTCACCCCGGGGCACTCCCCTACATATGCCCATAGATTGCAACCTCCCACGCAGGAATACATACCACTGAGCGTAGATGGTGAATTTCCCCGACTTGAGTTCCGATCCAAGGGACATCTTGGCGTTTTGTAAATGCGCGTGGTGTTTTTTGTTGTGGTTGGGGTGTGAAAGACGTATCGACGATCGCAGAGGGGGAGTGGGTGGAGGAAGCTTTTTTTACACGGACACGGAGCCGAGATGTGCCAAGGCTGAGGAATGTACTGTATGTATAATAGCGCCGTGCGGGAAGTCAGAGTCGGGGTTCCTTTGCGTTCGCCGGTTGGAGTTTGTTCTGTGGGGTTGCAAAGCGTCTTGGCAGCAGGAGTTGGCTGCGCAGTGCTACGCGTTGGACGGGCGGTAACCCTAACCCCCCGCAGTCAGACACGGCATCTTGAACACGAGTACGCAGAGGTTAGACACAAAACACGGTGTTTCCAACAATAGCGCCAAGCTCTCGCGCTGGATTAGCTACGAACGGCGAGGGGCTGGGACATCGAAGCACATTCGGTGGGTTGGAAAGGACGTAGGAGAAGAAGTGCAACGTCTTCTCGCGGAGGGCGCATAAGACAAGAAGACTTTGGGCGGCCCGCAATCAAGTCGGGTTGGCTCGGGCAACATCGGGTTGGTTCAGCTCCTGTTGATTGAATATTGCAGCCCGCTGAGACGGTTTGGTGAGCGCTGTAATACTTACATCACCCAAGCAAAGGGCGCGCCCACGTTTGATGACTTGGCGGAGACGAGTCTCGCTCGGCAAATACCGTGCGTTACATGCATACACGTCGCTTGGGCGTATTCCCTCCCACTCGTCCATCGAGTCGTCCGCCTGTAGATATTTCTGAGAACGTTGCTGTGAATGGATATCCTGCTGACGACCCTCGAGACAGTGGTTATACGGATGGGCTCGATATTGGTTTTTTCCACCTCCCACGCAATTTTTGCTACAACTTTCAGAAATACCTGCCGACTCATTTTGGAGTTACATGGGCGGAACGAATAGGCTTTGCAAAATGCCTTCGTCAGGTGTACCGCTGGAACTCCCTTCAGGTGGTAGTTACTGCCAGATTCCAATGATTCCAGAACCCAGAATTAGCGAATACCGTCGGGATGTGACTCCAATAGGGGGCAACTTGTAATTGTGAGGGCGGGTCACACGGTAAACACACGGCGCCCTGGGAGCAGCAAACAATTAATGGGCCCAATTTGGGTGAGAGCAAAAGGGTAATTTGGGAGATGCGCCACCTCTTCCGCTCCGAGCGCTCAATGGAGGGCCTTTGTGCGAGGAGCGCTGCGACGGTGACAGGCGGCGGTTATTGCATTGTGGAAGACGATCGCATATCTCACCCCTGCGACCGAGGGCCCAACCGCAACTGAGGCTTGCTCCCCATATCGCTCGCTTACAGAGAACCCCCAGAGAACCCCGCATCTGCCTGGCTGCAAGGCCCATCATACCCGCAAACCCACGCTATTTAAGTAGACCCCCTCGCACTCGGACCAGCCCCACGTAGCAACGCCTTGGTCATCCGCCCCGTTTTCAACCGCCCACTTTCCCACTATTTGCACTCAAGCCTCGTTTGCATTTCGGACTTTCCCACCGTAAGCCGTTTGCATTTCGGACTTTCCCACCCTCCAATGGAAACACCGCCCGGTTCACCACTGCCGCCGTGCCGGTAGGGCTTTCTGTCACTACTCGTCGTTCAACAGACCCATTCGTCCCGCTCACCTTCCACGTTTTACTTGCTAGGTGGCACGTTAGCGTAACAAACTGCATAGACAGTGAATACTTTGTCGGACTTCACTGGGTGGCCTTCTCGCTAAGCCTTGTCGCCTCAATACTCGGGTTTTGGAATCTGTGGTATCGGCGTAGACGTGGGCACAAGATATGGAAAGATGGGCTTACAACGTTCGACTCGTATATCGCGCTAATGACCATATATGTAACGGGTGAGTGACTGGACCGTTCGTATTCGGTCTTGTCGTTCGTTCAGCTTCTCACGTAACCTTTCTCTCTCACTCTTTGCTCAGGTCGGGTGACACATAGCGTAATAATAGCATCCGGACACATGCCAAACATCACATTTGCCCAAATCATCCACGACATTCCCCACTCCTTCGCTTTGACAGGGATGTGGGTCTACATGTTATCAGTGTATGTCCCGTCCGATCGACTTCTGCAAACGCTCCCGGCCGCTGAAGCAATCCTAACCCTCATTACTTCAGAATCGAGATGACGCCCGCACACGCCACGAAATTCTGGCTCCCGAATGCCAAACAAATCATTTGGATCCGGCGGACGGGATACTGCTATCAGATCTTCGTCATGACGCCTTTAGTTACGCTATGCGGCCTTGCGTGGGACCAGGGCCATTGGGACAGATTCGTGACGTTGACGGCGGTTGTGTATTGGGCTTACGCATTTGATTGCGGGATGCTGGGGTTGGGCTTTCTACTGTTTGGGTGGCAGATGGTACGTGTTGGGGTTGTCCAAGTCGGAGAGGGGATCCGTCTATGGGATAAGTTTCCAACACCCGTACCCGTTCTTCTTCCGAAACAGACCCGCATCGCCGCGACAACGTTAAGAGACCTGAAAGCAGGGGGTCAGATTGGCACCGTGGCAGGACGACGGCTACGAGCGCAGATAGAGAAGAGCATCACGAAGGTGAGAGATTCGACAGAGGTCCAGCGTCATTCACTGACGCGAATCATTCAAGTCTGACCGTTCTACCCATCATCGTCCCGCGGTGCAGATGAAAGCAGTGAATATCTCATTAGGTCTAGCCATGGCATGGTTTGCAATCATACTGCTGTTCTTTGGCTTCCTTCAAGATCAGGTACATAACACGAAACACCGCTAGTGAAAAGTCAACGCATGCATCAAACGATACTGAACCTCCATGCGTTTAGATATACGGGGTAACCTGGTGGTCCAAAATCCAAGCCATCGGCTCCGAACTCTTCGGCATATCCGCCGTTCTCTGCAATTTCGTAAGGCAACATTACCACAAACTATACAAACCTGGCGCGACCACATAAACTAACCCACTCCCTCCCCATTCAGTGCTTCATCGCATGGGCAGACTACCGCGGAGACGACAGCGACGACGCCGCGACCATGGCGGCGGTCACGGGAATCACCAAGCTGATGGAGGGGAAGGTGGAGGACGAGAGCGATATCGACACCCATGGCGGCCGGACCGCGGGAGCGGGGCTGTGATCTGTTCTGATCCGATCTCCTCTCCGCCGGAAGCGGAAGCAAGTGACTCCTATCCACACGTAGGAAGCGACCGAGCGACGTCACTATACCCATCGACCAAGCTCTCATCTCGCCTCCCCTTCCGCCATGACTTGTGCACATCAACACCCCTAACCTAGCTCCACGGCAGCTAGTTCCAGACAATGTTTTTTGTTTTTTTTTGGGTAGTCGGGCCGCCTTCCCCTGTTGTAGGGCACGTGGTGGTCGTTTCGTTCGGCGGGGAGTCCATTCGGGTTTTTTTTGGTCACGGTTGCGGGGGCTTAGGATTAGCATTAGTGGGACTGCTGCTCGTGTTTGTAGTGGAGTAGTGTAGTGGATGGACGATGAGGGTAGGGGTTTCGACATTCTGCTGGGGGATGGGTTTTGGGCGGTGCCAGGAAATCAAATCGTGCCATCGTCCACGTGCGGCCCTCAACATGATTTTTGAAAATGGACATGCACATCAAGCACCATGACAAAACTCAACTCGGGATCGTTCGCATCTCAAAAGGGGTCTTTGTGCATCTCAAAAAGGGGTCTTCGTGCATTAAGTAAAGGGGTAAACGAAACAAAAAAAGGGGGGGGGGGCGGGGACATGTAAACAGACGAACCAAACTCTAAGAAAAACAAAGACAGAACAACGGGATCCAGTAATTCTAGTGTATAATATACAAAACCCAAGCTCTCAACCACTCCCTGCACCGGTACCGGTCCTGCGTTTACGCCGTTGTGGTGTCCCAGTCAACCGTGGTTTCGCTCTACTCAAACAACGCCACGAGATCCTTCACATGCTTGGCAATCTCATAACTAACCTCCGCACACCCCTGGCGGTCGGCCTCCCTCGCGCGGCGCTCCAACCCCTCCACCGCGCTGCCCATGATCGTCAGCAAGATCTCCGCCTGCGGTCTGACATCCTCGTCGATCATGTCCATGCTTTTGGTGGTCTGTGTGGTGATGTGGGTCACGGTGGATGTGATGAGCGGGATGGCGGCGGGGATGTGGGTGGAGGCCGAGCGGAGTTGGGTGAGCAGCGATGTGATGTGGGTGACCAGGGCGTCGGTTTGGTCTTCCAGGTAGAGTTTCAGACTCAGCGGGTCCAACGGCGCGGAAGTGTTTGAAACGGTGGGGCGGGCGAGGGAGGGTGCCGAGGTCGAGGTGTACATCAGTCCCGAGTTCGAGGGCGAGGTCACCGTGGCTGTTGTTGTGGGGGAGTACGGCTGTTGGTGTTTGGGGTCCGGTGAGGTGTTATTGATCCGGAACGATCGGGTGTCGAGCGGGGAGAGCGGTGTGACGGGCGGGGAGGTATCGGTCCCCATATCCATTCGTCTTCCGTTCATGTTGTTGTTCCGCGCGGGCCCGCCCTCGGTGTTTAACCTTCGTATACACTCCAACATATCCACGACGGCGCTTTCCAATTCCTCCACACCCTCCTCAAACGCGTTCATGAGCTCAACCCCCTTCCGTCGTCGTCGTCCGCCCCCATTGGCGTGTTCCTTGGACACGTTCATCAGATTGGTTAAGCGGTCCGTGAGGGTGTCCCGCGCGTTGGCGACGGCGCGGAGAGTGGGGTGGGGAGCGCGGGAGAGTGTGCCGCCGATCTCGAACGCGGTGGAGCCATACAGGCTGTCGACGGTCGTGTCAGCGGACTCGGTGATGGCTTTTACGGAGATGATGAGGTTGCGTAACGGTCCCAGTACCGCTGTGGGTGGTTGTGATTCCGTGTTGTTGTCGGGTCGTACTGTGTCTAGCAATATTGCCGCGGCGGACTTGTAGGATTGGAACAACGGGTCGGCGGTTATTGGCGGTGGTTTGGTGTTGGAGGTGGTGGAACGACTCGCATCCTGGGAGAATTTCCGGCCGGAGAGGGCCGTGGAGATTTTGGAGAGTGGGGAGGAGGAAGGTGTTGGCGAAGGTGAGGGTGGGGCGGCGGAGGATTGGGAGAAGAGGTCGCCTTTTGCAGAGTCCATGCGGCTGCGGGCGGCGGATTCGGCTTTGAGGGCGTTTGCTAGGTCGGCTTTTAGTCGCTGGACCTGTGTGAGAAGAACGACATAAGGTCAATTCGATGCTTTCTCAATCGTGGTTTCTCGGAATAGATTGTGTAACCCCTTCCTACCTCCTCCTTCAGTCCCCGCATGGTATCAGCATCCCGATCCCTCTGCTCCAGCAAACTCTGGTTCTTTTCCGTCAACAGCTTCACATCCTCTAATAACTGCAACTTCTCCTCCTCAGCCGCTGCGGCCTGCTCTTTCGACGAGCTCGCTTCCAATCTCGCTTGCAGGTCCTGCCAAAACAAAAGGGTGAGAACACGCTTCTGGGAGGTTTCATCACAACAACGCCCCGCGAAAGCCTACCTCCTTCTCCCTCCCGACAACCTTAACCTCCTCCCTCACGGCATCATAGTCCTCAATTAGCTCATCATATTTCTTTTTCCACTCCCGCGCATCTTTCTTTTCCGCCTCCAGCTCTTTTTCCAGTTTCAGCACGTCGTCCTCGAGCCGGTCGTAGTCTTCTTTGAGGGGGCGGGCGTCGAGTTCGAGACGGAGGGAAGCGATTTGGGACTCGAGGGGGCGGATGCGCGGGTCGTCCTGTGGAAGAGAGAGGTGAGCATGCCTGGAAAAACAACACGAGGCGCAACGAGACATAAGAATGTAATCCCGGAAAAACTTACGAAAGAAGAACTAGTAACGCTAACATTCCTCGGCGGCGGCACACTCAGATTCGCTTTACTCCCCCCTCGGTCACCATACTCACTCCCCCCAAACTCACTCCTCGACTTGCCCCCACCAGCCCCCACCCCGGGAGGCGGCGGCGACATCATCGCCCTCGTCAGAGACCCCTCACTCCTCACCGTCATCGCATCCCCCCTCTGCGGTCGTCCGCCCTCACCGCCCGTCATCTCCCGTTCCGCGTTCCGCGATGCGCCGCGGCTAGGTACCGTCCGCGTCGTGCTGGGGAGGGGGACGGGAATGGAGCGGGTTTCGTACTGTTGTTGGGTGGGTGGGGGGATGGATTGGAGGGGGAGTTGTTGGGGGCGCGGTTGGTAGGGGGAGATGCGGGGTGGGGCTGAGGGTTCCATTTGGGTGAGGGTGGGTTGGGAGGGGCGGCGGTAGGATTGTTGGGGTGGGGGCCGGCCGATGGGTTGGGGGTAGCCTTGGGGTGGGCTCATGACGCGGTTGTCGGGGGGATACCGTGGTTGTTGTTGTTGTTGCCCGCGGTAATCGCTGGTGGATGTCATGTTTCGTGCGAGTGGTTGTTGGGGTTGTGATGGTGGTGGGCCGTTTGATGGTGGTTGCCGGCTCTTGTATCGTTCTACGATCATCGGGAACCGCCGCTCTAGTTCGAACAGGACCTCTGCGGCTAGCTCTTTGAATCGGAAACTAGGGAGGGATGCTAGCTTTTGTCGTGCCTGGTTGCGTTTCTCTGTAAACTCTGATCGAAATGGCAGGAAGGGGACTGTAAACCGCGAGAACCGCAAGAGGGAGGTGGTTAGTATACTTTCGACATGAGTCCGGAGCGAAGGCTGCTTCGCTCGCAAAAAGATGCAACGCTCGCCGCTTCGCTTCGCTGATGTTGGTCGCCGATGTGTAATAAAAACGATTGTTCGCTGTCGCTCACAGTTAAAGACAGGGGCTCGCTACGCTCGCCTAGAAGGAACGATTGTTCGCTGTCGCTCACAGTTAAAGACAGGGGCTCGCTACGCTCGCCTAGAAGGAACGATTGTTCGCTGTCGCTCACGGTTAAAGACGGGGGCTCGCAACGCTCGCCCAGAATTGCGCCTGCGGCGCGGAACTCGCTAGCGCTCGGTATGACAGTGGACTCGCTTTCGCTCGTCGTAGACCTAAGTAAACCCTCAGCAACCCTGCTGCTCCTCGCTTCGCTCGCCGCAGAACATTCCCTCTATCCCTGTTCTCTGTCCACTTCCTATTCTCGCCCCCCCCCAATACATACCATCACCGTCGCCCCCAACCCTCCTAACACACTCGTCATAGACGTCGGTCGAGAGTTCCCCAAACTGGCCACTGGATAGTTTTGCGAGTTTATCCTTTGCGCGTGTGCGTGCTCCTCCTCCGTTATTATTGCGTTGCTGGTCTATTAGAAAAGAGTCGAGGTAGCGCTTCACAAGACTGTAGTGGGTAGTGAACGGTTCGAGTGACATGGCGGTGGAGGAGGACTACTTGGGAGAGGAGTTTTGCTGGTGGGGTATATGGGGGGTGGTAGTAGTAGTAGTAGTGGGGACCAGCCACTGTTGCGCAGTGGGAAGTCCGTTCGAGCAAGTCGGTTATTCTTGTTGTTGTTGTTGTTGATGCTTGTGTGTGGTTGGGTGACTTTGGACAGCGGCAATGGCAGGGGGGAGTAGTTGCGCTGCGCCTAGAGCGATAATAGCTGCAGCAGCGTTGTTGCAGTTGTTGTCTGGTTGTTGTCTGTTGTTGGGTGTTAGCTAGCGAGGGAGGGTTGTGGCCGTACTCTCCCTCTCTCTCTCTCTCTCTCTCTCTCTCTCTCTGTCTCTCTCTCTCTCTCTCTCTCTCTCTGTCTTTCCGTGCCTGCCGAAAGCCTCCTCGCTTGCAGTGCGAATCATATGGAGTTGCCCCCTCCGAACGGGCCGATATACATACATAGGGGTACTGCGTTGAAACGGGCACGGAGGGAGCGGCTTTTCCCCTATATAGACTGTACTTTATTCCCAGAGAAAGAACGCGCGAAGGCAAGGCTGTGCGCGAGGGATCCTGTATTATATCAGTGAAGGGGAGGCGTATGTAACAGGCACGCACCGGTATTCCCACTGCTGGATTGCAATACGGCCCTGTTGCGAATGATTCTCGCACACGCAGATCAATCAAACAGGATTCCGTCACTCCTTGGCAGAACTGAAGTTGAAGTCCGCGCGCTGTCGAAAAAGACGATTTCGTACAAAAGACTATGATAATTTCAACAGCAAATAACCCAAACATACTCTATGCAGAAAAACCAGAATAGGAATGGGAGTATTTTGCGGAAAAAGGGAATAGGAATGGGAGTGGGGGGTTTGATGCCGGCCCTGTACAACCAGCGGTGCTCGGAGAGACAGTGTAAACGGCCCAACCTACTCGGCACAGAGCTCGATGCCCTTCCCTTCTCAGCTATTCCACGTGTGGCTGCGGTATGTCCGCATTGTCGGGTGTTTCCAAAGGCCTGCAAATTCAAGATCGGAAAGTCCTTCTCCTTCCTTTCGCGTGTATAACACAACTGTGAAAAAAAAAGTCCAACGTACCTGCCCACACTTTATCCCTGTCTTCTTATCCGCCAGTCCCTCACCAAATCCTCCTCAGTCATCCCACCACCACCACCACCACCACCACCTCCCATGGCATCGCCCCACTGATTTCCTCCCGGTCTCCCATCTCCCTCGTCAATCCGTTCATCCACCTCATTCAACGACCTCACCCCACTCATCCACGCATCCACACCCCCCTCCACGTCACGGTCGCGGATACGCTGACTTTCCTTACTCTCACCGTTCTGCGATGAACAGAGGGAGGACGAGCCGCCGCCTCCGCCCCCGCCGACGCCGCCGCAGCCGGGGATGTCTTGTGAGTGTGAATGATGCGAGTGTGATTGCTGCGAATACTCCGAAAAAGGGTGATACGGTTGCGATTGCGATTGCGACTGCAACTGCGAGTACGGTTGCGAGTCAGCGCGTTGATGCTGATGTTGATGTTGATGATGGTGGTCATGAATCTCCTGCGAATACTCATACGCCGCCCCCGGCGTCGGCGTCCCGCTTCGTTGACTCACTGGCCTGCCCCTCTCACCCTCTCCACCTCCCGCGTCTTCCTCATCGCCCTCCCGCTCACCTCGGACTGCCGAGTTGGGGAAGCCGTACACCCCGTCGCCGCCATCACCGTCCCTCAGCGCCGACCATGCAGGAAACGTATACGCCCCAACATGGTGCGTGTCGTGTCCCGACGCGTACGCGTGCTCCCCACCACCCACCTCCCGCCCATCAAACACGGGCACCGCGACGCTAAACCGGGTCTGCACACTCCCACCGGGCGTGGCTGGCCTCGACGCGAACGGCGCAATGGGATTGATGCCCGTGGTCGCCGTCCCGCCCGCGCCCGACGGCCCCACAGGTGTCGGCGAATACGCCCGCTGTGGCGTGGGGTTCAGATGCCGCGCTGGCGGGGTGGGTGAATACGTCTCGTAACTGGGCTGCTGCGATGGATTCAGGTACTGCTTTGGCGTGAGGTCACTGTACATGGGCGAGGAATGCGTTGTCTGGGAGGCGTACGAAGGGGACGAATCCCCATGCTCGGTTTTGAAGAAACTCGCCGGCGGCGTTTGGCTGTAGACAGTCGACGACTGTTGCTGTTGTTGTTGTTGGGAATGCGTAAAGATGGGCGTAAGGTATTCCGTCGGTGTAGTGGGAAAGTAAGCCCCGCCGCTCGGTATCTTCCTCTCAGGTGTGTCGTACTCCCCAAACCCAGCCTGGCCATGCTCATACTCATACTCATACTCCCGCTTGGCAACTCTCACATCCGGTCGCATCCCAGCCGTACCCGGTCGCCACGCCCCACCACCGCCACCGCCATCGGACGTCTCACCGCCCCGGTATACCCCAGCATACGGGACCGGCCAGGGTAACCTCCCCGCCGCCGGCTCGCTTTGCATGTTGTGCATGGTCTGCATGCTGGGTATCCCACCACCGTCTCGCCGGGTATAATCGCCCATCGGCCCGGAGGTCGATGTAAAGCCCAGTTGATTCGACACAGGGTTGGAGTGTTGTTGCTGCTGAACCGGAACATTCGAGTTCAAACCACCACCACCCCCACCGATCCTAAACGGGTCCTGCCCTCCCCATCGTCCTAACGGACTGCTCACTCCCACAGTCTGCTGCTGCGGCTGCTGCATCTGATAACCCCCGGGCAATAGCGAAACCGACACATGCGGCCCCACCAGCGTCCGCTGGCCCTGTCCCTGCACACCCACCCCCCTCGACGACAACGGAAACCCCACCAGCTGACCCACGGGGTTCGGCAACACCCTCGTCTGCGCCAACGACCCGGCCTGCCCGCCCCGCAGCTGCGGGAACGCCACCGGCGTCGCCGTCCCTGCCTGCGGGATCAACGGCACGATCCGCGGGACGTTGGCAAAGATGGGGAGGGACCCCGCGTTGGTTGTGATGCCGGCGGAGGGTTGTCCGGCGCGCATATGTGCGTATCTCACATACTACCCTCCCGGAAAGCCAAACCCATATCAGTTACCCCTCCCCCAGCGCATGGACTGAAAGAACCCCGCCCTTACCTTATCCACCGCCACCCGACTGAACCCCTCGACGCGCCCCCCGGGCCACCTCACCTGCACGGAGTAGAACACGTGCGGGGTGAGTCCCACGATGGTGCCCCCAGCCGCGATGCAGTCCTCCAACGCCGGGTTGGGCGGTCGGTGTGTGGTTGGAGCGTGGGATTTGGGCGGCGAGGGCGGCGTGAAGGTGGGGGAGAGACGGATGGAGGCGCGGGATGCGTCGAGGCGGTCCTGGAAGTGTCACAGCATCCAGATTAGACGATGCGCAGGAATGGGAAGGGAAAGATGGGGGGGATGGCATACCTGGGAGATATTCCAACAATGCACGACGCGGCCCTGCACACCCACCGCGGGGGGCGGGAAGCGGATGTAGACGCCGTAGGTGACGCATTCCTTGACGTGGATGATCCGGGCGCCGTTCCGGATCGCTGATTCAAAGTCCGTGCCGTAAGTTGGCGCGGTGGCGGATGTGTCCGAGGCGAGGGTAGGTGGGAGTGGTAGAAATAGGTTCGTTGTCGGGGCTGGGGCGTGGACTTCTGCGGCGGGTGGGAGTGCCGATGGGGCGGCGGCGGAGACACTGGACGATGCCGTCGCAGTCGTAGTCTTCCCCCTCTTGGCCGGCTTCTCCTTCCCCTCCGTGTTCGTCGCCGCCCTCCTAGTGCGTTTCCTCTTCCCGCCGCTCTCCTCACCCTCCTTCTTCTTACTCGCATGATGACTCGGGCGTTCCGGCTCCCGGGGCACCATACTGACCGGCTCGCTCATGAACGGCTGCAGCCGCTGTCGTGATATGTTGGTGTAGATAAACACATCGTTGCAGTCGGGGAGCTTGACGTGCACGGAGTAGTTGTCGTTGCGGGTGTGCAGCCGGTGCGAGAGGATGATCCCGTGGTGCTCTTCCATGCATTCTTCGAAGGCTACTTTGGGGAGGGGCATGGCTTTGGTTTGGCTAGTGGGGGGGGTTCCAGGTGGGGGTTGGGGTGAAGGGGTCGGCGAAAAGGGGGGAAAGGGGGTTGAAGGGGGAGAAGGGGTATGTAACGCAGGGAACGACGGAGGACGGAGGGATAAGGACAGGGGGAGATAGACGGGAGGGGTTCGTCTGGCTTCTGTGTACGTAGGAATGGAGAAGCTTTGTTTTGGCGTAAGTTTTTTTTGCTGGATCTGCTTTGTTCGTTGTTCGTTGGACCATGCGGTGGCTTTGGGAAGTTATGGAGAATCTGCTTTCCTTGTGAAACCTGCAACGCACATGCCTTGACCTAGTGCCCACTGGCCCTCTCGTTGGAGTAGCGATGGCTCTCCACAAAATCGCCCCAATATTCGCAGTCTGGCGCCATTTTCTCTTCCCCCGTTCATTAATGACTTGGGAGCGGGACAGGGGGGAATCCGACAGCGCGACACCTGTCAAATGCTGTGCCACTCGGCTACAGATTCGAAAGACGGTTTCTTTCCAGACAAGGGCTTCCATGCACTGCACGAAGAATGAACCAGAGCTACAATCGGATTACACGAATAGCAATTAGCGGCAGAGGTCCAGGAATCAACTGCAAGGCTTTCCTCGCATGTACACGTACGTCAGGCTCTGCTGCAGCATCAATATGCGCACGGCCGGCAAACGATTTCTGCTCTGAGAAAATACTACAATGCACGATTTCCAAATGCGAGCTGGCGCGTCGCAGCAGGACCAATGCCAGGCAACAAAGATCATGTAGGGAAGATGTGATGGTACTGTATATACGGAGATACGGTGCTGCCCATGGACACCGATGCGAAGAAGTGGTATTTCTATGTATAATGATGTGATGTGATGGCTAACGTCCGTCGCAGGATTAAGGGTGAGACGGGACAAGCAGCTTTTTATAATGCAGTAGGGATGCTGTCTATATCGTATGCTGAAAGGGCTGCAGACCGGCCTCAGCGATAGTGACAGTAATATGGACCCGGGTCCGGTTCGTCGTCCGTGTATTCGACATCGAGCACAGGCAATGGTTCCATTTCCAGCAATGTGTATTTGTCGGCAGGCATTTGCACACGGCGGACTTCTTCGAATTTCCCGCTCTCGGTGGCGAGCTGGACGTACATATCGATGCTTTTCGGATAATTATTCCATCTGACCGCCTGGTAGACCATGATCTCCAACGCGCCCCCGCCATTGTAGGAGTCTAGTTCGGCACGCCAATCGCTTATCATTCGGTCGAAGGAGAATCGCCAAGGCTCCACACGAGGCGGGGCGTACCTGAGCACGCGTGAGTGAATCCGAGTACTCGCGTCCCATGGTGGGAGCTTCATGGGATGCCTGTTGAATTCGATGTCAAGCGAGCGGGTCCATCGCGGCGTACGGTCCACGAAGCTCCGGCTTTCATCGGTATCGAGGAGCATGCGGAGAGTGTGGACGGTTCGTGGACCCCACTGCCGCCCGGCTTTGTTTTCGCTGTAGCCGATGAGTCGGTCGCAAACGAGTGTGACGATTCGCAAGGCTTTGAAAGGCGGTAGGTTGCGGAATGTACCGCCCAAGCTCTTGAGACTCGTGGTCTGGTCCGCGTAGATCCAGCAGACCGCTTGAGCGAGCTGCAGCACCTCCTCTTGGAAGCGATCCGGTTGACCAAGCGAGCTCAAGACCAATTCTCCATTATTCCATCCAAAAGTGTATACGTAGTCGTCGCGATCAATCGCAGTAGCCAGAGAATGGAAGTTGAGATCAAGTTCATCTGGTCGCGACATGGTAACTAGAGTGGTAATCTTTGCAAACGCTGGAGGGGTCCAGGCTTCGAACGAATAGACACCCCGAAATGGAATGACATTAAAACTCTTGATCCATCGAAATCGCTCCATGTCGGTTGTGAGAGTGGTGAAGAGCAAATGAACCTGGCGCTCGGACCGGATGACGATCGTAGAATAGAGGCATTTGAGAAGGCAGTCATGCCAGTCCCGGCATACGAAGATCATCTTGTGGAGCTCGGCTGTCTTCGAGAAGCGCAATATTTCTGGGATGAGTTCCAAAGGCAGCTTGGAATTGGGGGCACATTGCGCTCCCAACTTTGGCCCCATCGCTAACGTCTGACGATGTTGCCAGATGGGATCTTCGGCTGGTACGCACAGGAGAGCCCCTAGTCCGAACAAGGCTCTTCTCAGCGAGAGGCTGGGTGCGCGGGGCTTCAGGGGGGAAGCATGGGAACTTCAGCTCCAAGATGGGGTCCAGGGGCGACCGACTGGGCTTCAACCAACGTCCCAGCCGTTCGCTCCGACGTCCGTCTCGTCCCTCCTGCAGGTCCTGCCACTCTCCCTAGCTGAGCCAGCGTACTCGAGCCCGGTGCTGCTGTTGAGGGAGAGAGAGTGTGTACAGCAGTGATGTGCTCTGCCAGCGAGTTCTGGAGACGGTGATGCCGCTCGCCTGAACTTGAACCTGACGGAAGTCCTCAGGAAGTCCTTCTGCCTGCCTGATTTTGGTGCCCACATCAAACCCACTCTGGCACCCACACTAACAGTCCGGCCAACCCTACCCTGCTATCTATATATAACGTCCGTCGAAAGCCCCTGCACGTTCTCGGGTGAGTTTACCACCGGCCGCTGTATATTTAGTGGGAGGTACTTCAAGAATACTAATCAGATCTTCTAGCCGTCCATCTCTCCTCTCCCATCTCTTCCGATGAAACACCTGTACGTTGTGGTCCACCCAGAGGCGACCCACCACATCACAAAGGTCGTAGGGGGCTGGTACGACACTACACTCACCGAGAAGGGCCTTAATCAAGCAGACCGCATCGGCTATCACCTCCGGAGCATCATTCCCCCCAACGCCCGAGTCCACATCCACTCCTCCGACCTCCAGCGTTGCGCCGTCGCCGCCAAGCATATTGCGCAGTCCCTCGGTGGCATTCCCGTGAATGAGACCACGGATCTGCGCGAGCTAGCCTACGGCGAGGCGGAAGGAAAGCCCGAGGCGTGGTTGGAGGGACGATACCGATTTCCGCCTGCATCGCCGGCTGTCCCAAGCCTGCGCGACGAGGAAGCCATGCGAGTTAGGCTCGATCATGATTTTGGAATCAAAGGCGCGGAGACGAGACGCCAGTGTGGCGAAAGGGTCTACCGCGCGATGGAGAGGGACGTGTTTCCGCTCTTCGGGGATGGTACGGGTGACGTTTACCAAGTGGTGGTTACCCACGGGTTTGCGATGGTCATGGTTGTTGCTGCGTGGATTGGGATGCCGCTGGACGCTGCAGACGCGATTTCTATTGCTTCTCGGAAAGGAAGCATCACGGTGTTGCAGGAGGATGATGTGTATCATAACCGATGTATCGTGAGCGTCAACGAGATGGGTCATTTGACGGACGTTTGACTCGATTCTGTCGTACCGCACGGCCGAGAAGTATCGTTCGTCTCATTAAAAATGGGACGTCAACCGCGGTGACGGTTGCTGCCTACCCGGTTTGATGCTTGCGACGGCCGCCGGATAACCACAGGACTTCCAGAGATCTTAGACCATTACTCAAACTCATGTTGAGCATCTTGCGCTTGTATTCCAATATGTGTACGTAGTGTATATAACAGAATGCCTATCAGACACTTTTATTCTAAGGTTCACCAAAGTTCGCAACCAACGAATCAAGCACTAGGAAAGTCCGCCGGAAAGTACCTATTCCTCAAGAACCCTACAATTTTGTCGCCCCCATCCTCCACAAACTTCTTATCAACCAACTCCTTCACGGTATGCGTCGCATAACGCACCTTCGGCCTCTCCGCCTCAATAATCGCCACCACATCCGCCGCACACTCCTCCGGCGTCTGCCGCGAGTTCGCAGCCTCCGGCAATGAATACCGCGCGGTCAAGTTCTTGACATACTCATCCAACACCGGCTTGTAGGCGTCCCCAACATCCTGCCCTGCAAGCGTCTTCATCGCCGTCCCAGCGAAAGCGGAGGTGATCGCACCGGGGCAGAAACTGGACACGTGGATGTTCCATTTCCAGAGCGTGCCGTTGAAGGATTCGGCGAGCGAGTCGAGGGCGCATTTGGCCGCGCAGTAGGTTTCGTTGAAGGGTTGGCCCACGAGACCGCCGATGGACGAGATGTTGATGATGCGGCCGCTGTTTTGGGCACGCATGTGCGGGATTGTCAGGCGGCACATACTGAGAGATGGGACAGGAGTGTTAGTGTTCGGAAATAACATGAGTGTATGAACAATGAGCTGTAATGACGTACCGGTAAGCGCTAAAGAAGTTAACATCAAAGCAGTTCTGGATCTGTTCCTCACTCGCGGACTCGATCGTCTGCACGAACCCCGCCCCGGCGTTATTTACCAACACATCAATCCTCCCCTCCTTGTCCACAAGCTCCTGCACAGCCTTCTTACAACTCCCCGCATCTGTAACATCCAGCTCCAAGATTCCTACACTAGTCCCCTCAACGCCCTTCTCCCGCGCCTCCTTGTAGAACTCCTCCGCTTTGGCGAGCGACCGGAGCGTGCCGTAGACTTTGTATTGGGTGGGGGTTTTGGCGAGCTGGATGGCGAGCGAGGCGCCGAGGCCGCGGGCGGTGATGCCGGTGATGAGGACTACTGATGGGGTGGACATCTTTTCTTTTTTTGTGAGGAAGTGAGGTGAGAGCCTATGTCTTAGTGGCAGCTGTAGATGGTGGTGAGTTTTGGGCCCTACAATCCTGCGGCGCCTTTTATATCCTTTCCCTGGGCACAGACAATTCCTTTCCCCCTTCTCCCCGTCGACCAGACCCATCTTTTACGTGGCCCATTTCCATGGGCAGCGGCAAGGTACCTCGATCGGTGTGGTCGTTGGTTACTACGCGACAACTCCATATCAGCAGCCTCTCTAATTCACCACATGCCAATATGGAATTTGGAACTATACAACGGTAAAATCCGAAAAGGAAGGCAACCCGATTGTAGTCGGACACGGAGGCGTTCCGCGACCATGCAGGGTGCTACGTGCTACCTCCTATATGGGACAACTTTTTGAACAATGGAGAGAAGGCGGTCGGCGGTGGGCAGAATGGTCTGCATTGTGGCAAGAAAACGGAGAAGGAAGCATACAATTTGCATCTGGATATGGCCACGACACACCGGCCTATTTGCTTGCCAAGGTCTCCTCCTTTTCGCGTCGAGGCCTTCAGCCCCCAGCAGGTTTGCCACAAAGGCCAAGTCGCCACGTTTTGGTTCCAACTTTTTGCATGCAAGACGCGACGCGACGTTCTGATTACGCAAGCAAACGCGTGGGACAGGCCTCCTTGCTTCCTCCTTCCGCCTCCCTTCGCTCTCCTCACACGTAACCAACCCATCCCCCCTTTCTCTCTCCTCCCCTCGCTCCCTCCTTACCAGTATCCCTCCCTCTCTCGTTGTCCCCTCGTCCTCTCTCGTCTTTTCTGGACTGCAGCAGTGATTGTTGCGCCGCACAAATGGCGGATAGGATTGTAGGACACACGCGGCCAGACTCCACATCCTTAGAATTCCTCGTCAATACGCCCTTAGCAGAAGCAGCAAGATGACAACCATTCTCGCACAGACCTACCACTCAACAATAGAAGCCTGCCTTTGGAACGGCACTACCAAGGCAGTCATAAAGCGCTGCAAAAATCAGAGCGACCCTCGCACACGGCGCCGCTTCCTCAGCGAAGTAGCCGCTCTTCGCCGGGTTGGGAACCATGGAAATATCACCCAGCTCTTGTCTTACGATCAGCACTACTTGACCCTCACCCTGCGGCACGAGCAGGGTCAAAGTCTCGACAAGTTCCTTGATTCTAGTCAAAGGTGTACAATACCACCATCCTCCGCTATCCTTGTCTGGAAACAGGTAACCTCCGCGGTGTCGCATCTCCATTCTCTGAACCTGGTTCACGACGATATCAAACCCGACAACATCGTCTGGTCACCCGAGGACCATCACGCGGTGCTAATCGATTTCGGTGCCGCGCTGGATCTCGATGTACTGCCCAAAGACTACTTCAACCCGTCGGGAACGCCGAGCTACGCACCGCCGGAATTCCTGTTGAAGAGGAAAGGACCTGAGGCCGATGTCTGGGAACTTGGGATTGTTATGCTTTTCGCTTTAAGGCTTGTACGTTTACCGGACGGGAACTGGCTCTTGCCGGCGGTGTGGGATGAAGGAGGGGATGTGGAAATGAGGAGGTGGTTAGCCAAAGTGGAGGAGTTGAGGAAGAAGTGTCTGTTGGATGCTAGCGGGACTGTTGGCAGAGACACGAGCGGCGGCGGCGCTGACATTCCGCCTCTGACATATCCATTGCTTGCCAGGATGTTGGATGCGGATCCTGGTCAGCGAGTCAGTACTCCAGAGCTGCTCCGGGAACTTGAAGAAATCGCACACGGCATGAAATGATACCCTCGTATGGACATGGTATTATATCTCGCGTACAACTGAGAGTCCCACCAGCGGCGTTCCCGTCTTCCTCAGTGGTGCAACTTCATGTATATGTAACCTGGTCCGAATATGTTGATGCCATTCATTTATTTGGTACCCCGGTGTTTAAAAGTCTACGTATTCGAAAGCACATACGCCCATGAACAAAAATATTCAACCATTCGTCACCGAATCATGAAAGATCGACGGACCGAAACACCGTCACTGTTCGTTTCCACTTGCAGACCGGAACTGGAGGTCGATAGCGTGGTTGTGCCAGGCAGGACTAGCTCTTGCAGGCTTGTTCCCGCTCGGAAAATGCCGTCCACAATGCCCGCATCGATGACGCTGGCGACGCTCCTGTTGCGCAGACTCAACCGCGACAAACGCCCGAAGCCCGGTGTGTCCATCAGCGCTTTCAGAAGCCTGTGTTGCCTCACGACCAGGCTTCTATGCGGCACGCGGTGTTGCTCCCAGAAATCTATCTCGGTAGACCGCGCTGTGAGGAAGAGCTCTTTCAGTTGCGGCAAGCATCGTTCTTGTAATGACCTGGGGGAAAGCATCAAAATCGGAGAAACGTCGAGAGTAGTGACCGCCGGGTGCCGCACCTCGACTTGCTGGAGGTCCGGCGGGGTCCATTCACCGCTGTATTTCAGCCGCAAGTGTCGCAGGCTAGAAAGCTTATGGAGGTCCGAAGCGAGCCAAGCTGAAGCCGAAATCGTCACGGGTGCCCCAAAGTCCCGTTCTTCCGACTGCCAGGAAGCAAGGTCTTCCGGAAATGCTATAGAGAGCTTTACCAGCGCCTGGAGATGGTGCGTCATGCTCTGCCACATCGGTTCTGTCAGGAACAAGCTTCTTCGCAATGAAAGAGTTTGCAGGGTGTTTGCCGCCGCGGGGAGGTACTCCTGCATGAACGCAACTTGCGCATCCCTACCAGGGGAGTAGTCGCCAAGGGACAGTGACCCGAGCCGAGACGCCAAAGGAATGAGGGCCGGCACGGTAAAGTTCTCCGAAGCAAAGTCGAAGTTATCCCAATCGAGCTGCAGTCGATCCAAATTGGAGCATGCACCTGCAAAGACTTCAACATCCTCAGGTGTGATGAGCAAATCGTCCTCTTCGTCGTTGAACCAGCCCAACATGACTCCTGTGTTGCCGTTGCGCTCTCTAAGGGTGATGCTGCGGACACCCCGCACGGACTCTGGGCGGGAGCGGCATCGCGCGAGAAAGGCATCCAGGCGGTGACGGGCGGTGAACTGCCAGTCTGCTTGCTGTGAAGTGGTCTCTACGGGGTGGTCCAGAGGTGCTGCTTCCTCGGGATCCATTGCTTGCGCTTGCTCCAGGCTTCATTGACGATGGCCACGGCCGCTTGCACTCTAGGAGTCAGCTTGGAGTCTTTGCTTTTTGTTGGGGTCGGCGCGCCTTGGGGGGAAGTTAGAACCAAGAGGGAGCACGCGTTACGTGAGCAGTCTCTGGCCACGCTTTCGACTTCCGACAGGTTGTGAAATCTCGCCCATTCCGTAGGAACTGTCAACGCCCGGTCGGACTCGCATAACTCAAACCAACAACCAACGGCCAATGCGGCAGAGTCATCACTTGCCAACGCTTCCGTGGAACTCGATAAGCGAGCAAATACATAAATACACGTGTATATACATTCAGGTTGACGACCAGCGCCTCCTTTGGAAGTTTGTCTTCGACGCAGGTCAAGCAAGTCCCGCGACTACCCTCCGTAAGTCCGGGAGCATTCTATTATAGTCAGGGACTTTCCCATATCCCAGTTCTCCAACGGCCTTGACTTCCCACCGCGCCTCCGTTGCCCGTCTCCACAAGACGCACATTATGATATTAGTCCGATCCCCCAACTCCTCAGGTGACGATTTGAAGTTGTACGAGCACAACTCCGTGGTCTCGGTCGTGCTTGTTTTGTTCCCCTCGACGACAGGGGTTTCCAGGCGGACTGTGGGCGATTTGATGTCGGCGAGGGTGGAGCCTGCATAAGCTGACATGCAGAACACCAGCGCGCGAACGGTAGGGGGCAGCAGGCGGATGTTGACGGTGATGGTGTGGGTGCCGTGTCGGAGCCTATGGTCTACGATATCACCACTGTGTTTGATGGCGCCGGAGAGAGCAGTGGGCCTGCTGAAGTCAAGGTTCACAAGATGCTTTCCTAATGCGAGAATTAACATTAACGTTTTGGGGGGATCTTTGCAGGCCGTAGAGGAAAGAACTCCAGATGCCTACCTTCAAAGTCGAAGGCCGAGCAGGTAGCATCGAGGAACCGCAAATCTTCCGCGTACCGCCATGTCTCCTTCATGAAAACCTTCCTTACGTCTGGGGGTGCACTATACGACTGCCCTTTGAGAAGGATCTTGGACACTCCTGATTTGTGAATCTTGGTGAAATCCATCCCCCGGGTGTGATACTTTTTGCGGAGGGAGTTGCGTATCGATTGGGACCATGCAGCGGTGAGTTGACCGGGCGAGGGGCACTGTTGTTGCATGATGGCGTAGTAGGCGGGCCATGTGGATACAGCGAGGATGTTTTTGGTGTGGCTCTGTAGGACGAACAGACTTAGCATGATGTACTCGCTCGAGTTCACGACCTAGTGTTTCCTCGATGTACCTGGAAAAGATCGACAATCTTCTTGGGCGGCCTGCCGTAGAACTGGTCACTTGCATCCAAGAATCCGCTCGCCTTCGAGTCCGTGTCAAAGTAGCTCAAGAAGCAAACATGGAACATCATCAGCCTCTTCGAGACGACCTGCGCGTCCCAGACCTTCTTCAGCAGCGCCATGTCGGGCTTGACGGAGCCCGACCCCTCCGTCGTCTCTGCGAGCTCCGGATACTTGTGACACACCCACAGTACCGCGCGGTCGGCCGACTCGGACAGAAATGCGTTGGCCACGCGCGGAGCTGCCCAGCGATGCCTGGATGAGAATGGAAGGACGGGGAGGAGGTTGCCGAGAGAAGGGGTGGCGCTCTTCATCCGAGCGGCTTCTGAATTGACAAACGCATCGATCCGGCTGTCTATTCGCTTCTGAAGGGACGGGTACCGTTCGATGAGGGCGGCCAGAAGGCGGTGAAGCAGGAAATAACCCTCAATGGCCCGGGCTGAAGCCGCGACGCCGTGATCGCAAAGCTGGACAATGAGCGTATTCATCATCTTGGGAAGGACGTCCAGTGCCATCGTCGCATCAAACACCCTGGTCCCGCGTTCCGGCGACATCTTGATGAGGAATGCTTGAATGTCCGGCAAGGCGCGCGTGAAGTGCTCGTGGGTAAGGTAGACGGGACACCACTCGGAGAAATCGGTGTTCCAAACGGATTTGCGGACCTTGTCTTCGTGGAATGCGCTCCGACTCAACATCTCGACTTCGCACGCGATGTAGTCGACGCATTTCGTTTTTGGATTGACGGTATAGGTTATTGGGAGACCCAGGATGTCCTCTTCCCATGTCAGCTTGCTTGCGAAACATCTCATGCCGTCAGCAACACAGTTGACCTCCATTGCAAACGCGGATTTCCAGTCTGCCATCGTTGCGGCCGTGACGGATGCGTAGCGCGAACGCCCGGCGTATAGGGAAAACAAGTCCCGCCACACGCGCCCGTCCTCACAGACCAAATGCATGTGCCGGCATGTGGCGGAGAGGCTGAGCACATCGTTTCCCGTCAAACCGCATTGAGTCACGATGCGGAAGAGGAGCTCGTAAGGGAGCGTCGCGAACAGTCCTGCAGACAGCGGGTCTGAGGACGGGAAACAAACTGCGTGTTCCGCTTCTTGGTTTGCTAAAGATGTGACTGACGCAGGGCGGGCGGTGGACGGGGTGGAGACCACCAGCTGGCGAAGCTCAGTAAGCGACTGAGGGGGAGGTGCGATGGGGTCTGCCCTCTTCTTCTCCCTGATGACGAGGGTCCCCGGAGAGGCCTTGTGAATCTGCTTTGGTAATTGTGTTTTCTCCGCGGCGGCCGCTAGGACAGCCCACGAGCTAACGCCAGCATAAGTAGGCTTCGGCGCTTGAACACCCCGCGCTTTTGCAACAAATCCGGTTCCACTGGCCTTGACCAAGGTCTTGGGGGACCCGTAGACCTTCTCCGCCATTCCGACACGCTTGGCACGACGAGACTGCACAACAGTCCATTCGTCCTCTTCCTGCTGATTTTCGGATGCCGGGGTGGAATGGGCAGAAGAAACAATTCGCGGACGACGAGAAACAGGTGCGCGGCGAACAACAAGCTTGGTGACCTTGCTCATTTCCTCTTTCGTAGGGAAAGCTGGCCAGACCGCTCTCTTCCCATTTCCTTGACCGTGGCCGCAACGGGTGCATTCAAACATCCTCGCCGTCCGCACAGCATCACCTATTGTGCCGTGGTCGGTGGAATACATCAACGCAGTATCGAAAATGAACGCTTGCAGCTGCCTGAGGAGGCTGGCGACGGTGTACGACCTGGACCAGCCTTCGTACGGATTGTTCTTGTTGACGTCGAGCATGTCAAGGCAAATTCTGTATCCTCCGAGGGACTGAACGACGTTGGCGTGCGGGACCGGAGTGCAGAGGGTGACGCTAGGCGGGTCAAGGGGATACTGCTTGGGGAAGACAAGCACGAGGTGAAGGGTGAGGGACATGATGCCATCAGCGTCACTGCCGTCGTCGGTCGAAACTACGGTGCTACGCAAGTTGACGTGCCATTCGTAGATGTTGTCTTCGAGTGGGGCGGCAGTGATGTTGGCGTCGACAGGAGAGGCGTTGATCTCGGCCAGATCGCGGAGCAGACGACGGGTGGCACTGGGGAGAGCAATTGCGTTGGTGGCAGACATCACTGAACAGCGCCTGAGTGCTATAAGCTGGAGAAGCAGTAATGGGGGGCAGCGGATGAAATCCCGACTTGAATAGTAGAGAAGATGTCACACTGGAGCGACTGGAAGACCACGGTAGCGGGCGACAGCCGGGGGGTCGGCCCGCGGCATGGTTTTATAAGCGACCCACTAATAATCTGCCTCAGTCTCTTCGACGAGCTATCTGGGCCAGGACGTCAGGAGTGCGAGGGGAAGCCGTGGAGAGTGGGGCAGGACGCATGGGGAAGCCGGATCGCACAGCTGTCGACTGCGCAGACGAACAGCGAGAGAGCGGGGAAGTGACAGATCCACGCGTACTGTCGAAATCCGTCAGTTGGAAACGCCTTAACCCTCTATGGACTTTAATATAGACAATGGAATCCTTCTTTGCCGAGCTTCTGGCGGCGTTAATGTTAAATGGTACACAGTCAGCGATCCATCTCCGGGGCAGTTCCGTAGAATGCTAGGGGTTCGACTTCTCCAGGAGTTGACTTTTGCCGTGGTCGTACCGTATTAGATCGTGCAGATGTGGGGCGGAGGGGGTCATTCTCTACCGGAGCGAACGACAGCAACGATGCCAACAGCGGTGAGGAGGTAACGTAGGTCGCTTGTATGCTGAATGGAATGCTTGCCAGATCCGGTATGCACACCAAGCCCAATGATGACCTGGGACACGGGTGCGGTGACGGGTGCGGTGCGGTGACGGGTAACTCCACCCACTGAAAAAGGAAGACTGGTTGACACTTGGAAAGGAGAACAAGCGGACACAAAACGCCTCCATTCTTCTATCCCTAAACTACACTCTCCAGTCCGCATCCCAGACTACTCCCTTCTACGCCAACTATGGTCTCCACCCCCGTTTCAGTCTTGCTGCCTCTGCTACCTCTGAATCCGTCAATCCGGCTGCCAAAGCTCGTGCTAAAGAAATCAAGGAAATCTATGGGCAGCTTGCCCTTGAGCTCAAGGAAGCCCGAGATCAAGAGGAGCATTACACCGAAGAGATTACTGTGATTGAAAAACCACAGCGGCTTGACGCTAGCTACCGGTGTCAACGATGCCAATCTTGATTTTATAATCTCGACGACCTTGACGACGGAGACGGAAGCGAGGAAGAGAAGACAGAGCGAGAGCGATAGGAGGCAGGAGATTGTATTGGCAACACAAGGAACAAGAACTAAAACAGGAGTTGAAAAGAACTGGTGTTGATCTGCTGGGGAATCAGGAGAGGGGAGATGAGGGGAGGCGGCTACTTCTGCTTTTCTGGGAAGACAGGGGGAAGCATGGGCAAGCAGGGGCATGAAAGAAGAGAGAAGGCAGGAGAAGCGCCGAGGGTGGGGAAGGTTTGTAAGCACCAAGTGTGGGCGGGTGAGGCTACATGCGGCTGTGTCCAGCTGCGTGGAGAACATAGGTGTGGAGGGGTGCGGCTGCATCCAGGTGTCAGGTTTGACAGGCAATTGACATTGACGGCTGTCAGCGTGCTGTCATGAAGTAAGCTTATGGTATGGACGCGTCATCCATAACATCACCCCCTCCTTTTGCCGCGTCCTCCCGATGTTGTTTTGATGTTGGGTTTGGGAACCTGGGGGTTTGGTCGTGATTTGCTGGGGTACTTGTGGTGGAACTGCTGACAAGCTCTTGACATCGGACCAGGTGTTTCACTGGCTCCCATGTCTTCTCCAAGATTGGCTAACCCTGCCATTTGATAAGGTACCGGAGGCGGTGGCGCTGGATGCGGGAGTCCGGAACGTCTTCTACAATTCATTCCTCCTGGCCTTCGGCTTCTTCTGGTGGAGCTGACTCGGGTTCATGGTGCTCGGGAATGGTGTAGCGGGTTTCGAGGAAGGTGAGATGGAAGACATCGTGGATTTTGTAGGTAGGCGGAAGTTTGAGACGGTAGGCAACTGGTTTGATTTTTTCGATGATTGTGAATGGCCCAATCTTACGGTTGTTGAGTTTTGGAGAGGGTGTGGCGTAACGTCAGGGGAAGCGTAGACGATATTGGGCCCTTCTGAGAGGGCTGAGAGCAGTGTATTGTAGTGAAGAAAAAAGTAAGAAGCTCTTCGCAGCGGCCGCTCGACTGACAGCTTTATATATGGGCTGCCAGTGGGGCTTGCGTGGCTTCAGTGAGGCTTGGCGCCTTATGTAATGTATCACAGAGAGCTCGGGTGGCCAGCCCGGGTCTCGGATCAAGTAGAAGTAAAGAGATAAAATATGAAATACAAGTGAATATGAGATATCCCCGACGCCTCCCTCAGATCCTGAGGAGGGCGCCAAATATATAAGAGGTGAACTACGAGGGATATGTGAAGAAAGGGAGAGCTCATGTTCATTTTAAAGTGTTGACACACTTGTTCATTTTATAGTGTTGACGCACTGTGTGATGTGTGTGTTTGAGGCAAAGGCGTCCCTAAGCCGACGTCATGTGTGATATGTGTGTGTAAGGTCGGTTCTTGCGTCGCCGCGCGTGTGATGTGATATGAGATGCTCTATGCTGTTTGTCTCCGTATCCACAAAGATTGTGGGTGAGCTTTTTGCCATCGTTTGTAGGCAGGCGTGTAGCGAAGTGCGGATTCAGGTTCCCAAGTAGGGTCAGGATAACCGAGCCATTTGACTAGAAGATTTCGTACGGCGGGTTGCTCGTCGATGATGTCTTCTACAACCCATTCGGGTTGTCCGCGTTCTTGGATTGGTGGAGGAGGTTGTGGAACTGCACGTTGTGGGTATTGCTCTTCGTGATGTGGTCGTAAAATATCGACGTAAAAGATGGGCCAGATGCCGCTGATCTTCGATGGTGATAAATCAAGTTCGTAGGTATCAGGAAGTGCTCCCAGTGCGATGATTTTGAATGGTCCGATCCACGTAGCTGAGTATCGAAGTCCTCTTCGAGCGTCTCCTTCTAGGTTGATTCCTTGTCGATTCAGATCGACGAGGTCGCCAATTTTGTATGCGATTGGCGTTCGACCTTTGTCGTGTTGACGTGCGAGTTGATCTCGTGATCTCTGAAGGTTTTCGCGTACGATACGGGCGATGTCCTCCTGCCCTTTCTTGAAGAGTTCAATTTCGTTTCGATCTACAGCTTGAAGTTTGAGTTCTTGTCCTTCGAGTGTTGGATTCCAACCTGGGAGGATTGGAGAACGTCCGAGATCTACTTCGAATTGTGATAAACCTGCATATTCCTCCCTCGGAGCGGTGTTGTATGCGAATTCGATTAAAGGCAATAGTTTCTTCCAATTGCTTTTGTCGTAGTTGAGATATTGCTTCCAAAGCCTTTCCAGGGTTTGGATGGCTCGCTCAACTTTGCCGTCGGTTTGCTGGTGACAAGCCGTAGTGAATTCGTGTTTTACGCTGAGGAGAATATCAAATGCGAGGAAGAAGTCGGAAAGTGCGCGAGGTTCGCGATCCGTAACGAAGACTTTTGGCGTACCGACATGTTTCCAAACATGATCTAGAAAGACTTGGGCTAGTTTGCGTCCAGTAATTGTTTTCCTGATCGGTGTCAGAATCACACGTCCGGAAAGGTAATCAGAGCAGACGAGACAAGAGTTTGTTTCATCTACTTTGAAAATGTCGAATCCGATTGTGTGCCATCTTCCAAAAGGTATAGGAAGAGGTTGAGAAATCCGTATCGACGATGACCAGGTTTGAATTGTCAACAGGATTTGCAAGTTCCAACGTATTTGATGACGTCGGAGCGTACGGTAGGCCAGTAATAGTCCGCAAGAATTCTCGCAAGAGTCTTCGTAACACCGAGATGTCCTCCGGTGGCGAGTTCGTCATGGAATTTCCGCAAAATCTTCGGGCGAATGTCTTCAGGAACGTATAGACGTCCTTCGTGTCGTACTAATCCATTTTCGAACGTATAACGGAGTTCTTTTGAAGTTTTCTCGTGTTGAGGCTTTCGAGAGATTCCATTGAGATAATCCGAATATGGATCTTCGCATAGCGCTTTTTTCCATCCTTCTTCTGAGCAGGTAGGTGAGTTTTGTGGAACGTGTGTTGTGGCATTGGAGGAAGGTTCGTTGACAAGCATGTTGCTGATCTGCGTATGCATGTCGAGGCGTCGTTGACAATCTACACACCGAGGCGCATAGATTGGCTTGCGGGAGAGCATGTCGGCGATATGATTCCATTGTCCAGGTAAATACTGGATGTCGAAATCATACTCTTGTAGCTTCTCCACCCAATTGGCTTGTCTTCTGCTCAAATGGGGTTGCGTTTGGATGATTTCGAGTCCCTTGGCATCGCTAAAACATCGGAAGTAATGACCGATGAGATATGGTCGATTGGCGACCAACATCTTGACAAGAGCTAATAACTCCTGTTCGTGCGTAGGATATCGAGTTTCTGCATCCTTCATCTTTCTAGAAAAGAAGACCATAGGCCGGAGCCGAGGTCACTTCTTCCATTGTCCGACGAGAGTAGGCAGATTCGTAGGGATCGTTTCATCGCCAGATGGTTGTCCAATCCAGCCAGCGATAGCGTAGCCTGATGAGTCGGTATAGATGTAAATTGGCTTGGTTTCATCGATTGTTGCTAGCGTAGGCACATTGATCAACGCTTCTTTCAACTTTTGAAATGCCTCTTGATGCTCAGGACCCCATCGAAATTTGACTTTTAAAGATTGAATACTTGATAGGGGCAGACCGATGTCCGAATAACCTTGTACGAAGTCGAGGAAATAGTTCGTGAACCCGAGAAAGCTTTGAACTCCTTTTGTTGACTTTGGAGTAGCCCAATCCTTGATAGCTTGGATTTTCGAGGGCGCGATGCGAACTCCATGTCTTCCGACAATATGTCCACACCATTCGAGTTCTTCTTTAGCCCATACGCACTTTGAAGGCTTGATGAAAAGGGCATGTTCTTCAAGTTTTTTCAGGATACGATCGACGTGTCCCTGATGTTCGGCTAAGGTCTTCGAGAAAATGAAAATGTTGTCCATGTTATGAATGGGCGGAGCCGATGGAAATAGAGGCGACTTGTGGTGCAGGTTGTTGACAGGTAATGGTATTCAGACCGAAACAAGAACTAGAACAAGACTCGGAAGAACTGGTGTTGATGTGCTGGGGGATCAGGAAGTGGGGAGCTCAGGGGAGGCGGCTATTCATGTTTTTCTGGGAAGGCTGGGGAAGCGTGGGGAAGCAGAAGGGTACGGAATGAGAGGGAAGCCAAGAGAAGCGCCAAGGGTGGGGAAGTATGGAAACAGAAGACTGGGGATGGGGTGGCTACGCTGAGGCTGTGGGCGGGTACGTGGG